AAATATAGCTTACTTTAATTTAAGATCTCTTATTTAATAACTTTAAATTATATAGATTAAATAATAATATTACTTAATAATACTTATATATTAATATTAATTATAAAGCTTTAGTTATTTAATATAGAATAAAATAATAGATTATTATTATTAAAGATAATAATAATAATAAAGCTTCTACTCTCAAGATTAAGTAGTAGTAAGAATAATTTACTACTTATTATATAAGTATCTACTCTTTAATACTTTATTATAGAGATATCTATAATTATTAAATATCTTTACTATTTATTAAGCTTCTTTATTATATATTTAGCTTAAAAGCTACTTATTTATATAGCTTAATATATATAATATTAAGAGATATCTCTACTCTTATTAAAGAGATAATAAATAAGAGAGATAAAAGAGATAGGCTAATTATATAATTTCTTCTTAAAGTTTAAATTAAGTATAGAGTTATTAAGTTATTTTATTTTAAAGTAAATATTATTTATCTTAATAATCTTATTATTTAATATAAGTAATCTATATATTATATTATCTTTAAAGCCTATTAAAATATAATATTCTACTCTTTTATCTAGCTTCTTTAATCTTTATTATAATAGATATCTTTAAACTTTTGTTAGGCCACATGGCCATGCTTGTCGATGTGCGCTGCTGCGCACGGACCTAGATTGATGACTGCTGATGGCAGCTGCTGACAACTGTCAGAAGTTGTAGGTCATCATCATCTACATATAGCTTAGCATACAAACCTTTAGTTGTAGTTGGAATCCAACCACGTTCATACCACTGCATCCAGTCCCATCCTTGCCCATCAACTTTTATATTAATAATTCTAATATTAAATAGATTTAATTACTATTTATAGACTATCTTAAAGAGTATAATATTTAGTATTAAGTAAGAGCTTTAATTATATAGATAGTTAATTATCTTAAGAATAATAAGTTAATACTTCTAAAGAATATATCTTTTAAATATTATAGGTAGTAGCTTATCTTTAATATAATAGTTAAAAGATTCTATTAGACTATTTAATTAGTATTACTTAATCTTTAAAATATATATCTCTATCTCTTTTATAATATATTAATATTTAAAGATCTTATTAAGAATCTCTTATATATTATTAAAATATATTAGACTATACTTCTATTATTATAGTTCTTAAAGTTTAAATATAAAGATAAATTCTTAAATATATTAGTAGATCTTTTCTTAAGATAGAATCAGCTTAGTTTTACTATATTAATTATAGTTATTAATTATTATAATTTAGTATTATTTATTATTTAGGCTATTAATATATAATCTAACTATATTATAATAGATAGTATTATTAATATACCTCTCTTTAAGTAGTTCTCTATAGTATAATAGCTCTATTATTTATTCTTAAATATAGGGTTTATATAAGTAAAATTATTAGACTTTCTCTATTCTATCTATAATCTCTTAAAGCTTAGTAATATTCTCTTTATCTAGATAATTTATTCTTTTATATTATAGATATACTTTATTATTAATTATATAAGATATAAGTACTTAGATTCTAAGATTAGTTATCTATAATATAAAGAGAATATTAAATTAAATTTCTTAAATATATCTCTCTTTTATACACTTATTATTAATATTTTTAATAGACTAATAAATATTCTAATACTCTCTTATTATTATAAACTCTATTCTACTATCTAGAAGTTATATAAGAAAGACTAGATTAACTTTAAGATTTAAGATATAGAGTATATTCTAAAGTTTAAATTTAACTTTCTTTTTATTAATAAAGTATATCCTTTTAATAATACTAATTTTAATAATATTAATATTAATTCTTCTAATATTTTAGATCTTATAATTAAAGAGGTACTATTTATAAAACTCTTTCTATTAAAAGATATAATAAGATTCTAAGCTTAAGTTAAGAATTTAGGCTTAGTAAAGAGTATAATAGTTAATTATTACTTATATTATAAATAGTCTCTATTCTTATCTATTTAATAAAAGATAAAGATAAAGCTATTACTTTTATTATTAATAAGCTTCTTATTATTTCTATTATTATAGCTATTTTAATTAGTATTATAATCTTTATAATCTAACTAACTTATCTATTTAAATCTATAGTTACTTTTAATAGATTTATTTCTTAATTTAAGATATAGCTTCTAATAATAATCTTTAATATACTCTATATAGTTATAATAGATATAATAAGATATCTTAATTATTTTAAACTTCTCTTTCTTTAATAATATATTAGTTATATTATACTTTTAACTTTATTATCTCTAAAAGTTCTTACTTAACTTTCTAACTCTATTAACTCTATCTATATATATATTTAATTTCTCTCTTTTATTATTAATCTTATTAATTAAATAACTTTTCTCTACTTTAATACTAAGAACTATAACTTTAAGAGTTAGTAATATCTCTTAATAAATTATCTAGAATATAGTTTATTAGATCTTAAAGTAATAGTTTAAACTCTTATTAAACTTAGAAAGAATAAAGCTCTTTAAAAGCTTATATTTTAGTTTAATATTATCTAATAACTTCTATATCTCTTTAATTTATTAAGAAAGAGTCTATACTTCTATCTATCTATCTATCTATTTTATTTATTTTTAGTATACCTATTAGATATAAGCTAAGTTATATTATTAATATAATATAGTTAAAAGAGATATAATAAATATAATACCTATATTTTAGAGATACTATAATAATATCTAATAATAAGAATATAATTATTATTATAGATTAATTAAGTATAGTTCTCTAATTATAAAGGCTCTTAAGTCTAATAACTACTAATTATCTTTAATATAGATTTAAGGCCTAGAATTAGTTCTAAACTTTTAAATCTCTTAACTATAGTTAAGATCTAGAATTAGTTCTAGACTTTTTAACCTCTTAACTATAGTTTAGCCTATAGCTAGCTAATAAGTTAACTTATCTAGATATCTATATATATAAGTTTATAAGTCTAGATATATAAGCTATCTACTTAATAATAATAGATATAATTAAATTATTATAATAAATAGTTTCTTAATAATAAGTAATCTATCCTATAAGCTTTAATATAATAATATACTTTAAGATTATTACTAAGAGATTATCTTAAATATATATAAAATAGTCTATCCTTTTATTATTCTCTTAAGTCTATCTCTTATACTTATCTATATTAAGACTCTTAAGTATATTCTCTATTAAATAATCTTATATAATATTAATATATATATTTAAGACTATTAAAAAGATATTATTCTTTCTTATTTCTATAATATCTAATAAGAAGAATAAATAACTCTTTAATAAAGTTAAGAAGTTTATCTTTTCTAAGTCTAATTTAGATAAATTATATAAGGCTATTAAAGGAATTAATAATATTAATAATTATAGTCTTCTAGGCTTTAAATATAGCCTATTAAAGACTATTAATATTATAGAGTTACTTAAGAGTCTGATTATTCTTAAAGAGATATAATCTAATAATCTAAATCTTAACTATCTCTTTAATATTAAGAAATACTAGTTATAACTAGAATATCTAAGAAAGATAGTTAAGTATCTTTAAAGAAGAAAGAAGAAATAGAACTAATAGTGATTTTATTATATTAATAGTTGTTCTAATAGGGTTGTAAATTAAATAGAGTTAATAGAAGCTATTTAAATAACTTATATATAAGATTCTAATTAATTAATTAATTTAATACTATAGAATTATACTATAGTTATAAACTCTTTAAGAGGGAGTCTATACTTCTATAAATATATTAGAATTAATTATTTTAAATTTAGTAAACTACTTTTATAATACTTTAATATTAATATCTTAATATTTCTTTTTAATTTAGTTTAATAAGTTTATAATAATAATTTTATTATAAAATAACTTAATATTTATATTATTAAGTATTATCTATATTATATATAGATATATATATTACTTATTAGTTTACTACTTTTATAAGATTAAGAGTACTTAATTAAAACTTTAATAAATTAATATAAGATCTTTAATATCTTTATTATAAAGTTAGAGTTTAATATTCTTAAATTATAATATATAAGACTTATATTTATTTAGTTTTAATTATAAGTTAATATTAATTAAAGATAGATCTAGCTTTTTAATAAATAGCTCTAGCTTTATAACTATAATACTTATTTAAGTAATAATAATATCTATTTAATCTTATTCTTTTAAATATTATAATAATATATTTAATTATAATAAGAATTATAATAATAATAGATTCTTATAAAACTAATATTATTATAATAATAATTATAAGCCTCTTATACTTAAGAGCTTATCTTTAACTTTATCTCTATTATTATTATTATTTATACTAACTATAAATAATAATAAATTAATATTAACTTTAAATACTTATTATATTAACTTAATATAATTATCTATACTTAATATCTTTAGCTATCTTATAATTAATTATTATAATAGAAGTTAGTATTATAATAATAAAGAAGTAGAAATATCTTATATTATTAATACTTATTATTTATTATTATTATTACTTTAATATTACTTATAGCTAATTTAAACTAAGATTAATCTTTAAAGATAGTAAAATTATTCTATAATATCCTAATTAATATTCTTTATAAGTATAAGTATTAATACTTAGCTAATTTAGTATAAAAAATAGAATTTATATAGAATTCCAGGCTTACAACCTATTAAAATAGACTGGAATAGTGCTTAATTAACTTGCTTAGAGTGCCTAGAAGAGTAGGAAGGCGCTATATCTAAATATATACAACATCTGATAATAGGAATAGCCTTATGTATAGGTACTTATAGTACACACACCGATCCCGGCTTTCAGCACTAAAGCCCTTATACAAGTTCTAGGTAGATCTTGACGAGTATATCGTCTTGGTACGCTGATGGGATATGTTCTGTATCCCTCTCCCCGAATAAGAAACCCCTTACGCACATAGCAGTTGCCTCACAGATATGGTCCAAGCACCTCCTGAGCCCGAGCCCAGACCTTCGGCTGCGCCTTCTCGCGCACCACAGGCATGACCGTCTCCTTCGGCCACGTCTCGCACCGGTGGCTGACGATGAACAACCCCCCGCTCTCTTTCTGCAGCGTGTTGATCCCCGGCTTGCCCGTCCACGGCACGCCCTTGCCGCCAAACTTGGCGCTGGTGCAGTTGAACAGCTGCCGCTGGCCCGAGACCTCGTCGCTCATGGCCAGGAGGCGGATCAGCGGGTTGAGGAAGAGGTAGACGAACCACGCCCACAGCGAGTTGGGGTCCACGTCGCCCCGGTGCACGTTGCCCGTGTTGACCCAGCCGGGCGAGGCGTGGATAAAGGTGACGTGCGGGTTGTCGGCCGCGACCTTGTCCAGCGCCGCCGAGTTGAGGTTGACGTACTGCGACTGCGCCTTGACGGCGCTGAAGTTGCCCGGCCGCTGCAGGTCGATGTCGTCGACGTCGATGCCGTTGGCCGTCTCGAACCCGCCGCCCAGCACGCTGATGACGCGCGGCGCCTCGGCGGCGCGCAGCGCGGGGAGGAGCCGCAGCACGAAGAGCAGGCGCGAGTAGTACTCGAGGCTCTGGCACACCTCGAGGCCCTCGGCCGTCTCGGTGCGCCGCCCGAACGGCGCGTAGCCCGCCGACAGGAAGAGCAGGTCGACGCGCGGCTCTTTGCTGCTGATGAGCTCGCACACGCGCCTCACCTCGGCCAGCAGCGAGATCTCGGCCTCGGTCCACACGATCTCGGCGCGCGGGTTGGCGGCCTCGAGCTCGGCGATCAACGCCGCCGCGCGCGCCGCCGCGCTCCGCCGGCCGACGAGGTAGATGCGCACGCTGGCGCCCGTGGCGACGAGGGCGCGCACCGTCAGCTGGCCCACGCCCGAGGTGGCCCCGGCGAAGACGGAGACGCGCGGCGCCGTGGCGTCGTTGATCAGCGCGTTGGACGCCTCGATTTCCGCCTGGCTGGGCATCGCGGGTGTTTGTGTGTGTGTGTGTGTGTGTGTGTGTTCTTTGTTTTCTTTGATGATGATGGTCGTCAGAACATACGAAAACAGGACTTCTGGAATATTAAAAAGGAGAGATGGCTTCTTTCTTTTCAATAAAGAGGCAGGGACTGAAAGAGGCAGGGACTGAAAGAGGCAGGGACTGAAAGGATGCAGCAGAACAAAGGCGACGAGTGTCCTTTATTAGGCTAGCATAGTGAGTGATTACGCAAAAAAGTCACCGAAGCCGTACCGGGCTTCGGGCTTGCGGGTTGCTGTTGCGCCGGTCGGTGCCGTCATGTGATTAGGTGGCAGCGCTGCGCTGGGCGGTTAAATTCGGTGGCTGAGTCTTGCGTCACGGCTGAGACTGCTGTGAGTCACTTTCTATTTGCTATTCATGACCCCAGCTGACGCTGCGTTTCGTATGTTGAAAGCAATTTACCGTTCTGTTTGGGTGACTGGCGATGTCCAGGCATACGGCCTCAAAGATGGAATACGGCATTTACCGCCTCCAGCAGGTTCCAGACGAGATTCACGTGAGCTCAGGCCATCTTCCGTCGTCAAGTGCCTGCGTTTGTAACGACCTTTCGCTACCTGCACCCTCCATGATGGTATTGTAGGGCGTCACGCCTGGCCTGAGGCTCCGCCATTTTCAATGTCGGAGGTAGTCATTGGGCCTATTCTCTCGCATGAAGCCTTGGATGACGCTGGCCGCTGTTAGGGTAGCTTCGGAGTGGACTGCCTAGTCTAGCTGGCAATTGGGACCCCCCTTGGCGCTCCTGTTTGTGTCTGGGGGTTTGTGTACTTGGTCCCTCAAGCGATCCTGACTGCGCTTTTGGCATCACGAGCGAATCCGTAGAGCCCGCCATGCTTGCCGTTTTGTATGTCAAACCTGAGTTCATTGTGATTAGCCTCTTGTAAATGTTTTTGTAGGTATGCAGCTTGACTTACGTCCGTGTGGGGAAAGTTCTTGGGAGCAAGCTTGTCCCACAAGGGAGAGTTGGCAGTTGAAATATGCACACGCTTCCACCCGTGGTCTCACAGAGGCTGTCGACTTGAGGCACGAGAGACGGAGTCCATCCACCGCAAGCTAGGATCGTTAGGTTAGCTTGATGAGATGTCCCGTTAGTAGCAGTCTGCACACTAGTCACTTTGGAGTTGGCTGCTCCGAGGAGATGCGAAAAGGTGCCTTGCGGCCTGTCGAGAACCATCTTGACACCCAACGACCCCACCTTGTGAAGGGCAAATCGGCAAGCCTTGTCGGCATAGACAAGCCGCCCTGGACATCTAGGAGACCGTGGTTGTTCTTGCGATTAAACGGGTGTATAGCACAGCAAAATCGACTTTTGGCCTTTGACACGTTCTACATCATCCTGGTTCGTGAGCACGACCTGCGTGTGAGTTAGCCCCACGTGGTTCATGTTCTTGATAGTGTTCTTTTAAAACCGAGCAAGGGCCGAGTCGGAGGTCATGGTGTAATTGCCATTTGCTCACGAATAGCACGTCTTCTGTCGTCAAACCAGGAGGGACGGCTCTTCCGCTTTTTATCTCTCGGTTGCACTGCTTCCATCGGGCGATGGCGTCGAGAGCTGTAGTCTGATACTCTCCCTCATAGCCAGATGCGGCCTTGATAATCTTGTTGATATCTTCCGCGAAGTCAGCCTTTCGATTTTAGTAATCAAGACGAACAGGCCCAGCGGCAGAAGCAGCATTGCAACCCTTGTCATAGGAGTATTGGCTCTTATGATAGGTTTGGTTGTCTAGGACATTGACATTGGTGTAACCTCGTTCGGCGAGATGTATGGCAGTGCTCAGGCCGAAGACACCAGACAGAACCGGAAGGCATTCTACCGCTCGGGCAAGACTTACTTAGAGGACAGCAAACATGGCGTCGACTAGGGACGAGGGTATCGGTGTGGCACCTGGCTCCAGACGACTTCACGAGGCGCAGTCTTGACTGCCCTATGGTGTTTGGCAACGATGGCTCTGCAAAGGCTTTTTGGGAATACATGTCTCTCGAGAGACGCAAAATTCAGCTTGGCCTTGCTAGGACCCAGTTTCAGACCCGGATGTGGAACTGACTGAGGCTAAGTTGAAAGGCTGGGAGCAGCAAGAAATTACTATAATAGACTCCCCATCTACACAAGTGGGTGGAACATTACCAGCAATCCTCTTTCCTGATAGATTCAGTTTCCATTTCCCGAAGCGCAACGATAGTTTTCCATAGGCCCGACTTTTTCTCTCCCCCGTTCAATGAGGCCGTCATTTATAATGGTCTTGTGTACTATAGTGGAAAGATCGGTCTCGACCTAGGCACTAGCAAGCTCTTCGTGGGGGACAATGTTGGCAAATAGACGACTGTAAGTAAGTGCCTGGTTCCACTCATTCCCCGGCGAGCACAGAACGGACTAAGGCTCTCTATATGTAGACTATAGCTCTCAAGTTGCTTGAGTCTGTCCTTATCATCGCTAGTAGCAACCTCTACAAGGTATTAAAGGTGATATCTGTTCAAACTAAATGCATGAAAGTTTTAAAAAAAATAACACCGGTATTATCAGGCTGATATCTTTATCACTGGCAGAAAAGACTTCGAAGCAATGAATCCCGCTTGTAAGCGAGCCTCAAAACCGTCCTTCTTCATGAAATCAGTCTAACATCACAGATACCGCTCTTGTGCCTGACCCAAAGCCTGCTCGAGTATGCGTAACGGTATCAGAGCTGGGACGCAACGCGAAGGTCGACATCGATAGTACTGAGATTTTGGGTATGTCCATTCCTCACAGTCTGAATTCAACACAGGCCAGCCATCTTTTTGAAGCCTTCAGGTCCTAGCAAGGATCTAGAACATTAATAGAGATATAAAGTAACTAGGTGATAGATAACACATCAACAAACTGACACCAATCACCTACACTTTTAGACAAGTCTATCTGGTTCTAGACCTTACTTTTATTAAGTAGAATATAGTAATAATCTAGAATATAGCTTATTAAGTGTAAAAGCTGTTAGAAGAAAGGTGGCTCCCTTAATTATATTATCAGAAAGAAAAGGCCACTGTGATGTATAGGGGTTCTATATGGTTTCAGAGTCATACAGTCAGCTTATATATCTTTATACTATATACAGAAGATTATATATATCAAGGTACACACATCGAACACCCGGCAGCTAGCATCTTAGGACAGACGGACTCCGACGGCTTGGCGGTCTTAACCGTCTCCAGCATTAGGGAGGGCGTGCGATAAATATTCCCATTGGCTCAGTTAAGAAGCCAAGCTTGCGGGATGCCGCATGGCAGGTACCGTCGCGTAGCGCATTTGCCTCCTCTTGCACGCAACTGCCTGTAGGTAAGGAGCGCCTGACCTTCACAGGTTCTATATAGGACTAACACGAGCCGACCCCCTTCCTAGACTGATGGGCACACCGCGTGCAGTGTTATGATGGTCATGTCCGGGTTATTATCAAAACAAAGGTCACAGGGTTGTTTTCGTTCCTTTGGGGCTCCAATAAATGTATTATGCTTGAGAATCAGCCAAAGGAGCTCTGCTCCATGAAAACAACACTAGGATGATTAGATTGCCCAATGAGGTTTTGCCTGCCACTTTCAGTCACGATGGTCAAACGAAGGTAAGGCTAGACCCGGAAACGATTGACAGCCTCAGATTGATGTCTCGAACATAATCAACACGCAGTCCGCAGCGTTGCCGACGTGGATTCTAAGCCGACCAGAAACCCTCCACCTGTCTTACCAAGTGTTTGAAAACTCGATGATTGCCGTAGGGGTACACGACGTCAAACGTACGGCTACACTTCTATCATGCATGGATAGCAGCAAGGTTTGGCAATTTTATCTCGGCGCTTCGCTCTGAGTGGGAGCAGCGTTCATCTGCACGGTATGGATCGGCGCTACAACAGACGGGACGGGTGACCCTTCAGCACATACTCCACCGATTTCTTGTCCATATGCAGGTATATTACGTGGATGGAGAGGTGGAGCTAGCCAAATCTGCTTATAAATAGCACTGAGATGACACTACTCGGTTCCGTTCCGTTGCATGTCATGCATACAGTATCTATCGTGAGAGATACGAAGCTCGAACTGCCCAACATCGAAACGGCTCCTTTGCACAGGGAGTGACCATGGTCATGTTCAAACTGCCAGATATCTATGGAATTACACTTCACGATGGTGCATGGTGGTGACTTGAGTCACAAGTACGATCTAGGGCGCAAGATTGGCTCAGTAGGCGACAGCGACAAAACAGCCCAAGAGGACATCTTGGTTCAGGTCTTCTCCCGTCCAATACTACGGGAAGAAGCTCGTCGGGTGGAGCCCAATCAACACATCTGGCCTGGAGCTCCGATCAACCTATTGGCTCACTCATTATTGATCATTTCTCCATCAGCGTCACCTGATTACATAGCATTTCCACTAAGCATTGATAGGGCAGATCGCCTCTCAGCAGCTTTATCGCGTACAGGTCTTGTCCAGTTCGCATTTCAGCGTAAAGGTCGGAGCGACTGCGGTTCGTGGACCACTAATGGGGAAGAGAGCTCTAATAACACTGGCCGGGATGCGGAGGAGTTGGCTGTCGTGAGTCAATACATAAATGCCTCACTCCAGACTGGCTGCATCACTCCCGCAGATATCAGTCTAGTGGAATTCTGTGGTTGCCTGGGGATCGGATCTCTCCTTGCCGCTTCCACTTCGGTTGGCATTGCATTTACCTGGCCGCCCGGCTCTGGTCCACGCTCGATCACTCTAGGCGAAGTCAACGTGACCGATAGGGTTCTACGGGAACAGTCCACCGCCCTTCTTTCGGGTTCGGAGGTGTCACTGTTTATGGTTCACATGAAATCGGGCTTGTAGCGCCATACGCTTGACGACCTTAGACCGGGGTTGTGAGGTCTCCTGTCGGTGCGAATCAGGAACCACTTAGGCTGGGAGATCTATCCCTCAGAGATGATTCATTTCGGTCACCTTTTAGGCCAGAAGACAACAGGCGGAGCACTATTGTTGGGCACGTCTTCAGAGAATCCGTTCCATATTTTGGAATACCTTGCCCCTCCTGGACATGCTATACCACGGTGTAGAGTCTGATGACTTCAATGCTTTCGTCTGATGACTTCAATGCTTTCGTCTGAAGTGATCAGAAAGGGCAAAAGGGGGTTGGCTAATCGCAGTAGACTCTCCGACCAGAAGTCATCTGCAAAACTGTCGATGACATCAATTATAAGTCTGTCCCATTAGGAACCATTCAGAGGCATAGGTATGGCGCCGTTTCATATGATATCAAGTCTGTCAGCAAGTACATGTACATCAGGCCTGCCCAATGCAACCTGGAATACCACACTAGCACAGGCACCCAACAAGATTAGATTTCACTTGATGCAATCTCGCAATGTTTGCCAGCCTCGATTAGACTCAAGTCAGGATATATTGCGAGGAAAGTAGCTTCGTAAAGGGATCTCGGCACTTAATCCTTGACTATCTCGGGCCCGTCTCTCGCACCCTTAGATCTTGCGTCCAAGCCCCAGAGGCAACCATCGGAGGCGGTACTGCAGAATCTTGCAATGACTTTACCATAGGCCCGTGTGCATCTCTGGTGTTTGATACATCTAATCAACCAGAGGAAAGCAATGTCTCGGTATAAGCTTGTGATGTCATCTCTGGCGATTCCGATTGCCAAATACTGGCAGGATACTACGCACTTATATTGACCATGCAATGGCTCATCAGTCAAACCGTGCGCAGTCGTAGCCGAGATGCGAATTAGTGCGACCTATATATGGCTTTTTGAAATTTCAAGGTCCATTGTACCAAGTCCTGCTCGGCGTTAGGAAAACAACCGAGTCAAGAGTCTGGCCATCCAGGGTCCATGGGGCCAAATGTCTGATGAGATGGAGGCTAGCCATTTCCGTAAGACTTAGTTCAATCTAGTATGATGTATGCATTGGCATTCTGTGGTGTAGCCATGTTTGCGACATAATCTCCTCTTTGTCCTCGTGCACAAATACAGTACAGTATTAGACTAGAGAACTTAGCAGGCTCGGTGCAACCACAGGGTGGCATCATTAGATGGTTCTTCATCAAAGTAACGTACCATATTTCAAGAATTGAGTCCCAGTTCGAGGAGCTACGTTCCGAGCAGTGAGTAGCCGGTCGTTGACTACTGCGTGCCAGGTGTCTGGGTGGCCAGGTCAGGACCAAGACCAATGTATGGACGAGACTGGTTAAGGCAAGCCCCTTGGTCGTAGGCCACATTTAACAATTCTTTACATACATAACGCTAACCCTTATTCTCTTAATAAATAAGTTCATAGCATTATAATTTTGATAAAGCTTTTTCTATTATAAACAAGATATAATTAAGATATTTTAAAAAAATATTTTTAAAATTGTTAACTCTCTTAATACTTTAATATAGAATATATTCATAAACTAGTTCAGAGCTTTAAGATATACTTTATTCTATCAAGAAAATATTCATACTTTATTTTATATTTGTTTTTCAATAAGAATTCAATAAGCTTTCCGAATTGGGTATTTTTATTTTTCTGAGTATTCTTTTACACTAGTAATCTAAAGTTTAAAAAGTGGATTTTCGGTGTATCAAGGTGGCCCACGACGAGCGGTGGTCCGGGATGTGGGTACTTGCCTTATCTATCACTCGAGTGAAGCAAACATAGATGGTACCAGACTCCTGAACAGGTTAAATGAGAAGGATGGATTTCAAGGGACGAGAGGACTAGCTGTGAATATCTCTTCTCGTCCAGTCACTCTGCCATTCGTGCGAGGACCGTTCGGTCTGTCGTATGACTCGTATGGGCCAAACACATAGGTATCTCCATACTATTCACAGAAGACACATGGAGATGCCACTGGCTTCTCACTGACAAAAGAAAAGATGGATGGCGTTGTCCCGGTCGAGAAGATAGTTGCGGACATGTCATGCCATGACCCTCGAACGTTCACCCCTACCCTAGACTGTCGCCCCCACCCTAAGCCGTCAAGTTCCTGCAGTATCAGACTTTGTAAAGGGCGTTGATCTCATTGTCTGGACGATGGTGTGTCACGTACTAACAGGATGGACATTCCTGTTGGGGCCGGACCCGGCGAGGGGGTGGGACCTTGGGGCTTAGGGGTGGCCCCCTCCCCCCCTAAAACTACTACTGTGCCCACCCATTTTCTGTGTGAACTTCCCGTCTGCTGAATTAACTCGTTGTAGCACTCGATATGATGGTACCTCTGCTCCTGAGGCATATGTTACTGAACAATTGGCAGCCCTCCCGAGGGTATAAAAAGGCGCCCTGGGAACGAATTTCGATGATTTCCTACATTCTCGACACTAGACATCGACGTCTACGCTGATCATCATATTCGACCAAGCCATCCATCCAACCATCCTGAAAACCCTTTGGCATCGGGAATACCGTGTCCACCCGCCCGACCGCGAGCCCAGCCACGCCGCTATCACCCTGCGAAGTTCGATCGATCTACTCATCACACACCAGACTCTTCCGCAAAGCACGAGAGCAGAGTGGATAAGAGATGGAGCAAGATCGGGAGAATGTGGGCAATGCCACGGAGGCTACATTCTCTGGTTTTGACCTCCGACATACTGAGGGCCAGTTGGCTGCTTGGGAGGCCATCTGTCGGGGCGAGTTGAAGCAAGCAACCTGGGAAGATGAGGCATCTATGGATTGGATTTGGACAAATCAACCCAGAAAGGTTCTGGCTTGGAGAGTTAGTTGGATGTCGGATCGTGGACGCGTCGACTTATCGTCACTCCCTCCACCTCCCACCTCTCCCGAGGATTCCCCCCAGGAAGCACTCGACTGGCTCGTCCAGGCTGGCGACATTGATGAGGCATGGGCCAAGGTCTATCTACTATCCGATATCGACGAAGAGAAGGCAATGCAGCAGCTGCATCTTGACCTCATCGAGGGGCGCAAGATATATCTGAGCGAGGCGCCATGGACCGATTACCATGACTGGTGTTGCCCGTGCGAAATGGAGCCCAATTACCCACGACTTCACTATATTACAGATGGTCAAGTTGGCGAGGTTGTTGATAGCAGCTTCGCCGATGACTTCGCCTGGAAATTCGGGTATGACCATAGCCGCCCCTTAGCCAATGTCGAGGACTTGGAGATGGTCCTGGAAGATGAGCGGGTGCTCGAGGCTGGCTCAGGTTTTCTCTTCTATTGATTGAATGAGGACGATGAAGCTATCGAGACTGGCGAATAAATTGAGGGTGAAGGAGCTAGCGGTGTTCACTTAGAGTACATCTTGGAGATAGGTTTCCGCAGAGTGTGGAAATGGCAGCACCACGGATAGACAACCCAAAGAGGATGATGATCAGTTCATCGGGAGGAGTAAGCGATACACAAAAGAAAAGGAAAAGCTTCGCACTTTGGAAGGGTATATCATGGATACCTGACCCATAGAGCAGTTGGAGGATACAAGTATACGATGTTCCCCAATACAAAATACTGGGATTATTATACAGGAATACTCTGTGTTTTGAATCTTTACTGAGATCCCAAGTCTTGAAAATACAAGGAAACACGTTTATCCCAAAGAGGATACCGCTCTTCAGTACCGGAAAGATTGTGTTGTCCGGTCTGTATGACAATACAATGAAATCCAACCCGGCACCGCGACTGGCACGGACAGAAGTTGATCCCTATGTAGACAAGCGAGAAGTATGGCATGATGAAAAAAAAAAGACCTTACCGTATATACAAGGAGATTGTGACGCTGACTTATCTGCTGATCAGGATGGCAGTGGGTCTTGTGGAACGGACGGCGCTCGCGCTTAGCCGTGCTGTTAGTTCTTGATGACGCAGTCTTCCCACAGACATATTTTCAGAAGATCAGCACCTCATCAGAAAGAGTCTATTCAGTTCTGGCGCCATTTTGTATTATTGATCCTCTCAACATTTCAAACTCATCTCCAGTCGTAGAGCGTCAAACTCAACGTGGACGGGACAACAGAGCTCATGAATACCCAATATCTTTCCCCAATCGACAGTTTGTATAGGTTTTCGAAGCATATCGACACGCGAGGGGTGTTTGGACTCTGGTGAAGCAATCTCGACAACTTGGCTCCATTGCTGAGCACCTTTCATCCTCCCGGTGCTTGAGTGACTGATGTTCGTCAGGTATGGAGCCAAGTTGGTGAGATTGTTCACCATAGTCCAAACACCTCTTGCATATTCGAATGTTACCAATCAAGGACTTTACAACGACCTCGATGATCGTTGGCAGCCTCACGGTATATGCCTGGCATGACAAGCAATCGCTCAGGATATTTTAACGTCTTCCTATCGATTACGATTCCAGCGTTAATATTATTAGAACCTTTCTAGAGCCCTCTAGTACTTAGATAACAGCTTGTATGGATGTCTTTAAGGCTGCTAACTCTAACACTCACAGCCACTTCAGTAAAGTGGTCAGGCCTATATGCAGCTACAAATTATGCAGGTATGGCAGTGGTCAGGTCCACCCACGCATGTGAACTAAAGTCGTCCGTTTACGGTAGTTGCCTCGGTTGCGCTAGAAAATAGCTTCCATACAACCTTCATTCCGGTGCAACTAGAGGTGTCATGTACCCGTCACGCGGCCCGGAGAACCAGGATAAACAACAGCCAGGCTCCACTCGATGTGAAACTTAAAAATTGCCTTCCTGATCTGATAGAGAGAAAAAATACGTCACCATGGTGATACCAAGGTGTTAAGGGTTCATCGTCTAATCACTGTCGAAACAAATCTTTGATGGAACTACATTCCCGTCAAGACACCAACACTTCCAGACAAAAACATCCGGAGTCGATAATGGCACAGTCAATGCGAGCCTGGCAAGCCGCCCAGCCGGGTGCATTCAAGCAGACGCTCAAGCTCCACGATGACGTCCCGCGCCCCTCGGAGGCAGAGCTCAAGGACGGCCAGGTTCTCGTCGAGGTCGCCCGCGCGGGCCTCAACCCGGCCGACTACAAGGTGTGCGAGATCGGCCTCGCGTCACGGGCCATCACCTCGTTCCCCAAGACCCCCGGCATGGACCTCAGCGGCCACGTCGTCGCCGTGGCGCAGGGCGTCACCGACGTCAAGGCCGGCGACGCCGTCATCGGCCGCGCCAACCCCAAGCAGTCCCCCGGCTCTCTGGGCCAGTTCCTCGTCCTCGACCGCGACGCGTACGCCCCGCTCCCGGCCGGCTTCGACCTGGAGCAGGCCGCCGGCGCGCCGACCGTCGCCCTGACGGCGTACCAGTGCATCGCGCCCTACGTCAAGCCCGGCGACAAGGTCTTTGTCAACGGCGGCTCCGGCGGCGTCGGCCTGTCCAACATCCAGGTCGCCAAGGCCCTCGGGTGCCACATCACCGTGACCTGCTCCACGGGCAAGGCCGACCTGTGCAAGGGCTTCGGCGCCGACGACGTCATCGACTACCGCAAGGAGGACGTGCTCGCCGAGCTCAGGAAGCGCGGGCAGGTGTTCAGCCTCTGCGTCGACAACGTCGGCGACTCGCCCTCGAACCTGTACGCCTCGTGCGGCAGCTTCCTGCTGCCCGGGAGCAAGTTCGTCTTTGTCGGCGGGCACGTGTCCGCGGCGAGCATGGGGAGCATCCTCAAGACGCGGCTGCTGCCGTCCTTCCTGGGCGGCGGCTCGCACCAGTTCGTCTTCTTCCTCACCGAGAACAAGCGCAAGGACTTGGAGACGGTCAGGGACTGGATGGCGGAGGGGAAGCTGAAGGTGAATGTAGACTCCACGTATTCGTTCGAGGAGGCGGATAAGGCCATCGAGCACGTTAGGAAGGGGGCTGCGGGCAAAGTTCTTGTTCGTGTGCAAGAGAAGTGATGAATTTTCTCATATTCCCATATATCTAGCTATAAAACACCCCTTTTCCCCAAAATCCAAAATATGCAATCGCTCAGCCTCCGGTGAATGACAGTGTGATGCGCCCGTACCCCCAATGCAAATGCAATGACCAAATCCCAATAATGAACCCTCACGGGAAATGCTTCAGCCCCTCTTCGGCTCAATGACGTGCTCTTCTACATCCACACCCACCTTCTTGTTCCTCCTGAACAGGGCACCAAACTTGCTGAAGCCCCTGGCCATCCACCGATACGAGATGACGAAAGGCGGCGCGACAAAGTGCACCGCAGCAACGAACCACGCGTCGGGGAAGATGCGCACGACGATGCCCCAGGGCAGGCTCATGGCCGCGATGAGGATGGAGATGGCCCACTGGGCGCCGTTGAGGCCGTTCGGGTGGATGTCGAAGACGCGGTTGCCGACGAAGACGATGGCGATCTGCAGGCCGATCATGATGGCGTTGATGGCGAGGAAGAACCAGTTGCGGTGGACGCCGGCGAAGACGTTGAACTTGTTGTCGAGGCGGCGGCAGTTGAGCTCGTTGAAGATCTGCATCCAGACGAAGGCGTTGAAGATGACGGTGTCGAGCTGCAGCTTCTGGTCCGGGTCCGAGAGGTCGTAGCGCAGGATGGACCCGCCGGCGAAGTAGAGGACGAGGATGACGACGAGCTGGAAGATGGACTGGCCCGTGATCATCTTCCACATCTATGGACAGCCGGGTGTTAGTGGGTTGTTCTCGTATCGATTGTATGCCGATGAATAGTGCTACTTACGTTCATGGTGATCAGCGGCGCAGACTTGGGCTGAGGTGGTCTGTCGAGGATAGCGTCGGTTGGGGGATCAGTAGCCAGAGCCAAGGCGGCCATAGTGTCCATGATCAGGTTGATCTACAGATGGTCAGTACTTATATATATGCATCAAATACCAAAGAACCAAATCTTACCCATAGCAACTGAACAGCCTTGAGCACAGGCTCCATCTTGGGGTCGTACATGGACGTGACAAACGACAGAAGAACAGCAGTGATGTTGACGGTGATCTGAAACTGGAGGAACTTCTGCACGGCGTCGTTGACAGCGCGTCCCCACTTGAGCGCAGTGACGATCGAGGTGAAGTTGTCGTCCATTAGGATAATCTCCGACGCCTCCTTGGCCACCTCGGTACCGGAGATGCCCATGGAGAAGCCGACATCGGCAGCCTTGAGAGCGGGAGCATCGTTCGTGCCATCGCCGGTGACAGCGACGGTCTCACCCAGGGCCTTGAGACGAGTGACCAGGATGCGCTTGTCTTCGGGTGACGAACGGGCAAGGACCTGCAGGCGCGGGATGACCTCGTCGAGCTGCTCCTCGGAGAGACGGCGGAACTCGGGGCCTTCCATGACGATGCCGCCCTCGGTGTAGATACCACACTCGGTAGCGATAGCCCGGGCGGTGTAGATGTTGTCGCCAGTGACCATGCGCGTCGTGACACCAGCGCGCACGGCATTCTGCACCGCCTCGGGAACGCCGGGGCGGACAGGGTCTTGGATGCCGACGACGCCGAGCAGGGTCAGGTCGCTCAGGTTCTCCAGGTCGGGATCCTGCTCAAAGTCCTTGTACACGAGGCCGATGGTGCGCAGAGACTTGCGGGCATACGAGGCGATGGTCTCCTCCACGGACTCGCGGTTCAGGGGCTCGGCGGCACCGGTGGCGACGTTGATCTGGGTGGAGCAGAAGCCGAGGACGATCTCGGAGGCGCCCTTGATGAGGAGCCTGTAGCCGGTAGGTATCCTGATGACGGCGGCCATGTACTTCCTGCTCGAGTCGAAAGGGATGATGTGGACCATTTGCTCGTTGGATCGGGCTTCGGCGAGAGACTGCAGGCCGAGATGGTCCCGGGCGAGCTCGAGCAGCGCCGTCTCGGTCTTGGAGCCGATGAAGGTCTCGACACCGTCCTGCTGGCCTTGGAAAGCGGTCGAGTTGATGGCGACGGACTGGAGGATGAGCTGCTTGACGTCCTGGCACAGAGTGGAGGCCCATGACGTGACGTCGGATGCGAATTCCGAGATGCCAAAGAGGCCGGCGACGACCGTCATTTTATTCGTTGTCTATGCGAAGTCAGTCTCGTCTCTCACAGTACTGCTTCATCCACCAGATATGAAGATATATACCAAAGTTCCGGTCTTATCTGAGCAGATGCTAGTAGCATTACCCATCGTCTCACACGCCCTCAGCACTCGTACAAGGTTGTTCTCCTTGAGAAGACGCGTCGTGGCGAAAGCGAGCGCGAGCGTGACGGCGAGTGGCAGGCCTTCGGGCACGGCAACGGCGATGATGGCGATGGCCACGACCAGGAGATCGACGAAAGTGGACGCCTTCTCCTCGGGCAGCCGGTGGTCGTTGGGAAGGTTGGCGCAGAAGCGAAAGAGCAGGATGAAGAACATGAGCACCGAAGCACCGCCGCCGAGCTTCGCAATAGCGATGGCCAGACCCTCCAGCTTCTTCTGCAGGGGCGTCGACTCGATGTCGGTGCGAACGGACATCATGATACGGCCGAAGCTGCTGTGCACGCCCACCGACGTGCAGAGGAACGTGCCCATGCCCTCGATAACCCTCGCGCCTGAGATGATAAACGGGTCCATCTCCTTGCCATCCTTGTGCTCCGGCTCAAAGACCTTGGCGCCAGCAGTCTTCCTCAGAGCGTCCGACTCGCCCGTCGCAGACGACTCGTCGCACTTGACGCCGTGACCATCGATAAAGATGCCGTCCACGGGCACCAGGTCGCCGGGCTCGAGGTACAAGACGTCGCCGACCAGCACGTCGGCGACGTTGATCATCATGGACCTGCCCGACCGCAGGACCTTAACCTCCCTGTCGTCCTTCTTGGTGTTGAGCCGCACAAACGCCTTCTCCTTCTGCCAGTCGTTGTGCGAGGCGACGACGACGACGATCAGCACGGCGGCCAGGATGGCCACGCCCTCGACCCAGTCGACGGGCGTCGGGTCCCCGGGCGCGTGCGCGACGCCAAAGGTCTCGTAGAGGCCCAGCGCCAGCGAGATGGTCCCGGCGACCGTCAGCAGCAGCAGCACGGCCTCCTGGAAGGTGATCCAGGCCAGCCGCCAGATGGACTTGGGCTTCTTGGGCGGCAGCTGGTTCCGGCCGTAGACGCGGGCGCGCTCGGCGCCGGGCGTCGCCGGCCCGCCGGAGGAGTGGTGGAGGTGGTGGTGGTGGTGACCGCCCGCGGCGTGGGCCTCGACCTCGTCGACGCTGAGGCCCGTGGTGACATCGGTGTGCAGGCCGCGCGCGATGCCCTCGAGCCCGCCGAGGGCGCGGTAGGCGTCGAGCGACTTTGGGTTGAAGAGCTTGTTGAGCTGGCCGGGGCTGTAGTCGAAGGGGTTGTTGGCGACCTGGAAGTCGGCCTCGGTGCCCGGGTCCGGCGTCAGGGCGGACATGAGGTCGGATTTGAGGTCATTGTCCTTGGGCGAATCGGCCTCGATGAAGCTCGAGGCGGCGGTCGTGCCGCTGGTGGTGAGGAAGGATGGCCCGGCGGAAGCGATGGTGTTGGCGTCGCTCAGCGATCGTTGGCGCGGGTCCTGCAGCGCCTTTGGGTCGAGGAGGTTGTTGGCCATGACGGGATGGCCCACTCGAGGGTATATGTGTACGAGTGTGTGTGTGTGTGTTCGCCGGCTGCAGTTGGGATTGGGATGAAGGAGGTAAAGGGAGGGAACACGATGCACACACGATCCGCTGAGCCTGATCCGGTGGTCCCGATGTCGATGAGGCTTCGGCGGTTTATATCAGGACGACCCAGGGAGGGAGCCTTTGGAGAGGTTGGGAGGACAAGACATTTCGTCACATTCAAAGTTTTAATTGTTGCGACAACTCCTTTCTGGGCAGTCAGAGCGCGGTAACGGCAGAAACCCGCAAACCCCATTTTTCGCGGTCTCCTCTATCGCCGCGGGCGTCTTGGCCGGAAGGTCAGGCATGTCATTCGGTGCTACACTATGCTCCCTGGACATGGGCAAGACGGGGTAACAGACAGCAGTCTGCAGATCCGGACCCAATCATGGATCGACACTAGGGGCCAGAAAGCAAGGGCAGAAGATTGGTAACTGTGACAGTTGTCGTCTGTAAGCGAGCGCTAGGGGAGGGCTGTGCAAGCAAGAAACAGATCTGGCTCGCAAAACATAAGTGGATGGGCATCTGGAGGCGGCGCAAGGCGAGATGGGATTGGCATGAAACATGAAACTTTTGGCAATGCCGGAATGGGGTCGCCTCCGTCTCCGATTACATAAACACATCGCCAAGCCAGCACATCCCACTCCAGCTGAGGGATTTCGTCCCAGCCAAGGCGAGGACCCCGGCATCTAATCTAATCTGATGTATGGGACGAACGCCAGATTGGCATCAACCCCACGCCGGCGACACTCCCTGAATGCCCTGCTTCCGATTACCTAAGCGGAGGTGGCCTTGTCTGATATCGAAAAAGTAATGGTGATGACACCTTGGATGCGGTGAGCACATGGCACAGGCTGCACGCTGGGGTAAGCACCGATGCTTCCGGCCCAAAACCTAAACAGCAACATCGGGTAGAGTTGCTGGTCGTGCGACCTAGTCGATGTCTTTTTGCATGATCGGCACCTATCCTGAGGATCAGGGTCCATATCGAGAGACTCGCTGTTTTTGTTGATGTGGACGCAGAAGCCCCCTTTCCATGATCACGGATAGTGGGATTCATTGCACAAGAATGCGTAAACTCGGAGCGGTAGAAATGGTACATCAGTGATAAAGTCAAGTAGTTACAGTGTATCCCGACGTTAGGCATCTCATGAGCGCATCACCAGGTGCGCAAATTCATTGACTAGGGTTGAAAACAAACATTCTTGTTAGTTGGGTCTGTTTCGTTTCGTTTCCAGTCGCTTTTCAACCCATGGCGATCCACTTACAGTCAATCTGGCCGTCTCCATTCTGATCCGCTTCTCGGATCATGACATCGAGCTCGACATCCGTGAGCTGCTCGCTCTCGCTCATCGATGTCATGACGTGGCGCAGCTCTTCCGCCGTGATGAAACCGTCGTTGTCGCGATCGAACACGTTGAAGGCCTCCCGGAGTTCCTGCTCGTGGTCTGCTTCCTTCATTTTCCATGCCATCATAGCCAAGAACTCTTTTGTGTTGGAGAAAGGATGAAACACGTCAGCCACAAAGATATTCTCCGAGACCCTCGTTCTGTTATCACGAAATTGCCACCACCGACCCATGCTTGCCGAGTGAAACGTACCGTCAAAGTCAATCGTGCCATTGTTGTCCGCATCGGCTTCGTTGACCATGTCCTGCAGCTCCGTCTCGGACGGGTTGTGGCCGAGTGATCGCATGACGATGCCGAGCTCCGCGGCGGTGATTTTGCCTAGTTTTTTTGCGGAGGTGGCTGAGCATGTCGTCCTAACGGTTTTTGTACGGCCGAAGAATCCAAGACCTACCATCGCCGTTCTTATCCTGTAGCAAACCCAAATTAGCCTCGTTCAAGTCTTGGGATATGTTCTGGACACAGAGGAGCCAAGACTTACAAAGATAGAAAACACCTCGTGAAACTCCGAGACCTTCTTGTCCTCGAGACCTGGAGCCTCTTGTACCGAGTCGATCTGCATTAAATCAACCTCCTGTCGCGGACGTCAGTGTCTCGATGTGGAGCCCAGATGGAAGAGCAAGCAAGCGTACCATTTCGAGTCTCAAGATGAAGGCATATGCTGACGAAATCTGAAGAGGGCAATGCCGAGGAGTCAGGATAGGCAAATGAGAAGCATCAGGTTGTTGAATTATACTTTAGACGTTCGCACTTGTGGGGCTCCTGCCGACCGCGCACTAACAGGGAGTGGTGTATGGAATGGGAGGAGAGATGAAGGGTGCAGATGGCCATGTCCGTTCGGAGCTAATTTTGCACGTAGGTCCAAGCTTTATCATGTACGAAGTATTAAACACGCGGCTATCGTCTTGCCAAGTCAGGTAGAGGACTCCAAGTCGGATATGCGGCATTGGTGGTGGGCTTTGTCAAATAGTTACAATCTGTCGTGGCATTGGCAGCTATCAAGATGAGCACTGGACTAGACCATAGTGTTATAATGTCCTGTCTTATCTCTTAACGACTCGGGCCGAGGTTGTTATTGAGTTTTAATACTTTCCTCATCTTGAAAACAGACTCCTGCCTACAAAACCTACACAACAATGATATGATATCATGTCCACCAGACAGAAACACAACCTCTTACGCCTCGACCCATGCCACCAACCACGTGCTCCGTAGAGAATTGCTTTTATTACACTCACTCATGAATAATATCAAGATCCTTCTCCCTGTCCCCCTTCTTCACCTTCCATGCCGCGCTGTGGCACAGCCGAATCAGCTCCATGACAAACTCGCCCACCTCCTGGATCTGCTCGATCTCGGCCTTGGACAAGCCCTTGGTCGGGATCCGGCGCGTGATGCTGCTGATGGAGGCCAGGATCTGCAGGTCGTCGTCGGCCGGGTTGCCGACGGGGTGGATGAGCACGTTGACGAACAGCGGCATGGTGGCGACGGGCGCGTAGTGCGACACGACCCAGACCGACTCGTCCTTCCAGAAGTCGACGACGGCGTGCAGGAAGCGGAAGATGGAGCGGCTGGCCTCGAGCGACAGGTCGGCGCTCGAGTGCACGGCCGTGTGCAGCGCGTCGGGCAGGTTCTGCTTGAAGTCGCCGCACTTGCGCACGGTGATGTGGATGTAGATCATGGTGAAGAGGTAGTCGAGCTGCAGGTTGATGGAGCGCGTGCGGTCCTCGAGGCTCATGTCCGACGACCACGGGCCCGACGGGCTCTCCGGGACGGACAGCTTGGGCCGGTAGCGCGGCTCGATCGACAGGCGCCACTCCTCGAGCTCGTCGTCGAGCTGGCGGACCGTGGAGAGGAGCTCGCCCTCTGTGTACCTGAACGCCCGCGGCGAGCACAGCAGGCGGCTCGCTTTCTCCTTGAACTTTGCCAGTTCCAGGTCTCGCGACTGGTTGTACCACGACGGCGGCTGGTTGATCCACTCCCCCGGGTCGCTGACTTCGCAGTAGTCTTCTGTGAGGATGGGCGGGATTCCCGTGCGGATCGAGGAGTCCTTGTCGAAGCAGTAACAAATCCAGAATAACCTCCGGATGTGGAAAGTCGTCATCTGGTCAAACGTCGGGATGTGCTGAGGGGCGAAGGGTAGCCTGTCTAGCAGGACATGGCCGCCGAGGGAGCAGACGGTACGGCATGCGCTTGTGAAGACCACCGACGCTTCTCGGCATCGTCCTTGCATCTTGTGATATGCCCACTAGATTGGGATGTCAGCCTTCTGGTCACAGAACTACCATCCTTTCTGCCAGGAACTCACCAATAACAGGTTGGCTTGGAGGCAATCCAAGTTCACTGCGCCGTTCAGGACAAACAGCAGCCGCTTAGATTCCAGCGCGCACGCCTTCGCCTCGGGGATAAAGTTCGTCTGCGGTGCGGCCTCGCCTAGGCGGTTGATCAGAGCAAACATAGCCCAGAGGCAAGCTTCCGCTGATGTCCGACTCCTCGGGTCGTTCTGCCTCGTGTCGTACGCCCTTGCAATCGTTCCCTCGATGAGATCCTTGTCGAGGATGGGAAAGACCAATGAGGTTTTCGACCTCAAGAAGACACCTACCAGGTGTCTGCATGCGAACTCGGGGGGTAATATCCTCGAGCCCGCGGGGAGGATGGGGACGAGCTCCGGCTTGGTGCTGACGGGGTTGTCGAAGATCTCAAACTTCTCGAGGAAGATGTCCTGCCCGGCGCCGTACGAGATCCACTCCTGCCCCCGTGACGAAAGGATGCCTACGCCCTTGAAATACCAGTTGTTGCCGAGCTGGCACCTCGACAGCTTGTGCGTCGAGTCGCATGGGCATGCCTGCGGCGAGTGCGACTGGGACTGTATGGAGTCGGTAGGCAGGGTCCAGATGGTGTTGGACGGCTGGTCGCCCGTGATGGCGGTCAGAGACATGACATCGTACGGGCTGTTGTTGGTCGACGGCCGCGGCGATACTATATCGGAGCGAGGCGTGACGCCGGCGGACGCCCTCCGCGCGGACTTGAGGGCATCCTCGAGCTCTTCCACGCGGTGGGACAGCTCCTGGACGATGTCGGTTGTGGTTCTGGCATTTTCTCGTTAGGCGCCAGACACACTCGACCGTTTAGATCTCCGGATAGGGCACACCGGGGGTGTTCTTCAGGTGCGAAGATTTACCTCTTATTCGGGTCCTTGGCCGCCGCCGCCCTGTCAAAGGTGCACTCTCGACCCTGGTTCTTACACCAATCGCAGGGCTCGCCGGGCGTCGTGATTAAGCACTGGATCTATACGAGCCATTCCCCCTTGTTAATCCGATGGACAATTGCTCCGTTTCGTTTCATCGTTCTCGCCCGGTCGTCCCAACATACCTTGCGCTTGTAGCATAGGTCGCATGCGCGTCGCGGAGGCATCGCATCTGCTGCTGCATCTCACGCTCTACGGAGTACACACACAGACAGACACAGACACCAGGGATGTTGACGTAAGCGGAGAAAAACGGGAAAGCCAGCAGCGCAAAATCGGGGGTCAGACAGGCAATAAAAGGGAACAAGCAACAAGTGCATCGGAGTGGGCGGAGCTCCGAGAATTTTATGCGCTAACTAAGGCACATCTGTGCACAGGCCCTGCACAGAGATGGCATTAAATGGCCAGCTCCCGCGCCTTGGTTGCATCGCCAAGCCCAACGGTCTCCCTTCTTAAGTGAGCCACGTGCCCAATCTTGCCCCGGTTAGCTGTCTAAGAAGCAAGAGGAATCCCTGCTGAGAGCTGAAAGCAAGCCTCACCGCCGACGCCAAGGCCGAGGCCGATGTAGTGAGACTTGAACCGTTGGGCGGGAAAAGAAATGACCAAAGTTGATCAGTCATCAGTCGTCAGTCATCAGTCACCAAAAGCATCATACTACTCTTGTCTGTCGAAGACAACCCCGTTTCCGGAATCGGCCTTGTCATGCAAAAGCAAAAGACGACGGACGAGCTTTCTTGGTCTTTCTTCTCGCTTCCATCGGGACTTGAACCACGGCCTCCATATGATGCTCATTTCCCAGCGTCGACGAGGTTGGGATTGGGGGTTGACCACTGACTCTCTAGAAAAGTGCAGATCCACGACGCTGTACACCTGGAAGTTTCTTTGGCCGTCTCGCTGCCATTTTGCACCCTCAGAGCATGCCTCAATGAGGTTAGATGCCACGTATGCCGGAGCTCAAGCCAGCCCAGACAGGACGACGATCTTGGCCAGCTTACTTTCTTGGAGCACATCCGGTGGTGGGACTGCCAGAACTCTTTACGTTCCCTCGAGATGTGAACCAGACTATGTGGCCGTGGATTAAAAGATAGTGTGCGCCTCGCTTTCCAAGAAAGCCAGGACGTCCAAGGTGGTTGTTTATCAGCCCGCTCCTTCGTGCTACAACAAGGACTGACGACAAGTCTCGTTGTCAGGCATTGGCCAGTGTTTGCGTACACGGATACCTGAGGATTCGATTGCGCAGTCCACGGTTGGATAAGCGTTCACTGAGTCCTGTTCAAACCGATACGTGAAGATGATTTCGGCCGACTGTTCGTTGACTAGTGGACGCACTTTCGGGACGTGGCCGCCCTAGTGTGATGGTGTATCACATTCTGATGACGTTGTTCGACGCTTGCCGACCATTGTGCAGCGTTGTATAACCTTGCTATGCCTTGCACCACGAGAAGTCAAATCCATAGACTCCTGCTCATGGAATATGCAATGTTAGTGTTGTGCACTTTAAGCTCATGAATCATGAATTTACACTTATAGAGTCCTAGAGCAGGATACGCTGAACTTGATTGAGTTCTATCCCTTTCTTCCCCCTCTGGACTTTTGCTCTTCTTCTGTATTTTAAATGCTAGCTTCCTTGTAGATTTGAAGGGAAGTGAAATCTATTGAATAACTGGTAGTGTCTAGGTGGGATATAGCTGTTGCCTACCCTAGTAAAGAAGATTAATAGATGTTTAGAACTTAGAGTGCTGACCTGCCTGTGATCTTATGAAGTATCCTATGATCGACTCTAGCAAGGAAAATGGAATCCAGCTATTGACGGTAAGAAGACTCTTGTATGAGACATGTATAGTAAGAAGATCTAATGCGTGAAAGGGTTCTTGAGTATTGTAGATGTGATTGCTTAAGTTGACCTGCTGCATGTCAGGTTACTATAAACATGTATTTAATGGATTCTGTACTGCCCACGCTAATACCGGAGGCTTCAAGGCCGTTCACAAGTTATTATATCTACTTTGGTTGAGTCCTTATATCTGGGATAATACCGCAGTAATGCTTTAGCCCTCCTCAGAGAGGAGCTGACCAAGTTATATGCAGCTATGCTGAGACTTCTTTGCGGTGTGAGGGGGTACTACGCAAGCAGTTGAGGTGGTCTACCAAAATCTCTTTCAGGTCGCTGCAGGCTTATCACTAGACGGCTACGCACCTGCCCGCTCAGCACAGCTGAAGGAACCCGAGGCGATCTGGATCGGGTTGTAGTATTCAATAATGACCATTACATTTAGCGCTAGGCCATCGTAGATGACAACCCTGCCCAAAATGTCGAAAGATTGGGATTCGATATGATCACAGCTCTCGAGCAAGGAGCGCAGGGACTATATGAAATTGCGTTTCATGTGGCATGACTGATTTCTATAGTTTCTAGTCGGCTTAGATTTCTTTGGGTCTCTCTTCAGCTTGCGATGAGCAATGGCATTGAACGATATTGAACGTATCAAAACAGAGGCGAATACTCGGTCGGCTCCGTCTAAAGTCTGGAAAGATGGCAAAAGATTCGTTCTATTTTGTCTGAGAGGATGTTGCGTTTGCCGCCCGTTCTGAGTGAGGACTGGAAACATGGCAAATGAACGAGCTCATAAGAATGGGAGAGATCAAGAGAATCTGAAGGCGGCGCAGGGAGTGGGCTGGCTTGGGAATAGGAAAACCGCTGCTAGTTGGGGCTGGAAACACAGGTCTGTGAGTTTGTTATCCTTGCTGTTTTGTTCTCACTTCTGTTTTTCTTTTTCAGTATGTCGAAGGAATCAATATAACTTTATTTGATCTACTCCATAGCCTGGCTGGCACGACATCTGGGTCTGGTCTGTTTGCGGGATGGAGTACTTTGTCTCGGGAAGGTCCACACCGCCGGACAGGGGCAACCGAGAGAATAATCGGGACACGAGCCAATATCTAGGGACGTGGGCCTGCAGAGATGAAACCAGCACACGCGACTGGCTCTCAGCACAAAGGTACCATGCTGCATTGATGACATTCTGCGCGGCTAGATCCGGCCTCTCCAATCTCAACTACAAGAAATTTCATCAGGGTCGCTGGTGTTCCCATTGCCGAAAGCAAGAACCGGAGGGGAACTGCTCATGAGTTGTCCAACAGCTGCAAGAGATGGACATGTCCTTGTCTTGACTGTACGTATTGTAGTCCAGCCAGGAGTGCCAGGTCAGACAAACATGCCCACCATGCATGCAGTTTGGTCGGTATCAGAGGCACCTGGCTCACATATGCTGATCCGGCGCAAACTCTCCGGCCCTGTCGCGGCAGAAGGAAAAGCACATCGGAAACGCGACGCAATTTGACGGATGGCGTCTGCCAGGAACGCCAAAGTACAAGCTTTCTGCCAAGTTTTTGCGGATGGGGACGTCATTGTGGCTGCCAAGCCGGCAGGGCTGTCCCGCATCGGGCCAAGCACAGGCAGCCACAGCGCCGAGTTTGGTGGGGCAGCCCTGAGATACAGGTGGCTTGACCCAATTGCAGCGGCCCTGGAGTTCTGTCGGGGGCTTGACTCCACTGATCCTACTAATCCTACGGTGCTGTTTTAGGCTATCAAACCCACTGTCCAGGTGATTGGATGTTCCAAGTCGAGGTCGTCGCAGACATCGTCGATGCAGTGCGGAGCCATGGACTGAGAGATGACACCAGACATCCCATGCTTTGACATAATGCAAAATAACGTTAAACTTAAGCTCCCTTTTCAGGCACTGGACAGAAGTGTCTAGGCTTTGTTTCACTATTGGTGCCGTGGCCCTTGTCCCAGTTCTTGCTGCTGCCCGTCCCACCATCACCCGGAGGCTAATCCCCCAATCCATGACGTCAAACAACGCGCTGCCATCGTAGCTTCTGCCTCATCGCAGCACACAGGACCAGATACCTACAGGTAGTTAGGTACCTAGACCTAGGTAGTAATTGATGTGCACACCCACTGACACCGCAGCACACGCGCCAGTGACGGTGACAGTGACACGCCAAGCAAGGCCGATCTCCGATGATGGCATCGTCACCCCCCAGCAAACCCCCCCCAACCTCCCCTGCACCGCCTTGAGTTCATAAAGCCTCCAAGGCTCTGCCGCCTCTCCTTCTTTCTCTCTCTTCTACCTCAACCCCGAGTCCAACAATACGTCAATAATTCGACACACGCTGCTCCCCTTTACCCCTGGCCACCTCACTCTACGGTGAGGCCGACTTGACCGTCCCCAGAAGGTGATACTGAGATCCTCGATCTTGTCGACACGACTCAAAGGAACATAGCCGTCCACAGTGAACAAGATGGGTTTCTTTAACCGACGTCGCGATGCGGCCGCCACGAACAACGGCGTGGTCCGGGAGCGTCGCCACGGCCGCCATCACCACGGCGAGCCCTACCCCATGGCCACCCGCCCTACCTTTGGCCAGTGGCTCAAGGCGACCTGGCTCGACATCATCACCATGGCAGCCATGGGCGCCATCGGCCTCGGTGTAAGTAACCTTTTGGAAGACCTACCTCTCTGCTCAGGCACGCTGACAAGACCCCCTCCTCCGCGCACAGGTCTACATGGCCAAGCCCGCCCCGACCCGCTCCTTCGCCATCACCTTCTCCGACGGCGAGGTCGTCTACCCGGAGTTCGCCTACCCCATGCGCAAGGAGATCGTCCCCATCTGGCTCGCCGCCTTCCTCGCCTCCGTCATCCCCATCTTCATCATCCTCTGCATGCAGATCCGCGTCCGCTCCTTCTGGGACGTCAACAACGCCGTCATCGGCCTGCTGTACTCGCTCATCTCGGCCGCCGTCTTCCAGGTCTTCATCAAGTGGCTCATCGGCGGCCTGCGCCCGCACTTCCTGACCGTCTGCAAGCCCGACCTGTCCCTCGCCAGCAACAACCCGGGCATCGTCGGCGAGGGCTACAACGCCGCCGGCTTCCGCGAGATCTACTACACGCGCGAGGTCTGCACGGGCGACGAGAAGGAGATCAACGACTCGCTCGAGTCCATGCCCTCGGGCCACACCACCGCCGCCTTCGCCGGCTTCGTCTTCTTGTACCTGTACCTCAACGCCAAGCTCAAGGTCTTCTCCAACTACCACCCGGCCATGTGGAAGCTCATCGCCATCTACGCGCCCCTCCTGGGCGCCTGCCTCATCGGCGGCGCCCTGACCATCGACGAGTTCCACAACTGGTACGACATCCTCGCCGGCGCCGTCATCGGCACCGTCTTCGCCTTCTCGGCCTACCGCATGACCTACGCCGCCGTCTGGGACTGGCGCTACAACCACATCCCCCTGCACCGCGGCGCCCCCTTCCAGTTCGCCAGCCCGGAGCTGTCGGCCGCCGTCTTCACGCGCCGCGTCGGCTGGGGCACCGACGCCGCCGCCTCGTCGCACTACGGCGAGAAGCACCACCACGGCTTTGGCGGCGGGCACGGCCTTGGCCACGGCACCCACGGCACTGCTACTACTGCTAATGGTACTAATGGTGTCGATCCGTCTGTGCGCAGGCCGGTCGGGGCTGGTGTGCCGCCGGCTAGGGGTCCGGAGCACATGGTCTAGGGTCTTTTTGCTCGGATGATCTGTGAGGGGAGACATGACGGACCTTGATGGTTTGGTCCGAGTTGATTGTTTGGAGGTATACATTACGCGAGAGATGAATATGCGACTATGATGAGGGTGTCTTCGATGAGGTTTCCTGCCTATGAGTATCCGAGGTGTGAGGGAAAAACTAACTTATGACAGTGATATCCAAGTCAGCTATGTTTAGGTGTTGAGAGGCGTGGGTTTTCCTTTTTTATTCATCACATGTACAATAATAGCACGACGATATGCATAATGTAAACAACTTAATCACCCAATGTGTTCTTGATCGACTTTGTGAGAATTCGCCGAGTCCTTCTCATACTGTGGTGTTGTTGCGGCATGATGGCTCTGCTGGTAGACCAAAACGGCGTCTGGTCCACACCGATGCAGTTTCTACCCTGACCATCCGCAGCTCATTGAGAGCAGACAGGAAGCCGAATTTCCCACCGGCACTGTTCGTACATCGCATGTTGCTTCACTTCATACTTCCTCCCGCCAAGAAGCAGCTCTGACTGTCCCCACTGCCAGCTCCACGCCGTCTTCGTCTTCCACGCTACTTCTGTCGACCGAGGGCCGATTCCGGTCAAGCAGCCGCAGAAGCGATATTACTATTCTCCAGCGAGCGGGTTCTTGTGTTCTTTATCTGATCATCTTGCATCTTATCTGATCCGGCAGTCTCCGTCCGCTATCCACAACTTACTGTCTTTCGACCTTTTTTCCACGTCACTACACGAAAGACAAAAGACGATGCAAACTCCCGTCACGGCCGCCCCTGTGGCCGTCCCCTCGGCCGAGGAATGGATCGTCAAGAGCGCCGCCGGCGAGGAGTACCTCATCCAGATCGGCTTTCCCTTGAGCTGGAGCAGCAAGCCCGACGCCGCGCAGGCGGGTAAGCCGGTGCACATTCTGTAAGTCGGAATACAATTTTCCACACTGACCTCCTTCTAAGGTATCATGGCAACAAATCTGACTATTTGACAACAGCTACTGCACCGACGGCAACGCCCTCTTCTTCACCGCCCTCGACGCCCTGCACCGCCGTCTCTCCGTCCCGGCGCTCGCCACCGACGCCGCCGCCGCCGTCGTCGTCGCCATAGGCTACCCCCTCGCCGCCGACCCGCCGCCGGGCGTCTTCAGCCCCCGCCGCGGCCGCGACCTGACGCCCCCCTCGCCCGGCGCGGACCCGGAGCGCGAGGGCGGCGCCGACGTCTTTGCCGACTTCATCCGGCAGACGGTCCGGCCCTTTGTGCACGGGCGCATCGCGCAGCGCCGCGGCAGCGGCGGCGGAAGCGGGAGCGGGAGCGGGAGCGGCGACGCAAAGATCGGCCGCGAGGCGCTGTACGGGCACTCGTACGGCGGGCTTTTCGCGCTGCACGTGCTGTTCACCCGGCCGGCCGCTGCGGGGTTCGACTGCTATGTCGTCAGCAGTCCCAGCGTGTGGTGGAACGAGGAGTTTCTCCTCACTGAGGAGGAGGCCTTCCGGGCTGCGGCGGAGCGAGCAGCTGGTGGTGACGGCGGGGTCGAGAAGAAGAGGCCGCAGCTGATGATGTTTGCGGGCGGGGACGAGCAGGTGCCCCCGCGGCGGAGGGGCGAGAGCGACGACAGGTACGAGGAGCGCAGGAGGGTCGGCGAGGAGCGCAACATGGTCGGACACATGGTGGCCATGGCGGGGCGGCTGAGGGCCAGCGGGAAGCTGGAGCGGTTCACGTCCAAGGTGTTTCATGGGGAGGACCACGGGACGGTGATTGCGTGCTCGCTGAGCCGGGGGCTGACTACGTTCTTTGAGGACTGGCCTTTGGAGGAGTACGAGTAGGGACGTGATTACGGCGCAGTGATGCTGGAGGATACGTGAGACGTCTATATTAGCATACTCGACCTTTGGTGTTGTTGTCGACGTCAACATGATAGATCTAACAATAGAACGAACTCGGGGTATATTCAAGTTGTGTAAGTCTCCTCGGATCGAGAACTACAATCCCCATTCTTTCTTCTATCCGCTCATCTTAACAGTCGGCCACCCATTATAGCTGCACTTTCTTCTCCGTCTCTACCCTATTTTTCCTCTCCACCTTGGTTTCACCCTCGCCCTCACCCTCACTCTCATCATCACTGCTCATCCCCTTGGGATTCCTGCTCAAGTCGACATTCTCGACGAACCACATGGCCGCCAGCATCGGCACGAGGATGCACGTCGCCCCGATCGCCAGCAGCCTCTGCGTCTCGCGGTACGCGCGGTCGATGGCGGCGCGCTCCGGCGAGCCGGCGGGGTACCTCTGCGCCGCGACGATGGAGCCGAAGATCTGCGCCGCCCGGCCCCTGGCCGCGGCCGGCAGGTACTCGGCCAGCTTCGGCAGCAGGTTCGCGCGCCAGACCGCGCCCGCGACGCTCGTGCCCGCGGCGCCGCCGAGGTTCATGCTCGCGAAGAAGACGCCCGTGGCGACGGCGACCTCGTCGCGCCGCACCACGGCCTGCACGCAGACCTGCGCCGCCGTCTGGTAGAACCCGCGCCCCACGCCGACCAGGGACTTGGCGGCGATGAAGGCGGCCTCGCCGGCCGGGTGCGTGCCGCCCACGTTGACGAGGTAGATCTCCAGCCCCTGGCCCAGCACGCAGAGGGGCACGCCGGCGAGGACCCACATCTTTGCGCGGTTGGTGTAGCGCATGAGCAGGGCGGCGACGAGGGAGGCGATCTGGAAGGCTACGCGGAGGGAGTTGCTGCTGTTGTGTTAGGAAGTGTTCACGGAAAACGACCGGGTTGAGTTGGCAGGTGCTGCAGCAGCAAAGAAGGGACGGGACTTACTCGATGCGCGTGGCGTGGCCGGCGGAAAAGTGGCCCGCGACCTGGAGGTAGCTGGGCAGGAAGACGGTGAAGAGCGAGTAGTGCATAAAGTCGAGCACGCACATGGCGCACGCGGCGACGACGGTGCGGTGCCGCACCAGCTTGAAGGGGATGAAGGGCTTCCGCGCGAACCGTGCGTCCCAGACGAGGAAGGCGACGCAGAGAACGAACCCGACGACGACCATGGCGATGAAGGACGCGTTGCCCCAGGCCGTGCTGTTGCCGCGGCCCGTCAGCGACACGGGGACGAGGACGAGCGCGAGGCCGGCGATGAGCAGGGCTGCGCCGGGCAGGTCGAGCTCGACCCAGAGGAGCTTGTACGCCTTGGTCGGCAGGGAGTCTTCGGGGCGGATCTCGCTGAGGACGTTGTTGGGCCTCACGACGGCGCCGGACCGCGCGCGCTGCTCCTTCTTCGCCTTCCGCTCGCGCAGGAAGAGGGTGAGCAGCAGGGGCAGGGCCGAGACGGGCTCGACGACGGACCACATTCCGTACCCCCAGCGCCAGCCGGGCCCGTCGAGGAAGGCGTCGGCGACGTAGGTGCCGAGGTACAGCGTCGGGATGCCGGCGATGGTGTCGGGCAGGGAGAGCCAGATGCCGCGGTTGCGCAGGGTCGTGACGTCCGAGATGAAGATCTGCTGGGTGATGCCGAAGCCGACGCTGCCGATGGCGCCAAAGAAGCCGGCGACCTGTTGTGTCAGGGGAGCGAGGTGTAAGTCTTTCTCTGGGTCCTCTGAGATGCTGGCTGCTAAGGGGTTGCTGAGGTCGGTGTCAACTTACAAAGTATGTCTCGATGTTTTGGCACGCGGCAAAGAGGATCAGGGAGATGACTGAGAGGAAGATGGAAAAGGCGAAGAGTTGGGCGCGGCCAAAGAGCTAGATCCATCGTCAATGATTTCTTCAATGAAACTGTGATGGTCTCTGGGACTTACATCGGACAGCTTGGCCACGATCGGATACGTCAGCAACATGGTAATGGCATTGACCACCCGGGATGCGCTTAGGAGCGAGTGGCCCTTGAAGTTACTGGTCGCATATGCCGCATAGGTCGTAGTAGTGTGGCTTTCAAAGGCGAAGATGAAGGTCATGAGATACAAACTGGAGGCCAGCCGTCAGTTTATGCAGGTATATACATGGCATCTTACACTTCCGATGCACATACCCGCAAAAGGCGAGAATGATCCATTTCTTGGGAGCCTTTCGAATCAGATCCGACTGCAACACACCCCAGGACCTTCCCTTTTCTTCCGAGAGAGAGGCCTCATCCACGCTAGGGCTCTGCTTGTGCTCTTGGTTGGATGATGGAGGGCGCTCCTGGGCGCCCTGGGGCCTGGAGGGGGCAGCCATTTCTGGTCTCGGAAAGATATGCCTAGCTGGCTGATAGATATTGTTTGTTTGTTTAACATACGAACGATGGCGAAGATCAATCAGCCTCACACGAGCTGAACTGAGCTGGGCCAACTGTCATCCCTTTTGTACAGACATTTCCCAAGATCCTCCACCCACTGACGATCTGCACAACCCTGTCCGCAGCTCGGTGAACACTACTCAAATTGGTGACATTAAACGGGCCCGGCCTTCTATGGTCTGATGAGAGCGAAAGAAAGGAACTTCCTGACCTCCACGAGATCTGTGGACCAGATGGATCAGCTGCAAGCGAGGGGAAAAGGGCGGGCCATGGCCACGAGGAGCATCGAAGAATTACCGCCAAGCCGCCAGTGCGGAGTCGAGATGGGCCCTTTCCCGGCCGTTGGACGCCCATGGTGAGACCAAACGCGCGATCAAGAGGTGTATCGATCTTATCTGATCCGAACTCGCTGGCTTGGCAACATGCAAAAGTACTTGAACGGGTCGACTCCTCTATGGTCCCGAGGCATATTCTTGGATGTCCCACATAGTGCAGGCTCGTTTGCTCCTTTTTCACTTTTTCAAGTCCTCGTCTGATCTAGCGGGCCGGGTCTAGTGCGGCAGGCGCCTTGGGAACATCTGGTCAAGCATTTTCGAAATTGTCTCTCGTGCTTGTTTCGTTGCTTGGCTCGGCTGCGTATGGCCGTTTGGTCGTCAGCCCCGAGCGGAGTGACTACCGGTTCTTTTCTCCATATCTGAATGGCATGTAGATCGCAAGATCTCAAAACTGCTCGTTCTTGAAGCTCTCCTTTGCAGTTATGCGTGACCAAAGCGCTGATAAGAGGGAAGAAACGAGACATCGGGGTGGCATGTGCGTTGATGACGGAACCCCCGATCGGCCCACCGGCGCGGGAAGAATTGAACACGGTGCAAGGGCCGGGCCTTTGTTCAGTAACAGTTAACCCCAGTGCATTTTGACCATTACTTCCATGTGGTCTCCTCGCTAGATATGCAAGTATTCATTAGGGTTCTCTCCCTCCGGTCCACCTTTGATAATGAAATGACTTTGTCGATATGGATATTATCTTACCAACGTTTGGCCCACACACGCATGAAGGTCTTTGCCAATATCCTGCTACAGAAGCATAATCGATTACAGTTATTGATGCGAGCGGTAGGAAGACCTCAAGTGTACTATCCCGCACTTCTCAATCATGATTGTCATTGAGCCGGTAGTATGAGGAACCTCACCTCAGGTATTGCGAGGACGAGTGCGCCTTGAAAACAGAGGAGCACATGCGCACTACGGACCGATGCCACTTCAGTCGCGACATTCACTGTTTATGCAGTTTGCACTCCAGTGAACGCTGATGTCAAACGACTCTGACAAGAGCCTGGCTAATCGATGTCTACGGCGATATGGGAATGGCAGGTTGGCCCAGAACATACGACGTCAACACGCCTTAGCATAGCCGCATAAGCAGCTAGGGAGTACTTGCAGCTGCCCATGCCGATCAAAGTCGGAACTAACAACGGGGTTTGGTGGTGTGCTGTCTTCCTGTTGTTGTATGTGTGTGTGTGTGTGTGTGTGTGTGTGTGTGTGTGTCGATCACCTCAAACGCGGGGCGTGAATGTTGGTTTGCCATGCAAAACGTATGACGCATGTTTCCCGTCCTGCACCTGTCAAAAACGCGCTGGCTGGTCGCGCAAGAGCCAGTTTCATCGTCACCGAAAAACAAAGTGCAGCCTGTCAGAGCTGTTTGCCTTACACCATTCGTGCCTGGTGACAGTGAAAGCGACCGTTGAGGCCTGTCGCGTGGGTGATTGTTGTCCTGGCCTTGAAACGTAACTACATAAGTAGCCCTACGTCACTGCCGGCGCTTGCAGGGGTTTGGTCAGTTTGGATGTGATGGCAAGGGCAATCGACGATTGTCTTGGAATTAAAAGTAACATGGACACCCGATGATAAACTTCCTCCATCTTTTACTTCCCTTCTTCCCAAATCAATACCGATCGGATTCCGCTGCAAACCACACATACAGCGCTGCATCGATCACTTCAACAATCACTACATCCATCACACTCTTCTCACAAGCAAATCCTTCAAGAAAAGCCATCATGGACTCTGCCGGCGCAAAGTCTGTCATGTCCAACGACATGCAGGAGCTCACCCAGGGCAAGGAGCACATCTCCAACGTCATCAGCGGCCACAAGGCGAACCTCTCCAACCCAAGTATGTAGCCACTCAAAAGCACTGAATCAACCTCCATAGAATATGGCGCTGACCTCTTTCACAGACACGAGCGAGGCCTCCAAGAAGAAGAGCGAGCAGGCTCTCAAGGAGCTCGGCGGCGACGACACTCTCGAGGGCAACAAGGCCAAGCCTATCAGCAAGGATGCGGCAGAGAAGCTGTACGGTTCTCGTGCCGAGGCGGCTTGATTGACTGCGGTGCCCCATTCGGACTGCTAGTTCTTCATCAGAAACATGAAGGGAGCGATGGTTATGAGGGTGAATGATGTACAATAGAGTGCCACAACTCGGAGAAGGAGATGAATAACAAACTTTCTCACACTGGATCCCCAAACAACGTCACTCATCATGCCACCTTTGCTTGTCCTTAAATCCAATCCTTATTTAGATTTATGCAGATGGCGACCTCACAGTAATCTTCTTACCCTCTCGCTGCCACTGACGGAACCCTCACCCAACAAGAATCGTAGACTACGAGACATCCACCCGGATGGTGTACTGACTGCCGCACTGCCCCGTGAGCGTGACCTTGACATTCCACCCAGGGACAGTAAAAGACGTCCCGACCGTACTCAGCGGAGCGTCGTTCTTCTCGTGCCCACCGCACCCTCCGCTATTAGGCTTCGTATCCAGCACCCGCACGGGGCCGTTCCCCGTCGCCGTCGCCACCGACACCGTGTACAGCAGCACCCCCGTCGCGCACGACGCCGAGTCGACGCCGGCCCGGGTCCGCGCCTCGGCGACCAGCACGTCCGTCCCGTTGTGCCGCACGACGACCGCCTTGGTGCCGCCCCGGGTCCCGTCGTCGAGCTCCAGCGCGCTGAGCGTGTGCGCGCTCGACCCGGGCCCGGAGACGCACTCGACCTGCGCGTCGGAGATCCACCCGAGCCTCCACTGGCTCCAGGCGAAGTAGTCGGGCGAGGGCCCGAGGATGTACCCCATCATGTCCCACCCGCCGACGTAGAGCCCCACGTCGCGGCCCTCGGGGTACAGGTCCGGCAGGCACATGGTGTGCCCGGTCTCGTGGTTGATCACCTTGGACTTCCACGTCGCGTACGCGTCCATGCCGATCGTGACGGCCTTGCCGGCCACGGGCGGCGCGGAAGACGGCGAACCCCGCTGCCGCACCTCGCCCATGAAGGTCGGGCTGAACGAGATGGGCGCCGCCCGCGTCGTGGGCACGACGTACAGCACGTCGTAGCCCGTGGGCGCCGCCCGCCCCGTCGCCGCGGTGTAGGCGTCGAGCGCGTCGAGGACGTACGTCTGGTGCGCCTCGTAGGTCAGCCCGCGCTGCCATCCGTACGAGTCCGCGCGTGCGCCCATGCGCACGAAGCGCGGGGCCGACGACGAGCCGTCGCCCTCGAGAGTCACGTTCAGGGCAAGCCTCCCGTACGACGCCTGCGCGTACCACCCCGGCGCGGCGGAGAAGTACTCGTCGTACAGCGCCTGCGGGTCCTCTGTCGACGGCGCGGGGTGGTCCGGGAAGTCGACGAAGAACATGAAGGCGCGCAGCGTGCCCGTGCTCGGGGCGCACGGCCCGGCGTAGTCGAAGCCGAGGCTGAGGTACACGCCGGCCGGCGCCTGGAGGCGGCATGCCGATACGTCGCGAGTGGACAGGGCCGTGTGTTGTGTCTCGGGGATGGATGCGGAGAGGACTGGCTGTATGAACGCCGCCAGAGCGAGGCGCAAGGCCGGGAGGGAGAGCATGGTCAAGACTGATCTGTCACAGCGTGAGTCTCGGCTGCGGGATGATGGCCAGGCCTTGAGAAGCAAATACTCACCTCCGTGGGGTGAAGCTTTAATAAGTACTCACGCCGCGACTATCTAATACATCTCTCAACCTCTTTCTCACAGCCCATCGACGTGGGTCATTTGATCTGTGACCTTCCCAATCTGCATGTTTCGGGTTGGCTGCCGAGATTGAACGGTTCGACTCTGCCCTGCTAGGTATCTATGCGGGATCCATGCCGATTGGAGGGGTTGCAACAGAAGCATTATCCGGCATCGCGGGAGGGACTGTTGATTATGTCACCACCACTAGACAACTGAGTTATAGACGCTGCTCATTAAGTGTCGCAGCCGATATCACAGTTGTTATTCCGAAGCAGTAGTCTGATGTAGCAATACCATTGTCATGCCGCATTGACACACTAGACAGGCAACATGAATGCTTGGATAACTCCTAATACTTTGAACTAGAGTTCGTTCCAGCATGTATCATTGCACGGCTCGACTTTCTCATCGGGTTATGTTTCTACCTCATAATTAGCATTAGCACCAGAACCTAAGAACCCGAAAGAAACAGATCAATGAAGAATCAAGACAAGCAGTATACTCAAAGCCATATACTTTAGGATATCGTACTAACTCTGCTGCCGTGACATCAAATTGCTGTTGCAGGGTCCGCCCATCCCATCCAAGAATAACGCCAAAGCCATGCAACCCATCATCCAGCTAACCCGGTATCCAGGTGTGTAAAGGCCGCAGTAAGAAAACACACACGTGCGCGGAACAGTCTAGTATCTACAGCAGCAGCGACAACTACCTCCGACCGCCACGTCCGCCCTGGCCACCACCGCCCATCATGCCGCCCATGCCGCCCATGCCCATCTGCCTCATCATGGCCTGCATGTCGGGCATGCCGCCGGCACCAGCGCCACCGCCACCGCCGCCGAGCATCTTCATCAGGCTGCCCATGTCGGGCATGCCGCCCGCCCCGCCGGCGCCGCCCATGCTCTGCAGCCGCTTCTGCATGGCCGCCAGCTGCTGCTGCTTGTTGCCGCCGGCCATGGCCTGCTGCGCCCTCTGCATGTTCTTCATGTTGCCGCCCATCTTCTTGGCCATGCCCGCCATCATGCGCTGCTGCGTGAGCAGGTCCTCGACCTCGCGCACGTGCGTGCCCGAGCCGCGGGCGACGCGCGTCATGCGGCTCGGCTGGTCGATGAACATCTTGCCGTCCGAGTCGAGCTCCTTGTCCGTCATCGAGTCGCAAATGTAGATCATGCGCTTGAGCTTGGAGCCGCCCTCCTCATCGTCCATGCCCTGCATCATGTTGCTCATGCCGGGGATCATGCCCGCCATCTTTGACAGAGGCCCCATCTTCATGATGTTTTGAAGTTGGTCGCGAAGGTCGCGGATGGTGAAGATGCCTTCGCTGATGTGCTTGATCGTCTCCTTCTGGTCCAGCTTGAGTGACTGCACGTGCTCCACCAGTCCTGCCATATCACCATATCCGAGGAGCTTCTGGATGAACTGTTGGGGCGCAAACCGTTCGAGATCGAGCATGTGCTCGCCGGTACCGATGAAGACGATGGGAGTGTGTGTAGCCGCGACAGCAGAAATGGCACCACCACCAGCGGCGTGACCATCGGTCTTGGTGATGATGATGGCACCAAAGTCCGCCGACTCCTTGAACGCCTTGGCCTGCGCCTCGGCCTGTTGACCGATACTTGAATCCAGCACCATGATTGTCTCATCCGGTCGGATCGCACTCTGGATATCCACCATCTCCTGGAACAGAGCCGACTCTTGTCTATGTCTTCCAGAGGTATCGACGATGATGATCTCGAAGCGCTCCTTCTTGAACTTGTCGACACCCTCCTTCGCAACGACAGCCGGGTCGGTCTCGGTGAGTGAGCCGTAATAGGGGATTTTGGCCTTGGTGGCGTTCTGCTTGAGCTGGTCAAAGGCACCGGCACGGAAGGTATCGGCGCACACCAGGCAGGCCTTGAAGCCGCGGCTCTGGTAATGCCTCGCGAGCTTGGTACACGTCGTCGTCTTACCGGCACCCTGCAGACCGACAAACATGATGACATTGCTCTTGCCCTTCTTGGGCTTGAAAGGTTCGGCATGGGGGTCGACTAGACGCACGAGCTCGTCAAAGACGGTCTTTTGGATGAGGCGCTTCTTGTTGACGGCGGGGGGCAGGTCTTTGAAGTTGACGGTGCTCTTGATCGACTTTCGCAGCTGGCTGACGAGTCTGACGTTGACATCGGCTTCGAGAAGGGCGGCGGAGATCTCCTTGAGCATGGAATCGAAGGCCTGGAATGGAGATGCCAGATTAGCGATTGACTGTGTCGCATCGAGCCGACGATGACGGCGAGGAGCATACCTTCTCGTCCAGGTTAGGGGCCCTGGTGAGGTCGGTGACCGCCGTGTTGATACGGCGGCCGAGATCTTGGAGAACCATGGTCGCGGGTGTGGTGTGCGACGGCCTTTGAGGTGAGGTTCTATGAGGGATGGTTGATGAGGTGTGGCAAAGCTGCGATCACTTGTTGGTGTGATGGCATATCGAATTTCTGGAAACGTGGGGTCTCACTGGCCGCGGGGTGCTCCGTTGAAGTGGGGAAAGAGCCGGCTCGGGCGAATTATTTCGCGTCACAGAGCTCCAGTCAATCAGTACTGGGGGTGTTAGCGCGCTCAATCACTAAAATGGCACGATTGCAGGGGCAAATTCAGCTCCCACGTCACTATATGCCAGCCGAAACCAGCTGGAGAATCACTAAAACCTTCCGTAACCCCATCCCATCCACCTAACATGCATCAATGTCCGTCAGAGTGTTATTCGACAAATAGCTGTGCTGTCACTACATGATGAGCTAGGTACCTTGAGAAAACGCTTTAATCACACGCTCTCCATTAGAAGTTACATCCTAACCATACAACACAAAAAAGAATGAAAAGACTTGCTAGCTCCGGCTGCCCCCCACGATGAAACCACACCCGATGACGGTGATTGTGCCGGTCTCGCTTCAATACTTCCCCGGATAACCCACACTTTGCCTTCCCCGCTCCACCAAGTGCCCCAGTCCACCCGGAGTTCTCACCGATCGCCCGCCGCCAAGATGAGCGGTCCTCGTGGGCATGAAGAGGTTATGAGAAGCCTCACTCTCCGGCTCCTTTAAATAGCCTACATGATCCAGATGCCGGTTCGCCTCCCATCTTGACCATATCCCGCCCCCCCAACATCGTGATCGGCTTCCCTCAGTCCCAAACATGCCGCCGTCAAAGAACATCCTCATCACAGGCGCCTCGGGCTTCATCGGCCCGCAGCTGGCCGCCCGCCTGCTCGACGACCCGCAGTACCGCGTCATCCTCACGGACGTCGTCCCGCCCGCCGTGCCAGCCGGCGTGCGCCACCCGGAGAACGCGACGTGCATCGCCGCCGACCTCTGCGACGCCTCGTCGCTGGCGTCCCTCGTCGCCGCCGCCCAGCCCCTGGCTGCCGCCTTCGTCTTCCACGGCATCATGTCCTCCGGGTCCGAGGCCGACCCGGCGCTCTCCATGCGCGTCAACCTCGACGCCACGCGCGGCCTGCTGCTGCACCTGTCCGAGCACTGCCGCGGCGTGCGCGTCGTCTACGCCTCCTCCAACGCCGTCTACGGCCCGCCCCTGCCCGAGGTCGTCAGGCCCGACTCCATCCCCACGCCGACGGGCACCTACGGCGCGCACAAGTGGATGACCGAGGTCTTCATCAACGACCTGCACCGCAGGGGCTGCATCGACGCCTTCTCGCTGCGCTTCCCCAGCGTGTCCGTGCGGCCCGGCAAGCCCACCGCCGCGGCGAGCTCGTTCCTGTCCGGCATGATCCGCGAGCCCATGGCCGGGCAGGAGTGCGTCATCCCCATCAAGGACCGCGAGTTCAAGGCCACCCTCTGCGGGCCCAAGACGCTGGTCGATAACCTGTTGATCGTCATGAACTGGAAGTCGGATATCTTGCCATCTCATATTAGGGGTATCAACATACCCGGCGTCATCGCTAGTGTGCAGGCGATGATGGATGCGCTGGCCAAGGTCGGCGGAGAGGATAAGCTCAAGTACATCAAGGAGGAGCCGGACGAGACTGCCGAGAGGTTACTCAGGAGCTGGGCTTGGAACCATGACTACTCCCTCCCGCTGAAGCTAGGGCTCAAGATCGACAAGGATGCAGAGTCACTGGTAAGAGAATATGCAGAGTATGTAAAGGCGCACCAGTGATAAATAGAGGATCGTCACTGTTCTATATAAGAGTCTATCAGACATCCTATAATATTACATTGAGAATGAACTGATCTACCACAAAGTCAGAATACAGGCATTCAGTCTAGTCCGTGGACGGAGGCCAATAATAGTCATGATTATACGATTAGCGTCCAGTTAAACACACGGATCAGATTTGTCCTGCAAAGGGAGTGCTGGAATCATATTGGACTCAGTCAGCCAAGCGTCCCATTGATCCCACGAAATCTCCCCGCTGCCTTGCGTTCCATAAGTTTGGTCAACCATGAAGTCCAAATCCATGTCCATCCCGCCGAAACTCTCTATCTCCCTGTCACTTACTCCGTAGCTCAATGACGGAACAGCTCCCGGCGGATCCAAAGTGGCGTCAATATGGGAAGGGGCAGCGCGTGGGCTCTGGTTTCCCTTGGATTTCCTTCTCGTAGCTTTCTCATCCAACTCTGACGACGAATTCGGCTCCTGCGCACATCCAGGAATGTCACCATCGAGAGCCATAGTGAGTTCAAGTTTGTCGTCCCCCGGAGCCCGTTCTGGTAGCTTGGATTTGAACTTTTCCCTCTGGTGAAGCAACCGAGCGATAAAGTCAGGGGCTGATACTTCGTATCTGTTATCGGCGTCTGCCAACGACTCGCGCCTGCTATTGGCCTGGATGCAAAGATTACCAACGGCGACATGAATAGGTTTCCTCATATCGCAGAGCATCTGAGGGTTGTGCTCGTAGATATTGCTTATCAGCCGCCATGCTTTGTGCGCATCCACATGGGCCGGCTCCGCTCGGAGTGTGTCGAGGACATGGACGATGGCGTGCCACTGTTGGGTGTAGGGGGCTTGCCAGGCGAATCTCTGGAGCTGAGGGGACGACTGCAGCATGCTGTGCTGCTCAAGAAGCTTGATACAGGTATCCCAGACAAGCTGGCGCTCCGATTGCGGGGTCTCCCCCTGGGTGGTCCATCTTCGCGGGTGATGCGCCATGAAGCGGATGACATTTAGAGAGCACCGGGCCATTAGCATGGTGATCAGTTGCAGAGGCTGCGAAGGATCACAATAACGTAGAAACTTCGCCTCCAATGTTTCTTCAATCTCTTGGAAGGAGTCATCCGACTCGGCCGTGTTACGTTCGGCAGTCTCCGGGTCCCACGGACTTGACGAGTTTCCCTGTGTTCTCAGGTTCGAGATGCGGCTCGCGGCAAACTTGAGGAGTTCACACTTGAGAGAAACAAAAAACATGTCCGTAACGCCCTTTTCTTCTATCGCGGGCGATGTCATGTCTGGAAAGAGCTGATCGTCATTGACACTGGTGGGGAACTTGGTGCTCCCAGCCACGTTCAGCGTGTCCAGATCTTGGAACTTGCCTACACCACAGAGCTCGGCAGTCCGAAAGTCGTGCATTCGGAGCTGCCACCAGACTCTGCGCCGGATCTCGGTCTCGAAAGGTGGCAACCCCAGAGCTTCCCCGTCCCGGTCCAGGCCCATACTCTGAGCAATGCGAACGGCCACACCACTTAGAGACCAGATAGCACGAGGCTCGTAGATATCGCGTATGACGATCAGGTGGTTGACCAGAGCTTGAAGAACAACAAGGCTCGTAGTCCCCATGAACCGGACTGATGACAGAGCATCCTTTGTGCAGGAGATATATCGTGACAGCAGCACTTTGCGGGGCTCGCAGAATCGTTCTCTGCACTCAGCATCATTCAGCGACATGATAGCTGCGCTGCAAATGGAAAACAACAGTGCTTCAAATGTTCGCGGCGTCTCATCGATGCGACCAGCTGCCTTCTCAATCGCCGAGCGCAAGGTAGGTACGTGGACAATCTTTGTTAGTGGATCCACGTTCTCGATATAGATCTGCCCTAAATGGAGGATATCGTCTGGGGTGGGGTGGCGAGACTGAAGTTTGGATCCCGATTCGGATCGGAGGACGAAGGAGAAATCGTCGTCCTCAAGTTCTTCAGATTCATCCGTGCCATCTGACAGATCCTCCAAGGCGATATGAGGATCATGAAGCTGCCGGAACTCGACGTCAGTCTTGATGATAGAGACGGGCTATCCGTCTTCAGAGATAAGGATAGCAACTGACCTCGTCCACCATTCCTGTCCACAACACACTTGATCAAATTAGCTCCCGCATGCGGGATCGGTACTAGGTGACGCACTTGTTTATCACTCGGGATCGCCCTGAAACATGTATCACCTTTGCGTTTTCCGCACGTCGGCGCTGGTCGGGTTCACGGGAATGATCAAGGCCGCGGCTCACCGCCACGGTGTGACTGCTTATGCGGTTCTTCTGCGTGCCTGCAGTGGGCCGTTCTGGTTCCGATTCACTCGCTCGTTCGCGTAACAGTGCTTCGTAGTGCTTGATCCGGTCCGTCAAGACTTTGGCACTGAGGCGTTTGTGCCGGTTTCGCCTTGGCTGGGAAGGGTCGTACACACATTCCACACTGTGTCGCGTACATGCATTGCATGGCGTCTTGCGATCGCATCTTCATATGAAAAGTCAGTTTGCAGATAGAAGAGTGGAGACAGGCCGGCTGGAGGCCGCTCTCATCGGGGTTGACTGAGAACTAAAAGTCCGAACGTACTTCACTTTCCGTTCTGCGCAGCGAGCGCACGAGTGAACGGGCCTGGTCGGGATGGCCGTTGCAGGCCCTGCAGGAGTCATCGCGTCTCGTATCAAGACGAGAATCGACCCGAGACACTTTTCCAGTCACCAGCTTACCTGCCTAGATAGGTACTCTCGGAGTCTTTAAATGTGTTGTCTATCCCCGGCCATTCTCGATTAGCTCGCCTGTCTCTGATTGGTGGCTCACATCGGCCCCGACGTCGCCCGAAGCTCATGACGTAGGGCATGTACTTGTAGCTGCTCCACTCCTGCTGACTGCCGGAGGTTACTGCGGCGCGGAACTTAGACGGAACTTAGGCCGTCCTTCGTTGGTTGAGCACCTCGGAGGACAGCATCGCCCGAATAACTTTCGGCCATGGGAGACTCCCGACTCGTACAATTGCTTTTTCTATAAAATGCCGTCAGAGATCTTCCAGAAATACCTGGGTCGCCAAGAAACCCATTCTCGCCTTCGTCCCCTCAGGTGTTTGTGAGATCAACCGCGAGTACCTCCGTTACACGGCTCATGTTTCGCAGCCTACGAGCCACCGCAACTACACAATCACGCTCACGTTAGGATTCCAATACCTACATCTCATTCTATCGGAAGAAAGAAAGACGTTCTTTCTTCAGCTCTGCCAGTCATGCCCTCATATCAACCCCGTATTGCCATTGTCGGTGGTGGCCCTGCTGGGCTCGCCATGGGCCTCCTGCTTCATCAGCATTGCATCCCTTACACTATCTTCGAGCTTCGTCAGAAGCCTACTGATGAGGAGCTTCGCAAGCCCTCTGGTATGCTTGATCTTCACGAAGGATCTGGTCTCACAGTCATGAAGGAATGTGGCTTGTACGACGATTTTATCCCCCTCACTGGGGAGTGCTCCCAGGATTTCGTCGTCGCAGATAAGGACGGCAAGGTCCTGCACACTCTGCAGAGTGACGGTACACGACCTGAAGTCTCGCGGAACAACTTGACCAAACTGTTCCTGGCCACCATCCCGCCCGAGAACATAAAATGGGGCCATAAGCTCCTGTCAGCAACCAGACCTGCCGGTACCGACAGCGCCGAGACCGAGCTTGACTTCGGCACACATGGAAAATACACGTTTGACTTTGTGGCCGGAGCAGACGGTGCTTGGTCGGTGGTCCGGAAGTTACTCACCGACCAGAGACCCGAATTCACCGGCATGTACAACGCGACCGTCACTATCAAACACATCACCAAGAAGTACCCCCACCTAGCTGATCTGATCGGGACTGGATCGTTCACCTCCCTGGGCCGGAGACATGGCGTGATCTCGCAGCGGGGCTCTTACGACTCGGCACGGATCTTCATATGGCTTACCGTGGCCGACATAAACTTTACACCGACCGTCGAGCTTGTTGGCAAGCCAGCGTCGAGCGCCAAGGACAAGTTGCTGAAGAACGACGAGCTGCTCGGCACATTTGGCGACACAATCAAAGACTTGGTTGCCACCGCATGCGACGAGGAGACAGCAGACAACCCCGGCGCAAGCCTCGATATTCGAGCCTTGCATGCGATTCCGTATGGGAGCTCGTGGGCACACCAGAAGGGAGTGACGCTCGTGGGCGACGCCGCTCACCTGATGCTCCCGAACGGAGAAGGCGTCAACTTTGCCATGTTCGACTCTCTCCTGCTCTCCCGGGCCATCATCAAGGCATGGACGACGGCTGGACAGGGCGTTGAATCCTTCCAGGCAGCTATTGATCCGCTATTGAAAGAGTACGAGGCCGGAATGATGGTGCGCGCCAAGGAGGCAGCTACCGATACTGAGCGCATTATTGGAAGTATGTTTGGTAGTGATGACGCGGTGCAGCGTACAGCTGATCTCCTCCGGAGTTTCGGGGAGCCGCCATCGCCGGAGTACAAATGAGAAGTGAAGAATATCACAACAAGATAATCTGTGCTGGAATCATTGGTCTCCGAGAACACCGCAGAATTTTGAATCTAAGCAAGACTATGTGATAGTCGAAGTCAATAAATAGACATAACATCATTTCATCACCGCCATCAGTGACTTCCTGTGCATGCACTCGCGATCTCTTCGGATGGTGTCGTCTCATCTTCAGCCTTACACACTGCCTCCAATCTCCATCCGTCGGGGTCAATCACAAAGGCAGCATAGTAATTCCGTCCATAATGAGACCTTAACCCAGGCTCTCCATTGCTTGTACCTCCGGATCTAAGGGCTGCTTCGTAAAAGTCTCGCACAGCTTGACGGGATAAGGCGTCGAAAGCAATGTGAAAACCCGGGCCGGGCGGTGAGGCCTGAGTGCCGTACTCAAAGATGTTGACCAGCTCGTGTTCTTCGTTGGGCCCAAAACCCAGGGTGCGTGGGATTTTCCCTCTGGCCACAGCCTCGCTATCATACACGAGTTTCAGTCCAAGTGGTGCAAGTGTCGCGGAGTAGAAGGCCTTGGAGACGTGATAATCGCGGACCCCGATCGATATGTGTCCGAGCGGGTTGAAATGGGTTGTCATGGTACTAAAATTTACTTGGTGTAAACAATGCTGGAGTGGTGAACAATGCCATTGGTCTAGAGAGGACTCGCGTTCTCTGCGGGATAAATCGAGGAGTAGTAGATTATCAAGGATGAGAGCTGGATCATGCAGAAGAGGGGCAGAACAGACCGACAGGTGACCGCTGTCAAAGCGCATCTTGAACAGGCTAGCATCTGCCCCCCGTTCACCACTATTTAAATCCTGATTTGCAGTGCCAATAATTGCGGAACATCACGAAATGAATCGAATCACGCTGCCGAAGCGTCTTCAAGCATGATACATTGCATACAGAACTAGGTCTAATAATACTCCTCAGGCGTCTTAAACATGCATGTGCGGAATGCTCAATAATTCTAGGCCTCGATGCGAAGAAACTTCAGACCAGTGACTTCTACTCAAAAGGCAACATTCAAGTCCTTGTTCTGAAGGAAACGTGCAGCTGCAATAACCACCGCGCCGCCACACAATGTAGCACCGCTCCAGACAGACAGTGCCAAGTACCCGGAGCTTTTGAGAATGATACCACTGATAGGCGTGCCAATCAATGCACTGCATCGTGATATTAGCAACCTCGACAGTTAATGTTATCATGGAGAGTTGGTCATGACCTACCTAAAGGCGATACATGCGTTCAGAAAGCCAACGGCCGTCCCTTGTGTGCCATGACTTGCGACCTTGCCAGCACAGGCATTCTGGAGGCTCACAACGGCCTATACTGGAGTCGTCAGTAACATGGCGAAGATTGAACAAGCATGGTACAAGCACTCACACCGGAAGCGAATCCATATGCTAAACTCCAGATAATGAGAGCTGCCAACGAAGTAGCTCGAGTCCAGCAGAAACTTATCACTCCTGAAAGGAGCGTTACAATCGCAAGAACATTGAAATGACCTAGCGTGTCAGCCACATAGCCCGGCCCGACTCTGCCGAAGCAGGACGCTGCATTGAGAGCCGATACAAGGTAGAACGCTGTCGAGGGCGACTGGCCTTTTTCGATCGCGTATGCAGATATGTAAAAGATGGGGGTAAACCATCCCAAGAGAGCGATGGCCAGACCGACGCAGAGAACGACGTAGGTGCGATTCTTCAAGACCGCAAAGTCCATGATCCTGGACTTGCTCGCTGCAGACTCCTCTTTATCTTGTAATGCAGTCCCAGATCCGGTCTCGGGCGAGGACGTCTCCGATGCTTCGACCGCCGAGGGCGTAGGGTTTGGCGCGGGTGGCTCGACAACGGTGAGACAAGACACGACCAGCAGTGGTAGTAGAGTAAACCCGACGATTCGCATAGACCAGCCGAAACTGAGCTCATGCCTTACCAGAAGCTGCTGGAGCATGATCGGCCATATCACACCGCCGATCGAGGCACCACCGATTGTCAGGCCCATTGCAAGTCCGCGGCGATGCGGCATGTGCCTCATGACCACACCCAACGGCGTGCAAAAGACTAGAGACATGCCGGCGCCAAGCAGGACTCCCTGCGCGAGGACAAATTGCCAGTACTCCTTGCAGAGGGAGGTCATGAACACGGCGATGAGAATGACTGCGCTGCCGAACCATAGCAGCTTGGTCGGCCCGAATTTATCGACGAGCATACCGGCGAACCCAGCACCCAGGTATAAGAGAAAGATGGAGACCGAACCGATCCATGATATGTCGGAGGCTGAACGATCGGCGAGTAAGTGAGCTTGATAATGCGCTTGGAAAACGCCAAACGCATTGAGGAACCCGACAGTGCTGTATAAGGCGAGAGATGCTCCGACAAGCGCAGTCCAGGACCGAAGACTACGATAGAAAAGGTTTGATTTAGCATTCGAGTAGAATGGATATTGACAAAGAATGCGCCTTATCAAATGAAGCTTACCTGATGTGTGGACGGGTACGCGCATCTCCCCTAGCAGTCATCTTGAGAATTACTGTTCCCTCAAGTGCGCTACACGTGGGCCTAAAAGTGCAAGCAGGCAGGACTTTTGGACATTGTCTTATGCCGACCAAGGACTTATATACCGGACAGGGGGGCCCTCTGGCTGCCCCTGTACTGGGCTCGGGTCAGGGATCCAATACTGCATCCTGCACGTTGGAGCCTAATGGGTGCGGTCCTTTCGGCTGATAATCTTAAGACATCCGAATCCTGGACGACCAACTTCCTGTCCTTCACAAAAGTGCAGTTCCACTGACTGCAAACTTTTCGTCTGGAGCAAAACGGCCCTACCATCAAGGATACGATTCCTGCGGTCTTCTCTGATATCAAATAAACATCTCTGGGAACCCGTTTCTTGTCGGCTACCGTTGGTCTCAGTAACGAGGTTCGCATGGGTCTTGGATGTGGCATCCACTTCTACACCGTTGGACTTGCTGGCGTTTGGCCTTTAAGCCTTGGTTGTATCTGCAGCTATGTTGAAATGAGGGTAAAGATTTTACGATCGACTGAACGAACTGTGCTTTTATGCGTCGGGCACCTCTATCATTCTAAACTTGTAACAAAAGAAAACGAGCTTGAGCCCAGATCTGTAAGTCCTTATCCCCAGCAATTACACCCCCACCTTTGACATGCTTGTAAGAAAGTCTGCTTTCCATGAACGTTATGCCACACACGTAGCCTTTCCGTCTCGCTCCTCATTTTCTCTCCTGTAGCAACATGCGGAAGTCAGGCTTCTTCCACACCGTGTATCCCATACCGTCACGGTCCCAGTCAAGCGTTGTGTCAAACCACTCGACATCATACCTCCAGAGGAGCTTGGCAATGATGAAGCGCATCTCGAGATATGCCAGGTTCTTGCCAAGGCAGCCCCTGGGCCCAGAGTGGAAAGGAAGGCTGGTCTCAAACTTGTCACCCCACTGCCCTTCCGGCTCGTCGGGAAGCCACCGCTCCGGCACAAACCTGTTGGGCTCGCGGAAGTTCTTCTCATCATGGACAAGTGACCAAGGGTGAATTGAGACGCGCGTCTGCAGTTTGAATCGTTAGCAGATGATACAGCCACCCACCAGCCAAGCTATTCGCGGAATACTCACGCCTCCAGGAACCCAGTAGCCGGCGATGTCAGCGCCACCATCGGGCACGATTCTGGGCAGGTGGGCTGCGCCCGCCGGGGGATAGATGCGCAGGCTCTCGTTGCACACCGCATTCAGATAAGGGCAGTCCTCGGTTAGCGCCCTGGCGTCAATGTCAGACTCCGACGGAAACCGGTCGCGGATCTCCTTGGTCAGGCGGGTGAGCGTTCGCTGCTCTTTGCAAAGATAGTACATCGTTCCGGGCAGGAAAGTGGCAGTGGTGATGCTACCCGCAAGCATCATTGCTTGGAAGTGAGATGCGATCTCACTGTCGGCCGGCCTTGGGACGCTCTTGTCATTGAGCATGTGGTACAGAAAGTCTTTGGTGTCGGTCTTCATGGCGAGGCGACTTGTGGCATTATTTAGTGATTTGCCAATGACAAACAACAAGTGAGATACGTACGCTTGGGTATATTCATTTGCGTACTCTGCATGACGAACGATGGTGTCTTGCAGGATCTTGGGCATGTACCAAGTGACCAAGCTGAAAAGTCCAGGGATGACTGTAATGGCCCTCAACATGTCATTCACGTTGGTAGTGGCGGTGATGACATCGGCCCAGTGAAATTTACCCAGAGGTTGCTTCTGGGTCTGAATCTCCCACAAGTCCCCAAAGCACATTTCTCCTGCATCCCGATGAGTTGTCAGCCATGAACCTGCATCAGCTTGACTACGAACCCCAGCTTACCCATAATATCATAGGTCACATAGTAAGACCACTTCACGAAGTTGATGCCCCGCTTCCCATCCTCTTCCCGAAGGCCTCGAAAGTTGGCCAACATTTCGTCTGTGCGTCGTTTAATGACATCCTGGTGTTTGAACAGGTTGGTATTGGCAAAAGCATGGCTGAGCATGTGCCGCATGCGCGCATGCTCCTGCTTGTCGATCTCGACAATAATGTTGACGGTATTGTCGACCTCGGGAGTAGAGAACTCGGGATCTTTGGCAAAGGAGGGGACTTTCTTGTTCCCGAAGCCGTAGATGGGCTTCTGCGCATCGTGGGTGGAGAAGCTGAGATGGTTCACTCCAACCCGAACGACGGGTCCTGGGCGGGAAGCATGTTAGCGAAGTGCAGGGCGACAGTGTCAGGGCATAATTGCACAAAGAGGGTCGTAGAAGGAGGAGCCCACCATATTTCTTGTGCCAGTCGTGGTTAACCCAGGGGGCCCGGCCCTTGAGTAGTGTCCAATACCACAGTGCCTATAAGTAGTGTTGATATAAGCCAGGAGTCAATCTTCAAGGGAAAATCCGAGGCAGCCCTACGTTGCTAAAGGGTGCGAGCGGTGGACCCGGGAATCTGGATAGAGGATGGAAGTAGTAGCGATAGGTGCATACGGTGACACAATAAACAAGGCACTAGATATTCTTGTGCATTAGTGAAAGGCTGTGGAACACCAAGACCAACAGCATCCAGGGATGGTGGTAGGTGCTTACGAGAAATGCCGAGTGCTTTGCAATGTTGGACAGCAGATCAAAATCGAGCCAAAGCGCGTGCTTCGTCAAGAAATAGAGAAGGAACGGGTCGGAGTCCATTTTGAAGGAATGTTGATATAACGGGAAAACAGCAGAGGCAGAAAGGAATGACCAGAGAGAACAACAAGCAGAGGCACTTCCTATTCCTCTTTATCGATGGCAACGAATCGTCCTTATCCCCACGGTGTCTCCTTCAGTCATTCAATTTATATAGCTTTGATTCGAGTCCAAGACAATTCCCACCGTCCCCCGGACCCGGCCCACCGTGGCGGCGCGCCATGGCTTCGCTAAGACGAGCCCAACTTCGTCCAGATCCCATGAAGTTGGGAGTTCTCAGCAATAGTAAGCCCCATCTCAACAACGCAAGGGATCCGAAACCACGGGAAAGCCTGGGCGTATCCTGGGCCGCTCCTTTGTGTTAACAGGCATCTACGCAGACACTAGAACCGGTGAGCAGAATTGTGGTACCGGTCAAGGACGCTGTCTTGGGCTTAGTCGTTTCGCGTATTCATCTTGCTTCTTTTTGACTCCTATCACGAACGGGCATCTCGGATGCAAGAGGATCTGACGGAATCAGGCACGAAGTGCCTAAATGCGTCCCACAAACAGAGAACAACTATTTTGGTCCCTCAAACCAAAAAGGGCCCCGTCAGAGATCGGCACCGAACGAAGTGCAACGTCGGGCAAGTGATGGTCAGATTAGTTGACGGACTGCTAACAGAAGTACTTGGCTATCCATCAAGCGCATCGGGTTTAGGTAGTGGGATAGCCCTTCCGAGTTCCAGGGCAAGGATGTGACAAGGATAGTGATTGTTAAGATTGAGGTAGCTCCTGATGAACTTCCGTCAACTATTCAGACGCCCACTTGGTCGGGCTTTCGCGTCTGAGATTAAGGGGACATAGAATATGACATTAGTTTCCAGGATTCTTGAACCGATTCCTCGGCAGGTCGCCTCAGAAATGTCGATAAAACATCCTGGTATGCCTGAGCAAGGGCCAGGGATAACACAGCACAGAGTTCCTCCACGTCACTTGCGGATTGTGCGATGCGTTGCCGACTGTGGCCCTACGCAGTGCACAGGTAGCATCCTGCAGCTCGCGATGTACCCGCGGGACAACGATTGATCCCTCATGAAAGCGAAAACGAAAACAAAGAGACAGTGGTAAGAGGCGGGCCGGGCTTCCTGAACAGTTGCTGCCAGCAATCTGCATCTGCAGCAGATGCATCTTGTTAAGACCGAGAATTGCAGATATTAAACCCCAAGCTTGCGAGACCTCGATTCGAGCTCCTTCCATTCTTGTCGAGGTTCATTGTTCTCGAAAAATGCTGCAGGAACAATACCACCTAACCAAATAGGCACAACTACGTGTCTTGTCGTTCAATACTTCATACTGCTCCGCTTTCGCTACCATATTTCAAGACCTCACCCGCTGTCCACTAGCCATTGCGGGGGTCTTCACCAAAGGCAAACGGCCGTTGAGGCTCGAGACCACGGCATAGACGCAGGAAAAGGGGGATCGAGCCAATGTAACCCTTGTTCGTCAAGCCGTCCAACCCAACTCTTTCAGAACCCAGATGTCCACTTTCTTCAGTCATTGGTGTTTAAGGTTGACATTCACCAGAATCCGCGAATCGGGGACCACCCTCGAGCTAGGTACAAGGATATTCCCTGGTAAAGCGGCGCTCAGACATGTCACATCTTGAGTGGGACGCGTACAGGCTTTTTTGGGGAGCGGCTGACATATCCACTTAAGTAGGGTTGCATTTGCCAAATATGGCTATTACACAGGACGCAACGGTCACCGGTGCGAGTCGTTGTGCCGAAGCTCCAACCGCATCCGTCCCGCGTGCCAGGGCCTCGACGTCCCGGACAGGTAGCATGCATGACTATTGGACGTGCGAATCCAGGTGTGCAATTCTCGAATGTGATGTGACAGGCACAGGGTACAGCTACAGGATAATGTTACAATGCCAAGCCGCTCAACTCTGCTCAACCGTTTCTTTTGTTCCTCCCAATCCGCCTCCGCCACATGTTTCACAAATCCGTGACTCAAGCACAGTGGAACGGCTAGATGCCCTGCGTCCGCGGTCCCCCATAAGGATTTGCGTCAACATAAGAAATTTGAATTTGTGTCGTCTTGTGAATGCGAGACCCATCACGGCTCATGCCCCGGGAATGTGTTGGGCTCGAATTGGCGTGAGTGTGATAACCATGTGTCGTCTCCTGCCTTGCGGACCGAATGATGCTGGATTCTTCGCTATCGTCGAGCTCCATCGCTGAATTCATAGCGGATTGCTTGTTGCCCTTGAGCCCTGAGCGACCGCCGCTTCGCAGGCCGCTGTCGTCACCGGAGCGTTCGTCCGCGAGTCGGGTGTTCCGCGTCATGTTGAGCAAGGACGGTGCATATCGAATAATAAGCGGCTTCAGATGCACCAGGGACGCACAGACGATTCCAACGTTGGCCTCGACCGATGACCAGATGGCTGAGCCGTAGTTGTCCCCTGGAATTGCCCCAGTTAGCCATGCATGCACTTCAAGGGTCTTCTGCCGGCAAAGAAAAGTATTTTTGCACACTCACAGGTTACGTCCGCAGAAACAGATGCCAAAGTGAGAGACTGCAAGCGCAGGATTCCAGTTATGCAGACAAAGGCACCCACAACGAAGACGAGAATCAACGCTATACGTTGCTTTCTCGGCAACTGGATCTCCCAGAACCTCTTGATGGGAAAGAGGTAAATGATGATGTCCTGGGCGATATTCAGGCCGGCATTGCTCATAAAGAGGGCTACCTGGTTGAAGCACGTTCCCTCCAACTCTGGGTTCCATGCTTTATGGATCGGATTGCACTGGAACACTCCAGCAAGAACGCAGCAGAACCCCGTGAGACCTACAAATACCATGAGGCCATAGCTGATGTAGCGGTATGATCTCTGCGGGATCAGGCGCAGATAGAGGCACAAGATGGAAATCTTAGTCAGGCTGACAGTGATGTAATAAATCGCCTCGCCGAAGTAGAAGAGCTCTAGGGAGGCAGAGAAGTTGGTCGTCGGTGGAAGGTCTCCAAGGTGCTTTCCTAGTCCATATGCCGTTTCTGAGCAGAGCAACTGTCAGCCAGGGGAGCCCAATCATTTCATCAATCTGCTGGGCTCTGTAGGACTTACGCGTCGACACATCGACCGTGAAGGCGACACTGAACACCCAGGCTGCAATGATAGTCCAATCATCGGCGCCGGGGGACACTCCTTGAAGACCAATCCTGCTCCATAGACGCACAGCAAGGACAACCGTGGACAGGGCAGTCATGGCAGTCACAATGGCTATGATGTCTCCAGAGCGGGACTCGCCCACGATGTAATTGGGAGCCGTAGCTGGCGGAGTAGCAGCCATGGTGATACTGTGGGTTCGAGAAATGGAGTCGATACTAAGAAAAAAGAAGCAAAGGTAAGGCACGATTAGGCTTCAGCGATGCTGGTCGCGTTCGGAGTAAGAAGATTAATCAAAGGGAACACCAATGAACGATTGAACCCCAGGTTCGAGACGGACGTGAGCAAAGTCTTTCTCCGTTCCACAGCACAATATCCCTTCTATATATCCATCTCTTAACTGCTCTCATCCTTGAATCTAGTTCCATCCGCTCGAGTTTCTCTTTTTGGACCAGTCACCCCGTGATTATGCAGGAACCCCGGACAGGCCCTCGATGTTGGTGGACGGGACACAGACACCTGCATGGCCACTCATGCGCTATGCAGGACCGTTTTTTTCGGCCGCAGAGAGACTGCGGAAGGCACATCTGCTCCGTATGTCGTGTGCGAATCTCATTGTGGAGGCTGGAATGAAGGAAGCGAGATGATCAACCTTGTAAGTGCGAAGCCACAAGCATTCACTCCTACGATCGGCAGTTCACCAAGCAATTTTAGGAAAGATACACCGTGCCATTCCGGCTCAATCACTGCTGCCCAGGCACGGAAGTACTGGGTGTGCGATGAGATTTTCAACCCCCAATAGCTACCCTGGCTTAACACCAAACGCCTACACCCCGGGCCTTATCAATGTCTCACTAAACAGGCCGAGTCCCTCTGTCGCCGACACATCACGGTGCCAACAGCACAATTGCCTGCAGGCATGTTTTCGAATAGATAGACCCGGAGCCCGAGTGTGCAGGGCCATGCAGGGATCCAGGTTACGACTGACACCCTCCACAAGCCGAGCTCCCGTCCCGGGATAACAGGGGATTGCAAGCCCAGCCGCTTCAGCTCCTTCTCGATGCAACGCTCGGCCCTTGTGGTGGCTGAAGGAACAAATTACGAAGAACAAGGAGTGCTCGGCGGACAAGATGTAAAAAATGACGATCTATGAATCTAAATTAATCGGGACAACCTTCTCAACCCAGAGCCGGAGTGCGCTTCAAAACACGTCTTGCCTTGGCAGAGGGAGGATGCGGCCATGGCCAAGCGGCGGGGGAAAGAAGAAAAATTGAAGGAGAGATCTCCTGCAGCATCTCGTGCATGAGGGGTTCTGGACGCCACCTGCTGCAAAATCACACACGGAAATCACCATCACACGCGGCCCAATTTCACGCACAAATATGCAGGCCACAGGCGAGCCATAGGACACACTAGCAGGGTGTGCTGCGTCTTCCATGTCGACACAATGCCCCCCAACAGAACGGGCACTTGACAATGACAGGAGGATTGGCGGTGTGAAAGCTCACATTCTCGCTGCCTGTGCCGACAATCTCTCTGAATCACAGTCTGGTCACAGCTGCCTGTCAATATAAGGGGCCACTCGCATTCTCCCGTCCAGTCTGTGTGTGCTCATTCGGCAGTTTCTCGCGTTCACATCAAGCAGACAGCACATCCCATTCGTGCCACCTCTCCCGTCTACTGCATTAGCCGCTCTTCCCACCCGCCCCCCTTCTCTATCACAATATGCCTATCGACTTTCACCTCGGCCCCACTGAGGCCGGCATTCGAACCGCCGCCGCAGGATTCGCTCAGGGCGTCCTGAAGCCGGCCCGCGCCGAGTACGTCAAGTACACTGAGCAGCACAAGCGATTCCAGGCCACCCAGCCGGCCTACGCGGCAGCCGTGCAGGGCGGCCTGCTCAAGGGCCAGGTCTCGCCAAAGTTTGGAGGTACAGCTGGCTCGCTGATCGAGGCCGCCATCATGGTCGAGGAGTGCTATTCCGTGGAGCCATCGGCGGCCCTGACCATTTTCGCGTCTGGCCTGGGCCTGACGCCATTGAACCTTGCAGGTGACCCAGAGAAACATGCCGAGTTCGTCGCACCATTCCTCAAGCAAGAGGGAGCACCGATGGCGTCGCTCGTCTTCAGCGAACCAGGTGGCGTTGCCAATGCCCTGGAGAAGGGCGCGCCGGGTTTCCAGACCACCGCTCGGAAAGAAGGCGACGAGTGGGTGATCAATGGCGAGAAGCTCTGGGCCACCAACTGCGCTGGGTGGGACTTCAAGGGCTGTGATCTCGCCTGTGTTGTGTGCCGCGATGTGACCGAGCCGGATAAGCACGACCCGAACAGCGACCCCAGGGACCACGTCATGATCATTCTGGTTACACGGGCAGACCTAGACCGCTGCGGACCCGATGCCTTCCAGGTCCTGCGACACGTCTCAACACCCGGCCACACCTCGGTCTCTGGGCCCCATGTCAGGTACACCAACGTGCGCGTGCCGGCCAAGAACGTGCTCTGCCCACCGGGCCAGGGCGCCCAGGTTGCGTTCGGCTCCTTCGACGCCAGCGCCGTCCTCGTCGGCGCCATGGGCGTGGGCCTCATGCGCGCGGCCTTCGATGCCGCGCTGGCCTTCGCCAAGCGCGACAACCGCAACGGCGCCGTGCCACTGCTGGAGCGGCAGGCCTTTGCGGACCTGCTGTCCGGGATCAAGATGCAGACCGAGGCGTGCCGCGCGCTGACCTGGAAGGCCGCGCACGCCATGGAGAAAGGGCCCGGCGACTACAACGCTCGTCGGGAGCTGGCCCTTTCTGCCAAGATCTTTTGCAGTGACTCTGCCGTCAAGGCGGTTGTCGATGCGACTAATGCTGTGGGAATGTAAGTTGAATCGTCATCGCCATCCTATCAATGCATCGAGAGATTGCGGGACATGCTAACGTCTTGCGGCCAACAGCACTGCGTACGATTTGGATCAGCCTTTTTCCGAACTTCTCAACAACGCTATGGTCTTGCCCATTTTTGATGGAGGGAACGTTGGCATTCGAAGGCGGCACATGCAACAGCTGATGCTGCTGCCAACCTATGACGCTTGGGCGGCGACATATGGCACGCCAGAGTAATAATGATGAGAAGGAAGAAGGGAATGTGGCAGAAAAAAGTGCTATGCAGCGGTGGTACTCTAATTTGCCTTCGCCTCCGTCGTACCCCGAACGTAATCATTCTTCTGCGGTGAATGTAGGTACTGTTGGTTGATGAAATCTTAAAAGAATATGGTGTCGTACAAACTGAAATATTGTCAACAGATGAGAGTGCTATGATCACTTTGACATGGCAATGTCTCCAAGAATCATCAATTGCATTGACTATTAGAGCCTCGCTCTTTCTTGTCCCTTGATCCCGTGGACAAGGGACACGTTCCCAAGCGCCCTGTTGCCCTTGCTTCCCTCCATCAGCACGTTAAAAGGCTGTTCATTCGCCTTCAATGATCTCCACTGCCAAGCTTTGATGGCTGGCCGGTTCAGATCTACCCGCTCCATGACATCCACGATCCATTTGCCGATACATGGCATATACTTGAACGCGTGACCACTGCCTCCTGTCGCAACCATCAACCCCTCTGTGTCCGGGACACGATCGATGACGAGATGGTTATCGTAGCTGTCGGTGTACCAACAGGCGCGGGTCGTCTCGACATTGATGCCCTCGGCGCGTAGCTCTGGTAAGTGGCTATCAACGAATCGATCAATGGTCTTCATCGCCTGGACGGGGATTGTAGTGAGAGGCTCGCTCTTGGACCACCTTGTAATCGGCACGCTGCGCTCCTTGCCATCAGATTGCACCTTTGGATTCGTGTACTTGGTGCCCCGGTAGCCGATCTTGAGCAGGCCGTTTGAGTCCCGAGGGAAGCCATAGAGACCACCTTCTGCCCCTCTTCGCATGTTCCACTGCCAGGAGGGGAAGTTCTCGGGATCCAGGCGGTCGTACAGTGGGGAGCTCTTGGGAATTTTAAAGATCACGACTGACCCAGCTGTGGCTTCACACAAGCCGTCGAGCTGAGGAAGGAGCGTAGGCGTCCAACATCCGCAAGCAATGATCGTGAACGCTGCAGTGTGAACTTTTCCGTCCTGTGTCGTGATGCCGAGTATTCTGTTGATAGAACCCGGGGTTCGATTAAGCGACAGGAAAGCTCCAGCTGCCGGCCCAAAGACGAACTTGACCCCCAAGCTGCGCGCTTTGCATAGGGCGAAGCGGCAGGCCTTGTCTGCAAGTACCGTGCCGCCCGTCGAGTCGAGAAGCGCCGTGTGCCTTTGACCCCTTGCCCTTCGCCTAAAGGGGTCCATGGCAAACGCCAGACCCTTCTGGCGGGCAATCTCCTCGTGCCGTGCATCACCCGCAATAAGCTGGGTGTCCTTGTTGCCTGACCTTTCCATATTGGCGATCGTGTCTCGTTCGAAGGGCAACAGCTCTTCTGTGTCGGTCATAACCAGATTACCGTGAGGGTAGAAAATCGTCTCCGCCGATGACATTCCCGGTGGTACGACACGCCCGCTTGCGAGCTCATCGTTCCAGGCTTTCCAGCCCTCGATACCCTCGAACGAGAGCTCTTGGTAGATGGTCTGGCCACCGTATGCAGCTCGGACAATCTTGTTGATGTCAGCTGAGGCGGCGTCGCTCCCTTTGAAATAGGAGTATTGCGTCTCATCGTACAGCTGCTTGTCGAACACAGTTACGTTCACGTAGCCACGCTCGGCGAGGGCGAGGGCAGTACTGAGGCCGAAGGCGCCCGCGCCGACGATGATAATGGCATCATTTTTGGTCGGAGTCGCCATTGCGATACGTCGAATAGACCTATCCAAGAGAACTTGTTTTCTTAAAGAGTCGATTTTCCCCTTGGTCAACTGGAGGATCTCCAAGGGGCTGAAAAATGCGTCCTCGAGATCCTACCAGCCTAGATCGCTTGGTATTTGTTCCAATATGTACTCTAGTGGAAAGGCTTCGGATTATCTCAATAATGTGAGTTCTCCGCAGCTGAAGTGAGAGGCATTGGCGAATCGGAGTAGAGTAAATAAGCGATACAGGCTGGAATATCGTGTTGTGAGCTCCAGGAGCACTTCTTGTCTGGTAATGGAGATGACCGAGGTGGTGTGGAGATCCCAAGAAAAGAGAACTACCTGACTGATAGCAAGATAGGTCAGTGTCTTACCCTATTCGAACGAGTACTGGGGGTCACGCGAGTCTAGTTGTAGTCGAGTTCGGTATCAGTCTAGCGTCTCCGCCTTCTTGGGTGGCTCGGATTCCTCCGAGCCCGGCGAATCCCCTTTGATAACCAACTTCACACAGGCCTTCGTGGGAACGAGACCCCGTGGGGTTGAGTATCATCGCACCGAGTGTTGGCAACCACCATGCGATTATTGGCAAGGATGTCAACTATGAAGATAAGGGTCGCTAGTTAACGCAGAGGAAGGCTCCGGTATCAAGTATTTGAGTCGAACCTCATCCTCTTCATCCCACCTGAGACTCTGCTCTTCAACCCGCCTGTGTCAATTTCAAGACACCGCTTTCCTGCCAAACTCATTTCGAGCCCTCTCCTTAAACTTTTCCAGGATGGGTCTTGGAAATGTGTTTGCCCGCTCGACGCTGGGCAAATATGCCAAGTCGATCAGATCCTCGCCTCGCGAGCTGATCTGCAACCACCGACTCTTATTGACGGCAGCGCTCTATGCCATGGCAGGCATCCCAATCAGTGAGTCGGCAATCTATAGCATATAATCTCTTTCGGTATAGAGCTAACGTGCTGGTTATTAGCATGGGATCAAGGTTCATCCTCTGTCGTACCGTCGCTGCCAGGTTTCGCAAAGGCATTTGGCATCACCTCAGCCACCAATCCGACCCAAGTCGCGAACTTCGTATCCCTCGTCTACGTCGGCTGTTGCGTTGGCTCCATGCTCTCGTTCTTCATCAATGACCGCATCGGCCGTCTCTGGTCATTCCGACTCTACATGACTGTTTGGATCATCGGGCAGATGATGGCCACCGGCTCGGGAGGTAACATTGGCGTCCTCTACGCCGCCCGTATTGTTTCCGGCCTTGGTATCGGACCCCTAACCGTGACGGGTCCCATGTCCATCGTGGAGATCGCGCCGACTGAGATTCGTGGGCTATTGGCCGTGTGGTTCAGTATCGCCATGCTGTTGTCCCTCACGGTGGCCGTGTTTGCAGTCTACGCCTCCTTCCTGCACATCGCCGCAGGCGCTCTGCAGTATCAAGTCATCTTTTTCGCGCCCACCATCGCCATGGCTCTGGTCATTCTCTGCAGCTTCTTCCTCTATGAGAGCCCTCGTTGGTTGATGCTGGTTGGACGTCGCGACGAAGCCGTCAAGACCCTGGTCGCGCTGCGTGGCCTGCCTAGCGACCACCCACGCGTTGCCGGCGAGATTGAAGATATTTCCGGCCAGATTGCAAAGGAGAGGGGCGAGTTCGAGCCGGGGAGCGGCTCCGGTATAAAACTCCTGCCCATTCTGAAAGAGACCTTCTGCGTCAAGGCCAATCTGCGCCGCGTCTTCCAGGCCTGCTTATCCTACGCACTTGCTCAGTTATCCGGAGCGAACAGTGTCACTTCATACCTCGTTCCTATCCTCAATCTTATCGGAGTTGAGGGTGGTACAAAGAATAGTCTGTTCTACTCGGGCATGTACAGCATGGCCAAATTCTGGTTCACTGTCATTGCTAGTTTCTTCTTTATCGACGCTCTCGGACGGCGCAGAAGCTTGTTTATCGGCATAACCATTCAGATGATCTCGGATATCTATGTCGGAGTCTTCATCAAATTTCGCCAAGAAGGTCCTGTGTCCCAAAGCTCGAGCCAGGCCGCCCTTGCCGCTATCTTCCTTCATGGCTTCGGATATGCGGTCGGGCTCTTGGTCCTGCCATACGTTTTCGGTGCCGAGCTATGGCCTAACAATATCCGGTCATTTGGCGCTGCCTTTTCCCAAGCATTCCACTGGATCTTCTTCTTTGGCGTCAACAAGGGCGTCCCATCTCTTCTGATTCAGACCCACAACTGGGGCGCGTTTTTGTTCTTTGCTGGATGGTGTTTTATTTCTTTGTTCTATGTTTTCTTCTGCGTTCCCGAGACAGCAGGACTAAGTATGGAGAAGATTGACAAGCTTTTCGAAGGGCGATGGTGGGATGCACATCGACAAGCCCAGAAGCTCAAGGATGAGGAGCTTGTTCTTGACTCTGCGACCTTGTAAGTTGACGAGCTATGATGCCTCCTCGGCGATACCTTCAAACTAATGCCAACACCAGGGAAATTTCCAATGACAGGTCGTCAACATCCAAAGATCCTAGTGTGAAGCCTAAAGTTGTAGTTTAAGCGTGACGAATGGCTTTTCTCTATTCTCAGATAGAAGATTGCTTCTCTTACGTCCAAGGAGAGCTTCAATTAAGGACATATTGGTTTCATTGGCGGAAATCGGCTGGGTTGGATTGAGGATACGGTTGGGATTCATTCAGACATGTACGGTCAATCTCCAAACTATAGAAGCGATCGAATCACCAATCCCATATACCCAAGAGAGAGATTAAGCCCAATCATATTCGTTAGAACCTCTCGTATGAGTACGATACGATTTAATGCACAACTGATGATGTATATATCTATGTTCAATCAGTCTAGTGGTATTGGTTTCATGAAATGCATCGCCGTTCATTTATCAGCTTATAAAGACACATTCAAGAGGTGAGATACTATCTTTCACACATATTGGTCTTGTTATATTGGCCCGTTTAGTAATACCCGAGTAACGACTTGTTTCTATCATGCCTGTCTATCCCACAGATGCGTTTCGAATTCTTCTATATATGCAGCCCTTTATAATGAGATTTAGTTCTTCAAGGGTAGAACGGCCGAGTTGGGTACACCAGTCGAAAAGTAGGCCTTGATGTTCTCAAAGCATTCCCGCTCGCCTCTCTGGAAGGCCATATCCGTCAGGCCACCCAGGTGCGGCTGGATCACAACCTTGTCACTCTCCAGGAACCATTTATCTACGTTTGGCTCATCGCAGAAGACGTCGAGACCAGCCCGTGTAACTTTTCCAGACTCTAGTGCCTGCTTCAGAGCTGCTTCGTCAACAACGGACCCGCGAGCTGTGTTTATAAGGAATGTGCCGTCCTTCATCGCGGCAAACTCCTTGGGTCCAATCAAGTTGGTCGTGTTGGCGTTTAGTGGACAATTGAGCGATACAATGTCGCTTGAGGAGAGCAGCTCATGTAGTGAGCTGCAGTAGGTAGCGTTGTACTTGGCTTCTTCTTCTCTTGGCAGCCGGTTGCGATTGTAGTACCGGATGTTGATATTGAAGACTGCTGCTTTCTTGGCCAGATACTGGAGACGCACAGAAGTTAGCCAGACGCGTGAGATTCCAGGGACGATTCGATTCACCTTGCCGATACTTCCCAGGCCAACGATGCCCATTGTGAGCCCAGAAGGGTCCCGAGCTGGCACCAGGCCGCTGGCAGCTCTCCACGTGCCATTGCGCGCACTATTTTCGGCGTTGGTGGTATTTCGCAAGACCGCCAAGGTCAGGAAAAGGGCCATATCAGCGGTAGCCTCAGCAACAGCATCAATGGTATTGCAGAGGTAGACGCCTTTGCTAGCCAGCCACTCTGCAGGAAATTCATTGTATCCCGCACTCGATGAGGCGACAATCTTGCAGCTGGGTGCCATCATGCTGAACATCTCCTCGTCAAAGGGCTCGTAAGGCGGCGTGCCCATCCGAATAATGAAAGCGTCGATGGGCCCATTCTTTTTGATGTCCAAAGGAAGCTTTTCCTTGGTCTCCTTGTGGTTATATGCCTCGAGGACAGAGAAGTCGAAGTCTTCTTGGAACTCGGCCAGGTAGTCGTCACCAACAAACTTGGGCTGCCCCAAGCATACCACACGGGGCCGTTTGCCCAGATCGATACGGCCTGGAGACATGATGGACCGATGTGTTTGCTGTGTTTGTGTGCGGTAAGTTCCAAGCAATGGCAGAGTCAAGAGAGGGAGCAAAGATGATCTAAGGCTTTCTGGCCTGCTCGATCGAAGGCAAGCTTGAAGATGTACCTTCTGCAGATGAGAATGACCCTAGTAAGTTCAGCGGGTATTGATTTTCGGTTTAGCTTAGCATGGGGTCAATTCTCCGCTTTTGCCAATGCCTCGCAAATCGCCGAGTCGCTTATCCACGTTCCTCGGATTCTCCCGAGGTGTGTGTGAAGAAGCCTGCCCCGCAAAGCTAGGACTCTATCAAACAAGTGACGGTGGTCATTTGGGCCGGTCTTCGCAACGCACTAAGCCGTCGCATTATTGTTGAATCATGGAGGAAGCGACCCTTTGAGAAGACCTGCCGTGCTTTAGATATCTAGATTGAGACACCAACTTGGGTGCATACGCAGCTCATGAAGTCTCTCGGAGAAGCCCGCCCATGCCCTCAAGTTGACGATGGCTACTGCAGACTTCGACAGGTCGGAGCCTCTCCCTCTTATGGGATTTATTGCCGTGGAGGTCAAGATCCATCGCCCTGCAGGAGATCCATTCAATGAGAAGACCTGGCCGTTCCCTCTCTTGCGGGAGATAGCACCGGGGTCGACTGAGTCTCAGATAGTGACCAGCGACAAATATGACAGCGACTTCATTGATCGCTTCGTCGAGACTGGCAAAAAGCTTGCAGACCGAGGATGCGTTGGGCTCCTTACGAGCTGCGGTTTCCTTTGCAATGCCCAGCCCGAGTATGTCAATAGGAAAGGCCTGGCAGAAAGGACACCTTTTTGCTGATATTGTTTAGACTGTCGGCTCGTCTGCCGATTCCGATTGCCACATCTTCTCTACTCCAGCTGCCATCTGTCCTGAGTTTGCTTCCTGTCAACAAATCCGTTGGTGTGATCACTTACAACGGTGACAACCTCGGCCAAAAGCATCTGGAGTCCCTTGGGATCATACATTATGCTCCTAGGATCCAGATTCGCGGTCCTCCTGCGGATGGTCCGCTGAGAAAGCTGATGGTTGGCCTAGGACCTTACATCCACGCCCAGGTGGAAGCCGAGTTGGTCGAGGTAGCCGTCGGGCTGCTCAAGGACTATCCTGACATAGGAGCATTCGTGCTGGAGTGTACTCAGATGCCGCCTTTCGCGGAAGCTATCCAGAAGGCGGTTGGGAACATCCCCGTTTACGATGTCTACACCATGGCAACATGGTTCTACTCTGGTCTGGTCCGACGGAGACCCAAGAGATGGGGCAATATTGATACTTGACCTGGCCAGATAGCGAGTCGATTTAAACCCTTGTTATGAATTCTTGATGAACGCAAGTCGAATAATGGACAATACTTTGACGAAGTGGTCAGTCTGGCTGATCGAGGAGATCTGAAAAGTCTTTGCGGTACATGCGTTGCTATGTCAAAGGGCAGGCCTCAGCTTTAGGAATGAATAAGATGAAAGAACATTCAGACTCTTAATATCAAGAAGATCAACCGATTCTCAAATTTTACTAGACTTAACCTCCCTCGTGAAACCGAACAGATTAATAAAACTTGTACTCCAAGCTTCTTCCATTATCTCATTTTATCAATCTTGAATATTATTACTGACCCTGATCCCTGCTGGTACCAATATGTCCGGTTTTACTTTGTGGTTGATAGTTGATAGCCTTCTCCAAGAAATTCAAGCAAATAGATTTGTCACCTTGCAAACTGCTACTATTCGAGGAACTCTCCCTTGGTCTCCTTCAACAAGAGATCATACTCGGACATGAACTGCATGTACATGACCCCCGGAGTGCCGGTTCCCTGCTTTGTGTACTCAGCTTCTTCATCGCTCACTAGCGTAGGCTGTAGACCGCGCGACGCTCCGAGACTGTTGGGTGCCACGGCCGCCTCAACCAACAGCTGCGTCTGGCAAGCACGCTCCAAAGCCACGAAGAAACCGGCCGCCTCCGCCACAGTCCCTCCACACGTAAGAAGGCCATGGTTCTGCAGGATGATGTTCTTGTTCCGAGGGCCGAGGTGAGCGGCGATACGGCCGCCCTCCTCACGAGCCAACACAACACCGCCAAAGCCCGCATAGACGGAGAGATCGTTGTAGAACATGCAGCTGTCCTGGTTGAACATGTCGATAGGACGGCCGAAGGTCGACCAGGCTCGGCCGTAGGGACTGTGCATGTGGCAAGCCGCGTTGATGTCCGGCCGGGCCTCATGGATAGAGCTGTGGATGATGAAGCCTGCAGTGTTGATGGGACGATTGCCGCCATCGATGCGGTTGCCGTTGGCATCGACACGCACCATGTCAGACACCTTGAGCATGCCGAAATGCACGCCATAAGGGTTGATCCAAAATGTATTGGGCTCTACGGGATCTGTGCTCAAGAGTTAGCTTGATTCACCTTCACCAGCGGGTGGGGTGTCATTGATAAAACATTGCAAAGCTCATCGGCTTGACGTACCTCTGAGGCTGATATGTCCACTGCATCCATCCGCGTATCCAAGCTTGGCAAATAGGCGAAAGGCACCAGCCATTTGCTCTAGCTGCCAGCGCCGCTGGGCTTCCTTAGTCTCAGGCCAAGGGATGTGATGGATCCGCTTGTAGTTCAACTGTCCATCGGAAGAGACGGCATTGAGAGCCGAACCTCTAGTCTGCACAGAGACCGACGAGGCCGGCTCGGTCGCTGAGGACAGGGTGACTGTTTGTGTGGAGGACATGGCTGCCGGTCGAGTGTAGTGATAAGATAATGTTGTTCTCAGTTCAAGCGATTGATACGAAAGAACTCACAAGTGGAGATGAACGTTGGCTGAATTTGTTATTCTTTAATATTGCGAGATTACCGCACCGCACGTTCCTCTGGACATAACGGACCTCAAGGTCGGTGATGTCGCCTTCTCCAAGATGTTGGGCAGAACGAGCTGGGTGGCAAAGGGCTAAGTGATGGTCCGATTAGTTGACGGGGCTGTTAACAGGAGTACTTTGTGATCCATCAAACTCATTGGTTTTAGGTTGTTGATCCCCCCCCCTGAATTGTACAGCAGGGGCACGTATTGTTAGCATTGAGGTATTTGCTGATGAACTTCCGCCAACTAATTATTCTGGCCCCCGCTTGATGGCTACTCGGCATCCCCCGAAGGGCGAGAACCCCGACCCAAGTCATCATCACCTGCCCCACTCGCACGCATGAAGACTTGCGGGGCGAAGGCGATCGGGGGAAACCGTGGATCATTCAGCATCAGATGGGCGCTTCGTGATATCTGGTAATGGACGTGGTCCGGAGGGAGTGTACGGTAGTAAGGGGTCGGCATCAACCGATGGGTCAGGTCATTTTTTTGGACGCCAGGTCACTTGCCGGAGGCCGACAAGGACCAGCATGTCGGACAGGCGGCCTTAATGTGTGACATTATGCTGTAAGTATGGAAACAGATGTGCTCGATGATGTAGATGAGCAACATTTTCAAACACTGCCTCTGGAGACTATTTTTTACGAAATTCTTCATCGGTGGCCTATGAATTCCCTCCTCAAGATGACCTCCGCGCTGTCCAATATGGGCCGACAGGGCCTCTCATCGAGGCATCAGCCACCGAGCGACTTCGTCGAGCCTGATGAACTCCGGACAAGCTTTGCTCTCGCCATGTCGCAAATGTATCGAAACGAAGTTCCACTCTATGGAGATCTAATTCGCATCGTGCAGGATGTGAACCACTCAGTCATCACTGCACAAGGGCGTGACGGCGCCGTCAGGAGTTCCGCCGAGCTTGAGCGACTCACACTCGAGCGCCATGGTGCTATTCGGCTTGGCACTCCCGAAGAGCTTCTCACGGTCAAGCGCATCTTTGCTTTACTGGGAATGCAAGCCGTAGGATACTATGATCTTTCCGTGGCTGGACTCCCAATGCATGCTACCTGTTTCCGACCCGTTTCTACCATATCGCTTGCACGCAACCCCTTTCGTGTATTTACAACACTCCTCCGCCCAGAGCTTGTACAGTCCGACAACGCCCGAGATCTAGCGTTGCAGCTTCTAGAAAAGCGCCAGATCTTCAGTCAAGACCTTCTGAGAATTCTCGATGTCGCCGAGACCCAAAACCTCCGCCTGACATCTGATCAGGCGGCAACGCTCATCCGTGAAGCGCTGTACACGTTTAGTTGGAAACCGGTCGCAGCTGCAACCTATGCCGAGTACCAGATCCTCAGAGCCGAGCATCCTATTCTGGCCGATATAGCCTGCTTCAACTCAGCTCACATCAACCACCTCACGCCAAGAACTCTCGACATCGGCGCTGCACAGATTGCCATGCAGAAGGAAGATATGGACACCAAAGACAGGATCGAAGGACCGCCTATTCGGGCATGCCCTATCTTGCTGCGTCAGACAAGCTTCTTGGCTCTCGAGGAGGCGATTCGCTTCAAGACAGACGATGCCGGCGAGCGGCTCACCAGCGGCTCGCATAAGGCGCGGTTTGGAGAAATCGAAGAACGCGGCGCTGCAGTCACCCCTGCTGGGAGGGATCTCTATGACCGGCTCTTCAGTGAAGCCATGTCAGCTGCCCGCGGACTAAGTCCCGAGGCAGCTGACGCGATACTGGCCAAGGCATTCCAGAGATACCCTGACACGTGGAAAGAACTTCGCCAGCGGGAGCTAGTCTATTGCGAGTACCGTTGTACTGGAAAGGCCCTCTCACCATCCCTTGAGTCGGGCGAGATCTCAGAGAGCTTGGTGGAACGGCTTGTTGAGCAGGGAGTACTAGAAGCCGTGCCGATAACTTATGAAGACTTTCTCCCTTTCTCGGCAGCTGGCATCTTTCAGTCTAATCTGAAAGGGAATGCTCCCAAGGCCAAGCTAGAGCAAGAAGTGCCCCAGCCATGTCCCGATCTACCTGGCATGGAGAAGGCACTGGGGGGCTCCGTTCTAGACCCAGATGATCTGTACTCGACGGCTCAAAGGGAGAGCCTGATATCTTGTGCACGCAAGCTTCGGGCCTGATCTTGGATAGCCTGGCATCATATATGCAGTCTTTGAAACTTGATTATAGCCAATATCATTATTCAATCCGTACAAAGAACTTTCCACTAACCCAGTTGGTGTGACTCGAATGAGGACCCTTGCATGTCATTCCCATCCATAAGCGTGGGATCAAAACCTTGCGTTAGAATATTTGGCGCGGTCGAAGGATCTTGATCGTTATAGAACTCGTCGGGTTGAAACTGCTGTACTCCCTGCAGAAGCTCTTGGACCAGCCAGTTAGAGTCTTGCGGGATGTTCATGTCGTCCAGGCCCATGATCCAATCCTGGAGCGGCGGAGGGTCGGTCTCGACAAGGTGTTGGGTGTGGCTCGACATCGATTGAAAGCCATTAAACGGCCCCTCGGAGAATCCCGCTGACCCGTCGCCTCCACAAACCATGGAGATGGTGCGTTGCGACAGAACCTCGAAGATGTCCCGGTAAGATGTGGCGAGATTCCACCGTTCTGCGATGATAATGAGGACGGTGGTGCACGCGAGGCAGGTGTTGATGACGTCGGCTTGCTTCGCCATGGACCGGACGCGCTTCGACTTCCAGAGACAATACAGGTATGTGAGTCCTCCAGTGAACAGAATGTGCACACTTCCCCATGTGAACTGAACTGTCGGGCTCTGGTAGACCCTGCGATACAGCAAGCACATCTCTCGAGCACGGAGTGCACACTCTTCAAAGGCCTTCTCGGTAATCTCGCCAAAGGCAGGGTCGTCTTGCTGCTCTCTCATCGCTGTCCCGTCGATATAGTGCCGGTACAAGAGAAGAATGCTGTGGTCGTAAGCCAGCTGAAACCATAGACTGGAGGTGAACACTGATAAGGGATGCGACTTGGAGTAATCAAGACGACAGGGCGCTGTTGAGAACCATTCTTCAAGCTCCTGGCGCAAGCCCTCGACAGAGCCTTTCTGCTTGTTCACGCCAAGCCGTTGCGAAGTGGTAGGGTAAAGGATGTCTGCGATCTTTGTCCAGAACCGTCGAAGCTTGAACTCATGGATTGCGCCGGTCATCAACGTGGGAGGATCCGAGGGCGATGTGCGCGGATCCCGTCGCAGTCCTTGTCGTGTGATGTTCTCGTCGTCGATATCCAGAGGAAATTCAACATCAATCGCATCATCTGGCAAACCAACCGGGCGACCGAGAATGAATGCTGCGGCGCGATCGATATCGTAGGCAACCCAGAAGCACCTCTTCGACATCTCTTTGGTCAAAGGGTCGGCATGCCGGCGAAAGGTCTCTGCACTACGATGATACCCGAGATCGATGCAGTGGCGGATCGCCATGCCAGAGACTGACCATAGACTCACGCCAACCGGCGACCGTATGGAGTAAACAGCACAACAGAGGATAGCTTGGATGGACTCTAGGCCATCCAGTTCGAGAACCGCAGATATGTGATCCAAGGCCAGAGAATAATACAACTATCAGGGAATGTTCAGCTTGCAAGCTCTGGTTGTGCGTACGATGTCATATCGGTCTGCTCACCTGTGCTGCTTCCCTCTGGGCTTGACCCAAGACCATCGACCCGATCGCGTAGACCTGCAAAAGTATTCAATTAGAGGGGCGTTGCAAAGATCACGGCTGTGTTAAGGTCCTACCATTAGCACAAAGAACAGGGCCACTGCATTCACTTTGGTCGGGTCGGACTCGAGAGCGATGACACACGCCTCTTCCCAAGCGGAGAATGTTGGCTGGTGCAGAAACGGATACTGCGGATGAATATTGTTGAAGTATGCCCTAGTGAGCTTTGCCCTTGCAGCTGCGGAAGGGAACTTCAACTCGCGTGGCTGCTGCCGTTGCTGGGTCTTATCCTCCGTCTCCGGCTCGCTTGTGACGCTGGGCCGTGAGGTGCCGCCGTTGCGCGGAAGTCCCATGGTGGCGCTGACAATGCGCGAGAACGACACGGCCGACGAAGGGCCGAAGTAGTGCGGCTCGCGACCGGCGGCGCTAATACACAGGAGCGCCACTTCGGACGAGAGCTGGTCGACATTCTGCTCATCGGCCTCGGCAGACTGTGCGCGGTGCCGGAGGCCTACTTCGCTCTGGAAGGGCTGGTCTTGAAGCATCTGAGGCACATCCGAAGCCGCCTCTCCGCCAGCGGTGGGAACACCCAGCCCCTCCCCGTCGCGGTACAGGGCAAAGTGGTCTGTCGCCACATCGGGGCGGACCTGCTGCAAGAGACTTTCGAGATATGCCACGCGAGACTCGAGCGATTGCATATAGTTGCGGGGCCGTTGCAGGCCGGTAGCAGGATCTTCAACGAGGCATTCTTTCCAGAAGATGAGTTCATCAGTGGGAATAGGGTCGGGTCTTCAGGCGAAGAGGGCGTACACTTACCTCTGTTCGTTCTGTCACAGTTCTTGCATCTTGGGGTTTGGGCATCACACTAACACCATTGTCAGTCAAAAGAGAAGGATTTGGTCTCCGATGAGTATTTTCAAAACGGAATGAAAGGAAGTCGGTGGAGATTGACTCACTTTCAGTTTCCTCTGCTTGCAGCCGGTGCAGGCCAGCAACGTCCGCTCCCCGATGCGTGCCTTCTTGGCCGTATGCGGATTTGTCATGGCACAGAGAGCAAGAAGAGACGAAGATGCTTCTCGTATGCGCAAGCGATCTTAAAGGCTGACGAATGTGGTAAGTGTCGGACGTGTTGACCATGCAGGGCGGTCTACAGTGTTGAGAATGCGGGGGATTGTGACAAAGTGGAGTTGAACTGTTGCAAAACAGATGAGTAGACATAGGCATTTATCAAGTAGTCTGCCGATCTCGTCGCGCTAATAGCTGGTATGGTTACTAACACTCCGATAACTAGATCTAGATCCATGATGGCTTCTGTTAGCGCATAAGATAAATGGCCCTCTTCCTTAACTGATAAGGGCCTACCTTCTTTTGGAGCTGTACCCAGAATATGTCCAGATGTTTGTTTTTTAACGTAGGAACATAGCGAACCCAGATGTATTTGGTGGCACTAGAGAATATCCAAGTTGACCTTGGACAACCCGTTTCTTGTTGTGGATGTTCCCAGGCAGCGCACGTGGTGCCCATTAAGCCACGGCACTTTTGGCAAACGTAATCGAGGCCGGTCGATGAAGTGTAAATATAGTTTCGCCCGCGAACGAGTCTCAGTTGTAAAGCTATACAATGAACACTACATATGTCTAGTACCCCAGGGCAAAGTCTCAAGCGGCAGTCAGAATAGTGAACAGAAGTTCCTCAGAAGATACCTCAATGTGAATATTGCACTGAGACTGGAAAGAGTCATCTCACTAAGTAAACACAACGGGTTTCGTAGATAGTCATGGCCTATCTGCTAATAGCGCGTCAACTCATCCTATCATTACTTGAGTTTCAAGAACGAAATAGATGAAGCCAAATTACAAGCTAATGATGAACAGGTAGTCTGACAGCAGACATTTGCAAGGGTACTGAATTTTGTAAAAGAGGGCTCACAATCTTGAGAAGAGACAACCTGAGCAGAGGAAGTAAGAAATTTCGGCACGACACAGGTTCCAAACTTTCAAACAAAAGTCGGCCGGTTTACCAAAGGGCACCAGATAACACCAGCTGTTGCTGTAGCCTTAAAATTATGCAATATGCTTCCGTACTGATGAAGTTCACAGGCAATCTAGTATGCCGAAAGCGAAGTACTGCCACCGGAACTAAGCTAATTGTTGATAGGCAATGTTTCCCGAACATCCGTGTAAATCGGATCTACACCTGTCCCATGAGGCATCATCTTCGGCGGACCGAAAGCCCAGATACTTCGTGGCTCAAAAGTGATAGTAATTAGAGGTCGAGGGTTGCAGGGATTTGGTATCGTTGGCACCCAGAAGGATTCACTAGATAAATGTTGCAATGCTCCTTACACACGAAATGGGAAGCTCGGGGCATATATTCATAGAAACAATTCTCGTTCTAAAAGAAGTTTATCTACATCACAACTTCATCTGTCGACATGAGAAATTCGGGTCTTTGCTGGGTCATCTCCCATACCGCATATGGCAGGTCAACACCAAATGAGGTCAAGTGACATCTGCGCGCTGCAGATTGTCATCCAGGATCCTAGCTGCAGTGCGAGGTCGAAACCAAATTCCTCCGATTCAAAGCGAACAAAAGAAGTGCCTCAGTCCCTAATCTCAATGGCGAAGATAAATCTATGCAATCCAGAATCACTTTCCAGGGTACTCTCTTTCCCAGACCAGTGTTGTCGTTCCCTGATCCTTATTGCTTGATGGAGTGGCACAGACCGTCATTGGATCCTTTCTGTTGTCACCTTACGGATTCAGCGGTAGTGGGTCTTGAGACTCATCTGGGCGCCCGCATTGCGAGCTCTTCCAGACCCTATGAGTGGACGAACTCATACTGTATGGAGTCACCAAATCATCTAGGGACTCTACCGTGTGGCCAGATTCATGTCCAAGATCGGTACAGACTGAGCCCATATTGGCAGGTGGATATCAAACCCTTTGACAACGTCGACACGCCCGACCAGCATCATTGCCCCGCCGCAGATAAGCTGCATACACTGCACTGCCGCTGGAACACTTAAATCATGGCTTGCGCTATGTTGGCGACGATCGCCGTCTTGAGCTATTCGCATCATCTCGTCCAAAGATGCGGTTGCCAAGGCTTGCCCTCGCTCTGCTGCTGCCCGGAGCATGGGCTCTCAGCCGTCGCGATCAGTTCGGGCCGGTCAAGAACGTCACACTACAGGCGCCGAAGAAGTTCATTGTTGAGGTAGCACCAGTAAGCTGTCACGTCAAGTCATTGCGCATGTCTTGTACAGAAGCTGACTGTCGGTATCAATAGGGCGTCGATCTCGACGAACTAGCCGATAGGATTGATACCGTGTCAACGGCCAAGGTGGTCAGGAAGTTCAAGAGCGATATCTTCACGGGACTGTCTCTCGAGTCCGACCGGGAGAACATCGATACCCTCGAAAGGTTCGCGCAATTCGTCAAGGCTTGGCCTGCGGCTAGGATCCAGCTTGACCCTCATGTGCCCACTCAATCATTCAGCGATGACGCAGCGGCAGCCAACTACTCAGTTCACAAGTACACCGGCGTAGATAAGCTACACGAGGACGGCATATATGGCAAGGGGGCGGTTGTAGCCGTGGTCGACACTGGCACGTGGTACAAACACCCTGCTCTTGGAGGTGGCTTCGGCCTGGGATTCAAGGTCGCCGGTGGATATGACCTAGTCGGCGATGCCGACTGGCCAAATGGCAGCCCCAAGGCTCCCGACAATGACCCGCAGGACAACCTCGGCCATGGCACTCATGTCGCCGGAATCATTGCGGGCAAGTCCGACTGGTACACCGGAGTCGCGCCCGAGGCGACGCTGCTGTCATACAAGGTCTTCTCCACCGTTGACTCGACCGACGAAGACACGCTGATTGACGCCTTCTTGATGGCCTACGATGCCGGCGCCGACATCATCACCTCTAGTATTGGCGGACTGAGCGGTTTCCCCGATGGCCCCTGGGCTTTGGTTGCGTCTCGATTGGTGGACCAGGGCGTCATCGTGACCATCTCTGCTGGTAATAACGGCGAAGATGGAGTCTTCTTCGGGAGCAACGGATCTTCGGGCAAGAACGTGCTGGCCGTCGCATCTATGGATCCCGGTACAATTGCGGCTCTGCCTTTTGAAGGAACCTTCTCCCTTAATGGACAAGTGAACACCAGCTCCCTGGGATATTTCCCAGCCGGTAATCCATGGCGTGTGGAGGGCTTGCCCATCATTCCAATATCCAACAATACTTCCATCTTGGACGAAGCATGCAACCCTCTGCCTGCTAACACACCTGATCTTGCCAATGCCATCGCTCTCGTCCGCCGTGGTACCTGCAACTTCGCTGTCAAACAAGCCAACCTCGAGGCTTTCGGGGCAAAATACGTCTTGGTCTACACCAATGAGAACCCCATCACCACTCCATCTACCACGGACTTTGACTCTGAACTCGGCCTGATTGAAGCCAAGGCAGGCGAGGCTATTATCGCTACCATCGCGGCCGGCGGCAATGTGACAGTGACATTTTCCGATGAAGGTGATCGACTCGTCGGTGTGTTCAACTCGGCCGGCGGAATCCCGAGCGAGTACACTAGCTGGGGCGGCACGTACGATCTGGAGCTGAAGCCGGATGTGGCGGCGCCGGGTCGCAATATCCTGAGCACGTACCTCGAGAATTCCTATGCAGTCCTCAGCGGCACGTCCATGGCGTGCCCTTACGTCGCAGGTGTTGCTGCCCTGTACGTAGGCAAGTACGGTGGACGATCAGTCCACGGCCCGGCGGCGGCTCGGATGGTCGCAGATCGCATTCGGTCCAGCGGTGCCGCTATCCCATGGCAGGTCGAACAGCCCGCCGGTCTGCCAGTCGACTATGGCTTCTGGGCTCCGGTACCGCAAGTAGGCACAGGCCTGATCAGTGCTGTCAAGGTCCTCAACTACACGACGTCGTTGCGATTCGAGCCTTTCGCGCTCAACGACACTGCTCACTTCAGCCGGTACCACAAGGTAGACATCACTAACGGCGGCACGAAGCCTGTGACTTACACGTTCTCGCTGCAACCTGCTGGTGGTCTTGACACACAGTCTGTAATTCCTTCCTATCTGGTGTACTTCTTGGAGATGAAGCCGAGGGCCATCGTGCCCAAGGTCAGCTTCCCGTCGGGTACGTTTACTGTCGAGCCCGGCGAGACGAGGACAGCACAGTTCAACTTCGCACAGCCGGAGGGCCTTGACCCAAAGACGTTGCCTCTGTACAGTGGTAAGGTTCTGATTTCAGGCAGCAACGGAGAGGAGTTCTCGGTGCCGTACATGGGATTGGGATTCTCTCTCAAGGACGAGATGCGGCGGGCCATGTTCTCGGACTCGTCACCCCGTCAGATGGGCGGACCGAACAGGGACGACATCGACATATTCCACTCATATGACTTCAACTTGTCGTGGCTTATCCAGGACTTTCCCAAGGTGCAGGTCGAGCTCAAATGGGGTGCGCGAGAGTTGCGTTGGGACTTTTACGAGGCTGGCTGGAAAGAGTCGCACTGGCAGTACCCGCCCGTCGTCGGGGAGAACGGCTACATCGGTTCGGCGGCGTACTGGGAGAGTTCAGGCTCGTATTGGGCGTTTGATCCGACAACGATGGACAAGGAGAAGACTCTGCCTTTCCCAGTTGTCAACACCCCTCGAACGTCGGTGTGGAGTTTCGGCGAGTACAGCTTCTGGTGGTTCGGCAAGTTAGCGAATGGCAGCTACATTTCCCCCGGAAATTACACGTAGGTCTACCCCCTATCATTCCTTGCCTCGCACACTTCACAGACGTGCATTTTCTCGGCTGTTAGTCAACTTTAGCTGATGAAGCCTCTCTCTCCCAGCATGCGTTTCGCCGTGCGGAGTCCGTTCAGCAACCCGGATCACTCGGATAATTGGGATATTTGGAAGACACCAATAATCACTGTTCTTCCATATGATCCTTCAACGCCGCAAACAAAGATTACCGCTGATAGGCTTTTTGCGGATTCTAATTTCCCACGAGATAGCAACTAGAACCTCGTAGCTAAGAGTCCTGAACAAGGCCCTGAAACGAGTCAGGACCGAGCAAAAGGATTTTTGAAAATGCAGACCTCAATTTAGAAATTTCACGGCATCTTAGCCACCTCACAGCCTTTCGAAATCCCTCTTTCATTTCCTTGTCGTAGTGTGATTCATTGAAGCCCTTGGCAGCACTGAGCGTCCACATCGGCATCTCGGCACCGCACAGACTGGCAACTTACCTACATCGCGGGATCCCAGCCGCAACTCTGGAACAGCTATTGGCCACAAATAGAAAAGTCACGCAGCATGGGGTATTACAATCGCATAAATCTGAGTGGCTCAATCGAGGACAAGTGCACGCGAGCAACTGGGCTTTTGGGAATGGCCACCCGATGGTGCCCTGGCAGCGATCCAAGAGGGATCTGAGACAGGAAAACCGGGGCGGTTTGGTGCTGTTGTAGCTATTTTCAGCACATCAAAGTTTCAGCAACCCCTGCGCGCCATATGAAACATGTGCTATTATCGGCACAACTTGTCAATTTTGACAGCGATGGCTTGAAGGTGGGTGCGATTGGCCCAGGAAAGTTGGTTCTGGCTGCTTGTGCTGGTCAGCCTGTGTTGTTGGAGGTATTGTAAGCGGAACTGATGAGACACTAGAGAAAATTTAGAGAAAATTGGCGATGATGCTGTTGATACGGGGCCATGCCGAACACCCGATTGCCCCAGATAGGGAGTGCAGTCGGTGCATGGGAGACCTCTTCTTCGTGAGTACTTAACAAGCCTGACTTTCCAGACTGGAATGATCATATCTCTCATCACCATCAGCATCACCATCATCAGCATCCAACAAGTAACACCACAAAGCCTCAATATCTACAATTCTCAACCTCGTCTGGAGCTACTTTCAGGAAATAATCCAGCTTGCTCAACGTCTACTTCTGCCTCCATCTCTACCCTTTGAACCCTGTCTCTTCAGTCCTCCACACGTACCCAACAATGGCTCGCTCAAGGCAAACCCGCTCCAGATTTCCGAGCCGAAGTCGCTACGTCAACCCAGGCACGATCGGAATGACAGTCCTGCTCCTACCATCCGTCGCCTTGGCCAAAGACTCCACTTCCTCAACCGCCCAGCTCACCACTCCCTTTACCGAACAGGCCACCGGCCTCCAGATGGAGCGCTTCTTCGGCGCCCGCACCGGCTTCGGCTTCGCCATCGCCCTACCGCAGCAACAGCAGCGGCAACGGCGGCAGCAAGCCAGCCAGACGGGCAGCTTCATCGGGCAGATGACCTTCCCCCTTAAGAACGGCATCGGGTGGGGCGCCATGGGCCTGACGGGCGAGATGGAGGGCAACTTTATCTTGGCCGCCTGGCCCGACGGCAAGGGCGGTGTCATGGCCTCGTTCCGCCAGGCCATAGACGAGGACAACCCGGCCGAGGTGAAGGGCAACTTTGCCGTACGGCCCATAGCCGACGGTGTCTCGGTCAACAACACTTTCCTTACCTACACCTTCCTCTGCGAGAACTGCCTCGATGCCACTCTGGGCCTGGGCCCAGCGGCCACGGCTGGTAACCGCCCAATGGGGTGGGCTCTGTCCGAGAAGGCACCGAAAGGCAGTGCAGCTGATCCCGGTGCGCGACTGGGTTTCCACGAGCGCGGTTTCGGGCCCTTCACTGCCAGATTGGGCAATGCAGCCACTGCTGTATTTGACGCTGTTGCGGCCAAGGCGGGCGCACCAGTCGGTGCCTCCCAAAAGGCAATTGCTCCCAAGGCCAACATCTTTGATGGAGACGGTAGCGGAGATGAGGGTGGTGGCAGCGACAGCGACAGCGATAGCGATGACGATGATTAGATACCCCATTTGATACATGTCGGCATTCAGCGATTTTTGTTTCCGATTACTCAGTTCGAATGAAGACGGGCTCACTTCTTCACCTGTACATTTTCAACAAAAGGCATATTAGATAGCGTGCGAATATATTCAGTTTCCCAAGTCTGATCGTAAGCTCCATTGCCTTCAGTGACATTTAAGGCCGTGGACATCGTCCTGCGACGCGTGTTGTCCGGGATGTGGACATGGCGTCCCAAGCTAGGCCCTCCATGGGCATGGACGCCAGTCCACAAACCCAGCGTGATACGATGTTAGATGCACAATTTCATTTAAACTCAAACAGGGGTTTGCATACTTTCTCTGGCTGCGACTCAAGCCTGTCACCTAAAGCGCCTCTGTAAAGCACGTGGACTGTTGCATCATCACAGCAGGGGAAATGCAAGAGTTATGGGGAAAAGAGTGAATGGCTGGCCAGCTAGTCTAATATGGAGGAAGTTGATGAAGAGTGAAAATCCCCTGCGATTGCATTTCCTGTCCCACACCCTCGACGTGGTAAGATGTCACCTCCGACTCTATAAGCGTCGATGTGTCGTGTCACCATCTAGTTAGGGGGGCCAAACCGGCACATAGCAATGGGGCCAGGGTCGGGACGGCCCTGGCATTTACCCTGATCAGGGACTCCAGACTCGTTGTTGCAAGCGTGGATCCAGATGGGGTCGGTAGTAGTGCATTGGTAGAGACCGTCGATGTTGATCTGGCTGGGGTCGGCTTGGGCGTTCTCGACGAGGCATCCGAGCTGCTCCTCTGTGTAGACCATGAGTCCTAAAAGAGAGTCACGATGATTAGTAATCATGTCTGAACAATGTGTAGATAAGAGAGGAAATAATGAGGGTTTATGTACTATCACGCAGTTCATAGGCGCAGATGAACTGGCCGCTAGGGCAACCGGGAACACCATCTGGGCGGATGGGGCCGGGAGGGCAGGCTTGGCTGGGCAGGGCGACAGCGGAGCCGCTCAGGGCCGCGATAACAGTAGCGAGAACGGAGAAGGTCTGCATGGTGATGTTTTCAGAGTAGACTCTGTACTTGGAAAAATTCGCGGTGCAGTCTGGTGGATGTTCCCTCGATCAACCTCGAGGGGTTGGTCCATCTTTTTATACTCCAGCTCATCATTCAAATTCCCTCTCCTACGTTACTTGACACCTGCCAAAGTATGAATCCCTTCTACAATCATCCATTGTCTCTCAATGCTACCCACATCGGTCCACGGTGTGAGAGCATGTGAGGATCCAAACGCGCTCACATTGCAAGATGGTCACTTGCTTCAGCCAGTCAACGTCGAGCGGCTCTTGCCTTGAACCATAAGAACTCAAGCCTCCTGAATATGATACCAATACTTTGCCACTTTCTCTGACCAGTGTCAAGGTGAGCACGTCTCACGTCTCACTCGAGTAGACATCCCGGATCAAGCGGTGGATTGAGCCGACTTGTGCTGAGAACTCTGGACCAGTTCGATTGTTCTGGGACCGAAACTCTGACATTTCATAAGCGGATGTCACATGTGGCTTGTTCATCTGTCAGTTTGACGTCTTCTTCTCTACGAATGGAGGTGCGTTGCTGACATACGAGCGTATTCATGTTCTGTGCAACTGCTGCATTCGCCGTGAGTTGGTTACGCAACATACTGTTGGGCGGAAGGCAGGCCCGTGGAGCCTATAAACCAGGTAACCAGCGAGCCTCGTATCTCTAAGCACAACCCAATGCTTATTTTCTACCCATGGTGTCATACTGCGACGTCTTACTGTGGTGTTACACGCACACCTGGCCCTCTGGTACTGCCAGCCGGGGTCTGGTCCGTATGCGCGCTATCAACTGCCTCTGACAGCAACACGGAAGGCTTCCGAATCGGCACTTTACCAAGACTTTGAAACCGGTCAAAACGAAGATATGTTGGTGTGGTAGAGGTTGACGTGAGCACATCGCAGACAAAGCCCGAGCGAACACCGCCATCAGTCCAATCTTGACAGCCACTTTGTACAAATGGGAGGCGTTTCTGAGTCTCTCTGGTCATCAAACCAAGGCAACTCTGTGGAGAATGGCATCGAGCCGAGCCCGAAAGTCTGGTTCAAATTGCTGTAGGGCTGACCATAAAGCATCGTTCACCCGCGTCGCGCCATACGCGGATCATGATGACCCTGACACACCGGGGAGTTCTCCGTGGGGGCCCACAACGCGGCCCATTTTGCAGAGCAGGCATGTAGGGGTGGAGTGCTGCTGTCAGATCAGCAGGACCGGGTTTGCCTCCCAGATCCTCCACAGGTTCATCTGACCGGTATTGTCACACTATCAGCCCGCCCGCTGCCCACTGAGCGATTGGTCTCGCTGGTGCTCATCGGAGTCTTGGCTAAGCCTATCCGCGCCGCACAATGGAACCTGGACTCAGCACCTCGCATACTGCAGGCGTATTCTTCTCAATGAGCTATTGGGACGCCTGCTTCTCTCCTCCCTTTCTCCTCTATCCCCTCACCCTGGATGTGATGCCAAGAAGAGTTTGATGTAACCAATGTGACCATGGTGTTGGGAAGGTAAGATGGAACCATGTCAGGCGGACCCGCAGTGTTCCTATTGGAATGACCGTTCTGATACCCTGAAACAACTGTGTTTTGGGCTCACTGTCCCAACCTCATACCGTAAAATCTCAAGAAATTCGACGAAGAACTACTGCATCAACCCTGTCCTCCATACAAATAACCATGGAATGGCTCTCAATGTGGATTTTTTGGTGGATTTCTTAGCGGAATTCCTCGAGGTACATGCGGATCAAAACAAAGAATTTGGAGTTTTTGTATGGGAGCAGGGGTCGTTTTGGGCGTTTTTGGCTCTTCGTCGAACTTTTTGAGATTATACGGTACCTCATTCGAGCATGGATCCATTCTACCTTGTAGAATCAGGGTATGCTTAATACCAAGCTTGTCAGGTCTCTTACGGCTATCACCGTCGATTTCCGAAGTCAAGCAGGCCTAGCTCAGTACTGACATGTGAGGAGTGTGCAAAACGCCCACTTTTTGGGCCAGGTAAAGAAATGTCACCCCATGGCAAGGAACCTGGCAGGTCCAATGCCTACAACGGTCTACCAAATCCTCATGGGTTCGTAAGGGATATGAGAGCCTCAGCAGACTTGGCTGGATCAGCTGGATCCCAGTCTCCACCGAAAAAACACAAGGTTACCAGTCTCGGTGTGTCTCCACCCGAACTGGTCGTGTTTCTTAGGCCAGGGGCTGGACGAAATAAACAGCGTGATTCTAATTCCCAATTGCACTAGAATAGGAGTTGCAAGCATCAGCTGCCCTTTCTTAGGATTCTAGAAGAGGTCGTAACGTATGACGGATTTGCTGTCGATTATCGCCTCGATCCAGCAATTGGCAATCTTTCCACGCCTGCCAGGGAAGAGATTGGCCTGTGTTTCATCCTCGTCGAAGGGGAAATTTTTGCATGTTCACTGGACATGTGGGGAGAACCCGAGAACCCATGGGGTAAAGAGTTGGCCAGGTTGGAGAAGCTCTGAAGATCATCTCAGGAAGCAGTATTCATGGGGCATCATCGTCTTCAAATGTGTCTGTATATGAAATGTTCATGTTTCTGGAAAATCATGTTGTCCACCTACCTAGCACCCGGATGAAAGCCACGTGCCATTTAGCCTAAACACAGTGAACTCCTCTCTGGTTCGGCTTCAAACGGTGCTGTGTGGACTCCTACTCACCTAATAGCGTATGGCTTGATATGTAGATCGCGGCTTGGCACGAAAAGACGAGTAAGGCGGCCACACAAAACCCGAGCAAGCGAGCCCTTTACCGAGTCGTGTGGGCATGACCGTCGGCGAAGTGCCGACTAGGGCGCGCCCAAACCCGCACCGGCCTGAATGGCAAGCCCACGACCTGCCCAAGTTGCCCTGGAAAGGCAATACCTGGGAAGGCAACTCCCCGTGCAAGACCTAGCCCCCAGTAAAACTCCGCCAATTGCCATCCCACTACAACCTCCAGATCTGGAGACCAGAATTGGATGATTTCAGTGGCCTGGAAGTCCACTTGGTACGGAGAAAGATGGAGACCAACCGGCCTACCGGGCCGCAATTCAGGAACGGCGTTGCGGCGGACTCATGAGAAGTTGATATAATTCGTGCCCTCTCACGATTCGGTTTTGATCCTGTTGTGTTTCCGATCCTCATGTCCATCAACAGCATATTGCTGAACAACCAGTAAAACATCACACTCTCAACTACAATGGCAGATAACCATCACGTCAAAACTGCCCAAAAGCTTGCCGACCAGGCAATCCAGGATAAGCTTGGCCTGGATGCCTTCCAGGAGGCCAAGCAGGCCACCGAGGAAGAGCATGCCCAGACGCTCAAGCAAGCCCTGCGGGAGAACCGCAAGGCTGTCATTTGGTCCATGGCCATCTCCATGTGTATCATCATGGAAGGGTGCGTTAAATCTATAAGAGGCTCCAATGAGGCTTTCCGTGGGAGTCGCCTGACTGACTGTTGGCTTCCCCGCTTCCAGGTACGATACCATTCTGATTGGTAACTTCTTCGCCTACCCGGAATTTCAAAAGAAGTTCGGCCACTACTACCCCGAGCTCGGCAAATGGCAGGTCTCCGGACCCTGGCAGACCGGCCTGACCATGGCCGCCACCTGCGGTGCCATCATCGGCGGTCTCGCCAACGGCTGGTTTGCCTCCCGGCTCGGCTACCGCAAGGTCCTCATGGCGGCCATGATGGCCCTGAACTGCTTCCTCTTTATCGTCTTCTTCGCCACAGGCCGCGAAATGCTGCTTGCCGGGCAGGTCCTCTGTGGTCTCTGCTGGGGTGTCTTTGCCACCCTCGCGCCAGCCTATGCTTCCGAGGTCTGCCCGACCAACCTCAGAGGTTATATGACCACTTATGTCAACCTGTGCTGGGCTATCGGTCAGCTACTCGCTGCCGGTGTTCTCCGTGGCTGCCTGCACATTCACGGGGAGATGGGCTATCGGATTCCTTTTGCTCTGCAATGGGTGAGTAGTCCGATTGATTCTGTTGCTGTCTGGAATACGAGAAACAAAAGAAGCTAACCAGTCTTCTCTTACACAGATGTGGCCCACTCCCATCATCGTCCTCGCCTGGTTCGCTCCCGAATCTCCCTGGTTCCTCGTCCGGTCTGATCGTCTAGAGGAAGCCAAGCACAGCATCCACAGGCTCAGCGGCGACAAGACCGAGGCCCAAATCAACGCCCAGCTCGCCATGATGCTGCATACCACCACTGTTGAGTCGCAGGTCAGCAAAGGCGCCACCTACCTGGACTGCTTCCGCGGCGTCAACATCCGCCGTAGCGAGATTTGCATGCTTGCCTTCGTTGGCCAGATTCTGTCCGGCAGCAGCTTCGCCTACACTCCTACATACTTCTTCACCTCTGCGGGTATGGAGTCTGCCCGCGCTTTCGAGATGGGCCTCGGCGCGAAAGCCTTTGGTTTCATCGGTACCGTCTGGTATGTATCAAATTTGACTGGCGTCTCGACGAAAGACGACATACTAACAATGCCGCAGCTCTTGGTTCCTGATCACCAGATTCGGCCGTCGCACGCTCTACGTCAGCGGGCTGGGCTGCCTCTTCATCATTCTCTTTATTATCGGCATTCTCAACGTCGCGGCCCACGACCGCGCCCTGTGGCCCTCGGGAGCTCTCTGCGTCGTCTGGCTCTTCGTCTACTCACTCACCATCGGTCCTGTCACCTACAGTATCATCTCCGAGACATCCTCCGTGCGCCTCCGCCCGCTAGCCGTCGTGCTCGCTCGCAACGCCTACCAGGTCGTCAACATCATCTCCATCGTCCTGCAGACCTACATGATGAACCCGACAGAGTGGAACCTGCAAGGCAAGACGGGCTTCGTCTGGGGCTCGACCTGTTTCTGCATGTTCGTCTGGTCGTTCTTCCGCATGCCCGAGGTCAAGGGCCGCACATACGAGGAGCTCGACATCCTGTTCAAGCACAAGGTGCCTGCGCGCAAGTTCGCCTCGACCGAGGTGGACGCATACGGCGAGCGGTCTGCCGAGCCCGAGGTCAAGGAGGAGCAGGCCACCAAATAATCGATGTGACTGAACGGCTATACCCGTTCCCCAGATTTAATCTCACAACATACTTCTCAAGTAGAATTGATTGACTTAATGTTACGACATGTAGTAATGAATTTCATTAAGATACCGCCCCATCTCCTAATACAGTGACGGCTCCACGGTTACGGGATCAGTGTACTCTTATCTGTTTTATTCACAGTCAAATTTTGTGGCTTGGTGCTAAAGAGCGTGTGGCGTCTGCTAATGTCTGTACGCCAAGTAGACTTGTCCTATTTAATGATATTTGCCGTTTGTTCTGCTCTCGTTGCACCAGCATCCGTTTCCTTGTCCCAGCTTGGCTCAGCCAACCTTATTCTAACTACGCCTTAACCCGAACACTTAGACATCTGAGGAAACAGGACTTGCTGTATGAGGATCTTTCGCTACCAAATCTACAGGCCTACAATTTCGCCCAACCTAGTCTAGAAATGATCCACAATGGGACTAGCTCTACGAGGTGTCCTCGGGCCCTTAACTAAAGACCCTTGGCATTGTTACCACCATGGAGAGACTCCACCTGAGACTCTTACGAGCCTGTAACACATCTAGAGTCTTCGACTTTTTCAGGTAGAATCTCTATCTTTCATTCCCTCTGTGAATCGAGGCTATGGCTGAAATCATATTACTCTTAGAACAACCTTGTAATGTCTTGGCACGCATGTGTGGCCTGTTGAGGCTTCAGCTTCTGCTCTGTCCTTGGACGGTATCTATGCCAAGGGCACTAATGTAGCGCACGCGAACAGCACTCACTGTCTGTACCAGCACTGAGTTTACTTCGAGTAGGTGTTCTCTCTGACCGTCACATGGTAAGAAACTTGGTCGCTCAGTATCGCAACTGGGATCTAGCTCAGTGGGTCCGGCTTCGCCGTCGTAGTAGCGGCGTAGACTCCATCGTCGAAGAACGGCACCGAGTTTCCACAGTGTAGCGAACGCTCGTTTATTGTGCTCTCGTGCAGCGCTACGCTGATCTTCAAGTAAACAGGAGCAAGTACTACAACACACGAGACAAGTGGCCAGAAAACATCAGCTAAACCGCTACTCCGCTTGTTATGAAAGTAATTCGGGTATCATCTAAGATAGTTATTGTACAGAGGCGGTTATTGTACAAGTTTTAAATATGAAGAAATGATAATACAGCGACACGTGTACTCTCTGTAAGCTTTTCATACACCTCCCCTTGAATCCACAACCAAGTCTTAGACATGGTGTCCGCCGTGATGACCACCCGCGTGTGCACCCCCAAGCCCCCCTACACCATGATGGTGGTGATGATGCGCCGTGTGCGCAGCAGGCATGCCCGTCACTCCATGGCCGTATTGATAGTCCCCACCGCCCATGGTCGAGTGGCTGTATCGCTCCTTCTGGTACCCAGGGCCGTACCCATAGTTGTCGACGTTTTGGACGCGCCTACGCCTGCGCCTGGAACGCACGCAGAGACACGCGACAGCGGAGACGAAAAGGATAAAACCAACGACAGCGATGACTATCCCGACAATGGCGCCAGTCGATATGATTGTGTGTGTGCGGTGGAAGTCGTCCTGGAACTGGTCGTTGCCACCGGTGTAGACACGCTTGGACAGGATGTCGTTTGCGGCGGACAGGGCGGCCCTGTAGACTGTCTGAGCCGGCATGATCTTGGGACTTCGCGCGATGATGTGTTTGGTTTGTTCTGTGTAGAGTCCGTAGTGTTGTGCTGGAGTGCGGTAAGCGGGACGAAGGGAAGTCCAGGGATTCGAGTCAGCCAGGATGATAGAGCGAACATATATGCATATCAATCCTGTACTGTACACATCGACCTCGATCGATTGTGCATTCTTCTCGTTGATCGATCGGCATGATATCAGCGACGGCGTTGTTGGTGCTGTTGGCTGTGAATACCTGCTGCACCGCCAAGGGATCGCCGTGGATTGACATCATCCGGGGCAATCTGGGGTCGTGTTCTGCCCTACGCCAAGACTGAATCCCCACTCAACAAGACCAATATGACAGCATTCGGGCGAGCTTGTGTCCAGTAACTGGAAAGAATCGGCGCTGTTCTATTTATTGCGCCACATTCTCTGCCTGGGGCACAATGTCACACTTGCCTTACACAAGGAATACAAGGGATGAGGTGTACGACGAATGACATAATCACCAGATGGTGAGGCCAACCAACGGCAATCTGTACCCGTGTTGAGTGCTGCGCATTTTCTTGGCTAGAGCCGGAACAACTACGTCGAGGGCGGTATAGGAGTCTGTCTTACTTTGATCCGCGAGTGTGTGGAGGCCACGCCAGATCAGGACTACCTGTCTACCAGATTGGGGCCCTCCTCCATGATTTGACTTACAGAACACTCGAGGCTTCTTGTACCAGTCGTTGCGCATCTTCTCAGGGCCTATCGTATCACGGTTCCAAGGGTCGGCTACAGACGCATAGGACACGAGAACTTTGCGAGTGAATTGGCACTTTGACCCTCGACTATGGTACAGTGATTACACAGGATAAGGTCATCACAGTAAGAGAGCAAGTTCAGCCTCACGCGGGCCTGCTCTCTTGCAGAGACTGCCTTAGTCCGATTTTTTCTTTGCCGGAGGAAGCTCATCGAGGTCGGGAACGATTCCCGCATACTTGTTCCCAAACCTCCATTCCTGAGGTCCGCCAGAAACGGCCTGTCCGCCATTGACGCGCTCCACTATTGGTTCAGTAAGTAAAAGACATCAATAAAGTCAACGGCATCGACAGATTAACACATACTGTTATTCCAGTACGAGAGTACGAGTGGCCCTTGCTGTGGCACTGCTCATTGCGACCGCAAATGCTACCCGAACCCAGCTCGTTCTTGTTCGGCGACGTGATGACCTTGGGGGACTTGGGGCCAGCACGGCAGCACTCGTTGCTCTGGATGTTCACAGTGTACTTGGTGTTCGCCGCGCGCCAGAAGACACAGATGGTATCGCCGGGGTCGCCGTAGCAGGTCTGCACCTCACCCGACTCTTCGTACTGCGAGACGTCGAAGCCGGCCGAGATCCAGCCGTCGGCGCTGACATCGGCGTGCATACCGACTGTCTGGCCCTTGACGTCGCTCTTGGAGATCTCACATCATTCGTTGCCGCACTGGTGGTTGTTCTTGTGCGAACAATTAGCATCTTTTACAAGTGTAAGAAGGGGAGAGTGCTTCACACACCGTCATTTGCTGGAAGAAGTACACCTGATGGGGATCTGGTTTGTCGTTCTCGGTGATGATCGGCCCACAGCCAGCAGGACAACTGTCCATTTGAGACGTAGTTCTGCGGGAAGGCTGCTGATAGACTAGCAATACCAAGGATGAAAGATGCCACCGCGAAATGCATTTTGATAATGTAGATTTTCTTATGATAAGACGGATCAATTAGGCCAAGTTTTAGAGTGATCTTGATGGTCTTCACAGCTTGCCGATGATGAACCAGAAGATTGAGTTGAGTCTCAGGAAGAGTACGGGAGTTTGTATAGCCAGCTCTTGAGTGAAAACATTGATGAACACCTAGTCTTTGAGAATAGTGAACAGGTCTAGGACCCGCCCCAGTTTGTCTTGCTTGGTCTTGCCATTGTATGTTACCCTGTGATGGGCAGTGCAGAGCCGTCAGCACCTGTAACTGAAGATCCTGAAGAGGTAGGTATGAGGTTAAAGAGACCCTCTCTCGATAGATCTACCCTTGCAATGGCAACCTCGAGCTCCTTCGCAGATCTCCATTTGCCTGGAGGGGGCCAGGCCGCACAAGTAGATCACAGCGCGCGTCGGCACTTCAATTGCGGTCGTTTTAGCGGCAAGACTGTGCTAAGCCTTTGCACAGCCGTGCCTTTCCACAGAATTACCTATCCTTTTCTCGATTAGGCGCGATTCACAGTGCCGTATCCAGGCCCATAATGATGATCCTGGGGGCCAGAGCACAATCATTGGCTGAGTCTGTCTCACAAAAGCTTAGCGCTTACAGCAGCCTATGACAGAGAGGACAGTTGATGTCATGCTTCTTTTTAACCTTAGACAATCGTTTCCTTCCCTATGATACAATGCAACGCTCAACCAGTATTAAGTTTTCCACTCATATTGTTGGAGAAGAATGTGAAGATGAGCTTTTCGAAATGCGCAGGCTCTATAACGTCATAGAGCTGCTATGAATAGAATATTTGGTGGACCTCTGGACTCTCCCACGTTAGAATCAGATCGCCGAGCAAGACCGGGTCCGCAAGGTCTCTAACTGTACGCTTTTGGTAGCGTCAAGTGCTTATCAACTTTACTGCTAGGCTGAGATGAGATGACGAGCGGTCTTGACGGAAGATCGTTGCGGAAAAGAGAGCCAGTGCTTTGATTAACTCCGGACATTGGGTGCTATATTTGCTTACGACAGTGACATCTGACGACAACATCCTAGCTATATTGAACACCACGCAGTGCCTAAATACGCTTATGTCTTGAACGTACCTAACACGCAAAACGACAGTCCATCTGGCGGTCCTGCTTTCACGTCAGTTTCAGGCTCAACATCGATCAGCTTTAAGAAAGAAGAACTCACTGGAGGCTTATCATAAGGCTCCCCTTTGACCCAATTTGCCTCGCCCGGATGCATGTTCCAATCCCCGACCTGGCAGTGCGGCAACTTGGACGTATCCCTATCCCTCGTCGACCACCGCACGTCCGGACCAGCGGTAATTTCGATATCGTATTCCAAATCTACATTCTCACGCTTCTTATTCTTCTTCGGTTCTGCCTTTCCCGCCAGGAACGTGAAACTTATGCCCTGCAGGAAAAGGTCCTCAGGGAGAGTCAGCTTCGTCCCGTACCTCATGAGGTCATTGTACGCATGCTGGTACAGGACCTTATCTTTGCGGTCATAGAGCGTAATCTCGGCGGTGAAATGGTGGCCGTCGTAGTCCCACTTAGCACGCTCAAAGATGTGCACTCTACACGTGTGGGTGGGCTGCGGGGGAGGCGGAGCGAACGTCTTCTCCGAGAGGGTCGGACCGACACATACTGTGGCTTGTACGCCTCCGAAATTGGCGGTCGAGAGAGAAGTGCACAGCTGGACGTTGCCTATGGCGTCCGTAGTGGTAAACGACACCGGCGCCTCCGTCTTGGTCGGTGTGACTTTGGGGCTTATTGTCTGCCACTCCGGCCCGGGTGAAGTCTCCGGGCATTGAATGTCGTGGCCGGGAGCGAAAGGAGATACGGTGATGCCCTCAGAGCATCTGCATTGGAATATGCTCTGGGCAGGGCGGTTGTCTGGTAGGCAGAAGGGCTTCACGTCTACCGCCGTCGTTGTTGCCGGCGGGGGAGTGATCATCGAGGACTTTTCCGTGGAGCTTGCAGTGTCCGTTGTCTTCTCCTCTGTAGTCGTTGGCTGGCTTGTCTTCCCAGACGACTCGGGATCCCTCAGTGGACACGCATCACGTGCGTTCAAGCCACCCGGCTTGCCAGAGTTGAATATTTGGTACTTATACGGCTTCCATGCCTTTTCGCTGCGAGCACCATCCGGGCTATTCATCAACTTTCCCTCAAACCACACTCGATACCTTGCCTTGCCATCGCAACTGGATGCTGGCTGATACTGTACCAAAACCTTCCCACCCGGAACTTCATAGCGAGGATCCGACAGGTTATCGTCGTCAAGCGGGGAATACTGCGAGTATTTGACCTCCTTAATGGGGATGTCGTAAGGAGTAAAGATCCTCTTTAGTTCCTCATAAACTTTGCTTATGCGCGGGAACTTGAGTGGTAAGGTCTGCGCAGTGATGATGCTCTGTCCCCTGATAGCTGTAGGAGTTACTACATAGACCTACAAGACTACTGTTAGCCTGAAAATGATAAAATAATGACAAAAGCGTACCTCTGGAGCTGCATCGTCGTTGAGCATTTTCGACATGTATTCGAGATCCGGGACAGCCTTGTATGCCGGGTTTTGGTCCCGAAGGTTGAGAATTCCCAGCTTATGAGACATAGTCGTGCCGAAAGACAAAGGGTCTATGGCACCGGCTTTAAACTCGGCATCCGATGATGGCGGTGCTTGATTAGTTGCGAAATCAAATCGTCCTTCAAACGTAGGCAGCTGCCAAATATGGAATGCGAGAACCTGGCAGGTATATACCCTTTAGTCATGTAGAGATAACAAAGCCAAAAGAGGACGGTACTTACCCCCTTTTGAGATACTATCACTACAGCCGTGCATCCATAGAGTCCTTGTACTGCTAGAGTGTCCGGCTTATCCTGGAATTCGAAGGAGTTCGATGAAGTCCCAGGGAAATCTGTGGTCACGTGGTCATTCTTCGAATATGCCAGAGCAACCTCCCCGCGAAAGAAGAGGTTATCTGAAGCTTCCTCGTAGTTAGCCGGCTCGGCCCAAGAGCCAGGGTCTGGTTCTGTCTTGCGTTTGGGGGCGGCTTGCGGGTTTGGCCTTGATGGTTCGTCAAGCCTTGGCGTAAGGGCCTAAATACTGATTCAGTACAGAAGCTTTTTCAAGAGAAATAAATACAAGGGGAGGAGTAGTCATAGAACCCGGGTCAGTTCGAGGGCTTGCTAGGCTCCCCAGGTTGACCTCCATAGGTTCCCGGAGTTAGGCAATCTTGTAACGAAGCTCACGGAACATACTAACCTTTGACTTTGGAGATCCAAGAGCCCTCTTTCCAACGGAGCATCCAACACCTCCAGCACAAGGCCCACCCGCCTCGCATTGGTTTGGACGGGCGGTGGCTGTGGCGGATACCGAAGAGGTGGCAGTACTTGCAGTGACCGAGCAGCCAGATACTGTACGGTATGCGAGGGTGGAGCATTCCTTACCTCTCCTCTGTAGCACCGGCTGAGACGCGCCTGCGGTAATGGTAGTGACTGTGACGGTACAGAAGACACTCTGCCAAGTAGCAGTGACAGTTTCGGTGCAGGATTCGGATGATGTCGATGTTGAAGACCGGGATTCACTGGTCTTCTTCGAAGTTGGTTCCTCTGTCTTCGACTTGTCATCATTGTTATCTTTACCGTCCTTGTCATCCCCATTCTTGCCGTCTCCGTTCTGGCCACCACCGCCGCCGCCGCCGCCGCCGCCGCCGCTTGATCCTCCGCCACCGCCTGAGCTTCCACCGCCGCTCGATCCTCCGCCGCCGCTGGATCCGCCGCCGCCCCCTTCCCGGCCCCCTCCACTGCTGCCACCTCCGCCCCCTTGGTTATGATCTCCGCCTCGGTCATCTCCGTGCCCTCCGCCACCAATGTTCGGAGGATCAGTATGGCTAGGCACGGGTGATGCGGCTGTCTGCTGGGACGTCGTAGCATCCGGCAACGTGGTAGTTTCAGAAGGAGTTGATGACGTTGTCAACACCTTGGTAGTCACAGAAGGATGACTGGTTTCCGTCAAAGAGCTGGTGCCTGTCAGACTTGGACTTGTTTCACTGGTCGTAACCCTGGTCGTATCTGTCAAGGCGGGCGAAAGTGGATCATGGCGGAGGTCTGTGGTGGTAGTCGCGGCAGAGCTCAGAACTGTGCCGGGAAGAGTTCCGTGGGAAGAGCTGTTGCTTGGGAAGGGAGCTTGTCTGGGGGTATGTTTCGGTAGGTGTGGCAGTTGGAGGCTCTCAGTATTGCCGAGTTGAACAAGAGTGAGAGCCAACGACCAGAAGATCAGGCGAGGCAGTGCCATGTTCAACAACGCTGCTAGGCGTTAGGTCAATGTTTTGTATGTTCGAGAAATGTGACAGAAGATCCAATCAAAGTATTTTCGAGCAAGTCAACATCTTTGATTTGAAACGATTTGTTCCAGTTCACGTTCTCAAAGGTTCCATTGATCTACTTTATATACACATTGGAGCCCAAGGACCTCTCTTGATCAGGACTTAACATGCTATTGCAAAATCCGAAAGACCAATACCGCATCCATGTTCTGCTTTTCGACGTTCAAGCTGGTTCGAAATCTTGAGCCGATCCGAGGGAACTACCAACAACATTTGTTGGTGTTTCAAATGAAATATCGCCCCCATCAAATAATGACGATACAAGCAATGATTTCCGGATGGCGTTTAAGCAACGTATCGCCAATGGACGGACGGGTTCAACCGGCCCCAAATAAGGCCGCAGATTGTTTAGCGTAGCTGATTGGCCGAATTGGCCTGTATCGAGAATATCAGGCACTCTCACATTATTCTAGGCTCCCAAACGCGTGAAGACCAGGACACAGTCGCTTGCCAAGCCCTGTAGGCGCGCGGGCGTCTCCTCATCTCGAGGGTTGTTTGGCGCCCTGGATCATGCGACTAGACGGGATATTTGGCCCCCCTTCTCTACCAACAGCCCCCTGGTTACATGCATGAATGGGTGACTCAGCACTGATGCGAAACGTATTTTTAGCCTTGTTGTGTCAATGTTACAACCAACACTCAACCTATGTCAATTTCCTACACCAACATCCAACCCTTCATTTCTTTATGATCGATCCACTGAGCGAGAAACAAGGACCTAAAGTTTCAACAATCCGGAGATTGCCACAAACCTTTAAGCAAGGTTACTGCTGCACTGAGCATCGCTTCGAGGTTTACGTCAACCCGTCGTCGTTACTCCTAGAATGGACCCAAATGATTCTACTGGAGCCCAAGCCCCTGAGGTCTCCGCTGAGACTCGACGCAGAGGCAGGCAGATGATGAGAGACCTGCAGCAGCAGGCCCTCACTCAATATTACCAGGAGTTGGACGCAGAGAACGTAGGCCGCCCTCCCTTGCAACCACCTCTTCCCGTTGAAAAGTCCTTTCGCAGCCCAACCACCATTCGGAATGACCCCCCGGCTCTCCAAAAGTTCTATCGAGACTGCGAAGCCGGCCAGCTTGAGGCAGTGGAGCAATGCATGCAGACACTGAGGCCTGATCCAGAATATGTGCAGTACGGCACAGTGTCTGCTGCCAAGGAAGGCAGGGCTGACATTGTCAAATATCTTCTTGGGGCTGGCGCCCAGCTCACGGATATAATTGTCGTTGAAATGTGCGACAGCAACCCATCATTGGACTTCTTCGAGTATCTGGTTCAGAAACACGGCTGGCATCCGAATCAGGTCTCACACCCTTCTAACATACCTCTATTGTAAGTTCTTATTGGAGTGTGGAGGATTAGAGTTCTAACTCAGATGTACCATTGCCTCGTTTGGTTGGAATTCTATTTGTCCCTTTAGCAAGATGGCCATGTTCTGACTGACTTGTGGTCGGCAGGCATCTCCTGAAAGATGAGAACGAAGCAATTATTCGATATCTCCTCGAACAAGGAGCCGACCCGAACCTAGGTCCATTCGGGATGCACATCACTGGGCCGGGGGCTCCTATCAATCGCAAATGCGGCGCAGCACTTGAGAAAGCAGCCGTCTGGTGCTCGACTAGCATGATCGACTTGCTCCTCTCCCATGGAGCCAAGCTAGAGTATGCCATACCCATTCACAGGGCTGCATGGAGCCACTCCATCCGTCACAATATGGACCGGGCTGCTATGATATCTCACCTCGTCGAACTCGGGGTCGACATCAATGGGTTGGATACGAATCAGCGGAGGATCAACTATCAGCGAGGCACACCCCTTTCCTTTTGCTACAGGGATGACAGGCGTGATGGGGCGGAGTTGCTTCTCCGATTGGGCGCATGCCCGGATAGGACAAAAGAGCCGCAGTGGTACGTCGACATGTGGGTTAGGGTAATGCAAGAGAAGGGCGAGGACCAATTCTGGAAAGACGTCCGGGCTACAGCGATGAAAGCACTTCCCTACTGGAGTAGCACCGGGACGGGGAATACCTGGGTGGACAGTATGATCCCGTCTGAGACGAAGACCCAACGAGGAGAAGAGGTCAAACAGGAATAATGCGCTACAACGATCTCTTTTGAAGTCCGAACACCAAGTTTATCATTATCTTCACGTAACACACGCGTGCTCGTTCCCAGCATCAGTTTACGCGATGTCTAATGTGATTGGTCCCCTCAACTCTTTTCATTCCACACTGTCTTGCTCTGCCCATTTAACGGCCAGGACTGTTCCGGTTGCGGGTAGAAGTCATTGGGTAGGTAACGAGTGTGCTGCAGGAGGGTCAATTCAAGCATTCAGTGTTCCAAGAATAACTCCTTTCTAATTCTCTTCCCGTAGTACCCGGACACCATAAATTTGTATTGCACCACCTGAAAACAGGTGTGGTAAGCTGCAGCCGATGTCTGGGTTTAGTTGGCTCTCCTGATGTCAGCATCGTACTTCTGCCAGCTGGGGCAGGGGGCCAAAAGAGTAGTAATGGGACGGTGGCCCAAGGGGGGGCGGCCGAATGCAACACCACCTGCTCACTTGTTGTGCGCTACATTATGCCTCTTTCAGGGGTTTCGTCCAAACACCAGTCCCGAGGCTTATAACTCAAAGCGCCCCCTTCTTTGGCCCCATTTGAACGTCTCAATTGCCTATCAGCTTCAACCTCCTGAGCCTATCATGGAAATATTACTTTCTGCACCGTCACTTCCACAAATGCACAAATGCATCTGTATAAAAAGGGACGCAACCAGATGAGTAAGACAAGGCTAGGATAGCCTACTGGCCGGGCTCCTAATAGTTACTGGAGAGCAGAAAGGGGCTCAAGCCAAGGGGTATAAGAGACAAACGATTTGACCAATATTCACAATTCGAATGTCTCTCACCAGGCCTTCTTCAACCACTCCAACCCTAGTTAAAAGAAGCGCATAGTTTTCATATTGCACATCATGCGCGCTTCTCTTATCTCCGTCATCTTTCCGGCTCTGGCCGCCGCTGGGCCTATCATCGAGGCTCGCGGTCCCAACGAGGGCGTCTACCTGACAAATTGCCTGCGCTTTGAGCCCGGTATCAACTACAGCGAGATGGACTACTACACGGACGCTAAGCACAAGTCTCAAAACGGCGAGCGTCCAAACGACCTTACCTATCTTGGCGGCTACAAGGGCGAATACACACCAGGCAAGGACTTCCGCGTGAAGTGGGAAGGACAGCACGTCTGCGGAACATTTTCCAGCAGCGGCGAGGTCTTCTGCTCCAACATTGTTGCCAATGGAGGAAGTCTTGTGGGTTTCTTCCTGCCTTTCCCAATCGTTTTCATAAGTATCAGCTTCTAACCTGGATCATAGGCGGACGGTGCCTTTGCGGGAACTGGCCACAACAAAGAGACAAATTTCAACTGCTACAAAGACACTGGCCGCACCCTTTACAGTATGTGTTCCCAGTCCATGCTTGTTTGAACTAGATCTAACCTGGCTGCAATCTAGGCTCAACTGGTATTCTATGTCATGCCATGTATTACTGCTTTGATGCTTAGACGGCTAGGTATTCAATTCGATGCACAGGCCCAGAGTGGGCGGATGGATCATAGTCCAGTATCAGGGTAACAAACTCTGAAATCTACAATGTATCCCTTTATTCAAGTAGATAGTATGATGCATTATGAGATACAGAGAGCCCCTAGTTGAAGAACGAGCCAGTCTTTGCAGACAGCGAATCCGTGTTCCAATGCTACCTTCATTGTCAAGACGCCTCGTCCTGCCCCGAGCCCTCCCAAGCTGCCACTGTCAAGGCGGGCAGAAGGACTTCATTGCGAAGAGATAATTCCGAGTCGAGCCTTGGGACTCCAGTTGTTGGCCCAGCTACTTGCGGGCTCTATCTTTTGTCTCTTTCCTAACAAGCTCGATGGTATGTGATATGTTACATGATGTATGCATGTATGCATGTATCCTATGTGTTTTATGTCTCGGGTCTTATGTATCTCAGATAGCTTTTAGTCATTTCCTTGGTATGCCCTTAGTAATAATTGTAATTTCCTGTTTGTGTAGCAAGAAATATCCATTGATTCCCATTCCAAATATCAAGTGACCAGAGTGCCGCGATACCGTGAGCTCAAGTAACCAGTACCCTCGATCAATATGACCACCCGTGACCCATCTCAGTGCCCGGCGCTCCTGTCACTGGATCCACCGCGCCACCCATCAACCTGTCAAAGAAAGCCATGTCCACGCCCTGGAACGCCCAGTCCTCCGCCTCCGCCGTGAGCCCAGGCATGAGCGTCTGCTGAGCGCCGCTGGTCTCGTACGGGCCCAGGTCTTCAGGCACTACCTCCTCGGCACCATTAGGAGCGACCATCTCCGTTGAGGCCGCGGTGGCTCCCAACTGCCACCCGCCCAGAAGAGTATTTCCGACCGCGAGCCCAGAGGGCTGTTTCGCCGCTTGCTGGCCGGTTGCACCCCTCACCTCGTCGACTTCGGCTCTCGGCCTCGACACACCCTCCTTTGCAATGCGTATCAAGCCAAAGTACGGTACAGCCCATGTGATCGCCCCGTCGTTCGAGACCGTACCGCAGTCTTCCCCCTTCACCGCAGGACTGGTGCTGTATACTCCGCCGCCGTCCGCTGCGTCATCCTCGATGACCAGCATCTGTCGTAGTATATCCGCGCTCTGACGACTTAGCATGTCCGAATTCAGCGCAGCCAGGTCCTCGAGGTAGCTCAACACCTTCTCAACGAGCCCCCTGTCAGCCAGACGCTGATGCACAAGATAACTGTCGTGATTTGACGCCGCACCGCCGCTGTACCCGCGCTGGTGGCTGTCCAGGTGGCCAAGCAGCAACGTCATGGACGCGAAAAAGGTAAAGAAGTCAGCCCCACGGCACGTAAAAGCCATGACACTGACCTGCCGGTATGCCACGTACCGGGCCAGGATCTCCCGGCTGGCGTTGATGCACGCGACCTTGGAGTAATCATACCGGCGCGCCTCCGTCGACAGCCTCAGCATGTACGGCAGGTGCAGCTGCGTCAGCAGGAAATAGTGGTAGAGCTGGTCAACCAGACGCGCCGTCTCGCAGAACAAGAGGCGCGCCGACGAGCCCTGGGCCGTTGCCACGACGTCAACGAGACTCGGGGTCAGCCACCACTGGGCGGGCATGGTGCGCGTCGCCCGCTGCAGCTCCAGGTCGATCTCCTGCGTCATGGCAAAGGCCTCGTCGCCGAGGTCCTTCTCGTTGCGCTCGAGGATGCGGCCCGCGATCATGGCGTGCACGTAGCCGAGCCGGTCCTGGGCCGCGAGCGTGGCGTCGCCGGGTCGGCTGTTGTCGGTGTTGCTGGCGGCGGCGTCCACAGGGTCGGGCAGGGAGGCAAAGTGATTGACGTGCGTGCCGGCGGGCAGGCCCAGCATGAGGGATAGGTGCCGGTCCGCATAGAGGATGCGGAACCACAGGTGTTGAGGGTCGATGCGCTGCCGCGTCTGCAGCTCGAGGATGCGCAGCGACGGCGAGTCGATGCCCTTGTGGATCCGCATCAGCTGCGCCAGCGTCACGGCGCGGCGAAAGGCAAGCCAGGATCGGCGCAGGTTGCCGCAGTTGCCCTGGTACATGCCTTCGAGCGCCAGGCACTCGAGGCCCTCGAGTGAGCCAATGAGCTCTTCGTTGGTGGTGACGAGTGTGATGGACTGCTCGGCCATGCGGCGCATCAGCTCGCGGTGCGGCACGGAGAGCTGCTCGAGCTCCTTGTGCAAGCTCGGGTGCAGATGCTGCAGCATGACGGCGAGGTGAAGGAGCTTGCGAGCGATAATAACCGGGTGGTGGGTGTCGAGCGGCGGCGGGCAGCGCGCGTGCGCGGCAGGGCCCATATCGGTGGACGACTGCTTGTGGAAGGGCTTCAAGAAGGCGCGCTGGAGCAGGCTGGGGATCTGGACCTTGACACTGCAAATGATGTCGATGTCGCCCTCCGAGGGCCAGACGCGCATGAGCGCCTTGGAGATGTAGGCGTACTTGCCTGCCCCGGCCCGGGTATGTTGGCCACTGGCTGGTGTGCTGCCCGTCGCTGCCGGTGTTGTGTCGGCATCGGTGAGCGTTTCTCGCTCCAGACCATTCTGTCAAAAGGATCAGTCTTGTACACGCACGTCTCCTCCTCACGCCAAACTCACCTCTACTACCCGTCCATACCAATTCATGTACGCAGGGCCGTCCGACTCGGAGCATTCGGGCGTCAACATCCCCTCCCCGGTCTCATTCACACACCTACCTGGCCCCTCAGACCTCGGCCTTCCCAACAATCCTGATTGATGCAATATCTCCCTGGCGCTCTGGCCGCTCGTCTGCGTCTGGACTAACCGTTCTACAAGGGCCTCCATCCGTCCTAGCCGGTCGCCGACTTGCCTCACTCCTCCGACAGCGGCCTGTGAGGGTAAGAACCCGGACCCAGGGTCCGAATCTTCGGGAAAGTCCTGTCCTACACAGGCCGTGCCACGCTGGCGACAACCCTTGCACACGGCCGGCGTCGCATCATCGTGATGGGCATCAGAGGTGAAAGGCTCGTCGTCAAAATCGCAGCGGACCTTGCGGCGCTTGCAGGCCCAGCAACTACGGGTGCCCTTGCGTATCTTGCGGCGCTTAGGGTCCGGCGCGTTGTCGACTGGTGATGTGGTTCGAGGCATGCTTCCCACGGGGTAGCAGGGATGTTTTCTGCCTTTGAGTTCCGTCCGCCGCACAGGTTCGCCAATGCTGAATGGCTGGCGGCCAGATCTGGTAAGTCTTTCCCAATGCTAGGTGTTGTAAGAAGAAGGTCGACCAAGCCGGTGTTCCGGTGGGAGAGCTGTATTACGGTATTAGTGATGATTAGTGTGCATTTGTCAGGTATGTCCGAAACTTCCGCCGGGCTCGGCGGACGAAAAGACCAATTCGTAGGGGGGTTATCCCACTACCTAAAATCGATGGATTTGATGGACAGACAAGTATCCCTATTACTAACCGCTCAGCTGTTGATCACTGGGCGGTTAAGGTCAGTACTCTTGAAGAAAACAGTGCGTCTCATATTTCCCAGTTCAGGCACTCATGACCTCGCCTTTTTTTTTTTGGGGGGGGGGGGGGGGCAACTCGTCCCGTTTGCGTTGACAATGTGTATGTTAGCCAGGTGACCACATGCGTGAATTCGCGTCGGAGTGATTGCAGGCGTGATTCGTCTAGGAGTGATTAGGCAGTGTTGTAAATATCCTATATATATTGTAGTTTTATTCCATCCTTCCCTCTTCCATCTCGTCTGGCAGCCTTCGTCGAGAGTGTAAGTGATGTTATGCTCCTGTGGTAGATGTCCCACTTCTTTCATCGCATCTATCACCTCCACACTGGCTCACCAATACATGTGACTCGAACGTCTGCATTCCTTCCTCAGATCTTCTCGACCTGGGTCTCCACAATCTTCTCGCTAGCACCGGCGACCTGGGAGAGGTTTGGCGCGTCGGAGTGCTTCTCGCCGTCAAACAACTCGTCGATCTCCTCGAGGGTTCTTCCCTTTGTCTCGACCCAGCAAAAGTAAACCCAGATAACGAAAAGCACGTTCCAGCTCGCGTTGACCATGTATGTCTTCCACCCAATGGACTTGAAGAGATAGGGGAAAACCATGGTAACAAAGATTCCACAAGCCTTGTTCGCGATGGTGACCATGGCCATACCAGTTGCTCGGATATTGTAGGACAGTACTTCTGGAGGGTACATCTGCGTCAAGGGCGTGAGTCCGAACGAGTACGCCCCGAGGAATAGAAACACGGCAGCCACTGTGCCTTCCACGCCGGGCATATATGATGTATGGCCATAGGCGGAAGTTAGGGCGCCAACGATGTAGAACATGATCGTACAGCTGCCCAGGGAAGAGAGACAGAGAAACCATCTGCCCAGCCTTTCGGCCAGGAATGAACCGGTTAGAGCAATCACAAACTGCCAAGCCGAAAGAATAAGATTGATGACCATCTGGGTCTTGGACGAGGTAATGCCAGCCTGGGACAACATGTCGCCGTAGTAATATGTGATGACGTTTGATCCCGTCAACATGGTCACTGGAGCGATCGACAGGGCCAGCATGACTCGCCGTCGGTTCGGTGCATTGCGTACGATTTCGGCAAAGGCGATGCTCTTGCCCTCTGTCTTCTCGTAGTTCAGTGTGTCGATGATCTCTCTGTATTGAACTTGAACGATTGGGTCGTCGATCGTAGAGCCGTTGACGCGAGCGATGACCCGCAAGGCTTCATCGAATCGGTCCTGGGCAACAAGCCATCGAGGAGATTCCGGGAGAAACGGCATGAGGAGGACAATGAAGAGCGGAGCGAAGCCTTGGAATAAGGAAGGTACTCTCCAGGCCCAGTCTGAGGGTTCGAGAGAGGTGCACTGGCGGATGTCAGATTCCGTTCTCGGACATGCATCATGATGATCGTTGAAGCTGAGGGAGAACCATTGTATTACGTTGGAACAGGAGAGGGGTGTTTGGAAACAACAATAGCAGGGGAGACGCGGCGAGAGAAAGGTTGCAACTCACAGCGTATGAAATGCCGGTTGCCAGAATCCCTCCCACGGCCCAACACGTGTAATACAGGCCCAGGGCAAGTGCACGAAGCCTCGGTGCGGTCGTCTCAGACACGTAAGACGCAGCAGAAGCCTGAGCAAGACCCATGCCTATCCCAATGACCATTCGGCCGGCGATGAACATGGCGAGGTTCTGAGCACCGGCACTGATCGCGGCTCCGAGTATGTTGAACTACGCGCTGTACAAGAGACCTTGACGACGTCCAAATTTGTCCACGATGAAGCCCGCAAAGGGCGCCATCATGATCGCGCCGAGTCCTGTAGCCGTCGAGTTGACGGCCTTGGTGGCAGTGCTGATCTCGAAGTACTTCTTGTAGCTCGGCATGACGTTGACGGAGCCCATCACCGATCCATCGTAGGCGATGGTGACGGAGTCGACGACGCAGGCCGATATAACCAAGGCCGTCGTAAAGCCGACCTTGGCCGACTGCGCGTATTTGCCAAACATGATAGCCGTGATGAAGTCTCTAGACGTCCAGATGGACAATGAGGTGATCTGCCACTCAGCGCTGCCCCGAGTCCGCGGAACTGGAGTCACTTTTGTAAGTTGAATCTCCAGGTTCATGGCTCCAGGCTTCCCCACAGCACCCCGGATCCCGCCCCCGCATGGAGGGTTGAGGTCGGGCTAGTCCGCTGCTGGTAATCGGATGGGCCGCCTGCTGGGAGACCAGGGTTGTCGGACAAGCCGCGCCCCTCAACCTGGAAACATATTGTCGGAATCAGACGAGAAACAGTCAACGATGGCCTGTTTTGCTATGAGCCACACGATCTGGATCATTTCAGAGGCTCCGAGGACGCATCTGGCCTCGCTGATAAGGCCATGTACGTACCTTGATCAGAGTTTGCCTGAGGCGGCACGAGGGCGCCAGAACGAGCGGCGAACAGCCCGTCCCCAGGCCTGGGAAACGGCCAAGATGGCCAACACCCCAACCGCGACCTTTACCCAGGTGGGCAGTCCAGCCTCCCGCCTTGCCGCGGCCAGGTCCCGCGTCGCCGCGGCGTGCTCGCGGATCGCCTCCTCCACTATGTTGGCGGCGGCGATGTTGTCGGTCTGCTCCATGTTGCTCTCTGTCTCTCTTCTTTGGTCTTGGTCTCGGTCTGTTTTGGTTACTGTGTGTGTGTGTTTGCATTTTTTGTTTGTTTGTTCAGAAACAAAAGAAGATCAGATTGACGGTCGCGAGGAGACATGTACTACCTACCTAGTCTGAGTACGTGGAGACTTATGTGCAATATGCACCTTCCAGCTTGACGTGCTGCCCGACTGGGGTGGAAGAGACTTTTGTGCTAAGAGTCAGGCAAGCAGCGGGAAGTCACGACAATGGCCACTTTCATAATTGGTTTATTAAAGAACCATGGGCGACGTGAATAGGTTAGTAGGTGTGCGCACCCTGGTTGTCAGGAACGACAGGCTCGGAACGATGCCGAATACAAGGAGTCGACCGAGAAAGCAAGCATTACTGTGACCATAATGTTTGCTGGGTAGGACCGTGGGGTCGTGGGATGTTCAGTCGTCGAAAGATCGATAAGGTAGTTATCACTAGCAAGCATATCGAAGTCCCTGCGAGATTGCGCGGAAGGCTCCCGAGAGAGTTGAATCTGGGGGACTAGATTCTCAATGCCTTCCGGCTCGATGATTCCTGGCAAAACTTCCTGTTCCTACCAGTAAGTTGCTCGCAAGCAGGCGCGAGTCCCAAATTGTCAATGCCTACATACCTATGTAGGTACCTACAGGTACACCACAGTGTTCCGTTGTCAGCTTGCTCCTTCCAGCAGTTGCGGTGCAAGATATGGCATTCACAGGGACCGGGCTGACAACTGCTATGAACGCCAACACATGCCAGCAGCCATTTTTTCTTTTTTCTTTTTGTCTTTTTCACTTTTGTCTTTTTTTAATTTTTTCTTTTGGCTCACAGCCACCCCATTCCATTTTGCGGTAGGTGCCTTTTCTCTCACGTTCTTTGAGTTCTCTCTACTCATGTCGAATGGTCAATCTTCAAGTCAAGATGTATACCGCGCTTGCTGCGAGCTGCAGTGTTCTGGGCGCATACTGGGGCATGCCTGCAGGCAGTCTTCTGGGTTGAACACGCCGCCGAGTCGGGAATCGGTGAAGCGGTAGTAGTTCCTGCAAGTTTCGTCCTCACACCAGTACACTCCGAAACCGTCGACATCCTCAGTGAGGTTGTACGAGTCTGGGTCAAGAAATCGGTACCAGTGCCAGTTCATTCCTTCAATGCGACCCTCACAGTCAACCTTGAAGAAGAGGCTCGACCGATAGCTTGCACCAAGGCAGCTTGTTGTACGAGCACAAACTACGATCCTGGCCAACTGCGAATAGGGCCCATCTGGGAGGTCTGCCTGATGGTACTCCACATGACAGACGCGCTCTTTCCCGTATTGTTGGATATGTTTGTGGCGGGGAACCGTTTGGTCGTAGAGACCAGTAGGCCCCATGCGATGTGGTTCGTTAGGCTGCCACTGGACTGGAGGTTGCTCCCAAGCAGTCAATCTCTTTCCCGGGTAGTCAAGGCAGTTACAACGACCTGGATCACAGAGCCTTCTCCCAACCCTTTCTCCAGGCATGAATTGAGGACATATGAACCGTCCTTGTTCCTCATACGACCTCTCCATCGCCTTCTCCACATCTTTGGCTTGAAAGCGTTCCCTTTGCATGGGAGGCATTGACGTGTGCTTTGCCCACTGCAGCTGCAACTCCAGTTGGATTTTTGTAGCATCATGAGGGGCCTGTTTATAGAAAAAGGAGGCTGTGGGAGTCGCTCCACATGCATGGGCCACACTGGTTGAGATGTGCTTGAGAGCTTTCAAGAAAGAAGACGGGTACAGTATACATTTGCAGGTCGCCGGGTGCTTTGGACAATGTAATATGTTAAGGCCGCTGTCGCCTTGCAAGGCCACACGTCCCCGAAGCCGTTTCTTTGCATATCTTTCGGACAGGAGAGACCACGATAATGTCTCGGGTTCGCATAGACGTAAGTAGCCTTCATGGCCGATACAGATTCGTTGCGACTGTGACTTCTTACGCTCTTGTAGCGAGAACAGAAATACCGGGTGGTCGCAGTCACAGCCTGAACAATGAAGATATGTTTTGATAAGGGCCGTAACTCGGGCTTGCCAATCTGCAGACCGTCGCGTGGCCAGGCAATTCTTGCAGTATGCATCTCGTTGCAGAAGGGAGAGTAGCTCGTGGCGTTCCAGAAGACTTAACTGCAGAGATGATGTCTGCCAAGGAAAGTAATCGAACGCCACCGCCCTAGCGACCATCTCACTGCAGGCCGCTGGGAACAGGCGAAGAAAGATGCGGCTACAGCGGCGGAGGCACTCTACCGTGACGGTATCGGACAGTTGCATCAGCCTCACCAGGACGACATCCGGAAGTCTGCACAAGGGGCTTTCGGTTCGATTGCGATATGCGGCGGCCATCAACGGGTGCATTTTCGTTAGGTTGTATGCCTCCAGCTGATCGCCATGATGCTCAGTTAGGTGAGTGTCATGTTGGCAGGGCGAGGGGCTTTGTGACGGCGTGTTGGATGCAGGAGGGAGGCTGGAATAGCTTGGGGGTCGCTGAGTCCATCGCATTGTTGAATTTGATCGCCGGAGTAGATACCAGGGTGGCTGTGTTTGGTCTGGAACATGAAAAGCTGAAGGAAAGAAGATGAAATGGAATCTGTCTCTGGAGGTTTGCACATTATAAAGGACGGACGGATGTCTCGAAAAGGACACCTCGTATGTACCATAAGATCAAAACCGTGGTAGAAGTCGGCGAGGCGGATTAGCAGAATTTGAGGCTATTACCAGGCATCTATCTAGGACTAAGGTCTTGGACGCCCAAATAATTCGTGAGAAGCTAAAATTGCTACTGTCTACATGATGAAGGTGACTGACTGCGCCTGCCACGAACAATTAAGTGTTCACGGCTTCTCTTGATCCTCAGACCTTTGCGCCACATTGACGCGAGACGTTTCAAGATGACCTCCCCCGCCACCGCCAGGCTTCTGCAGTCCCGAGGGCCACGGAGCAGCAGCCAGCGGGCTCTCCGATGTAGTCATGTCAGGATAAACTGAGTCTAGCAAGGACTCGGGCTTTCGTTGGCTCAGATCAGCTCACTTCAAGGCCATGCATATCGGCTCACCCGTGAGGTCACGACAAAGATGATTGCTAGAGCCCACTGTGGGCTGCGACTATTGTTTAAAAATATTGTCAGGCTACGTTACCCATCGAGCAACGCGTCTTATCGCAAAACCAGCCGAGGCCCTCATAGTTTTCAATTATCTATTAATGTTCGGCCTACCTACGCCCGAATGCTGCTGACCGTCTCCGATGTAGGTCCGAGGCCCGGATTCGGTCCCGGACTTTTTGACCTTTCAACCAGGGTTCAGCTGCACTAAGACTCCGACCCTGTGTGTGTGGACAAATGTGCTAGACGGAAAGGGACCCAAGGGAGGCACACTTTGACGAATTCCAAGGGAATTAATAGGCGTCGAGGAAGGCTGTGCAGGCTCGACAGTAAGGCCGTCGGATGTCCGAGTTTAAGCAGGTTTCAAGGGCTCAACCACGGTTGCATGAGCAAGTTCAGCTGTCGCCATTGGTTCTCCTTGGGTCCCGCGCCAAGATGATAAAAACGACGCCAAGCTGTGTTTGTTTTGCGTTCAATTCAATAGAAAGTGCTCCTCGCCATTTAGTATGGGATCTTGGGTACCGAAAGTTGGCATAAGTTGACGAGCAACATCCAGATCGTCGTCAGAGAGCCTAGCTACCACTAACAGGGCCAGTTGTGATGAAGGTGGTTCTCTGATAAATTGATGTTGAATTTGAACCGCTCTATCAAGCCCAGGATGTGTTTTCAAAGAGGGCTACAAGATTTGTTTTTGCCAATTGTCAGCGCGCAGCCTTCTGAAATATTAAAACCTTGCAAATCCTGACGGCTCTCTTTATGAGCCTAGTCTTGAACAGGCTGAGCTGACCTCCCAATGGAGACGATTATGATCTGAACTCAAAGGTACTCTGCAAGCGAATATCTCTGCTGCTTGCCCCAACATAGACCTTGAACTCGCCCTCTGGGATGCGCCACTGCTGAGAGGTCACATCCCAATAACTCACATCTCTCCGGCTCAGACTGAACAACACCCGTCGGGTCTCCCCCGGCGAGATCTCAACTTTCTCAAATCCCCGCAGCTGCCGCACTGGGGTGTCTTTGACGGGCATGCCCAGGTAGAGTTGAGCAACCTCGGAACCCATGACGTCGCCGGTGTTGGTGATATCGGCTGCGACGATAGCCTGAGTCTCCCACAGCTGAGGGTGGCCACCCTGCACTATAGGTATCTTCTTGTCTGGCAGTCCGGCTTTCGACCCGTCCAGCACCTGTGCCCGAATATCTGAATATTCAAAGGTTGTGTAGGAGAGACCGTGGCCGAAGGCGTAGCGAGGAGTGATACCATGCAGATCGAAGTACCGGTAGTCAATGTGGAGGCCCTCCTCAAAGTTCGACTGAGGGAACCAAGTGCTCTCGCCATCGTTGAGTGTGAAGTTGAGAAGGGTGCCGTAGTCCGTTTCTTGATGCGCCATGGTGTATGGAAGTCTGCCACTGGGGTTGACGTCTCCGTAGAGGATGTCAACTATCGAGTTGCCCGCTTCCTGTCCCGGCATGCCTGCATTGATGATGGCAGTGACATTTGGGTGGTCGGCCCAAGCCTCGACCAGGCGAATACCTGCGGAGTGGACAATGACTATCGTGTTGGCGCAGTGCTTCGCAATGTTGAGAACAAGCTGGTCGCTCCAGTCGTCCGACAGGCCCGCACGATCCTTGCCCTCTTCAGGGTAGGCATTGATGAAGACCAGACACGCCTCGCTGTTGACATAGACCAGGGGATCGATGGTCCAGAAGTCCCATTTTACGATGCCACCGTCCTCGGACACCCGCTTCTGCAAGGCTGAGAATGGGTCAATGATATATGGGGGCGACGTGCTTCCCGAACCGAACGCCGTGAGTAGGGTACCGTTGAACGTCCGCAGCTTCTGGCGAGCGAAGACGTTGTCGCGAGGGATCCAGTTGATGGCTTTCCGGAACCCAAAACTTCCGGGGCTGTTCCATGGCGTTCCAGGAGCGACTGCGTCGTATCCAAACACGGAGACATATTTGGGCTTCTTAAGCGGCAAGGCATTATTCTCGTTCTTGAGGAGAATCGTGCCAGCAGAGCCAACCTCCCTGATCAGTTTGTGGTGTCCGTTGCGCACGTCAACATCTTTACGAACGAGCGCGTGGCTAGGGTTGTCTCTGGTGCTGAATACCGCAGTGGTTTCGGGGAAATCCTTGTCTTGGCCGGCGTGGTACCAGGCAGCCAGAATACGAGTAGCCATGTCATCTGCCCGTTTCTTTGTGACACTGCCGTTTTTGACGGCTTCCACCAGCTTGGCGCCCCAGTAATCAGTGTTTGGCATCAGCATATCCATGCCAGCATTGGCGGTAGCCACACCAGACTGGATGGCGCCCCAGTCACTGACGACGAAACCTTCGAACCCGAGTTCCGTCTTGAGCACTCCATTCAAGAGCTTCGAGTTTTGGCAAGCATAAGAGTTGTTGGCTCGGTTGTAGGAGCACATTACGGAGCCAGCGCCCTCTCGGATCGCGCCCATAAAGGGAAAGGCGTACACCTCGTGCAGGGTTCGCTCGTCAACATTAGAGCTGATTGATTCACCCAGAACACTAGGCATGCGACGATATTCTTGTTCGTTCAGAAGCCAATGTTTCAACGATGCAATCACGCCCCTGTCGTGGATACCCTTGGCAACGCCAGTCATGCCGGCCTCGGCGAGGTACGGGTCCGAACCGAGTCCTTCCCAGTTGCGAGAACCAACGGCAACCCTGCCGAGGGGCCCAGCACAGGGGCCGAGGGCGACATGAATTCCCTTCCCACGGTACTCGTAACCTAGGGCTCGACCGTACTGATACATCAGGGACTTATCCCACGTCGCGGCGAGATGGACTCCCGTAGGGAAAGAAGACACGAAATCCTGGCCACGGACACCAGCCGGTCCGTCATTGAGGCATATGGGCTTCACTCCGAGACGGGGCACCGAGCCGGTCACTCCTGTGCATTGACCAGGGTATCCCCAGGTCAAATTTAGCTTCTCCTCCAGCGTCATCTTTGACACCAGTTTCTTCGCCTTGGAGTAGGCCGCTTTCCACGAGTCATCGCTCTTGCCCTCCCCGGTAGCTGCTGCCGTCAGTCATTGATTTTTGCAAGGTTGGTTAAGATATTTGGGGGACCTACGCGAGGGATAGACTGGGGGACTTTGCCCGTAGAAAAGATAGTCTAGATGGGACTTGTCTTCAGGAAGGTGATCTGGCGACCAAGCATCATCGAGTGCCACGATGTTGTCGAGTGTGTACTGGACGGTTTCGCCAAAGTCAAAGGAATAGAGGTTGTCTTTAGAAGCCACGTTTTCCTCAGCACACACACAGGATGCTGGGAACAGAACTCCCGCGTAGACGGCCCCCTTCAACTTCATGGTGGCTACGGTATTTGGTGACGGTATCCAAACGTGCAGAAGACGGCTGAGCTTGACTAAGATCCGATCCTTATAGAATGCCGAGCTCTAGCTCATGCCGGTATCCGGACTTGGATGCGGGACTCCATCGATCTCGTTCGATGGGAACAAGCTGGACTTGTGGGGAGATGGGGGTCAGTGTCGCAACGGCCGACAGATCCCCAGTCGGCGCTATGCCCGGTGTGGGGATGCTTGTCGGGGTCAGCGACGACAAAGCGGGCGTTTTCCGACGGACGGGAAACAACATCCAAGATCGACCCTTGTCGAGTTGGAACCTACAGCTCATGGTTCATAGACTCGGCAGACTTAGACTAGCTTCATTCATGAGCCTCGTTGAAGTTGCCTGCCAATTACTATACACTTGATCCTGACAGGGCCAAGAACTCGCCGATGATTACTCTCACCTGCCCAAAGCCGACAATCATGCCTATTTCTGTTCTCCAGACGGCTGTTCTTCAGTCTGCCATCCTAGGAGGGTTGTCAAATGTGTTGGCTCAGGCAATTACAGCCTATAAGCATGAGGTAAATATTCATAATTTCCCGTCTCACGGAAAGGGAGGCAGAGCTGGACTAACCATGATGGCCACGAAGCAATCGCTTGCTATCAACTGGATCCCTGTGCTTCAGTTCATTCTCTTCAATGCCATATCCGCACCACCAAATTACTTATGGTCAGTATTCGGCGAGACGCTGTACTCTCTACTGCCGTTGTGAGTTAAATCTCATAGATTCTCCAGGCAACTACTTCTGGAGGATAATTTCCCAGCTCATCCGTCAAGGTCTCAAGGAAAGGGGACAGACAAGAAGGCGGTTAAGCCAAGGCTATCGAAGCGAAACACGGCTGCGAAGTTGGTACTCGACCAAACGATCAGCGCCGCCTTCAACACAATCCTGTTTTCAATTTTCAACCGCTCCATGAGAGCAGCCATGCCTGCCGCACCAGTGGAGACCAACATCTTCAAAGCCGTTACTCTGATGGCAACCCCCGGCTTCATCAACTTTGCCAAGGTCGACTTCGGAGCTGTGTGGAAGGCAACAATGCAGGACTTCGGCCATGTTATTGTTGCGAATTGGAAGGTTTGGCCGGCTATTGCGCTTGTCAACTTTTCATTGATCAAGACGGTGCGGATGCGGACCCTTGTCCTTGCTCTAGCCGGCCTTGGATGGCGTGTCTATCTAAGCTTGTTTGCTGCGGCGTGAATCATGCGTGGACTGCTGGCATATGGGCTGTCATTTCCATGGCTCAGGTCGCCTTCACCAGGAGAGATTTGCTGCACAAACCCTGGTTGCATAGATGGTCGATGACACCCAGTCTTGGATGTCAGTGGCTCATTGCGCCTGTTCCTTAAGCACCGAAGTTTTCATGCGGCAGCTGCACAGACTTCTCTGTATCGCCGCACAATCTCCGTGATCATGTGTCGAATGCTTCCCGCTGCGGCGAATTTCAGGCCGAATGCGTCAAAGAGTTGGACGGCCAACTCCAGATCATCAATGGCCCTTCTCTGCTTTACTGCTACGGGCAGACCGTCCGACTGGACCGTGATGGCGTAGACGAGGGATAGTGTAGAAGTAAAGATGGAGAGAAAATTGAGCCAGTTGTACGCTAGCCTCTTCTGCTGGTGCATGCCAAATGCTTGCCGCAGTGACATGGATGCTGCAGTTTCCACAATCTTGGTTCCCTCTACGTCTGGGGATTTTACAAGCGGCGAAGGCCTGTAGATCATCGCCAGGTGGGTGTAGTAGTTGAAGTCGTACCAGAGCGTGTTCAGATGAGGAACGATTGGATTCGTATCAGGAAGTGGGAACGGCATTCCCCGCCTCCACTCCAGAAGCTCCTGATGTAACGAGGTAAGCACCTCTTGGGGTTCTTTTGCAGTTGAATCTGAGCTTTTCTTTGTTGTGTAGACTTGGCGCGATATTTTGCTGGCAATCTGTCTAAGCTTCAAAATGTGGAGTGGAACGGCCAACAAAGTTGGCTGGAGTAAGCTTTGTCGTCTTGCGTCTGCAGGCTCATCGCTATCCTCATCAATATCCTCAAAAGGCTACACGGTGAGTTTAGCCAACTGTATCAAGACTTGGCAGCAGGGGTTGTCCTTACGGTGATATCGACGTCATCATCATGGATAGCGAAGGGACGACCCAGTGCCATGGAGACAACACTAGATGCAGATGTTCTAGGTTAGCAAACTCGGGATCACAGGTAAGGAAATTTTGGAGAAAGGCCAAGTATTACCGATCCATCATATAGACTGAGAAGAACACCCGCTTCCATCTTTGTTGTACGCTGAATGGTACATTGTCATAAGTGGAAGAGGTGTGTAGTCCGATGCCAAGAGCCAGTCGAGCCGCAGTGCCGACCAAAAACCAAGTATCTATAGATATGTCAGTCCTGGAAGGGATGTTCACGAGTAACTATGTCTCACTTGGGCCTAATTGGTTGAAAAATGAATATGATACTTGAAGCATGATAACTTCCAAAGCAGACTGTTCAACCTAGAGTCAGTTGCACCTGCAATGAAGCCGAGGCTGTACTGTGTTGTGGACATACCATTTCATCACATTCTAGGGCCTGATCGGCATATTGCAGAGCCTTGTTATAGTAGACTCTCGATTCCGACTCCTCCGTCAATGAGACAGATGAATAGGCAGTCGATCCAATTGCGAGGACCATCCAGAGCCGGAAGTTCTGCAACGGAGTCTGAACGGCGAGATTCTGTGGAGCACCCCTCAGACCTTCAAGCGCCTGCATAATCTCGCTCTTCACAAGAATGGGGTACAGCGTATGAGAGTGCGCAAAGTAAATGTCGACCAAGTGCTGCACGTGAGCTTCGTCACTGGGCCATTGTATGTCTTCAACCTCGTTGCCGCCACTTCCAGTGAGGTCGGCTAGGAATAGGTCGCCGAAGAGAAGAGGATGAACCGATATTGATCCACTCAAGTGCTCATACATGTCTTGGTTGAACACTTCGGAAGGGGAGTTGAAGTTGAAAAATGACGCCCCAGGTGCGTTTTCCTGATACGGCGCAAACACCAAGTCGGCCTTGTCCGGTGTGAGCCGTTTCAAGACAGTCTGAGTAAGCTTTGCGAAATACAAGCCAGAGGTGGGCCCAAGGTGGCGTTCGGCAGCCGCTTCGAGTGATAGAGTCTTGAGTTCCTGAGCAAAGCTTGGAGATTGTTGTGGTAGCGTTGGGTGTTGCCACATATCAAAGCTATCGAGTTGAGCGCCGGCATTCTGCTGCTGCCGATTTCCGCCACCATCTGATGTTACATCTGCCCAAGGGTTACTACCTGTTGACTGTACAACCGTAACGTCACCCAGGCGATTGCTTTGCTGGGCTGGACTTTGTCCGATGGTTGACGAGAGTCCATTCTCTTGAGCTTCCATCTGTCGGACCTTCTCCTCCAAGCTTCGCACATAACTGCAGTCAATTAGCTCATCGCTCAGCCGGCTTTATCGTCTGCACAACGAGTTACACAAGACCAGGGGAATGATGTCACCTACGCAATCGGAAACGACGCGTTCTGGCCATTCTCATCTTGGAAGCTGCACCGCACATTGGCAGCCTGACAGTTCTTGCAGCGCGGCAGAGCCCTGTCGCACCTCTTCTTCCGCCCGTGACATCTTGAACATGATGCACGGGCTCGTGCCTGGTTGCTGCTCTCCAGAACCATTGGATGGTAGACGGCAAAGCCCGTGGGAGGTGGAGCGAGTGAGTACCTGGTTGTGCAGTGCAGAAGCGGATCAGCATCGGACATGCAGGTGAAGTCCCGCGTCGGACAGCGCGACGTCTTTGTTCTCTCAACATTGATTGGGCTGGGTACCTTGATCAATGGCTCTCGAGACTCGGTCAGTCACAGACGACTTCCCCGCACACCAGACTCAACGGTCATTATTTGTTGACTTTCACAGCTCTGAGAGATGAGTAGTCATCACTATTCACCAAGTCGGCGACGAGCTTCGGAATTGTTCAGCTACCTGCCACAGGCTAGAGAATGAATGGATAGGTAGGGATCCGGCTATGTTCTAACTCTTTGACATCCGATCCCGGCTATGGCTATCCGTACGTGCAAACGAGTGCTTGCCGATCGTCCAACCCACTAGCCATCTTCAACCCTGTTCCACACTAGTCGAACCACCTGCCATCATCTTCTCCACACTCATGCTTTCCCGTGTCTGTGATTCAAGACAAATGATTAGCTCGACTCTCATTTCGATTTAGATGGGCATAGAGTGGTCATCTGTATTGCGCAACCAGGCGTCGGACTTTTGTAATGGGTCTTCGTTGACGACTCAGTAAGCTGTTCAATGCTTAGATTGATGTCTCTCCCGAAATACCGTCGGGGCATCCTCCGACACCCGGTGGGTCTACATGGGTTTGGTCGTCGGACCGTCCGCCGAGCCCATCTAGTTGGCCGCTTCTCCAGGGCGGCGAGCCCGACAACATCAGTTTTGCTCCTACTGGCACTGCATGACTTGATTGATTTATTACAGAGTGGTGCGGTAAGATGGCAGGACCTCCTCAAGGAGACCTCGGCCCGATGCTTCACCGGTCGTGAGCCCAACCTCGTGTTACCATGTCGTCCGCCTCTTCTGACGAGCCGACAACCTCAACCAACTCCCTTCCAACCGTACAAGTCTATTCAGAAAAGAAAGCAGACCAAGGTACCCGGCACCAGGAAAGCAATGCAATATTCGACGATGATTCCCAAGAAGAATGCGTGAATCCGACTGAACCGGAGTACCCAGAGGGCGGCTGGAGAGCCTGGGGCGTGGTGGTGGGGAGCTGGTGTGCGCTCTTCGGCTCCATGTCCTTCATGAACAGCATAGGGACATTCCAGGCCTACTTCCTGCGGAACCAGCTGAGCGACCAGAGCAGCGTGTCGATCGGCTGGATCTTTGGCGTCTACAACGGGCTGGCATTCCTCTTGGGCGTGCAGGCGGGCCCCATCTTCGACGCCAGGGGGCCCCGGGAGCTCATCGCCTGCGGCGGCCTCCTGACGGTCCTGTTCCTCATGCTGCTGGGCTTCTGCACCGCGTACTGGCACTTCATGCTGGTCTTTGGGCTGCTGGGCGGGCTCGGCCTCTCGATGATCTACGGGCCGGCCATCGCCATCGTGGCGCACTACTTCAACAGGCGGCGCGGGCTGGCGACGGGCATCGCCTCCTCCGGGGGCGCGGTCGGCGGCATCGTCTTCCCCCTCATGCTGCAGAACCTGTTCGAGCGCGTCGGGTTCGCCTGGGCGACCCGCGCGGCAGGGTTCGTGTGCCTGGGCACGTTCACGCTGGCACTGGCGCTCATCCGGCCCCGGTTCCCGCCCAAGCCCCTCACGTTCGCGACCGTCAGGCCGGAACTGAGCGTGCTCCGCCACGCCGCCCTGACGCTGACGAGCTTCGGCGTCTTCTTCCTCGAGTGGGGCCTCTTCATCCCGTTCTCGTACATCACGTCGTACGCGCTCGACCACGGGAGCTCGTCTCGGTTTGCGTACATGCAACTCTCCCTGCTCAACGCAGGCGGCGTGTTTGGACGCTGCATCCCGGGCTACTACGCCGACAGGTTCGGGAGGTTCAACATACTGATGCTGACTGTCTTCGGCTGCCTTCTGAGCCTGGTATGCCTCTGGCTGCCCGCAAAATCGAGCCAGCCATTGTTGGCCGTGTTCTCGTTGTCCTTCGGGTTCTTCAGCGGCAGCAACGTCAGCCTTGCTCCGGTGTGCATAGGCCAGCTATGCAAGCTGGGCAACTACGGCCGTTACTATTCGACAGCATATACTTTAGTCAGCGTCGGGTGAGTCTGGGCCAGTTCCCAACAGAGACTATCAACTCAGAGCGCCTCTGCTAACGTGGTCCGATTGTTTGTCTAGCATGTTCACCGGCACGGCACTCGGCGGCCAGATATTGGAACTGCCACACAACGGTTATCTGGCTCTAATATTGTTTGCGACGGGTTGCTACGTGGCCAGTTTTACCTGCTTGCTCTTGGCCAAATGGGTCAGCAAAGGAAAGTCTGGGTTGTGGGCGATCTTTTGAAGTCTTGGCAAGATAAATATTATCCTTGTTTTAGTGTATGCAAACAAACCAAAGCATGAGCCCGTAAGGTTGACCAAACCGCGGTCTCTCGCCGTCCTATGTCTTCACAATGTCACCGCCCGTGACCAGCAATGACAAAGACCGAAGTGAGCAATTTGTTTTGTTTGAGGCAGGATGTAATGATGCAACCTGATTGACGGGTTTGTTTCGAGGAAAGCAACGAGGGGCCAAAGGACGGACACCTTGAAACGTGCGGTCAACTCCGAGTTCAATAAGCTGGATATAAAGGTCTGATGCCAGTCTATCCTGCACTGTCTATCATCCCAAACCCTAGATTGAAATCCGCGATTAGTCCCACCAACAATCCACAAAGCAATTGGCCCGATGAACCCAGTTCCAGTGATAAAAACCCAAATGAAGTAGTCGTGTATATGCATCAAAGTCCTATATATGATCCCCAGTCCAAATAATAAAAAGGAGGTGCATGCAATTGGTATCACAACGAAGAGCAACCCATGCAACGCAGCAGCAACAACGACAACAACGACAGCAACTAACCAAGCTATAACAACAACCAACACAAGACAGCATCCACATCCTCAACACAAAAGCAACCCAAAGGAAAAAGATAAACCTGTATCCTAGCCCCAAAAATCGACAAAGACATGCACACATGTATCCAATCGTCTATCCACTTCCCACCCCAACAAAAAATCCACAACCCCAAAATCCACAGCCACACATCTCTTCATACACAATCAACACCCAGCAGCACAGACAGCTTACCTCCCCCCCATCTCATTCTGCCCGAGGAACATCCTCGCCAGCTCATCCCCGCCCTTCTCCGCCGCCTCCATCCAGTGGATCGCAACGCACATGAGCGCAGGATCGCTCCGGACGTCGTTCCCCGCCCCGGCCTTGACACCAGCACCACCGCCGCCGCCGGCACCACCACCACTCCCTCCACCACCACCAACCCCCGATCCGCCCACGCCACCCCCAAGCCCAGCAGAAGACCCGGACCCGGAGCCCCCCTTCCCAGAGGTATCAGCACTGCTGCTGCTGCTGCTGCTATACTTGTCAATGATGGTCTGCTTGAACACCTCCCGCGGCTTGCTGAGCGGCAGCGTCGTCCGCTCCACGAGCTCGGGGTTGCTCAGGTAGAACAGCGCCAGCTCGCGCTGCGACGTCGGGTCCCCCTCCTTGGCGGTGATGGTCCACATGCGCGCCGCGTCCGCGAGGCCGTGCGTGACGGGCAGCTGCAGCGACTGCTCCGGCGAGTCCGCGGCTTCCGCCGCCGCCGCCGCACCGCCGCCGCTGCTACCAGTGTTCCCCTGCCGCGCCTTGGTCACGCTCGCCACGACCTGGTCCGCCACCTCGACCATGGTCGTGCAGACCTCCTCCTTGAGCGACAGCGCCGCGAGCCCGACGTTCCAGAACGCGCGGCCGCGGTCGGGCGAGTCGAGCACCGCCGCCGGCACGAACGCCGCGATGTACTGCAGGTCCCGGAACAGCGTCTTGGGCCGGATCGACTGGTCGCGGAACAGCGACTGCAGCACGTTGGCGATGGCGTCCGTGTTGGCCGGGTTGGCCACCGACGACGACACGATCGAGCGCGTCTCGGCGTTGGCCATGGCGCCGCCCCCGCCGGGGGACGAGAGCGCCGCCGCCGACTGCGCTATGATGTGCGACCTCCGCTCCTTGACGTTGTCGATGGCCTCCTCGAGCGGGCGGGTGCGCCCACCATTGCCACTGCCGGAGCCACCGCCGTGCGTGTCGGACAGCCCAGCATCCGGCAACTTTGCCGTCCAAGCTGCCCTGCGCCGGGACCCGCTCGACGACAAAGACGCCACGATCAGGTGCTCAAGCTCAAAGAGCGAATTGAGCTTGACGTAGGGATTGGGGTGCACGCAGAACATCCTGAGCAGGCGCTGATAAGCCTTGGTGAACGGGAACTCGGGCACGCTGCTCCTCCTGCTGTGGCCGCCGCGCCTGCCCGTCGGCGTGTCGCTCGTGGCCGTCGAGCTGTTGTCCGCCGTGCCCTGGCTTAGCGTGTCCGCCTTGTCGAGCATCGGAGACGGGCTGCTGCTCCCGCTGATATCGCCCGTCGCACCGCGCAGGTCTCCAAAGCTCTTCTTCTTCTCCAGCGTCCGCTGCTTGAGCGAGTTCCGGTTGGCTCTGCGCCGCTCCTTGTCTTTGCTCTCCCTGTCTCTGTCCTTCATCGCACGCATGCGCCGCTGGTTGAGAATATCACGGCGCTCGATGCATTCCTGGCCGAGCGACTCGAACCAGAGATCAGTCTCTGAACCTCGGGCAAACACGAGATTGCCCAGGTCCGAGAGCAGCAAGCTGGTCAGAGTCTGCCGGAGCTCCTTGAGGAAACGAGCCTTCTTGTCCGACTGCCGCTGCTGGTATATCGTCTCGCTCGACGACGCTGACGTGCCGGGGCGACCAGTAGGCGTGTATGGGCTATGCATTTGGTACTGCGTAGAGGGCGTGAATGACCCCGACATGGTGGTGATACCCGTCATCGTCGGCGAGTGGGCCCGAGAGAAGCTAGACCCCGGCGACATGGGATGGAAGGGCGACCAAAACGTAGTGGACGTGTCGATCGTAGTGACGGGCGACGATGCGCCAAAGTATTCGTGCCCGTCAAACACATCGGACAGAGCCGTGCTTGCTCTTGAGAAACTGAACCGGGCCGAGTCCAACGACTGCTGACTAGTGTTGTGCGCAGACATCGACCGTAAATCGCGCGCGATCGAGTTGGGCCGGCTAGACGAGGCATACCGCCGTTCGGGGTCGCTTATGACACTCGCAGAATCGTCCCAGATCTGACTATCTCGGTCTCGACTCCTCGCAGCCTCAAAGATCTTCCTGTCTCGCAGGTACAGCTCGCTCGACCACAGCACAGGCGAGTCCACAATGCCCTCGCCCACAAGTTTCGCAATGCAGCTATCGATCTCGCAGCAGAAGCGGTGGATGCGCTCCTCGCCGCGACAAAAGTTCCTCTCGATGCCGTACTGCTGGAGCCACCGCACCGTCTTCTCCGCCTGGTCGTCGGACAGCTTGTTCGGGCCTCCCTGGTCCTCGGTAGCAGCCAGGAGGTCGACGATCTGCGTCTCCGTCCTGAACAGGTACGATGCAGCCGGTCCTCGCGTGAAAGCATGGCGGTTCTTCTGCAGCGTGCCCCAGCGCCGCGGCATGCCCATCGTCTTGAGCGCAGCAGCGATGTTGCGTGTATGCTCATACGGACCCGAGTTCCGCACATCCGTCACATACCACATCTTGTCCCGCAGTGCCCGCAGCCTGCGCCCCATCGAATCCAGCAGGCCCTCGGCGCGCTCCTGTGACTGCTTCAGCCAGACGAGCCATGCGTCGTACTCCTCGATGGCGGACGCAGACCTGCGGATCGAGTCCCGGGGTCCTCGCGAGAAGATGTTGAGCAGGGTCGCAAATCCATCGCGGCGGAGTGAGTCCGATGTGAGTGCATTCAGCTGCTGAAGGGTTCTCCAGTACAGATGGGCAGAAACGAAATCAGACTGCGCTCGCGACTGCGACGACGCCGCCTCGAGCATCGTCACAAGCACGGGCTGGTACTCCTCCGGTGTCTCGGTCACATCATCCGTACCCTTACCCTTACCGTAATCCGAGGCCGTGGTGCCCACGGACTCGGCCACAGACCCCGCAGCAGACTGGCGCCTGTAGGGGTTCCGGCTCTCCATGGACCTCTCCGAGGTGATGATCTTGTTCTTCAGCCGGTACTTCTTCAGACTAGTGGCACGGTTGCTAAAAGTCTGCGCTTTGCTGCCGTCCTTCTCCAAGTTATGGGGTATCTCGTAGTCTTCGACGAGCTTTAGTATCGAGTCGCGCAGTTGATGGTAGTCCTTATCTAGCTCAGGCCGGTCATCATCGGCCTCATCGCCGTCCGTGTCACTCGTGGATGAATTCTCCTCGTCGTCCAAGTCGTCGTCGGGGTCATATGTCATTTGCGTAGACAGGCTGTTGCCATCGGCAGAGATGAATAGCACTGCCCAACGCTCTGCGCACGGATGGCACGAGCCGCGAGCAACATCGCTACCAAGGGCTTGAATCATGTCATGCACGGCCAGCCGCAGCCTGTATCCATCGTCCTCGTAGTGGTTCTGCTGTCGCTGGCTAGCCAAATCATGGAGTGGTGGTGAGGACCGCGTCGAGGTTCCGGTGCGCTGCTCCTCCAAAAGGGGTTCGCGGGACGTGGTGGCCTCGCTGAAGCTTGAGGAAGCGCTGGTGCTGAGCACCGATCCAGTCTCAAAATTACCTCTAGAAGTAGATACCGAAATAGGCTGGGAGATAGCAGAGAAGCCAGAGATGGAATTGGCCGTGGATCTCAGGCTTCCGGATTGTGCCGACTGTGGACGGCGCTCTGGGAACAGGGCATTCACAAGTGTGACCAGATCAGCAGGGCTAATCACAATGTACGGGTGGACCTCGACCGTCTCTCTCAGGGAGGTGATTGACCTGGCAGGAAGCAGCCTGGCAGTCGACCGCTTGGACTTGAGTCCTTTGAACCGATTCAGGATGTTTTCCACGTGCATTTTCACCTTGGGCGGGGTGGAGACGGGGCCAGTCTGCCAAAGCATGTCGATGACCAGGCGCGAGGCTCGCAGCGCAACCTGCTTGAGGATCTTTTGCCGGCCATACTCGGTGATGTGGTACTCAGTCATCAGGCCGTAGCTCTCTGGGTGAATGATGACGCCGATCAGCCAGACGGAGAAGAGCCATTTGAAAACAAACCATTTCCTCGTGCTTTCGACGTACTTCTTGTCCAGCTTCTTCAGGATCTCATTGCCAAGCTCTAGCAGGCCTTCCGGGATTCCAGTGGCGTCCTCATCATCAATAATGGCAAAAAGCTCGTCCGTGGCCCGGTCGTAGAACTCCTCGGCCTTGATCTGGTCCTTCTGGGTCCAGTCCGACAGGTTGAACCTGGTCCCGTGCTGGTCCTCGGCTCGGTCAAGGAGGAAAGCACCATCCTCGAGAATCTTCATTAGGTACCACTCCATATTAGCACGGCCGGACCAGTCCCTCAAGGTAGACCAAGCGTTCAACACAGATATCACAAACGAGTCGAATCCGGTCTTGGGTTCCGATATGAGCCGCGCACAAGCTGTAGCCCAAATGTCAGTCCGGCGCCTGTCCTCGGCACTGTCCGGGCCAGCGGAGTTGGCAAAGCAGGTATGTATCAACGCGGACAACGGGTCATGTCTCTGGAACGAAAGAAGGCGCTCCACCGTGTTGGACGGCTGGGATGCGCCCTTGTTCGAGGTGACACTCGGCCCTCGCCCGGAAGGCCGATTGTGAAAGGGAAGGACAGTCTCGATCGGCTCCAAACCTTGGTAGAAAGTCGTGAGCGCAGCCAGCTCCGAGGGGTTCAGAGCGGTCAACCTAGCAGCCAGGAAATCAGGGTTATTACGCAACTGGATCAGGAATCCAAGAAGGGCGTCCCGGGCAGAGGCAGAGATGTCGTTCAGAAAGGGAGAAGTCGCGCCCATGGCAGCACTCGCCGCGTTGGGGAGAGTGGTAGGCGTAGACAGGCTATCCGAGGACTCTGCTCCCGGAGAGCGCAGGCTCTCCATCTCGGGCTCCTGCAGGGCGAACCTACGGAGCTCGTCGCAGCTGTTACGCACGTCGGTGATGGCATTGTAGAGGTTCGCAAAGGCCTTCCTGTCGTCGCCGCGGAAGCAGTCGACGAGGTTCCTATGTGCGATCTCGCCGCAGCGGGCAAGGCGCGCAGACATGGCCGTGGACACTAGGCTCCGCTGGAGGCGTATGCGCGTGTTGGCGCGCTTCCGTTCCTGGTACTTGGAGAGCCTGACAAGATGTGCAAGCTCCTCGAGGCTCGTGCTCTCGACATCCGGGGCCAAGTGTGGGTTCGTGTACAAGGAGACATCTTGTATTAGAGGCTGCGGCCTGTCCTGCGCCGGAACAGGACTGTCGGGAGATCGCGCGTATGCGCTGTCATCTCGGACGTCGGAGCCGTCGCGGTGCTCCATGGAGGGCAGAGGCTGCAGCTTGGTCGGGGCCTGGGCTATAACGGGCTTTCGGGTTGGTGTAGAGCTCGAGCTCTGGCGGGTCGAGGGCCGCCGAGGCAGGTCGGCGCTGCGGCGAAAGGGGAGGGAGGCAGTATTGCTTTCTGTTGTGAGGGAGAACGGCTGGGCATCGAGCCCCCTCGTCCGGTCGAATGCGCCGCCATGGGGATTGTTTTCGGGCGACGGGGTTGGGGATCTCGAGGACGTCTGGGTGATGGTCGGAGATACTGCTATTGATTTGTTGTTGTCAGCATTTCCCTGGTCCTGTCTGTCTTCCCGCTCCTCCAAAGAGCTCGGAAGGAACTGCGCAAAGCGCTAGCGGATATCAAGCTACGCACGAGGAGAGGCGTGGATGCGGACGGGCGAGGAGAGGGAGCGCTGCATGGAGATCATAGCGACCCCATGTGAGGTAAGCCGGCGTGCGCGATCGCCCGGGAACTACCAGCTTTTGCTGCCGGTAGTCATGGGAAACGACCACTTGAGGACGAGACTCGATAAAGCTGGTGGGTTGCGTCTCGCTAGAGGGTTCGTGTAATGAAAGACCGCGCGCAAAATCGGGTTGTGTGAAAGGGTAGGTAGGCAGCTTGAAGACAAAGAGTCGTCGTCGGTCACATCTGACTTGTGTCGCGGGGTTCAAGAGAGTACCGTGGGTGGTTTTGTTTGGTTGGGCAGGCAGGACTGGGACGCCTTTTGCCGGTGGTGGTTGCCCAAGTGGTAGTGAAGCGTCTTTGCGACAGGGCTCTGAAAATCCGCAAGACCCTCCTCGCACGCGCGCCAAGTTGGAGGGGAAAGGGGGTCTTAATAGAGGACCCAGACAGGCGGGAGGGGGAAAAGGAAAAAGGATATACAGGGGCCGAAGAGAGAGAGAGAGCGGAAGAGAGATGATCGATCCCTGCCACCGTCGTCAACCTATCGGGGCCAGCAACGGGAGCCGAGTAGGTCTGACTGGATCGACGGTCCTCGCCTATCAATGTCGAACAGACCGACAGAACAAGAGACAACGAGGTGGTGGCCGGTGGTAGGTAGCCAGGCTGGTACACACAAGAGAGCCGACCCAGTCGAGGACAAGATCTCCGTTTCCGTTCCCTGGTTTGCCTGACTTGCGGTACCTAGTCAGTAGTGGTGGTGGTTGCGTTGGACGGGATTGATGGATGGGATGCTGGCGGGCGAGTTTGTAGGCGGCCCGTGGACGGAGGGCAGAAGGTAAGGTTAGGCCCGTCCAGGTGTCGTGTTAGAGGGAAACCAGCAGCACGCGGGCCAGCCTCACTGGACGGGACGGGCTCGCTAACGCTTGGGAGCGGGGTGATCCCAACCCACTGTCTCGATGCCACGCTGCGTCTTCAGGGGCTGGCTGGGCTAGCTGGGCTTGCATTTCCCGCAACCGTTCCTCCGGCGGGGCGCACTACGTGAGCCGCTCCCGCAATTGACGTTAGTGCTTGACAGTGCTAAAACAGACGCTACCCGCAGCTACCTCCTCCTGTCAACAAATGGTGCTTCTGGCTTGCACTTGTTCCAAGACTCCAACTTGGCTCGTGATGCCGTCGCAGCCAATCCCTCCCATCTCCCAGCTGCTCCCTCAGCTGGCAACTGTAAGTGACTTGGGCCAGCTTTCGCCCCCAAGACTCAGCTCACTCACCTCTCCACCGTGGGCTTGCGAACCACCGCCAAACAAGCAACTCGTCAAGGCTGAAGCTGAGTCGACCAGGCCAGCTCTGGTAGATTACCGAGTACAAGACCAGTTGCGTCTCCAGAACCCTCTCTTCGGATCGGCCATGCCACGAAACTTCCCTCTCCTAGATTCCGCGCACTCCCTCGCACATGTGTCCTGTTCCCCTTCTCGTCCGTGTCTTGTCCCTTCTCCCGCCCGCCCGCCGTGTACAGCCACCCTTTCTAACCAAGCGGCCACCTCACACATACAGCTCAACCACCTAATCTCAGACCGCACATAGACCACCTTAAACCCAGCACAGCAGAGTCATCAAGCGGGCGTGGCCTCTGAGCAACCGGCGGGGGACCCTCATCTTCTGAGGTGGCCTTGCATAACTACCTAGACACCCTTGCGCCATCCATCCTCTCGCCTCCCGGAGGCCAGCAGCCAGCGCAGGCAGGCCACCACCCGGCCACAGCAGACACCCACCACCACACACAAGGTTTTGCGGCCGGCCGGCCCATTGGAGTCCGCCTGCTGAGCTGGCAAGTCGTAGGCGACGGTGGTGGTGGTGGAGTGAGACGAGGGGGAGGGGGGCCGACGCAAGCAAGCGTGGACACCGCTGATTGGGCGCGGCCATGCATCCTACCCTCTCTGCCGTGCAGGGGAGGGGGCCATGGGATCTGAACTGGCCTGTCGCCGCGGCCACCTGTCTAGCCTCCTCCCCCTTCGAAGTATCCTGCCTTGCCCGATGTAGTGTTTGGCGTGTTCTTTCGCCAGACCAACCAGAGCGTCGCTGGCTGCTCCTCCGGCGGTCGAACACCTGGCCTGGCGAATCCCGGCGTCTGCTATTGGATAGCAAAGGGGCCCACGGTGATGGAGAGGAATTTCGACATGGTGCTTTTCGCTGGCCCCGCTGCAAGAACACGATGCCTCGACAGACCACGATCTCACTTACATGATGTGCCTCAAGCATTGGGGTAAGAATGATGATAGATCCACACTGCTAGTCAGACACACATACAAGTAGAATTGATGGAGTCATCATCCTAGGCATGGTCAATCGCGCTTGCAATCATTGCAGGTACCTGCAGCAAAAGAACAAGTCTCCGGACAAGGGGAGTGTTGATGACGAGAACAGCAAGGCAAGGAACTGCAGTAGGATGAACAATAAGAGGACATGATACAGGGTGCCTAGCTTGCCAAGACGAGAGGCAAGTACACTCACAAACTCTCTATGGATCACCGGAACTACCCTCAATGTGCATCAAAACATGAACTGCTTTTCATTGATCCCAACCGGGGGCCGTCTCTTGAAGCCCGCCAAACCATATACTCCCCCTGCAGTCCCTCTAAAGACCGTATCAAAACATATGACTCCTCATAAATGACATACAGTAGGGTCGGTCCTCGATGCGCCCACAAAAAACACACATCCACCATCCATCCACCCCCTGCTTCCCAACAACCACCAGCAACAAGTCCCTCTCCGATGGTAATATGTACAAGACTACACCTAGCATGCGCAGGCCAATATGCACAAGGCCAGGACAGGGATACGAACCGTTTCCCTCTTTCTCATGTCCCTGTCACCCAGGCCCAGGCACCCCATCCTCGCGCGGAGCCCATCCGGGGCGCCTAGCCGCCCGTCTGACCCGATCAGGCCGGCCGCATACTCGGCCGCATGAGCCTTCACGCGGCTGCTCCCCCCCCGCGAGCCGGTCTGAGGATCTTTCCATCCCCTCCTCTCAGCGGGCCCGGAAGCTGCTTCCCCGTATGCAAGAAGGACCAGAGCCCGTCTTTTAACTTTTTTGCAAAGCATTGATTGAATCATCGATTGATCATCTTCTCCCCCCCTCATTCGCTGCGCTCACTCCCCAAACCGCACGTCGAACCCCTTGAGCACGCTCATGATGCTCGCGGCCTCGACCTCCATGGGATGCAGCTTGCTACCGCCGCCCGGTGCGCGCTCCCCGCCGCCCCCGCCCCTGGCCAGCTGCCTGGGGTCCGGCCGCGGCGCCGCCCGCAGCAGCGGCAGCCACGTGCCGATGTCGTCCGTCGCCTCGCTGAAGTGCCTGTGGCTCGCCAGCGTCTTGTACGTCTCGGCGCACGACAGGCTCAGCCCGATCTGCTGCTGCTTCTTGCTGGCCCCCGCCCTGCTGCTGTTGTCGGCGGCAGCAGCGCCTGATGAAGTGGCACCGGCAGCGGCATTCGACTTGGCACCGCCCTTGCTCTTGCAGCAGCCGCCTGCGCCGCCGCCGCCACAGCAGCCGCCGCTACCGCCACCGCTACCGCCGAGGCCGCCCTGGCGCTCAAAGTTGGCCGCGAGGGACCGGCAGAACAGGCCGGACTTGGGGTCGGCCAGGCACTGCGCGCAGGTGCCCGGCCCGCCGGGCCCGCAGGTGGAGCGCTTGGCGGGGGTGCCGCTGTTGTCGCGGCGCAGGCGCAGCGACTTGAGGCTGGGCAGCTTGATGGCGCCCGTGGCCGTGACCTCCATGGGCGAGGGGACGACGTCGTCCTCGGAGGGCGGCGGGGTGTGCTCCTGCGCCGACATCAGGGAGGTGGGTTGCTGAATAGCCGCCGACTGCGGAGGGGGAGCGGGAGGAGGGGCGGCGCTGGAGGAGCTGCGCATGGCGTCGGCGCAGACGCAGTAGGTCCCTTCCTCACAGAATCCGCAGGGGTCCTTGGGGATGCCCGTCTCCATGGGCTGCGGCTCCTCCTCTGTGCTGGGGATGGGAAAATACGAAGTGCTGTTGGAGGTCGGGGGTTGCGCGGGTGCGTTGAGGCTGACGGCGGTCACCGAGGTCCGCTTCCGTGAGAAGAGCGAGGTGAAGTCGGTCTCCATCTCAGTATCTGGGCGAAACCGCTTCTCGTCGGGGCCTAGCAGTGGCGAGCTGGATCGAAACGGCCGCTTCAGAACCGGTGACGAGGACTCGGAGTGGCCGAGCGTAGCGTTGACGCTCTCTTCCAGACACTCGCACTTGGTGCCCAGGGAGCACTTGCCGCAGCCAGAGGTAGCCTTGGCCAGGACCTCGTCGGCACAGGCGCAGGGGCCGGTCGGCTTGCACGAGCCACAGGTGAGCGTGTCGTCTAGCTCGTCGGGCGGTGAGATGATCTGCGAGATGGAGAAGGTGTGCGCCGACGGTCTCGGGGCCGCAACGCTGGTAGTGCTGGAGCGGCTTGATCTGGAGTAGTGGTCGGCGTTGCCGGTGGATCCTCGTTGGTGCTGAAAGGAATGGTGCCTCTGCAGAGGCTGGGAGGACGACGTGCTTCCGCTGCGGGAGAGGGATGCCTCGGACGCCTTGCGCGCCTTCATGCTCTCGAGCTCGGTACCGACACGGGCCCGCTCGACTCTCTCGCGCTCGAGCATGTTCTCGAGCACTTGGCATCTCGTGCGCAGGGTCTGGGTCTCGACCTCGAGCCCTTGGACCTTGTCGCGGAGCTCCTGCTCGACCTTGTCGTGAGCCTCCTTCTGCTCTTCGAGCTGCTCCTCCAGCTCGCCGACACGAGCGGCCCTCCTCTCGCGGAAGGCCCGCTGCGCAGCACGGTTCTGTGCCTTGCGCTTGGTCGGCGGAGTGTCGGTCGCCGGCTTGCGGCCCGGCTTGGGCCGAGGCGGGATCACCCACTCCTTGCTGGTGACGGACATGGGCGGCTTCATGGGCGCGGCCTGCTGGTTGGGGGTGATGACAGAGGTCATGGCCATCATATTGACAGGCTTAGCTGTCGTGGCCTGGACGGCAATGTGTGATGACGGTTTGATGGCGAGGTGGGGTTGTGAAGCAGAGGCACCCGGGGTGTGCGCAGGGGTGGAAGCACCGGACCCGGGCGAGGCGGCGGATGCGGGACTTGATACCGACGTCGAACGGCTCACGCCACAGCTTTCAGACGCGGGAGCTACAGGGCGCGTTGATAGTCGGGGCAGCTGTTGTTGTGAGCGAGGTGAGGCGGTCATGTTCGCAAGAGGGAAATCCGGATGAGGCCACCACAGGGCGAATGGAAATCGGGCTAGCGGGCGAGGGTGGGCGGGTGTCGGGTGGGCGACTCGTCAGATGATTTTTCAGTGGGTGGGTTCCGGGCTTCTCGTAGCGGTTTAGTGGGCTGGGCGTGGGCTGGGTGTGGGCCGGAGTCTGCCTCGGAGTTAGATTTCTTGGCTCGCTTCAGCTTGTGGTTGGGCAAGCGTGTAGTCGTCCCCGAGATGAGGAAATGCCCACGCAGATTGATAAGACAAGCCAAGGGGATTGGAGAAGGAGACGCCTTGCTGGTGACTTACCGACGCATCGATTGGGGTCTTGAAGATTGATGTCGGTTGAGATTTGCCCTGATCTCTGTGTGCTTCTTTGAGTGGCAACCCAGGCCGTGTCCTTGGGTCAAGCAGGCTTGTGAGTACTGCTTGGACTGGGAGGACTGATCTGGATTCATCAAATAGTAGGTATCATCAATGATATCAATTGCATCAATTGGAGAAAGGAGAAGGAGGGGGAGAAAACAAAAAGAGGAATGGGCGGGGAACGGATGGTGAAGGGAATCAAAGTCATAAATGCATTGCGATCTCCAAGAGAAACGGGAAGAAGCGCAAGCGGACTCGGCCTCTGGTACTTGTAGAGTGCCAGTGCCAATTCGTCTCCAGACACTAGGTAGGTAGATGCCCTGGAGCCGCAGTCGCACGCGATGGGTCCAGAGAAGTTCCGGAGGCTAAGAGGAAAGAGAAAGAGCCTTTGCTTCGCTGCCTGGTTTTCCCTCCCTTCTTGACAAACGCAAACTGTGCGCAGATTCAAGGGCGGAAGAGGAAGAAGAGGGTGGGAGGGAATTCCTCGGGACAGCGAGAGAGTGCGCGAGCTAGGAAGTACCTAGGTAGAGAGAGCAAAGAATGGCGCAGGATTTGGCGATCTTTCGATGGCCCAGATTTCCCCCCACTGATTGATTTGATTGAACTGATTGATAAGATAATTTTTGGGGGGCGCTAGGCAGAAAGCACTCTAGCGGAGGCCTGCCTGGCCAGGGTCGACACGGCGAGACGGCTCAAACCAGGCCATCCTGGCTCCTTCAGGCGGTTCAGGCGAGACGATGGCATCAACATCCCCCCCTATTGGCTGCCCGCGGGGCCACAGCGAGGCCGTTCAATTGCGTCTGACCAACAGAAACGTAAGCTGAAATACCGACGGCCTCTGGTCATTTGTCGACCTGCGGAAAAGATGGGTTCTTGGCCTCTTGCCAAGCCAGCCCGTTGCCATTGTCGAAGCGACCGACTTCGGAGCGTCGTCCTTTTCAACCCTTTTCAACAGGGAACACAGTTATCTGATCTTCAATCAGTCCCCACCATCCGCGGACAGAAGCACAGTGCGGCACTTTTCGGTCGTGGCCAGACCAGTCACACGCCCTCCATCTCCTTGGTCAAATTTTCATCTTCGGATCAGATAAGATCTTTCCAGGGGGGCTCATGCACAGAGCTGGTTCAAGAAGCTTCCCGAGCCGCCCCTCAGGCTCACCACATTGCTAATTCCCTCACCAAGCCATTCCGTCCTTTTGTATTCGCTGGAACATCCCGGCACCCAAGAATCCCTGTGGAGTCTCTCAATGGGCTCTCCTCAAGCTCAGGAGCCGTGATCGCACATGCCATAAATCAAACCCTACCCTCTTCAGTCCCTTTCTTACCGCTATTCACATGCAGACCCTCGCCAGCCGGCACTGGGGGTAGCTGGGACCGGAGCTCATCACCGCACCACACAGACCACTGGACCACCGCCTCCCTGCCCTCCATTGCTCTCGGGCCGGTGGTATCTGAGATGGCGTGCTTTTCTGAGAGTACGTACCCGTTGACCATGCCCTCTGCAGCACAAAAAGGCCCCAGGATCCTTGCAGACATCTCCACGTCGGTGGTGCTAGTTGTGCTCCTCGGCCTACGGATCGGAAGAGGATAGATCTGCTGAGCATCTTGGCAATAAGTAAAACTCTTCGCGCGGATTTACCTTGGATCCCACATTTCCCCAACTGAATCGTACTTGTAGGTCCGTAGACGGCCTTCCAAGAGACCAGTGGGGTTGCCCCCAGCCTTCTTGCCAGTTCCACACCCGACTCCCAAAAGGTCTGCCGAGCAATGCAGCGCGGAAACCGATCCCTTGACCTCGGAGTGACTTGCGCAGAGGATTGAAGGTCAAAGATCACTTGGCTAGTATTTTGGTCAAATAAATGGACAAAATATGTAGCATGCTTGGAGGCAACACTACAGGTGCGTGGAATCAATTGAGCTGCGGCCTGAACCGTATTGTTTCCCGATAAGAACAAGTGTCATTGTTTCATTATGGAGCGAACGAGATACCTGAAGAGACTCATCATCAACTTCGCCCAACTTCCACAGAAGATCGAAAGTTTGGCCAAGGGTTTTCTTTAAAATCTCATCCTCTCACCACTTTTTTATTCCATTATTTCCATCATGCAGATAGTCTGTCAGAGCTGTTTGTGGTTCAAGCCCGCTTGAGTTATTTTCAAGAGGCAGTTCTGCAGGAGACTCTAGGTATAAGGGTTAAACAATCCAGCAACAGGATAATCAATATGCTGCCTTTGCTCCATAGTCTATCCTGGTGTTGAAATATATATTTCAAATAAAAGAAAAGGAAAAAAAAAGGGCCAGCCATTCCAGGAAAGAAATCGAGTACAAGAACTCTCACAGAAAGCCTTGTCACATGTTGATGCTGACACTTGGGAGGATGTTATCGGTTGAATCCGCTTGCCCACTTCTTCACACATGATATCTCGACCAGCATCTCCAAAGCGAACCTACTCGCGGGCGAGAAAGACGTTGTTATCTAGACTGGCCTGCAAGGGACGATTGAACTGCTCATCCTTTATCACACGGGGAGCCGCTGACTGCTTCAGGTCAATAGGACACCATATTGGTTCTGCCTACTGTAATACAATGGGACAAACAGTTCCAGTTCGAGCATAATGTCAAGCCACTCAAACTTGTTGAAGAAGATTTCTAGTGGAATTCCATTCACCACTGGGAAGAGCAAATTCATGAGAACGGCGTGTTTATGATTGTCGAGGTAGAATACACCTCGATATCTCTCACGAGTGCGATTATGTGTCATCAAGGTACAATGACGAGTAATGAACTTTGATATACGAAGGATCAGGTAGCGGACGTGGTTGTCGCTGGTGCTCTGAACAGTGCTCTGAAAAATAATGCTGAATAAAAGTGATACCAAAAGGGTAATGTGAAATATGCAGTGACATAACTTTATGTTTGTTTAGGTAAGGAAGGGCCACCTGCGTAGACTCTGGGGTTATGCAGCCCCACCTAAGAAAGCTCCAAAGCATTGGAAAGAACTCCAGCAGCATTACAAGCAGCGTAATCCGCCTGAATTGACAATGACTTGCTTAGCACAACACTGCATCCTGTTTCACACTCTATGAGTACTGGGAGAGTCACATCACAAGACCGCCAGCCTGGTATTGTGATCACTTCACAAAGGTCTTAGAACCTGGGCTGGGAGCAACTGATCTGAGGTTACGTGGCGGGGCGCACCCGTACCATCACGTCCAACTCAGGACAAGACCGCCGCCGCCTCCGGCCATCGCTCCCCACGACAGAAGAACCATGACCTCCCTCACCCTCCGCACGGGTCCCCAGTCCCCGAATCGCACGACCTCATCCTACTCAGGCTTCGCCCTGCCCTCCTCCCCCTCCTCGGGCGCGCCCTCCGACGCAGACGGCAATGACGACGACGGCGACGACACGCCGCTGCCCTTCCCCACCGCCCTCTCCCGCCGCGACTTCCTGGCGCCCGACTTCCGCGCCGCCGAGTTCCTCTCCTCGCTCTTCCCCTCGGGCAGCGACACGACCGCCGCCCACCGGCACCAGACGCTCGAGGACCTGCGCGCCGAGCTGCGCGACCGCGGCGCCGCCATCGGCGCCGAGCTGCTCGAGCTCGTCAACGCCAACTACACGAGCTTCCTGGGCCTCGGGGACGAGCTCAAGGGCGGCGAGGACCGCGTCGAGGACGTGCGCGTCGCGCTGCTCGGCTTCCGCCGCGGCGTCGAGGACGTGCAGGCCCGGGTCCGCGCCCGCAGGGTCGAGGTCGCCGAGGCCTGCCGCGAGCTGGCCGGCGTGCGGGCGGCCGTGGAGCTCGGGCGGCGGATGCTAGAGCTCGACGAGCGGGTGGGCCTGCTCGAGGGCCGGCTGGCGTTGGCGAGCTTGCCGTCCAACAAGGAGGTGAACAAGAAGGGTGGCGAAGACGGAGGCAGTGGTGTTAATGGCGGGTTTGATGTGGAGGAGAGTGACGATGATGACGAGGAGGATGAGGAAGGGCAGGATATGCCTGATGGTGTGAATGGGCACAAGATGTTTGTGGCGAGCAGCCCGACCAAGTTGCTCGATCTGGCAAAGGATTTGATGCTGGCTGAGCAGCTGGTCGATAGCATTGGACGGGATGTCCCGTTTGTCAAGAAGATGCAGGAGAGACTGATACGGTGCCGGAATACCATACTGCTGGACCTCAAGACGGCAGTCAAGGAAGCAAAGTCTGCTGCTGGAACGGCAGGCCAGACAAGGACGCTCAAACTGCTTGCCATCTATCGGCTGATCAACGCCGAGGCAGAGGCGGTTCAAGTCTTGCGAGAAAAGTAACTGCGATAGACCATGGCTCATCATGGACGAGATACCCAACAAAAATGCAAAAATTTGCAACGCTTCTTCAGCCTATTGACGGGGATATACAGTCAAATACAGATATAATACATCGAGTCTCTCTTCGCTTTCCCTTCTTTTCCTTTCCATTTCTACATCTGTCCCGCGAGGTGCGCAGGCGTAATCTTGTCATCCGTCGGGTTGAATCCTCCGCTCAGGCTGAAACCGGGCCCGTTGGTCGAGCTCAGCACGATGTCGTCGACCTCCTTGGTGAAGGAGTCGTCGACGGCGCCAATGTCGCTCTTGATCTGCTTCATCAACACCTTGACGTTGTCGGCGAGCTGCTCGGGCGAGAAGCCCAGCTGGCCGACAGCCATGCGCACCGTGCCCTCGCGCTCCCTGTACTCGTCGGCGCCGACGAGCTCGCGCATCAGGCCCTTGACGTCGCCGGTGATGGTCTTGGTCTTCATGCTGGGCATGAGGCCCTTGGGCCCCAGCACGCGGCCCAGCTTGGCGGCGTTGAGCGCCATGACCGAGTCCGAGTGGCAGATGAGCCGGTTGAAGGGGATGTTGCCCGCGCGGATGGCCTCGAAGAGCGACTCCTCCCCGACGGCGACGGCGCCGCCCTGCCGCGCCTCCTGCGCCGCGGCGCTGTCCTCCTTGGCGATGACGCCGATGCGGACGTCCGACTTTACCGGGTGGGGGAGGCGGATGCGGTTGCGGATGACGGGCCCGCTCTTCATCGTCTTGAGCTTGAGGGCGACCGAGTACTTGACGGACATGGGGTTGCGGCCGACCTCGAAGGCGCGGATGTACCTGGTTTTGCGCGTTGGTGGTCAGTTTCTTGGAGATCAGATTCGTGACGAGTAACCGTGCAGCCGGCTGTCGCCTCAATCTGGCAGGAGTGCTATGCATACCTCATCGCGTCACATAGTGAGTACTGCTCCAGCTTCTCCTTGTCCCAGACCTTGAACTCCTTATACGTCTTCTTCTTCTTCTCGCGTTTCCTCGTGCCACCGGCTCCTGCGTACCGGACTTGGGAGGCGCACGTCGTCTGCAATAGGGGCCGGGCGGCGCGCGAGACGGCGCCCGTCGGTCTTGATGTCGTCGAGAGACTGAGCCTTGCCAGCGAGGCAAGGCATTGGTTTGTGGCAGCCATCCCTGAGCCGGTCGTGATGGCGAATCTGGTGTGGTATTTGTCCCCCAGAACTGGACGATCTCGAGAAAATGTCAAGCCAGTTGAGATTTAGTGCCTGATCTGCGAGGCCTAGGTTTTCTTTATCTTATCGCCGACCCGCCATGGTGCCAGGCCTCAACTCTCTGGTGCTAGTGCTCCGCACTTGGACCATCACCAACCGGCGCCATATTGAGAGGGTGCAGAGTAAGCCACATCAAGCAAAAGCGCCTCCGATTGGGAGACACCATGAATTAGCCTAACTACCTGCCTAGGTTAGTAGGTAAAGGCTTCCATGGTTGCTGACTTTGGCCTATGACGTTATGTGCACTGCAAGACGAGCAAAGCCCTCCACCAATTTCAGTCATGATTCTTCCCCAAGGATATTGATCTCGGCGAATTCAAGGCCATAGGAGAGGATGGCAGACATACCAGAACCCCTCGCGAGCATCCCATTCTATCCGATCCGATATGACAAACCATCCCCGATTCATGTCTTCGGCTCGCAAAGACAATGGCCATGCAACGTACACATCAAACGGGAGGACCAGTCGTCACCAGCCGTCTGCTGCGGCAACAAGTATCGCAAGCTAGAGTACGTCATCCCTGACCTCCAGCGCGCCACGCCAGCAGTGACGACCATCGTCACCGAGGGCGGTCTGCAGAGCAACCATGCCGCGCAGACCGCCGGCGTTGCCGCCATGCTCGGGATGGAGTGCGTGCTGCTGCTCGACGAAAAGGCGGGCGGGCTGAGCACGGCAGCGAGCCCGGAGGCGTTCCGGAGCGCGGGCAACCAGCAGATATATAAGCTCCTAGGCGCCGATATCCGCGTCGGTCGCGGCCCACAGGATAAAGGCACTGTACTGCGGCAGCTCACGGCGGATGGCAAGGTGCCGTACTTCATCCCCAGTGGTGCGAGCACACACCCTCTCGGTGGTCTCGGGTACGCCCGTTGCGCGTTTGAGATAGTTGCTCAGGAGAAGGAGATGAGCCTCCCTGGTACGGGACGGTACGACTACATCTTCGTGGCTTGCGGAAGTGGCAGTACCATAGGCGGACTGGCTGCCGGGTTTCGATTACATGGCAAGCTGGCATCACAGGCAAACAGTCAGTCTAAGCTCCCTGAGCGTCAGCTTGTGGGTGTCATGGTCATGGACAAGCCCGGCTTTGAGAAGCAAGTGGAGGTGATTGCCCGCACGGCTGCTGCAAAGGTTGGGCTTTCCGGCGACCATATGCATATTCACAATGTTCGACTGGTGGGGGACTTTGTCCATCCCGGATACGGTGTATTTGACGAGAAGATCGAAGGGACAGTCCAGAGATTTCTACGTGAGGACCAGGTGCTGTTGGATCCGGTGTACTCTGGCAAAGCTGCAAGATCCATGTCGGAATGGATCGACAGTGGCCTGCTCGCTGAGGATAGCCGGCAGCATGGTCACCAAGAAATCAGCAAGGTCAATGTTCTCTTCATCCATACTGGTGGACAGACTGTCCTTTCAGCCTACGCGAAAGCATGAGCCACGGCAAAACCCCCTCGTTCACCAACTCGAAAAGAACTATAATCTCAGAAGAAAGACGGCTGGACGGACAAATAATTCCTGCTATATTGTATCTCTGTCTTACTGGTTTCTTGAACTTGCAATATACCTCTGTTCGTCTTGATACACTCCCCCTTTACAGACGTCGAGCACCTGAGCTCTCATGGATGGGGATGACCTTCGACTACATGATCACCATTCTACTGATCGCACACATCAGTATCAAAATTATTCTAAACACGTTTGCTTCTGATCAATTTGGCCTTTCTCTCATGGAATTACCCCACAACGCACAAGGATGCCATGCCCACTCCCCTGCAGAGCCCCAGAATACAGCCGGAGCCCGCGGACGGGGCGGGGCGGGCGGGGCGGGCGGTGCGGGCGGTGAGGTTTTACGCACGTATTTCAAACAATTGGCTTTCGACACATTACGGTCTTGAAACAGGCTTTGCTTCTAGAGAAGGTGAACCGGATCACGATGGCGAACTCAAACGAGCGGGAGTACCCCGTTATGTCCCGAGCCGATGTAGAGGGCCTCATCGCCCAGGGACGCAAGATCATCATCGTGGACCACTTCGTGATGAAGGTCGACGCGTGGCTGCCGTACCATCCTGGAGGCGACAAGGCTATCATGCACATGGTTGGCAGAGATGCGACAGATGAAGTGAATGGGTTCGTTGGGCCCCAGAACAGAACCACATCCTAACCATGCTAACGCCAACTTTTCAGACTACACTCTCCAGAGGCTCGCCTTATGATGGATAGATATCGCATCGGTCGGATTGAGGGCCATTGGCACAATTTCCTGCCGCCTATACAAGGTGGTATCTTCCGCTCGCCTTCGGCCGCGGAGAGCCATGATGAGAAGCACCAGGTGTCGGTCATACCGGAGTCTAGCAGTGCTAGTTCCCGCTCACAATCGCCCTCGCCCATCTTTGATGATAGTGAGGCACGGCACCGCTCGACTGGGTCTTCATCACCGTCGTCGGTGTCCTCCTATTCCGAGCAAGAGGTAGACGATGGTACGGCATTCCTAGATGCGAAGACGGGAGAGGCTATCCGCCTCGATCTCGACAAGTATCCCTCCCTGGACGATCGCACCCAAGAAGATATCATACGAAAGTATTGCCTCTTGAACGACAGGATCAAGGCCGAAGGTCTGTAACAGTGCAACTACAGAGCATATGCCTGGGAGATGTTCCGCTATACGCTCCTGTTCTCCCTTATGCTTCTCTTCCTGCGCTGGAAGTGGTACGCGCTGAGCGCCGTGTTTCTCGGCGCATTCTGGCACCAGATCACGTTCACCGCGCACGACGCAGGGCACATGGGCATCACGCACAACTTCCATGTAGACACCCTCATAGGCGCGCTCATTGCCGACTTCATCGGTGGGCTGTCTATCGGCTGGTGGAAGAGGAACCACAACGTGCATCATATCGTGACCAACTCCCCGGAGCACGACCCGGATATCGAGTACATCCCCTTCTTCGCCGTCTCACATCGGATGCTGCAGTCCCTGCGGTCGACATACTACGACACCGTCATGGAGTACGATGCCCTGGCCAAGATCCTCATCCCCATCCAGGCGTGGACCTACTACATCATCATGCTCTTCGGCAGGTTCAACCTGTACCGCCTAGCATACACTCACCTGTTTCTTAGCCCGCGGCCCAAGGGCCCCGGCTGGTGGCACTGGTACGTGGAGGTGGTCGGGCAGGTCGCGTTCTGGGCCTGGTTCGGCTACGGCATCATCTACAAGGCCATCGACTCCAACTGGGCCCGCCTGGTCTTCATCCTCATCAGCCACATGGGCCAGGCCCCGCTGCACGTGCAGCTCACGCTGTCGCACTTCGCCATGAGCACGGCCGACCTGGGCCCGGGCGAGTCGTTCCCGCAGAGGATGCTGCGCACGACCATGGACGTCGACTGCCCGCCCTGGCTCGACTTCTTCCACGGCGGGTTGCAGTTCCAGGCCGTCCACCACCTGTTCCCGCGCGTCCCCAGGCACAACCTGCGCAGGGCTCAGAAGCTCGTGCAGAGGTTCTGCGACGATGTGGGGATACCGTATGCCCTGTACGGCTTCGTCGACGCGAACGTCGAGGTTGTGGGCCGGTTGGCCGAGGTGGGGAGGCAGGCGACTATCCTTGCCAAGTGCTAGCAGAGTATGGTTAAGCAGGGTAATCATCACCATGTTCACTAGTTGTAGAAGCTGAGAAATGCGTTTGAGCTGGTACATGTCATGGGAAGGTAGCCAGATTGTTGTGAATTGGAATAGGTCATGTGCGATGTTTACTTGCCTTGTAGAGCGTGTTTACTGGAAGGGCGAGGATTGGTCACAATGACTCTGTGGTGTGTTGAGAAAATCTGCCTTGCTTGCATGTGCATCAGGCAGCGCAAGAGGACTGCTGGCGGTGGCAGTGTTCTTATGCAAGCGCCACACCACCCTCACGTTCTGATGGGAAATTTCGTCGCAGCCCAACTCTCTCTCCTTCGGACTTTTTCTTCCTCCCGGTTCCTCCATACCAGTCGAGCCTGACGCATATCCAAACATCATCAAAGCGATCGTTCCAACTCACACCTATCGAGCGCAATCCCGCAGACGATTCCAAAGCCTCGTGGCAGTCATGGATCCTGTCACAGCTGTAGGGCTTCTGGCCTCAATCATCCAGATAGCGGGGCTGGTCAAAGGCGTCGGCACCCGAGTCGTCAGCTTCACCAAGCAAACCAGCGACGCGCTCGGTTACCTGCAAGCTTTTGAGAACCATGCCAACACAATCATGCTTGCATCCGAAACCATCAAGGAGCACATCGAACAATCCTCACAAGAGTTTGAGCGGATTAAACCCCTCGTATCACAGCTGTTGCCTACGGTCCTGTCGCACTGTCGATCCGTGCACGAGATACTGAGCAAATACATGCCTGGTGATGGAGACTCGACATTCAAGAGTGTAGCGCTCGCTTTTCGAAGCTTCGCAAAGGACCACAGGCTCCGGGATCTGATGACCAGCATGAACGCTGATGCCACGCAGCTGTCCATGGTGCTGAGCTGTCTCGGTCTAAAGCGGAACAACAAGACCGAGGTGTCCGCCTCGTGGTCCCACTTACATGGGAGGACCATCTGGACGGTACCAAACAGGCTCGTCAGTCACTTCGTCGGCCAGGAGGACTTGCTATCTCGCATCGCGAAGGCCCTTCAACCTGATGAGAAGGCGGAACCTATCCAGAGAATAGCTGTGTTACAAGGAATGGGGGGACAGGGCAAGACACAGCTCGCGTTACGCTACTGTGGACTTGCAAAGGCAGCCACCCGGTACTCCGGAACATTTTGGATCGATTCATCCAACGAAACATCAACTAGACAGAGCTTCGAGGCACTGGCAGACGTTCTCAAGTCTGAAGAGCAAAGTTTCCAGGATGCAGATGGCCGCATCAACTATGTCAAGTGCCTGCTTGCCGAATGGCCAGAGCAATGGTTGATGGTCTTTGACAACTACGACAACCCCATGGATTTCAAGAATCTCAGGGATTATATGCCCACTGGGAATAGTGGAAGTATTCTTGTCACATCGCGTAGCGCGCACACACGGCGTTTCACCTCAGACGATACTCAGTTCCTTGAGGTGGACGGCATGGCAGAAGACGACGCCGTGAACCTCCTCTACAAGTCCAGTCGCGTTACTCGGGATGATACCAATATCGAGTACGCAAAAGACATTGCACGACGACTGGGCTATCTCCCCCTGGCAATTGACCAGGCTGGCGCATATCTGCTTGCCTCTGATAATTCCATCACCTTTCAGCATTTCTTATCTCATTACGAGGCTAACCAGCGGGAAATTCTCGAGTCCACGCCTGCGGTCTGGGACTATCTTCACACAGGAACACTGCCAGGTCAAGAAGAGACGACCAAGTCCGTCTTCACTACCTGGGAGCTTTCAATGCGTCTTCTTCAGGAGCAGCCTCATATCGGGCCGGCAAAGTCGCAGATGCTCACTCTATTGGCTTATTTTGACGAGGCGGATATCTCAGAGGAGCTATTCTCTAGCTACCACAATGGCGTGGTCCATCATGGTGGTATACCTGACTGGTTATCCATATTTCACGAGCGAGGATCCTGGTCGTCAGTTCAATTTGGGAAGGTTATGAGTGAAATGAAGGCGCTGTCACTTGTCTACTCAACGACCCCACCCACCAAGTCCAGCGATGAATTCTGGCATGTGTCTCTACATCCTTTAGTGAGAGACTGGGCACTCCTACGGCAATGTGAAGAGACAGTGGCGATCAATTCAGCGACGTCATCAGCCATTCTCGCAGCTACCTTCCTGGGACACTGGGGAACCGCAGACGATAGCAACATATTCTGGGACGAAGTCAACGATCCAAATATGGAATGTGGCTGGTTTTCCTCAACCGCGACCCTGAGCTTGCCGTTCAAAGCCCACGCTAGGGCTTGGGAAGAGAGACTCGCGGCCGCTGAAATGACCCATCTTGGCCTTTTCGAGAGACGAGACCCCTGTGAGAATGTCGCTTCAGAGATCGTGTTGCTGAAGTTCCAGAGGGAGTCCTTTTCTGTCTATGGCATGTATCCAAGCATATGCGAGCGACTCTGGAGGTATTGCGCCACCCATGATAAGGTATTGCACTGGATAAAGTACCAGCTCGGACTCTTCTGGATTGATTGCCTAGTGGGCAGGGGCCTTTCGGAGGAATCGATTGACTTCTGCAGAGAATTTGTCGAGCTATGGCGTGGGAGACAGAGCGCTACCGCGCGCAAGATTAATTACGAAGCATGCGCAACCCTTCGGTTGGCCGAAAGACTACTGATGCTAAAGACAATCAGGTCGGTTAGCGAGGCCGAGACTCTATTAGAGCAACTGGAGAAGGACCATGGATTGTTGGACCCCAGGACCAGTTACTTAGCACGTGCGATCCTACTGATGCTTTCAGAGCTACTGATATATCGCGGGCATCAGGAGTGTTTTGCCAAGGCGGCATCCCTCCGTGCGATCTTTGCGGGAATAGGCAAGGACGGATGGACTACGGAGGACCGTCGACGGCGCTTGTCGATGAGCCAATGGCTCCAGGTGCTGAGGCTTGATGATTTCGACAATCAAATCCAGCTGCAAAATGAATGGGTTGCCATGGCGCAAGAGCGGTATGGGGGGGCAGATTTGAGGACAAGGCGAGCGTGGATGGGTCTGGCCAAAGCTTTATATACCTGGGGCAACACGGAAGCGTTCGTGGATATACACCAGCGTCTTTTGTCAGAGATACGGCACACTTATCCACTCAACAAAAAGGTCCTCAGTTGGTGTCTATTAGAGCTTGGTGAGGGTATGTGCGATCTAGAGAGGCATGGTGAGGGCCAGAAATATCTCCTTGAGTCCATTGAGGTCACAGCACAGGTGGTCGATGGCTTCCAAGCACCCGTCTGCCTTGATGCCTTGGCTTGTTTATCGATATGCCACCTTGAATGCGGCCAACTTGATCAGGCTCGGTCCCTCTGGGATTTCATGTGCAAAGCGGGACAGGGACTTCTGGGTTTCCATGGCGGACTCCCGCAATTTGCCGATAGGGCAATTAGGTTGTCTCTCGTTGAGGAAACGCGACCGGTTGCTGCTCGCATAATGGATGCGGGAATTTACATTTTCATCGAGATGACGCGGCACAGGCAAAGTCGGGCTCAATTCAACCCCGAGGAGGACGGATCTCACATATTTGAGGGCTATGATGTGTTTGTCTTTGATGATGCGGTTCTCATCTGGGACGAAGTTGGACAGTGGTCAGGTTGCGAACTCCTTCTCTCACGTCTCATCCTCATTGCACAATTAGGGAGCTTTGCACCATATGCGGATCTACTGGATAGTGCGCTATCGGAGTTTGCGAGAAAGAAGACGACGCTTGTACAAAGCTTAGCGCGGGAAATCATTCGATACGTTTCAACCTTGGCAACATGGATTAGAGACGATGCTGCCCTCCGGGGGAGGTACAGTACTTGGGCTTGCGAGACAGCCCGAGAAATGTTTGGAGAAGATGATGATCTTACAAAACGCTGTGTCGAGACTTTGGAGAACATCAAGACCTGGAGGACAAAGACGCCCTCATGGATCGAGAAGCTATCTCTACGCCACTTTCGCAAACGATTGCGGAATGGGGAGAATTAAGTTCAACTTTGGTCCCAGTCATCCATAAATTGAATACGCAAATCTTTACGATGTGGAAACATTGTCCACGCCATACAATGCAAGTAGTGACATCTGACTTTCACGAGCCTCACGTCTGAGATGATGTGGAGAAGATTCGTTGACCGTAATCGGCTGCACGGAGGTTGCAATTCTCACCAACTGCTGCATCTCACACTGCTTCAAATGGTCCCGCAACAGGAGGGGTTTGCAATGCCAGTCTGAAATGGGCGAATCACCGTGTTCCATGCAATAATTCTTCTTGGAGGATTTCTCCCACAAGATGATCAATGTACAACTCAAGCTAGCCTTCCTGTAAAAACTTTCTCAATCTCGGCCCAGTCCAAATCATCGACTCCCGTCAAAGGGAGTGTCGGGTCATTGAAACTCGAATAGATACCGTCCGCCTCCATGTTGAGATCCAGGAAATTGTTCCCCTTCTCGAAGTCGACTATATCTGACATCACAACTTCGTCGGCCTGAGATGTCCTGTCCATTGCGTCCTGTAGATCACCATAACCAGTGGCGGTCCTATCGACCTCAATCCCTGGATCAGGGACTGCTGAGGAACTTCCTCTGATTCGCTCCTCCCGGGTATATTGTTTCTCGAGATTGGCACCTGAAGGTGCTTCCTCCGATACCGGAAGGTCAGGCCAGATGAAGCTGCAGAACTGCCTAATGTCCCGGAGTCGCTGCTCTGCTGCCTTGTTCCCCGCTCGGGATAGATGGAGAAGGACGTCAACTGCCTGATCCAGTTCAGGGGGCATATTGGCGATGTCTGATACGCCGTCCAGAAACCCGAACATCACTAGTGTCAACGCGGCGGAGAATGTGGCATCCAGGTCGAAGAAGCCGAAACGGGCTGTGAGGAACGCTTTCAGTGAGCTCACGCATCCAAATAATAATACGCCATACATGGGTGAAACAGCAGAAGGTCCTCGTACCAATTTGGCGCTTCTTATCCAGTGCATATAGTATTCTTATGGTTTTGATCGCAGACTCCTTGCTGAGCATACAAAGACGATCAATCACAGGTGGTGTGACATCCAAGGCGGTGTGGGTCGAAGCTGCGGTCACTTTCTCTTTCACTCTCTGGAGTAAGATTGGCCGCGTGCAGAGAATGATGGCCTGGAAGAAGGGAGTCAGCCTGAGGTTTCGGGAGGTTGATGAGCTACTCACCTGGAACAGCATCAGGTAGAGCGACCCGCCCGTCCTGGTCACACACGGGAACGGGCGAGTCAGATCAATACTGTATTCAGGAGGAATGGAATGCCCAGTCTCAAACAAGGACTTGAGGATGTTTTGCACTTTGTGGACCAAGTCTGGCTGGGTAAGGCATGTGTTGCCGTATAGGGCTACAGCGACGCGGGTCAGCCCCCTGGAGAATTACATGCAAAGGAATGGATAACTTACATGTCATGATATCTCCCGTAGTACGAGCGATTCTGACGTTGATAATGATGGCTTGAGGTGAAGGAAAACCCGGGGCATCCTGAGGGAGCTCGGTGGATAGCTGACGGTCGTCAGCGGCCACTGGCAAGCCTAGATCAGCCGAGAATCGTCTACATATTCATCAGTTGAAGATCCTCATGACAGCATGTTTGGTCTGTACCTGTCAAGCATGAACACCGTCCACCATAGTCTTATTCGGTGTGCTCGCTCTGATGGAAGACAGTCTTGTTCGTCGTAAGGCTGAGCACATCCAAGAGTCAGAGCTAATCGTACGGCGATGCCGATCTACAGCCGAAGCAAAGCCGTTAGCAGTAGTCACGGGAACGCCATAGCCTTTTTGATTTCAATCTGGTCTTACATGGAAATATGCTTCGTATTTGCGATCGCGCCACCGAAGATTCAAAGCCACGAGGCTGAGGATCTCGACCCCGATGATGCCATGATCGCTGATGAGATGCATCGGCGGCATGAGGCGCATGGCCTCCGCGAAATAGTCGAGTCCGTGTGGGGTGTCGACTTCTGTATCAAAGTCCATGAGCTTACCCATCGCCATGACTAGTAAATACTCGATGAACCAAACAGAGTTCATCGTTTCTCGTCGCGACGCCTCACTCCGGAACAGCGACGTCATGGTATCGGCAAAGGCTCGAGAGTCAAAGAAGTGTTGGTTCACTCCGAGCCACGTGAGAAACAAGCTCAAGAGATGATGAGACTCTGCTTGCGTTGGGAGGTCGGGAATTGGAGCATTTTGGAGGAACTGCGACAGCCCATGTGATGCTGCTGGCAATTGCAGGAGAGATTTCGGTTGCGGCCTGCCAGGAGGAGGATCTAGGGCCCCATCGCTACGCCTTTGTTGAAGGAGAGACCTGACACGCAGTTCAAACGCGGGACCGGATGCCCTCTCTGTCGGAGCTGTATACTGTCAACAACACGCGACCCCTCTGTGAAGGATTTGACTTACCTGAGCTCGAAGGAGACAACCCATCAACGTTCAGCCCACCACGAGTTGAAGGGGTGCTAACGGGCTGTGATATCGGAGTTGCGCCATGGGTGAATGCGTTGCCTGTGATAGGCGCTGATGAAGAGGCAGAGTCAACTGATGTTTCATCGGGATCGTCGGGGTTGAAGAGAAGCGTACCAGGCGTACTTGCAATACTGTTGATCTGCTGCTCTTGGGCCTTGATGGTAGTCAAAAGGCCTTGCACATAGCTTCGCAATAGTGTTAGTTCGCATGAGTAGCCTGCCTCGGCGTCTCGGGATCGACTTACGTATCCGAATACTTTGCTCGGCCTGGAGCCGAGAATGAGCAGGGGATCTTGTGCCGCAGGCAGGTCCGGCAAGGACAGTCCCCGGAGCATTTAACCTTGCGGCGCCGGCATTGCATGCAGCTTTGATCGAGCTCATGGGCGTTAGCTACGGGAATCATTCGTACGGACCTGGAAAGGAGATTTCTCACGCATTGGCCGACCTTGTCGATGTCGGCTGAGGAGCCATCCTGAAGCTCGGCTTTCTCTGCTCCACTTGCGCAATTGCGCACAGGTCGTATACAGATGAGGCTGCCGAGGAAGCAGGATCTCCGCCGAAACACAGTCAATGTCACAACCGGATTCAATGTTGAGCCAAAAATTCCATTCCCGATTGTGCTTGATAGGATGCATTGCAAATGACGCATCTCTGCAGCCCACCATGCGATAGGTCGCTAACAGTGACTAGTTCTCGGGACTATTGCCGAGCTCGGGTGTTTACCGAATCATTTGAGAACACTCACTGTGTCCTGGCCACAGCCCACAGGACACTCCATTGACACCGTGCTGGGTAATGTAGGTATCGGAAATACCTTTTGCATAATGTGCGCCTAAGAGTAAAATATCAAATAAGACAAAAAAATGAAACAGCGTCCTCTAATATAAGCAACGAAAGGAAAATTGAGGATGAAAAATGCAAAAAAAGAAAGTTCTCCGATACGGGGAATCGAACCCCGGGCTCGGCAGTGAGAGTGCCGGATGTTAGCCACTACACCATATCGGAATGGATACCGTACCGGAAGCTGGCTTCCCGATTCGGATGTGAGATGCGACATCCTAATTTGTTATATGAGTGCTAGGCGAAAGTGGCGATGTTAGTGCGTCTACCCAGCTTTCAGGTTGGCGCGATACATGGTCTACTACACGGATTTCAGGGCTGAGCAACGAAATTCAAAACCAAGAAGAAACTCCTTGACAGACTTGGAGTGACCAATCATTGCCCCCTTTTGCTCAAAGATCATTTTGGTATGGCACGCGATCAATTGTTTGTTCTTCCTACTGTGGGCCGTCCAGACATTTGGGAAAGGCTTAGCCCCGAGCTCCCCGTCGTTGCCGGCCTCCCCGTCCTCCGCGACGTAGCGAGCTAAGATCCCCACCCTTGCACTCCACGATTCTCATCGGTCCACGACAGAGTCAGGTCCTACGGCAATCAATTGGGTCGGCCGGTCCTGGAAGCTACGGATCTGCCTTTCAGACTCCAGACTGCTCCAGATGGAGGGGTCTCTCCTGCAAGGGCCCATTGTTGATTGCGGGGCGACTAAGGCCGCACCGATAGCATGAGCAGCACGCCTCCCGTCCGACACGCGGAACAGCGCGGCTTCAGTTGTTTTCTATCTTTTTTTTTGCTCGTCAAATAAATATTCTACACTGCCTTGCTTACCTCGAGCTCGTGAAGAGAAGTGACGTCCCAGGACCTTCCGATCGATCACATCTGCGTAGAGTTAGCCAGGCCTCCGATCTGTGGGATCAGACCAAGATGTCCGCCACCAAGCGTCCCAACTTCCTGGTCATCGTCGCCGACGACCTGGGCTTCAGCGACACCGGCCCCTTCGGATCAGAGATCAAGACGCCTGCGCTCGACAGGATAGCAAAGGAGGGTGTGCGCCTCACAAACTTCCACACCGCGTCAGCATGCTCGCCCACAAGGTCTATGCTCTTCTCGGGCAGCGACAACCACATCGCCGGGCTTGGCCAGATGGCTGAGCACATGGGCAACAGGGAGCTCTTCAAGGATAAGCCCGGCTACGAGGGCTACCTGAACTTCCGTGTCGCCGCGCTTTCCGAGATCTTGCAGGATGCCGGATATCTGACCATGATGTCTGGCAAGTGGTGAGTACTAGGCTCCCTGTTCGCAGAAGGTCTGCGCATATTGATTGACACCTACCCACAGGCATCTCGGCGCCGCAAAGGAGCATGCGCCGTGCTCGAGAGGCTTCGACAAGGGCTTCGTCTACCTGCCGGGAAGCGGCAACCACTACAACTACGAGCCGCAGTTCAAGGAGGGCCAGCCGAGGCCGTCCCTGGCCGTCGCCGACCCCAAGACCTTCTGGATGAGGGACGGCGTCTACCTCGACCGCCGCACGGAGCTGCCCGAGGACTTTTACTCCACCAAGACCTTCACGGACGAGCTGATCAACTACCTGAACACGAGGACCGACGAGGAGAAGGAGAAGCCCTTCTTCTCGTACCTGGCCTACACGGCGCCCCACTGGCCGCTGCACGCGCCCAAGGAGGTGATCGAGAAGTACAAGGGCGTCTACGACGACGGCCCCGCCGCGCTGCGCAAGAAGCGCCTGGAGCGCATGATCGAGCTGGGCCTCGTGCCCAAGGACGTCGAGCCGGCGCCCATGGTGGGCCTGCTCGACCCGGAGTGGGAGACCATGACGGCCGAGGAGCGCGCCCTCTCGGCGCGCAAGATGGAGACCTTCGCCGCCATGGTCGACGTCGTGGACCAGAACATCCAGCGCGTGCTCGACGCGCTCGAGGCGTCCGGGGAGCTGGACAACACCTTCATCGTCTTCATGTCGGACAACGGCGCCGAGGGCACCCTGCTCGAGGCGCTGCCCATGCTCGGCGGCGCCACGAGCCTCGGCGCCCTCATCGAGACGCACTACAACAACGAGCTGGCCAACATCGGCAACCGCGACTCCTTCACCTGGTACGGCGCCTCGTGGGCCTGCGCCTCCATGGCGCCCTCGCGCGGGTTCAAGACGTGGATCACCGAGGGCGGCATCCGCTGCCCCTGCCTCGTGCGCTTCCCGCCCGTCGTCGCCGGCGCCGCCCGCGGCACCCACACCAACACCTTCACGACCGTCATGGACGTCCTGCCCACCTTCCTCGAGCTCGCGGGCGTCGCGCACCCGGCCCCGTCCTTCCGCGGGCGCGAGGTCGTGCCCGTGCGCGGCAAGTCGTGGGTCGGCCACCTGCGCGGCGCCGACTACGCCGCCAGCCCGGCCGTGCACGACGAGGACACAGCCGTCACGGGGTGGGAGCTGTTCGGCCTGCGGGCCATCCGCGAGGGCAAGTGGAAGGCCATCTACATGACGCCGCCGCGCGGCAACGAGCAGTGGGAGCTGTACGACATGGAGGCCGACCCGGGCGAGATCCACGACAGGGCCGGCGAGGAGCCCGAGGTGCTCGAGCGGCTCGTGCAGCACTGGAACGTGTACTACAACGAGGTGGGCATGTTCGACCCGGACGTCACCTTCCACGTCGTCAAGGACAAGAGGGTCGAGGTCGCGGCGTAGGTAGCGGGTAAGGGAAGGCATTTGGCATAGCAGTAGAGAAAGCATATAGAAATGTGAATTTTGCAAAAAAAGAGATCATCTTGCCGGACCGGATTCTTCAGCAATCATTCAGGCAGACATTTGTCTATCATCGATGGGGGCGCAATTCCTTTTGATTTTGATTCTTTTTATCTATCCCAGACGACTAGCTGCGCTTTACAAAGCGGCAATGCACTCAATCTCGACCAGGACCTTCTTGGGCAGCTCCTTGACGGCGACGCAGCTGCGCGCGGGCTTGTGGGCAAAGTACTTGCCGTAGACCTCGTTGACGGCGGCAAAGTCGCCCATGTCAGCGAGGAAGATCTGGGCAGTGTGTGTCAGTAATGAGAACGTGTTCGCACCACGTAACTTCGCACCACGTAACTTCGCACCACGTAACTCCCACGGTGCTCAGAGGAGAAGGGAAATCATCTCTCTTTTGGTTACTCACGTTGACCTTGACGACCTTGGGGAGCTCAGTGCCGCAGGCCTTGAGGGCGAGGGTGATGTTCTTGCAGACCTGGTCGGTCTGCTCGGCGGCGCCGCCGGGGACGACGTCGCCGGCCTTGGTGATGGGGATGTTGCCCGAGAGGAAGGCGAAGCCGCCGGCCTTGACGGCGTGGGACTGGAGGGATCGGGTTAGCGTCGCGTGTCTTTCCCCTGTGCTATCCTCTCGGCAATTGGAGGCCGGACCGCCGAGACGGAGACGGAGACGGAAGGTGGCTGAATGGCAGTGGGCAGCACCAGAGTGATGAGTGAGAGGTGGGATGACGTACGTAGGGGCCGAGGGCGGCGGGCAGCTCGTCGCTGACGACAGTCTGGATGGCGTTGGACATGGTGATCGCTGCAGCGTGGAATTGACGGCGTGCTAGTAAAGGAAGAGGAGCTCGGCGTGGGATTGCGGTCAAGACGGCGCGACGTAGCATTCTCTTCTTTCGAGATACCTTGTCTACTCCTAGGTTTTGCGATGGGCTCAAGGTCAACAAATAGCTATCTCGGGAGGGGACCCCGCATGGCCGAGATCGGCTTAAGCCGGAGTCAGGTCTTGCCGACCCGACTGAGCATCCAACGTCAACTGGATCCAGCGCGGAATACCGATTGATTGGCCTGTCATTGCGCTGTGCTTTGCGTTGGCGCCCGCTGAAAACCGGGCCAAGCCGCCTGAACGGATCGAGCTGGCATCCCGATTTTCTTCTCCGCAGCAAACCAAGACCGGCCATCTCCCGTCGTGCCGCTCACAAAACTACTCTTCATTCTCAGATGTTAGGCGATCACTGATCCTGATCATCAAGAGATAGGGCGAATCCTTCAGCCCTTTCAGTCGATCGCTGAGTTAAAGAAGCGGATATGGGAGTGAACATCTTGGGGATAGGTACCTATTCTGGGGAAATCGGACCTGGGCGTATCAAGGCACCCGTGGAGTGAGAAGGGCGGCCTGCGTCCTGGCACATCTGCATGCCTGATGAGTTCTATTGAAACGAAGGCTCTCTCGAGTGTAAGCAAGGACCTGTTTGTAAGGATTGACAACTACCCCAGCCAGCCACTTGGGTCTCGCGGTCAGCTTCACCTGTAAGCTGTGATACGTCGGACTTTAGAAACCTCCACTGTGAATCAGCCAAGATCTTGTCTCTAGAGGTGTGGACCCCGCACTTTACTGGCTCGCACTCGCACTTTAGAAATGACCGACGCTCATCTCGCACCTTAGTTTGGTGCGAGATCATTGACCAGGCTGATCCGGAACGTTCCAAGGCCAGTCGCTGTAAGACAGCCTGCATGTTGGCAACTTCTCAGACTCATTGCTTGCTGCTCGGATTCTTCATGTAGCGCTCACGATCCGTGTTCGACACAATCTTCAATGCTTTGGGCAACTTACGCGAACGATGTCCTCGGTGAAGACCAGCAAGCCAGCCAGGGTCTTGGCATGTGCTCTGTGCAAGCAGCGCAGGGTGAAGTGCAGTCGCACTTTTCCGTGTACGAACTGCGTCCGGGCCGGGGTGGCCTGTCATCCGCCGACGGCTCACCAGCGCCGTCGTCGGTTCGCCGAGCGCGAGCTGCTCGACCGTCTTCGTCAGTATGAGGGGCTGCTTAGGCGAAACAACATCCCCTTCGAACCCTTGCACGGCGGGCCTTCTGCACCTCTCTCTACTGCTCCTGATAGCACTCACCAACATGGCGACGACGATCTGCATTTTGCCTTGACAAAGCAGGATGCTGATACTACACCCAAGAGCCAAGAGCCGATGTGAGTCTCCTGTGTTGCCAACGCGTGACTCCTGCGCAAGACTAATACCCTCTCCGCAGAGATATTTGGCAATCCATCAAACGAGTGGTAAGGATCCCATATGGGATCTCTATGCCATCCGCGACTGACGCTAGTTGGGTAGGCCTTGATCAAAGATGATGAGGGCGACAGTGATAGTGATGGAAGCAGCTTCGAGCATGTTGATCAGAGCGTCAAAGAAGCGGCCCTCGCCAACGACCATCTTCTCTTCGGCGCGCCCAATCCAAGCTTTAATCTGGCCGCCTGCCATCCGAATCATCGACACATTTTCAGGCTCTGGCAGATCTACTTGGACAATGTGAACCCGCTGCTCAAAGTCACGCACACTCCCACCTTACAACCTATGATCATCGAGGCTATCGGAGACATGGAGAGCATCAGTCCTTCTATGGAGGCGCTGATGTTTAGCATCTACTGTGTGGCCGTTCTCAGTCTTGATGATGACGAATGCCACGCTGCTTTTCAAACACCAAGGGAGACTCTTCTAGGAAGCTATCAAGTAGCTTGCAAACAAGCCCTGCTGAAATGTTCTCCTTGGAGATCTAACAACCGCGACGCCCTGACGGCACTGTTACTCTATCTGGTACGTATCTACCCTGCCTAATGTGCTATCCATATAGTTACATAGAGTTCTCATCATTCTAATTTGTTCCAGGTGTCTCTCGGCAATCAGGTTGAGCCTCGCTCATTATCATGTATGCTTACGGTGGCGGTCCACATTGCCAAACGAATGGGCATGCCTTACGAGTCGAGCAGCGGTGCCCCAGACGGTGACGCACTCGGTCATGAGATGAATCGGAGGCTGTGGTGGTGTCTGGTTATGTTCGAGCACCGGCTCTGCGAGATCACAGGCCAGGACAAGTCTACTTCGCTGACCCCAAACTGGAACTGCCATGTCCCCTTGAACCTCAACGACTTTGAGATGCAGGCTGGTGTCAAGACCCCACCCGCTCCAAATGAGAATGTTGCCACTGAAGCCATGTTTGTCGTCGTGCGATCGGAGCTGGCCGACTTTGTGCGCCGCAGCGTCTCGCACCTTGAAGTCATCGGTGGGAGCCCCTCGCCGGACGCGGTCGCTAGGACCAAACGCAAGGGCGGCGAGCTCCAAGTCTTGGAGACAATGTTGGAGGACAGGCATCTCAAGCTATGCAACATGGAGATCCCGCTCCACTTCATGACCGTCTGGGCAACCCGGAGCACCATCGCCAGGAGCCGGCTAACCGAGTACTACCTGAAGTGGCTAGGCCCGGCCTCGGAGAGCCCGACCAGCGAACAGCACAGCATCGCCGACGGGTGGGCCATCCGCATGCTCGAGAGCGACACGCAGATCAGGACCTCCCCTCTCACCAAAGGCTTCCTCTGGCTCGCCGAGGCCGGCTACTCCCCCGTGCTCACCTACTTCCACGTCCTGCACAGCCTGATCAAGCGGCCCGGGGACGAGCTCGCAGACGAGCTGTGGGGCGCCCTGTGCGACAACTACGAGGCGCTCATGGACGGGCCGAAACACCACCGCACGCGCATCATGTTTGCCCTCAAGTTCACGCGCCTTACGCTCCAAGCGTGGCATGCCCGCGAGGCCCACTCGAAGGGCAAGAATAGCCCGTCGGGTCCCCCACCTCGCCTTGTGGTGGACGCCCAGGCTAGGGATGCGCAGGCGAGCCTGGGCCGCGGCCGGTCGTCGGCGGCACAGCGGACGAGCCCCGGCGGGCAGTCATCCGGCTTGACACCCAACTTTGGCATTACGCCAGGTAGCAGCACAGGCATGTCGTCCCTGTTTCCCTCACCCACGGACATGGGCACCGGCCAGCTTTATGGATCTTCCGGGTCGAGCTTCGGATTCCCGGCATCCGCGGGGCTCATGATGGACATGCCGGGACAAGGCTGTGCCGGCATCAACATGGATCAGTTCTGGACTGGAGAAGGCTTTAAATGGATATAACCACTACGCTGGGAACGGGTGACCGAACCTATTCGGCCGGCCTACTGGTTGTACAACATACTCGTTTGCAATTCCCTCTTCCTCTCGTCTCTTCATACGCGTGGAAAGTGTGGATAAGCAGCACGCGTCAACCATTATCTCAAAAGCAAAAAAATGGGTTCGGCCTCTCCGATACCATGGCTTCGGTGATGAATTATCCCGATCGAGTATTGGTGCCACACATCGGGCTTAAGTGGTCAGGCGTCGTTCAGTGACGCATGAGGCGAGGCCAAACAACTATATCAAAATGGCTCTGAATTTCTTGTGCAGAAGTAATCTAGGTCATTATTCTCTCGTGTAAAGCAAAGGAAGCAAAATCACTGCAAGCTAGTGACAATGTCCAACGCATCTGCGGCCACCAACGGAGCGCCGACGTTCTTCGCTGTCGGAGACAAGCGCGAATTTGACCCAGAGAACTGGACCCCGAAGTCAAATGGCAACTCGAACAACAACAACAACACGGCTAACAAACACGGAGAAGCCTTTGAATTGCCAGAGCGTGATACAGATACTGGAATCAAGGTTCTCATCATCGGTGCCGGGTTCGCCGGGCTGACCGCCGCACTAGAGTGCTGGAGGAAGGGCCACGAAGTGGTCGGCATCCTAGAACGCAATGAAGGGCCCAACTATAGTGGTAAGGCTTCCTTCGAAGCTTGGCAAGGTTTTCTTTTACTAATCCGGAGCATGATGCTCAGGTGACCTCATCATCATCCAGCCCTCTGCACTGGAGATGATGCGGTACTGGCCGCAGATGCGCCGCGACCTGCAGCACGACAAGGTCGTGGCCGGTACCTACTACTACCGCCACGACGGCGAGCTCATCGACGGGCCTTCTGTCCCCAACTTCAATGCCCCGGAGTTCGTGGCCGAGCGCGCCAAGAGACACCCCGAAGGGTTCCCCGAGGCCGGGGCCGTGCAGATCCGCAGAAAGTTCTACCGCATGCTGCTCAAGCAGGTCGCGTGCCTGGGCCTCAGAGTCGAGTACGGCCAGCGCGTCGAACGGTACTATGAGGATGACGACGCAGGGGAGGCAGGCGTCGTGCTGGCAGACGGCTCGTCCCGCGCAGCCCACGTCGGTAGGTTGAATTCACCCGCGCTGCGTCATCATTTCTCGGGTGGTACATGCCAGCTAACCCATGCCTCCCCCTCCAACCAGTCGTGGCAGCCGACGGCATTCGCTCGCGCTCGGAGCAATTGATGTCGGGCAAAAGCGACTCGGGCATGGAGCCCAGCGGGATGTCGGTCTACCGCACCGCGTTCCCGCTCGAGTACGCCCTCAGGGACGAAATGGTCCGCGCGCGCTGGCAGGGCCGCCACACGTACGAGTTCTGGATGGGCTCGGGCATGCACATCGGGCTGTACATGTCGGACGAAGTGGCCGCGCTGGGCATCACCCCGCGCGACGAGTTCCTGGACCCCGACAAGCTCCCGCGCAGCGAGAACTGGGACCCCGAGGTCGACCCCGACGAGGTCATCGCCGTCATGCGCCGGGCCATGGCGTCCGCCGCCGACAAGTCCGACTCTGCGTGGCACCCGGTGCTCGAGGCCCTGGTCCGCACCGCCCCGAAGGGCAGCCTGATCCACTGGCCCCTGCTCTGGCGCAACCTCAAGAGCGACTGGGTCTCGGAGAAGACGGGGCGAATCGTCCAGATCGGGGATTCGGCGCATTCCACCGTCCCCGCGTCTGCCGCCGGCGGGACCCTGGCTCTCGAGGACGCCGTCACGCTGGCCACATGTCTCCGACTCGCGGGCGTCGGCGACGTAGCCCTCGCCAACCGGGTCTACAACCTGCTGCGGTACGAGAGGGCGAGCTGCACCCAGAAGGTGGCTTTTGTGAACGCCCAGACGCTGGGCCACACCACTGACTGGGACGCCCTGCGCAAGAATCCGGAGAAGGCTCGCATTCGGTACCCTAAATGGCTGTTCCGCCACGACCCGGAGGCGTATGTTTCGGAGAAGTGGTCTGAGGCCTCGGAGCATCTGAAGAAGGGGACCAAGTTCCAGAATACAAACATTCCGCCTGGTCATACTTTCAGTCACTGGACCATTCAGGACATCCACAAGCAGATTGCAGAGGGGAAAAGAGTTCAGGATCTTCTTGACGGTGATTGGTCTTGAACGATATAGTTGGAAGTAGGGATCAAGGCATTGGGCACATCTTGCTAGACTACTAAGACACTAGATACTCTTGTGATATGCTTAGAATATGAACTGCATTTCGTAATCTTGTTAGAGTGCGACCGACGGAGTGAATGGGATGTACTGCCCCCATGGCGTCCGCGCGAGCCATTCATTTGCCATAATGTCGAAATTGAAGTTATCCACTTCCAGCTCGAAAGAATTAGGGAGATCAACTCCTCCATCCTGCGGAACAGGAGTTGTTGTACCCTTTCGCAACGCCATCGCCTTGGCTCGCAATGAAGCCAGTACAGCTCCTTTTGACCCAACCCCACCAACGAGGCTGTCGCTGTGCTCAGCTGCAAAGACCTCATCCACGATGCGCCATGCCCGATCTACGTGTGACCCTTCCGGTTTCACACATAGATGCCACAAGACGTACATAGTTATATCGTACTGTGGGAAGGCTCTCTTCGCCCATCTGAACGGCGACAAGAGGTCGTTGTCGGCCAAGAGTTGAGGTTCAAGTATCTCCAGTGCCTGTACTAGGCTGTCCTCGGTAGCAATGTTTTCTAAGCATCTGCGGTTTTGCAGAGCTAACCACTGTTGCCTTGAGAAGAAGTCGAACTTGTTCAGGAGGTGGAGCGAGCAGGTCGACGTCATTCGCTGGCACGGCACGACAGCGTTGCAATGCTCTATTCGTTGGATGATGCTAGCTTTGGCCTTATTTATGATTTGTATGCGGATCTCTTCACCAGGAAGTGGATTCGAAGAAGAGCCTGCAGCACTTCCAAGCTCCTGTCGTGCCAGGGCAAGATCGATCTGGACTAGCGAGAAAGTCATGGCCGTCCAGCCGGCCTTTTCCGGAGGGAGTGACTTCAAGTCTGGGGATAGCTGAGCATCATCTACGTTGAGTGGGATGTCGACATCGCGTCCTAAGGTAGTAGTCTGATCCAGACCATAGTCTTCACTGGAGCGGCTGTCGCGGGTAACAAGGTTCCACCAAAGTCGTCGGCGAACTTCAGAGAGAAACGGAGACAGCCCAAGTAGTTCCCCATTGCGGTGAAGCCCAAGTGATTGCGCTATACGGATAGCGAAACCGTTGAGGATCCAAAGCCCTTTGCCTCGATTGTGCACTCGCAGAGCGGACTGGATATTGATTAGCTGAACTGTATCTAAGAAGATGTGATATTGTACTAACAAGATAGATTGCCAAAGCTTGTAGGCCCACGACATTCGGCTTATTGAGAAAGTCTGCCTGGGAAAGTGACTGTTCTAGCCCAAGCTTCAGGTCTAGTAGTTGTGAGGCCTTATCGCGACCCAAGATTGCGCGAGCCTCGGCGCCATCCAGACTCACTAATGATGCGAAGTAGACAGCATAGCACAATGCAAGGTCGTATAGAGGCGATGAACTAGGCTCGTCAATGACCGAGTAGACTTTGATTTCGTCAGTTGGGATATGCAGAAGCTTTAGGCCCAGAACGCCTTCGACATTGCTCGTGTATATATTCCAGAGGCTTATTGCGATCGGCGTTGGCGGATGGAGGCTGCATGGTGGCAATGAGGGAATCGGCGAGGACAGAATACCGCGAGCATCGAAAAGCAATGCCGACGGCGCCAGTGGTAACTCTTGCGTAGAACTAGCGGGCGTCTTGTCGGTGTACTGCTCCTCCAAGATCTGTTAGAATGCATCACTTGCTGGCAAAAGCTGTTTGTCTCACTTCGATGACCCGACATAGGAGTGTCTCGTTGTAGTATTGGCTCGATCCCCCCTGCTGTAGCAGCACATCTTGCTTGCAACCGATCCTCTCGTCGACCGCGATTCTTCGTATAGAGCAACACATATTCGTCGTGCCCGTATGCGAAATTGATTCAGGCGAACTAGACTGCCAGTTCACAACAGCCAACTTGGCTGTTGCCTCCGCCAGACTTTGCTCGAGGTAAGCGATGCGTGCAGCTTTGTCCTTGATGATAGCCTTGCGCGTGCGTCTTACACGAGGGCCTCGCGGCGGGTATGTGCACGCAACGCCGGACCGCGCACACGATGAACAAGTCTCTTGCTTATCACAGCGTATCTTCTTCCGACTGCAAGTATAACAAGACCTGGGCATCCATTCCTCGGCTCGCGTATTGGATCTGGCCGGCACGCTATCCCCGCCATATTCCAGTGTCTGTTCCCGATTGTCCGGGCACTGATCGATCTGATAGCCAGAATCGCTATTCATTTTCGACATGATTCTTTCGTCATCTGGAAAGAGATTGCGGTCGCCCTCGCTCTTCCGCCCAAATGGGGGAGAGGAGAAATTTGGACGGATTTAAAAGTATGGGTTTTGGGACCGGAACCCTGCGATCGACCGGAAATAAAGCTACATATCTCCATGCTCAGAGATAGTTCGAAACACCAGCTAGATTGGTAGACTAGTACATTGCCAGACACATCCAAACATAGCTAAGGTGATAAATGAGGGCAATTTAAGTCCGGCTTCAATGGCTATGAGAACTGCAATACCACGCACCTAGCTTGATGATGGCTAGACCATTACCTCAGAAGAGCAAGGTATATATACCGTCATGGAGAATTCGTTCCTCAGACATGCTTGATCAAATCATTGAGTCCTTCTCAAGGAATTCTTCATCATGGATTCTATAGACGCTGCGATTCCCGCCACCCACAAGGCATTGCTGCTCAATTCAACTCGCGACCCCTACGACATCGCCGTCGTCCAACGGCCGACACCAAAAGCAGGCCCTGGAAGCGCAGTGCTACGTGTCTTAGCCGTTGGTGTGCTTACTTATGCAGGCAAGGTCTACAGTGGCAGGAAACCGTACCCATATCCCACCCCTCTCGTGCCGGGACTTACCTCTATCGGTCGAGTCTCTGCTGTTGGGCCGGATGCCACTGTTCTCAAACCTGGTCAGCTTGTGTTCTTTGACTGCTTCATAAACGGCCGGGATAGCCCAGAGGCGCGGTGCCTCTCCGGCCTCAGTGCTGGCATGAACGCCGCCAGCAATGTCTTGCTTGAGGGCGAGTGGCGCGACAGCACTTTCGCCGAATATGCCAAGGTGCCATTGGAGAACTGCCACCTTTTGAACGAGGCTCGGCTGTGCGGAAGCCCGGCTGATGGTGGTCTTGGCTACACAATCGAAGACCTCGCCTTTCTCTTCTACATTTCTGTCCCCTTTGGTGGACTTCGCAGCGTCAACGTCCAGGCCGGTGAGAAGGTTATCGTCACTCCCGCCACGGGCGCCTACGGCAGCGCCGCTGTACTTGCTGCCCTGGCTATGGGAGCACAGGTCATCGCGATGGGCCGGGATGCTGCAAAGCTCGAAAAGATCAAGGCATATGGCCCCAAAGGGAGAATCAGAACTGTTCTCAACACCGGCGATATGGATGCCGATATCAAAGAGCTTACACGAGACGGCCCAGCGGATGTGTTCTTCGATATTTCACCGGGGAAGGCTTTCACCAGCACACACTTCAGGAGCTGCATCCACTCGCTTCGTCTCGGAGGGCGAGTTAGCATGATGGGTGTTCATGATGGCCTCCCGATGCCCATGATGCACATGCTTATCAACGATATCACTCTCAAGCCAAGGTGGATGTACTCTGTGGAAGACATGAGGGTGATGATCCGGCTGCTTGAGGCTGGATACCTAAGCCTCCGCGGCATCAGAACAGTAGGGACATTTCCGTTGGAGCAATTTTCACAAGCGTTTGACGCAGCGGCTGAAATGGCTGGACCATGCGTGCAGGTACTCATCACTCCTTAGATATAACGAAACAGTATCATTAGTCCAGATTGTCGATGACGGCTTAGTCCCTAGTAGCTAGCTTCTAGATAAAATTGTATGTCTTTCTCATTCAAGCTGCTCCTCCATCCAGTGTGATGACTTTGCCGTTAACCCACTCGGCCTCCCTGCTGGCCAGAAAGCCCACGACACGGGCCACATCCTCGGGGAATCCATTTCGGTGGAGAGGAGACGCGAAAGCAGCCATCTGCTGCCGCTCCTCGGGCGTATACTTCTCGCCGTCGGGGATGTAATGCTGCGACACGGCGTGAAACATGTCCGTCACCGTTCCGCCAGGAGCCACGGCATTGACAGTGATCTTCTTGTCGCCGCAATCCTTGGACAGAATGCGAACGAAGGAGTCAATGGCGCCCTTGGACCCGGAGTAGAGAGAGTGGCGGGGCACACTGAAGTCCTTGGAGGTGTTGGACGAGGTGAGGATGATCCGACCTCCCTCGCGCAGGCAGCGGTACGCCTCGCGCGCGACGAAAAACTGCCCACGTGTGTTGAGGCTGAAGACGCGGTCGAACTCCTCCTCGGTCACCTCCTTGAGGTGCCCGAAGCTGACGACGCCCGAGTTGCTGACGACGATATCGAGCGGGCCGAAGATGCCGACGGCCTCGTCAAAGAGCTTGACAGTCTGAGGCACCTGACGCACATCGGCTTTGATGGCGACGGCGTCGGTGCCGAGGTCCTTGATCTCGCGCACGACCTTCTCGGCCGACTCGGACGAGTTTGCGTAGTTGACGACGACTTTTGCGCCCAGCTTGGCCAGATGAATTGCAATCGCAGCACCGATTCCGCGACCGGAACCTGTCACCAAGGCGACCTTGCCCTCTAGGCGGCCGGGGATATATGGGGTGGCCATAGTCGCTTAGCAAAGAGGGTATAGGAGAGGTAAGTTGATGATTTGTTACTGAAGGGTAGTTATGGTAGTGATTTTGTCGATGATCAATCAATAACAGTGGTCAATTTCTACAGCTGTGCAAGATGAAAGATTGCACAAGATTGCACACGGCGTATTACCTTCGGTGCCGGGATGAAGCCGGAATCGGTGCCCGATGCTTTCGGGGCAAACCCGGGCCAATTCGCCCGCGCGTGCAGTTCGAGAACAGAGAACCCCAGCATGTTTCCAAACTTTAGAGTAATCAGCATTCCGAGATGCAATCACTGACCTGCCCCAGCACCAACATCGAACTTTCTACCACCTAACCATTTCAAAGTCATATCATTATGGGATCCACTGTGCCACGGTGCGAAGGTCAGTCCAGTATTTACTCTCTAGCGGTCAGGTGGAAACAATGACGGAATTTGCTGAGAGAGATAGCGACAGATGTCTTAGGCTGTCAAGCTGCTGTCTTCGAGTGGGCTGAGAGCTTCGACACGAAGGACTGGTCTCGGCTGGGAAAATGCGTGGCTCCAACTCTATACGTGCGTAATCATGGCCAGCTAAGCCAGTCCAACGCTTGTACGGCATGACTGACCGGCAGGTGATTGTCCAGATTGACTACCGCGATGTGATGGGTATGCTTTGGGAGGCCATGCCGGCTGAAGAATTTGTACAGATGGCATCGAGCCCCAGGTTCCTCGGCAATGCGCGCATCAAGACACAGCACTTCATTGGGGCCGGCAAATGGATCTCCGAGGCCGAGGACGAGATAACGGGCTTGCATCAGATGCGTGTCGCTCACCAAAAGTATAAAGACGATGATTTGACCGAGGTTCTCTACAAAGGTCACGCTCATGGCAAGGCCACTGTGAGATATCGTAAGGTTGACGGGATTTGGAAATTCGCCGGGCTTACGCCTGACATTCGTTGGGCTGAGCACGACTACGATAAGATATTTCAAGAAGATTAGCCGTCAGCCTGGCTGGAAACCAGCTTACATCTGCTTGGCTTGCATCAAAGAAATCGCCGAGACGTGTCTCGCAGTGGACTTACAGGTCTAAGGGCTTTGGGGTATTATGATTATGTTTCATTGTCTAGGCGAGCCGTTGCCAAGCATCTGTTATTTCAAGACAATGTGACACAAATAGGCTATCCCAGTGAACGTCCTTTTGCACATGCGTGATCGTTTCTGTAATATGGACTTCACTTCAACGCGACTGAGAAAGATCTAGATTTGTTTATTAACATTGGAGGCTTTATTCCCGGCTCATAGGAAACATCAGATCTTGGAGCATAGGTATTGTTGGCTACTAGAATTGCAATTGCATATAGAATATCGATGTTCAATCTCAGGACTCAACAAACATGCACCCGGAGTCCGACCCTAATCGTCGACCAACTCCGCCGAACGCCACAATTTACAGAAAGAAGCCGCCGTGTACACTAAGCTTGCACCTCAACTGCTTCCACGGTAAACCACTTTTTGACCCCACCCCGAATCTCGAATGCCACGTTGCCATCCTCAGCCAACTTCCGCAGTACCTCTTCTGTGAACGGTTCAAGTGCTCTTTGCCGAATCACTTCGTCGAGGTTACCGTGCATGGTCGCCACCAATTGCTTGACGGTGACGCTGCCCTTGCCACGGCCTCCAGCGGCCTTTTCCTCCTGCTTGATCTGTTCGAGAGTCTTGCATATCCGCCTCTCACGCCGGACCTTCTGGGTCAGCTCACCCTCAATCTTGGCCGGGAGGTCCTCGATGACAACGCCGTGGGCTGGATAGCCCTTCTTGCAGTTGTGTGACTGGATGAGGCGCAGAGTCCCCATCCAGGTACTGAGGTGCTCTACTGCAGCGGTTCCATGTCCCAAGATGTTGTCACCTGTGAACATGGCTTCTTCCTCCTCCAGAACAAAGCACATGTGGTCATGTGAGTGCCCTGGGGCATGGACAGCCCGGATTGTCGCGCCTTCGACCTTGAAGATTTGCCCATCCACAATCGGCTGTTGAGACTTGCTCGGAGTATGCTTGTAAATCTCTGTTGTCAAGGCTGGATACATCCGGATAAGGTCGGGAACACCGCCTGTGTGATCACCATGCCAGTGGGTGAGGAGGACACGACCCAAGGAGAATTTCTCGGTAAGGAGAACATCTGAGACGAGATCAGCCCAGTCTGGGATTCCTTGCCCAGTGTCGATGATGAGTCGCTCCTGTCCTGTGCCGACGATGTAGGTGTTCGTTCCCTGCAAGGTGAACTATTGTTGTTAGTACTAGCCAGCCTTAACATATGAAGTTTCCGTGGCGTTGAGCATACCTTTCCCGGGTTCTGGCCCAGAATACGAATCACCCGAGGGCTGATCTGTTCCACATCTTCAAGAAAAGGCAGGACAGACTGTTGTCCGTCCAAGTAATCTTCAAAAGCACGTATGTCGAGTGCTTTATTGATCTGCTTATAGCCGCCCTTACCAGGAGCCATGATGGAAGAATGCTGTCATGAAGGCTCTGAGTTTGATGATGTGGGAGAGTATGTCACAAAGATCACACTATCGGGGAGGACTGTAAGGAATATGAATCTTCTAAAAGCTCAGCTGCCCTCACCCAATGACACCGAACTCATTCGCCGAAGCCAACGGACCGAACCCGGACAAAAAGATAGGAAAATAATTCTTGCTGACTAAATATTACCCGACTCCATGCATTGTCGGCTGGGACATTGTCAGTAGTTATTTACGGGGAATTTAGTTTTCCGATGCCGCAGTTATCAGGCGAATATTGACCCCTTAAGTGACACAAACCAGGTCTGTCTTACCCGTGTGATAAGCACGCCTCTGTTTCATACTATGGACTGGAATTGCTATATTCCCTAGATATGCGGTGTCTCCTGCTTCCTGTTTGCCTGTGATCTTCTGAGTCTGCATCTCAAGCATCATGGAGTGGGTTGAACCTCGAGCTCCTGAGAAGTCCGACGTGCCATCATCCAGGACTTCAGAGTCTTTCGTCGAGTCCGGCAAGATGAAGGTAGTGTACTTCAGCAACGAGCTACCTGATGACCTCAGGGATCTGCTCCGGCGCCTCCATCTTCATAGCAAGGACAGGCTCTATCCTACGCTTGAACGATTTATCTTCGAGGCGACTTTGGCCGTTCATGAAGAGGTCAGGCTGCTGCCTGCTGCTCTCAAAAGTCTTATGCCCCCATTCGACACTATTTTCAACTTGATCAATCACCCGACGCTTCGACATGGGCCTCTCGGTGGCTCCATCGACGGGGTCCTCCTCAGTTCCCTTCAAATTGCGGCTTTGATAGGGTAAGGCTGCTCTGCTCTACCCTAGCCTTGACTAGCCAACAAACTAACATTTACAGATCTTGCGAGAGCGGCTCTGACAGCGAGTTCGACTTTCACCATATCGATGCGTGTCTTTCAGGCCTAGGTACTGGCCTTCTGACCTCGGTTGCGCTGTCCCTCGCACCATCCTTGGCAGATCTGCCTTTGATTGGCGCCGAGGTCGTCAGAATCGCTTTTCGTCTTGGAGTGCTCGTTGATGAGGTCTCTCAAAACTTGCAATCCCGCCCAACTTCGACCGATGGTGGACCTGGCGATAGCTGGGCCTACGTTGTGCCCGATGTGGATGTGGATGAGGTCCAACATGAGCTCAATTCATACAACGCAACAAAGGTAATACACTATGAGCCTTTCTACTAAGAGGCTTCCTAAGCTAACAGCTTTCAACCCTTTCTAGAACACACCAGAGCCAGCGAAACTCTTTATTAGCGCGCTCAGTCGGACCTCGGTCACTGTTAGTGGCCCCCCGGCAGGTTTGAAGCGACTGTTCCTCATGTCGGACTTTTTCCGCGACCGCAAATCTGTATGTACACTAAAAGACCTCTACATCCTGAGATCTCGCTCTGATTACTTGACAAGGTTGCTCTACCTGTCTATGCTGGATTGTGTCACGCGAGACATGTCTACGGCGAGGAACACTTTGCCAGCATCATCAACATCCGGTCGATGGATGTAGTCGATGCCAAGTTCACTCCGCAGATACCAGTCATCTCTACTAGTACAGGCCAGCCGTATGGTGCAAAGTCAGCCAAGGAGCTCTTTCATGACGTTCTCGAAGAGGTTTTGACACGGCCTATTCACTGGGATGTCGCAGTCAAGGGCATCATTCAGAAGGCGAGGAAGACTACCGCCATCGAATCCGAGATCCAACTGTTCCGAACGTCGTTACCTGCTCAAGAGCTTATGACAGCTATTGAATCTGATCTTCCAGATTTGAAAATGTCGAGCAAAGATCTACTCAAGTGGATCATCAAGCCACCATCCATTCCCATGGGGCCCAGTGGAACGGCCAAAGCCAAGATTGCGATTGTTGGCATGTCGTGCAGAATGCCCGGCGGGGCTACTGATACCCGGAAGTTCTGGGATATCCTCGACAAAGGCTTAGATGTCCATATGAAGATCCCAGCGGACCGATTTGATGTGGACTCGCATTATGATCCGAACTGCAAGCGAATGAACACCAGCTGGACTCCTTACGGCTGTTTCATTGACGAGCCCGGTCTTTTCGATGCTCCGTTCTTCAATATGTCTCCGCGCGAAGCCATCCAGACCGACCCGATGCAGAGACTGGCACTAGTGACGGCTTACGAGGCTCTCGAACGAGCCGGCTTCGTGCCTAATAGAAGTGCGGCCAGCAACCCGCACCGAGTTGGCACATCCTATGGACAAGCGAGTGACGATTACCGAGAAGTCAACACAGCTCAGGAGATCAGCACATACTTCATCACGGGTGGATGCCGAGCCTTTGGTCCAGGCCGTATCAACTATTTCTTCAAATTCTCCGGCCCAAGCTACGATGTGGACACAGCTTGTTCATCAGGGCTGGCAGCCATTCAAGTGAGTAGCACTACTGAGCTGTATGCACATATTCTTGCTAACAGTTTGTAAAAGGTGGCATGCACGACCCTATGGAATGGAGAAGCGGACACAATTGTCGCAGGAGGCATGAACGTCCTGACAAACTCCGATGCCTTTGCTGGGCTCAGCAATGGACATTTCTTGTCCAAGACTCCCAACGCGTGCAAGACTTGGGATGCCGAGGCAGATGGGTACTGCCGTGCTGATGGTGTTGTTTCTTTTGTCCTCAAGCGACTTGAGGACGCAGAAGCGGACAATGACAACATTCTGGGCGTCATCCTAGGTGCAGGGACAAACCATTCTGCCGAGGCAGTCTCCATCACCCACCCCCATGCCGGTGCACAGTCGTATCTAACCAGTCAGATATGCAACCAAGCAGGTGTTGATCCTCTTGATGTTGGATTTGGTGAGCAAACTTAGTTGTCCTTCTTGAAACGCGAATCATTTGCTGACAAACACTCTTACAGTGGAGATGCACGGGACTGGCACACAGGCGGGCGACATGCAAGAGATCCAGTCAGTCACAGACGTCTTTGCACCCTTGGCTAGACGCCGCAGCTCCAAGAACCCCTTGTATATCGGTGCCGTCAAGGCCAACGTGGGTCACGGTGAGGCCGTCGCCGGTCCGACGGCCTTGATGAAGGTGCTGCTGATGCTCGAGAACGAGACCATTCCTCGACACGTTGGCATCAAGAATCAGATCAATCCGGCCTTCCCCAAAGATCTCGACAAGAGGAATCTGCGCATTCCCTTCGAGAAGACAGCATGGCCACGGGTTGCAGAGAAGAAGCGCATTGCAGTGGTGAACAACTTCAGTGCTGCAGGCGGCAATACCAGCATTCTTCTCGAGGAAGCCCCCCTGCGCGAGCCGGTCACGGAAGTGGATCCCCGGCCATCGCACTTGGTCATCGTCTCTGCAAAGGGCAAAATATCTCTCAAGGGCAACTTGGAGCGTCTGATATCCTATGTCGAAGCCAACCCAGATGTGTCGCTGTCCGATCTCGCTTACACGACTACAGCAAGGCGCCACCACCATAACCATCGAGTGGCCGTGGTCGTTTCCGATGCTGGCCAGTTGAACAAGCAGCTCAACTCCTATCTCAAGTCGGTGGAATCACACAAGCCTATCTCCGCAACGGGTGCACCCCCGATTGTATTCGCCTTTACTGGCCAGGGCGCCTCTTTCCCGTCGATGAACCTAGAGCTGTTCCGCGATTCGCCATTCTTCCGTTCCCAGCTGGTGCATCTTGATGCTCTCGCACAAAGACAGGGGTTCCCATCTTTCATTCCCGTGCTTGACGGCAGCCATGCCCAGACTCATGTGCATCGGCCAACGGCTACCCAGCTCGCCCTGGTCTGTAGCGAGATCGCCTTGGCGAAGTACTGGGAGTCGCTGGGAATCAAGCCAGATGTCGTCGTCGGCCACAGCTTGGGAGAATACGCTGCGCTTCATGTTGCTGGGGTCTTGTCGGCAAGCGACGCCATCTTCCTTGTGGGACGTAGAGCAACTCTTCTCGAACAGAAGTGCCAAGTCGGAACCCACAAGATGCTTGCTGTGCGAGCATCCCTTGCACAAGTGCAGGAGAGCATTACCGATCTACCTTATGAAATCGCCTGCATCAATGGACCGAAAGACACCGTGCTTAGCGGTACCCTGGAGGAGGTCAACGCTTTGGCCGAGGTGCTCCAGGGTGCCGGCCATAAGTGCTCGGTTCTCGATGTCGCATTTGCCTTCCACTCGTCTCAGACTGATCCTATCCTCGACGAATTTGAAGAGGCTGCCACCTCGGGCGCATTATTCCAGCCACCCAATCTGCCCATTATCTCGCCTCTTCTCGGCAAGGTCGTCTTCGATGAGAAGACCGTCAATGCCAACTACTTGCGGAGAGGCACGCGGGAGACGGTCAACTTCTTGTCAGCTCTCACTACAGCGGAGAAGATGCACACTATCGACGAGACTATGGTGTGGATCGAAATCGGTCCTCACCCAGTCTGTGTCAACTTTGCCAAGTCCACTCTGTCGGCTGTCAGTCTCACAATACCCTCGCTACGCAGGGGCGAGGACAACTGGCAGACGCTTTCACACAGCATGGCACTCCTTTACAGTGCAGGCCTTGACTTGAACTGGAACGAGTTCCATCGTCCGTTTGCTGGCCATCTCCGCCTCCTGGACTTGCCGACCTATGCCTGGAACGCCAAGACGTACTGGATGCAGTACATCGGAGACTGGGCCCTTACGAAAGGCAATACTTTCTACGACGAAGAGAAGGCTCTTCAAGCTCCGGCTGCGGGTGCCGGCAAGCCACCCTCCAGTATCAGAACGTCTACTGTTCAACAGGTGATTGAGGAAACCTTCACTGCATCTTCAGGTCGGGTTGTTATGCAGTCCGATTTGATGGAGTCTGATTTCCTTGCGGCCGCATATGGGTAAGTCCTGTCCAACCCAGTTATTATTAGCAAGAACTGTCATTAATGTCAATATGCATACAGACACAAGATGAATGGATGTGGTGTGGTGACTTCGGTAGGTCAAACCTATCCAGGTTATCTGCTCAATGTTCTCGAATACTAATTATGACCCTTTAGTCTATTCATGCCGACATCGCTTATACGCTTGGCGAGTATCTCATGAAGAAACTGCGTCCGAAGTCAAAGGACATCCACATGAACATCGCCAACCTTGAAGTCCTCAAAGGTCTGGTGGCCAAGAAGAATACCGATTCGCCGCAGCTCATTCAAGTTTCTGCTACTATCGAGGACATCGCTTCCGCAACGGCGCACCTCCAGTGGCACAACGTCTCTGCCAAAGGAGAAGTCGACGAGCCTTTCGCTAGTGCCGATCTTTACTACGGCGACTCGGATGACTGGCTTAATAGCTGGGTTCCCGCAACGCATCTAATCCAAGGCCGGATCGAGGAGCTCGAACGCCTGGCCGCGACGGGTATTGCCAACCGACTGTCTCACAACATGTCTTACCTTCTCTTTGCCAACAACTTGGTCGACTATGCCAACAAGTATCGTGGGATGCAGTCAGTCGTCATACATGGGCTGGAGGCTTTCGCCGATGTCACTCTCACGACTGAGAAAGGAGGCACCTGGACAGTGCCACCGTACTTCATCGACAGCGTGGCCCATCTCGCAGGATTCGTCATGAACGTTTCGGACGCCAACGATACCAAGAACAACTTCTGCGTCACCCCGGGCTGGGGTTCCATGCGCTTCGCCAAGCCGCTCGTTGCGGGCAAGCAGTACAGGTCCTACGTCAAGATGATCCCGACTGTCGAGGATCCCAGCGTCTACTTGGGCGATGTCTACATCATGCAGGATGGTGTCATTATCGGCATGGTCGGAGCGATCAAGTTCCGCCGGTATCCACGCCTGCTGCTGAATCGCTTCTTCTCGGCCCCCGACGAGGGTTCGGTGAAGCATGAGGCTCCAGCCCCTGTACGAAAGGCCGCACAGCCAGTCAAACCCGTCCCGGTCGCATCCAGCGCCGATAAACCTGCTGCAAAGCCGGTCTCGGCCGAGCCTAAGGAGCAGCAGAAGGCGGAGCCGGCCGTGGTACAGGCCGTCGAGGCCACACCGGATGTCGCCGCTGATACGGACAGTACAGCGGCTAAAGCCATGGCGCTCGTGGCGGCAGAGGCAGCTATCGATATCAGTGAGCTTCAAGATGAAGCCAGCTTTGCCAACCTCGGTGTTGACAGTCTCATGAGCCTGGTCATTGCTGAGAAGTTCCGTGATCAGCTCGGAGTGACGGTCAGCGGGAGTCTGTTCTTGGAGTACCCAACTGTGGGTGATCTACGGGCTTGGTTGGTGGAGTATTACAGTTGATCATGTGTCGTCTTGCTCTGGATGCTTTCTTCTTACCGAATTATTTCATTGGTCGAAGCACACTCGAAAGGGTTTTTTGTTGGGGTTCCAGTCTTGATCACAGTCTCTAAAATTCCTCTTCATGCTACTGCCTACATAGTGAATAGATTTATTTCATGTTGCATCTTTGCCAGACCCAACCAATGTATGATCCCTCCTAAGCTCTACTGCCTTGTCTTCCAACCTGAAACATCAGTATTATCGAAACTAGGTCCCGCAGCAAGAGCCAGAAGTCCTTCAAAATCAAACTTGATATTCAGCGCGCAACAGAATCTTGTATTACAAGGCTTGTGATGGGCGGCTAATCAGGGCCGTAGCTAGGAGTACACAAACAGTTTGGAACTCTCAACAATGAATGACATCGGGCCAATGAATGTTCACAGACGTCTCGTTACCAGTCATGTTCATGTGTCCAATTAGCAGTAAAACGCTTATCATGAGTCACGCTATGTTACTTCGGTTTATCCCAGAGCACAAAACACCGAGCACCGAATGCCGAATATTATCGGGACCCGGGTGATTTATGATAGGGTGATTCGCTTGATAAGCACCTTCGTCAAGAGAGATGTGCTCAGCGAGCAGAGCTCGGGGCTCTTCAGGCCGGCGGTCGGAGAATTTGTCATAGCCCATCAACCAGCCAACTCCTGCAAAAGGCCTGTGAAACCTAGAAATGCACCGACAAGGGGGAAAATCGACCGTGTAACGTGCAGCCAAGCCCACCTCACCGCAAGTCCGCTAACAAGTCTCTGCTCGACAATCGATCCAGCCCTCGATGACTCGTCCAGCCCGAAGAGCAAGGTGTTGGTCGGCGACATGGCGAGCCACGTAAAAGGAATCATTCCGACGGTCGTCACAATTGCCATGATGTACTTTCGACTGGCGCTTTTCGTGCCGAGAATCGCGGCACAATAGAAACCGCAGGTGGCGATACAGAGGGCAGGCATGTACATGCGCCCATAGTGGTACAGGAGAGCCCACTGTTGAGCTGTGTGTCCCGCGTCGGCATTCGTACCCAGCATAACGGGGATTGAGAATACCGATAGGCTCATCATGGCGCCTGTATCACGTTGGTGTCTCGGATCCACGAGGCGGGAGAGAAAGTACCTGACGTACCTGACAAAAAGGCCCCCGAGGCGACAGCCATGGCCGGCACGCCGATCTTTGGCTCATACTTCATCGTCATGGTGTGCATACATCAAGGCTTGATTTTAGGGAAGACTCAGCTTGCCTCCAGGTCATGGAAGAAACTTAGATATAAGTCACACAACATCCCGAGATCTGATCGGGAGATCTAAAACACTACGCGGGTTGAATACATCAGTCCGACATATTCACAACTTGCACACAAGCATTTCACCCGTTTAGACGTCACAGATCTTTCACCGGAATCGTTATCGTGGCTAGCTGGACCTCTGATCACCTCCAATATGGCTTCAAACATTGATCAAGCAGCGACCCAACAGGGTTCGGGGAGCATGCAGCGCTTTCTGTGTCTCACCATTCTGGGCTATCGCAAACCAGGCATGTCAGAGGAAGATTATCGTAACCACATGGTGAACGTCTCGGCCCCGATGACCAAGGGCCTGATGGTCAAGTATGGCATAAAGAGGTGGACCCAGGTAATTTGGACAAACATCAACCCTTCTAAAGGTGTCCAATGTGTTAATTCTTGGTGTCAAAGATTCACAACCAAAGCGCCACACGTGCTATGATGAGCCAGATTATTGACCCGCAAATGATCAATATTGCAGACTTTGATTGCTTTAGCCAGGTGGTATTCGAACGCGTCGATGACTACAAGCGCATGAAGCAGGATCCATGGTATCAGGAGCACCTCACACGGGATCATGAGAAGTTCGCTGACACCAAGCGGAGCATGTAAGTTGTACCCATCTCTCATCAGATGCAATTAGCAGCGTGGTAATCAAAATTGGTCAGGATGACTATTGGTTGGGTAGAGGAGTTTGTCAGAGATGGAAAGGAGGTCGAAAGGGTTGAACAATAGATCTTCTGCAAATAGTTTAGTTTATGACAATACCCAATTTCGATACTCAGACGTACCTAGAACTCACTTTTGCAACAATCTGAATGTGTGGCATTGTTCAAGGAGGCGATTTGTGTTGTTCAGAAGGCAGTGCATTGGATTGCACAAATCATTAGGCGCAGAAACGACTTGCAATTGAAATCTCAATGGTGAGCCGATGTATCTATGAGAAGTCTAGTCTCTATCCTAGATAAGGTTCTAAAATATGCCAGCCTCTAGTGATCATCTTCTTTAATGTCTACCATGTATATGCCAGGCACAAAATGCGGCTTCCCGTATCTACATCAACGGTGTCGGAGTCGGTCAATAATCTCGGAAGATAAAGCCCTCAAGCTCTTCCGCATGTCGGTCTCGAGTTGTGCCAATGTGTTAGCCGTGACCAATGCCCTCGGGCCCTTCTCAATATCCCTCATAATCTGGTCTTCACCATCTCCTTCACGCTGTTTCTTGATCTCCTTGGATAGCTCATTTACAAGCCTTTGCACACGGTGTAGCTCACCAAGCACAAGCTTGGCAACCGAGTTTTCCCGTGAATCGGCATCGTAGCGAGATGAGCCCGTGGAAGGACCGCTCAACGATCTTTGGTGTGTTTGATTCATGTTTCGCGAGATGGCGCTACTTTTGAGCTGCGAACTCCAACCCCTTCCTGTCTCGTCCTCGTGCTGAATGTGTGCCGCGGCGTCGCATCTCTCCAGGATTTTAAGCACTATCATGGACAGGACCACAAGGAGAAAGCTGTCCTCCCCGCAAGCGGAGGAAGAAAGGATGGTGGAAACGGCATTGATGCTCTTCTGGTTCTCTTCCAGCACAACTCTTGCGAAAGTGTCTGCATCAGACGCCGTGGTCAGATCAGAGTAGCTGGAGGTTCGAGAACTCTGTAAGGATGATAGACTTTTCAAGATGTCAAGTGTTCGTGCCAAAGTCCCAGAGGTTGCATTCTCCCCAATGATGATGGGGTGGGAAGGCTTCGATGATGGAGACGATGATGATGAGGATATTGTGGACGATGTTGAAAGGACTGGAGCCGACCATGACAGCAAGGAGGACGATAAAGTGGAAGCTACCGAGGACGCATTCAATGCTCCCGTTTCCCCGATTGTTGGGGCGTCCACTAAACCAATATTGAAATCGTTGCAACTGCTGGGGATCAGGAGTGATATGATGTCGCTCTCTGGTTGCTGAATGTTGCTTGTAGGGTCCGGCAATGGCATGGAAAATACAGATTCAATATCTGACTCAAGCAACTTGTCAAGCTTGGGATCGAACCCGTCGAAATCAGGGAAGGCATTGATGTCGCCAAGCATTGAGAAAATGTCGGACGTGTCTGCTGGGCCTGGCGTATTACCTGTCCGAGGAGAGCCCACAGCAGTCGACCCCGTGGCGCTTGTTAGAGCAAAGTACTCGCTGACGCTTGAAGTGTTTATCGTAGTAGGTGCGTTGCCAGGTAGTGTTGTTGATGGTGTAGGGCTCTGAGCCCAGAACAGAGCCCCAACTGAAGGTTGTCTCGCGCGCCGATGATTTTGCTTGTCTCCTTGCACTGAATGAGCTCCATCGCGGTCGCTGTCAGTGCTGGAATCGATATTCTTTGGGTTATTATCGCCGACTGTGATGATGTCGCTCGACGGACGACGGCTCGCACCATTCTCTGGCTTTCTCCCCGGCCGCTTGGTGAAGGAGTAGTGGCATTTGACGCCTCGAATCTCGCATCGTGAACAAGATGGCCTCTCTTTTGGGCACTTGATTTTCGAAGTTGCACAGGCGTTGCAGGAGTCACGGAGCTTGCTGGTAACCGATGACATGATTTGTATGTGTCTCGAGGTCTCGGCAATATTTCCTCGACTAGGACCCTTGTTGAGTCATTCGCAACTGAAGTAAAGTTCACACATCAGCAACTCTACTCAGGGTACTTGTACCTATAGTTCCTTTAAGAACACTTGACTAATCTCTGGGTGCCTCGGCTTGGATGCGCCACCAATGTCACACGGCCAGGAGAGGTTTCACTACAGTCCGGAACGGGCATAAAGCTCCTGTGCCTTTGGTTTCCCTCTATATCAATGGAAACGCTGAAGAGGCTGCTGCAAACGTCAGTTCTCATGCACATCAGAACCTGGCCAATACGGCCTCAGAGGAAGCCAATCATTTGTGTGGGGGTCCAGCCCATCTTCTGCATGCAAGAGATTATCGAGCACTCAAAGCCGACAAGTCATAGCGCTGACTGGTCCTCCTCATCTACTCAACTTCATCTCATCAACATGACCGGAGCTTTCCACGGTAGGACAGATATCGCGCCCCACCGATAGACGCCGCCACCTGCAGGTGTGATTATCGATGAGGGATGTTCCGCACCTGTCCCCCATCTCGGAGTCCGCTACATAGTAAATGAGCTTGTCACAAACACAAGACAATCCCTATCTTATCAAGAAACAAGCTCTTTGGGCCAGGCTAAGCTTGGGTGGCTTACCAGCCACCGCTGGTCTTGCTCAACCAAGTCCGTGTTGGTGACACTCGACGTGCCTATGTCGGCCAGTCACAAAGGTGATCTCAGCGCCATGGTCAAGGACTGTCTGCTCTGGAAAGGAAATTTCGTCCATTGTCTGTTGTCAAAAGTCAGACATGTGAGCCGCGCTCTGATGTTCTATTTTCTCTTTCAACTTGGAGGAGCTCGGTCTAGTATACTCAGTATTTGTCACACTCAATCGTCTTCTCTCAATCATCAGCTTTGGAATGAAAGGTCCCGTATTAGAATTCAGTTTTATCGTACCTCCGTGCCTGGTAACTACTAGAAGAAAGTGCATTTCCGACGCATATTGAGGCTCTTCCAGACCTGCACCTTGTCTTTGTCTCCCAATATTTAGATGTCTCTCACACGGACCGGACCGTTGATCGGTCAAACCGCGCAAGCCACCTGCTCTTCGAGGATCAGTTCTAATCCTGACTAGGCGATAGATCTGCTTTGTGTCACACGCCTTGCTGCGAGTTGCCCACCCCATTTCCGCTAGCTAGTGACCCGATACGAGCCAGCTCTGCACGGTGCCCCGACTCAATGTTGTGACTAGGAAAGAAATGCCAGAGCACACATCTGCTTTGCTGCTCGTCATTTCAGCCAGAAGCTCGAGCCAAAGCGGATGAATAGAGTAATGATGATATAATCTGCGCGCATGCTTAAGACTGTAAGGCTGATCCTTCCACCCTTTCATCCCAAGTGTACATGCCCCTAGGAATTTGGGCCTGACTGCATCCTGCAATGGACACACATACGCTAGGCCAGCTGGAGACCTACAGCCAGCACCTTGCTGAGGCTGTCAAGGTTCTGAGTACACGTCTACACTCTCTGGACTCTCCAGTAGGCACATCCCCGCCTGATATCACGAAAGATAGGGCAGTCATATATGCGATTCTTGACGGCATCAGAACCCTCCTTGACGAGCCGGATTACTTACTTTCGTCGCTGACTACTCAGGTAGGTAGCGCCCCAGTGACTTGAGCTCACTACCAATTGTATTCAGCGACACTAACTTGTCATCTAATAGGTAGAATTTCTTGCGTGTCTCAAATGGCTTGCTGAATTCCAAATCTTGGCATGCATCCCTCCCGAAGGAAGTCTACCTATCGGGGACTTGGCAGAACTGACTGGCGTCCCGGATGTTCAACTCCACCGGGTGATTCGTTTCACAGCCAGCTCTGGGTTTCTCCAGGAGCCCAAGTCGCACTATGTCTCACATACAGCCATGTCGGCTCGGTTCCTGGCGAGCCAGCCGCTCTGCGACGCTACGATCTTCATCGCGGCCTCAGCCATCCCGTCCGCCCTGCGGATGGCTGACGCAACCAGGTTGACTAGCGCCGGCAGAGGCACCAACACTACTGCCTACGATGTGGCGTTCAGCCCGCAAAGACCGTTTCGTACGGCCTGTGAGGGGCACTCCAAGCTGGGCCGGCAGTGGAGGGCCTATCTGGATCATGCCGCAAGCTTGCATTCGGAGAAAGAATTGGTCGAGACCTTTTCTCGATTGAACTGGCTGAGCCTTGGCGATGCATGCATTGTCGAGGTAAGTCCACACCCGGTCCCAATCAGTCCCAATGGCGTTCCTCCGCCGTTCTCGTTCTCGTGTGGCTGACCATGATCGTGTCGGCAACAGGTCGGGGCCCAGTCAAGTTCGATGGCACGCAGCCTGGCCAAGACATTTCCGAACCTGCACTTCTTCGTGCAGATCAACAACACCGACACCCTGGCTATGATTCGGGATGACGACAGGGATAATGCCTCGGAGTCCGAGCTCCTGGCCGCCCAGGCCACCACGGATGTTACCGCAAGCGCCCGCATAACTGTGACCTTTCGGGAGACTGGCATGCCCCAGCCCGTGATAGGCGCCGCGGTCTACATCCTGCACCTGCCCGCTGTGGGCGATTTGGCCCGAGCTGAATTGTACCGCCATCTTGGCCCCCTGAGGGCTAGTGGGGGCATGATCCTAGTGCTAACCACCCGGGTTCTTCCCGAGCCCGGCAGCCTGCCCAACCCCCGTGTCGAGGCCGCGGCCCGCGCCCGGGACCTAGCCATGCTGCAGCTGGCCAACGAGGGGGAGATGGAGATGACTGAGCTTCTGCAGGTTGTCGATTCGGTGTCTGACGATGTCGGGAAGCTCGTGGTTGCCAATAGGCTTGCGTCGTACAATGGCCTAATCCTTGCTCTGGCTTTAAAACATGTAGCTCATGGGGTTTGACTGGGACGGGTTCTTCCATGGGATAGAGGATAGAAAGGGACAGCAAAGAGATGATCAACTGCTGGTTTGAGTAGCCACCAAGATGACCGTTTCGTGACTACTTCTGAAAGACAAGTTTTACCATGAATTCCAATCGAAAATTCTTTGCCCAGGACGATAGGTTCTGGGAAACATACCTCAAAGGTCGGCCCTGTGCACCTGACAGCTTTTTCGACCGCATCATTGACTACCACGAAGCCAAGGGAGGCTACTACGACACTGTTCACGATGTCGGTGCTGGCGTAGGCCCGTACGCGCAGCGGCTACGCTCCAATTTCGATCACGTCATTGTCTCTGACATTGTACCCGACAACATCAAGCTCGCCCGCATGCGCCTCAAAGACAGCGACGGTTTCAGCTTCCGTGTTGCCAGCCTGCAAGATGCCGACGATATTCCTCCCGTAAGCGTCGACATGGTTTTTGCGACGAATGTCATGCATTTCGCAGAGCCCCAGAAAGCAGCTATAGATGCCTTTGCCCGACAACTGCGATCCGGAGGCACATTTGCTGCTGCGTTGTTTGGCCCAGCCCGATTCAAGGATCCCCGCCTCCAGGATCTTTGGTCTCGCATCAGCCATCAAGGTGGACGTGAGCTACTCAAAATCGCCGATGACCCAGATCAGACGATTCGAATCATGTCGAGGACACAGGGCGCCTACAATGTCGCACCTCTGACCTCAGACCTGTTCGAGCCTGGGGTCCGAAGGATCAATCTCAACATGAGGGACGGCGGCATACAAGGCATGCTGCCACCGGAGGAGGCACATCGAGACGTGGAGCCGAATTACACCAACCCGGATGACATCGAGGAGCATGTTGATGAGGCTGGGTGGGATTTCGAGACGGATCTGGCTGGGCTCAAAGAGCATTTTGCATCGTTTCCTTTTGTCTCCCAGTTCCCTGATGCCTTCGTCGATTTGTACAGAGAGCTCGATCAGCTTGTTGGAAGCGGCAGACGTGTTCAGGGATACTTTCCCGCTAAGATCATACTTGCCACTCGTCGCTAGTAGCAAAGATAGATGTTTCCCAAATGAAGTCTGTGAGGAGGGTCTGGGCTAGATGCATTTGGTCCACAGTGTTCAAGATCCTCCATTGGGCTGAATGTTCTATGTAATTTACATATTCGTAGAAAGTGGCAACCCAAGCTACCAAAGTGTCGTTCAAACTCGATTCAGTAGCCAGTGGCGATGAATGGAAAGGAGTTCATTGCAATCAAAAGTACGGTTGCCTATCCGTGACTAGCTTCTCATTATATATCCCTTCCCTCTGCTAAAGCAACTAATTTTCGAATGATACCAATCTAGAAGTTCTCCCGGGGTTCAAGTTTGCAATATGATGGGGGCAAATTGAATGGCTCCCTAGAGTCAAGATCCTTGTAATGCTGCGAGGTGATATCAGGCTTTCCGTTCTCGTCGCACCTTTTCCACTTGTACAATGCCAAAGCATAGGCAACTAGGATTGCTTGCTGCAATTTGGCCCAGCGCTTGCCTGCGCATGGGTGCTTACCTTGGCCCCATCCAACATCTTGTGTGAAAACTGTTAGTGTTTGCCGTCAAGTAGTTGATGCATGCAAATAGAACTTCACTTACATCCGTATTGCTCTTTCTTGAACTCCTCACGCCCCTCCATATGCCGCTCCGGGTCAAACTTGAATGGACTGGGATACAAGTCTTCGTTGTAGTTGCATTGGGTAGTGTTGTAGACGACGTACGTGTTGCCGGGAACGACTTCATCGGTGCCAGGAATGTGGATGGGGTCGGTCGATATGTTCAAGCGTGACGCATTGAACGAACCCCACATGCGCATGCACTCCTGGAGGCACAGATAGAGAGACTGGAAGCCCGACTCCCACACTTCCAGGGGCAGAGCGCTGAGTCTGTCCACCAACGGCGACGTCTTGTCCTTGGAGTGCGCCTCGACAGTCGCCTTGACCTCCTGGAAGATCCGCTCCTGCCACTCAGGATACATAGCCATGATGTTCAGCATCTGTGCCCCAATGACGCCAGCGTTTGCGCTGCCGATGAAGATGATGCTCGTGCAGTACTCGACGATCCAGTCGTGTCTGTCGCCGTTGTCGATCATGGACTGCAGGGCGTCTTGGTATCGGGGGCCCCCAGGCTTTGTGCGCTGGTTGATCAGGCCTGCAATTGTTCTCTCCAGTGTCCACCTGGCATAATGGCGCTTCATCCACGATGGAGAGGGCAGCCATGGAAGGTGCACATTGAAAGGACTGTAGCAGTGGGCGAGGATGTCTCCAGCGTTGAGAACGCGTGGGCCGAGCTTAGGGTCGTCTACAACCTGGTCTGATACCAGCACCCGATTGTTTTGTCTGAGAATGGTCGGCCAGATCGAGGGTGGGCTCATGACAGCCCGAGGATTGTCCACCATGAGATCTTCTAGACCCTTGCGGGCATCGTCTCGAAGGCGAGGAAGGTTCATGGCCAGGTGCTTCGTGGACTGGAAGTCCACAAGACGGCGGAGGAAGTATGTGTTGTTGATTCCCCTGGCATAGCCTGCCCTGAAGATTTCGTGAACTGGAGGCCAGAAGTGCACTCCGAAGGGCAGGAGTGCACCTCCGCTTACCAGGTCCAGGGTCGGGTGCTCATAGAACATCTTGCGCGAGGCCGAGCTCGTGATGCCGACAAGGTGCTTTTTGCCTACCCAGAAGCTGAAATTGCCAGTCGCCTTCTTGGCTTCTTCGGAGCACGCTTGCCAAAATCCCCTGTAGAGACTGGTAAGTCCGGGCGGCCGACTCGAGAAGTTAAACTATCATGAACTTACCAAGGGTGAAGGATGAAACCCATGGATCCCAGTATAGGGAGCACATTCTTTGTAAAGCGGGGAGACTTGTAGTGAACAGACGGCTTCTGGGATAGGTACATGAGAAAAGTGATGACCCCTGTCATGATGGCAGTCGCCCCAAGAAACAGCGGTGACTGGAATCTTTCCATCTCCGCTGCTGTCAGGAGCTTGGTGGATGTCTGATTCGAGTCCATGTTTGAGATCGAAGCAGGCACTGACTACCTGGTGTGAGTTCCTCAAAGTGCAGATTGCAAGAAGCATGCAGGTGAGAGGGATCCTGCTGACACCCAGCTTTCGCGCAGGTACAGGTAGATATACGTCCACCTGGCTGAGGACGCGCCGCATTCAACATTAGGGAGTCTATGTTCCGAAGTCCGGCGGGTGGTTATCGATGCCCAATGAGCATTCATGCGAGTCTACACGCCGTCTGCATGGCGTTCCCGAAGTTCGCCAAGTTTCCGATAGCTACTCCTGACCGCGATCTGCAGTGCTCTCGTTACACAAGAATGTTTGACCATCCGAGACTATCTGGTCCAGTCAGCGCAGTTACGTAACATTCCTTGTTTTGAAAGACAAGATGATTGCTTGCTGCATGCATTGTTCTGTGGATATTACGGCCTCAATTGGTGCCGTAGCTCCTTCTGTCCCGATGCGCCTTGACCAGTACTTCTGAAGGCTAGTGATCCCACATGTCTCACACAGACAGAAGAACGATGGGGTAAAATTTTATTGATTTCTCCTCGCTATGACTCTACTTATTCCATCGTCTCAGGCCTGCCCATTAGCCACCTTCTTCATATGCTCCTCAGTGTATTGATGGATCTTAGGAAGGAATTCCTGCATCACGACCGTGTCAAAGAGTTCCTCGATCTTCTTCACTTTCGTGCCAGTTTCATCAAACCATAAGAAAAGAGCATGCTCATTGCGATAGGGCCCCCACGGAGAGTCGGCCTTTGTGAGTGCGTAGATTGCGGCCTTGCTTCCCGCCACGTCGTGGACAACATTGTGCACGGTAAGCTGGAGATGTTTAGAACAAGGCTGGTCGGCGCGGTCAGTGGATCGCTTACCTCGAAGTTTGTCAGAATAGATATCAGAACGGGAAACAGCCGCTTAACATGGGCACGGTCCTTGATCGGAGAGTTGCTGCTGAACGGTAGGTTTTGCTGCGTGCAATCATCCGACCAGGTAGCAATGAAGCTGTCGATTGTCCAATCGGCCCAGCCCTTGATGAACTTGTCAAGCGTGGCCGCTTGTGTCCGAGCTATCGATTGAGTCATTTTGGTGGCTTCGAGTCGGGTTTCAAGTGAGTAACAAAAGTCGAACACAATACGTGATTGCTTGAAAGTGTCGAGGGAGACAAACCTTTTACGTCGTACTGAATACCCCGTCAAGCTGTCCAGAACAAGCGGGAGGACGATTGACGTTCCGATCGGCCATCGGAACATTTCGGGGTCAAAGCTGCACGCTACGTAAATCGGGGTAAAGGCAAGGTAACACTCTGGCTCTGAGGCAGGTCTCTCAGTGGCATATCATAGCCAATACGCGATCGGAAACTCGTGGCTCTGAGAATAGAACAATGCAAATAAGTCTCTTCATCAATTGCAACTGCAATATACCAACACAAAGAATAACAATGATAACTATGAACTACGCTACCTCATTCTCCCCTTTTCATCTAGGCCCAGTTGCCAACGGTAGGTACGGGTGAAGAAATGGAAAATAGTGCCGCAACAGACCCATCACAACACACAAGGGCGTGCCAGGCGGGAATCTGGCTCTGCCATTGATGTTCACCACACTGACATTCTTCAAGTCATATCGTCCCTCTTCATCATCAGCTGCTTCAATCATTCCAGCCGCCAGATCCAGATATGAGAGTGGTCCGTCCTCATCGGTCAGGCTCAGGGCATGTCCTCGCTGGATATCCACCGACAGGGCGCCCGGCTTAATGAAGATCGATGTGAGCCAGTCTTCATTCGCTCTCAGGAGTTTCTCTGCTTCCACCAGGTCCTTGTAGACGTGAGATGCTGAGCGTATCAGGATGTGGTGGAGAAGGGCCGGCTGATGGCGGGAGAATCCTTCGTCAAGCGTAGCTGAAGAAAGGAGGAGGACCCTGGGCATTTTTCTATTCTTTTCTTCGGCCCTCAAACTCCGCAGGACATCCACCAAGATGGAGGCAGTATCCTGTCCCAGCCGACAGTCGGGAAGGTTGTCGTTCGTTGAGACGACCAAGAAAACCGCCTGGCAGTCACGAACGCACGATCTAAGGAGATCGGCATCGTGAATTCCTCCCTCAAAAACACGTACATGCTTATTTTCCCGGATCTCGGGTAGCTTAGAGAAAAGTTTGGCCTTGCTGCGGCAGTACGCATGAACGATCGTATCCGGTCTGTTCAACAGGTTCTCGATCAGGGCCGTTCCGCAATTGCCCGTTGCGCCGAGGACAGCATAAGATCTGCCGTTCACTGCCATTTTCTCCAAAGACAGGATGAGAATAACGCCTTCAGTTCTCTGTTCGCTGGTAAGGATTGTGATGAAAATCAGAAGCTTGGTGACGAAGGTAAGGTTACGACACTATGTCGACAAAGTGATTGTGTCTTCGAACGAGAAAGACAGAAGCAAAAGGCAATGCGCTGTTACTTTGGCTCTGTCTCGGGTCAATGGAGCCAGTATACGGGCCATTACACGCCCGATTGTACCACACACCTCATTCATCGAAAAGCCCGCGTCCCGGGCTGTGTTACGTGTGGCTGCTTGCTTGAAAAGCTGATAAGACAGGGTTGGTGAGCACCACTAGGCATAACGTGATGGCTCATCTCAAATCTCAGTGAAAGAATAGCAAAAGTTGTGTGCAACTATAACCAGTGTACTTGTTCAGACAGATCACCATGCCTGGACTTGAGATCGTTCAGCCGGTTTCCACACCCGAAGACTTCCGTCTGCCTTCCGAGTACCTGGGACTGGGCCGCCTCGATGCCAAACCTGACCAGGTGGGCTCACGCGAGGCTGTCGCCAGTCTTCTGCACCAGAATCACGAGAAGTTCCACATGTACTTCCGCGATGTTGCAGGCCACAATCATATCCCGCACGCCGTTCTCACGACGCTCGCTATGGGCGGCGGCCCCAAGGAGCTCAGGCGGGCGTATGATGACGGCGAGGGCATCCAGCGCCCCAAGAATCCCGCTGATCCTCAGATTGTCGAGGAGATGCGTGATCCGGTCAAGTTCCGCGAGCATATGCAGAACATCGAAGAGTACTCCAACTTCTTGGCATTTTTCGAGAAGGAGATCGCCGCCAAGGACGGTGACTGGAGGGCAGTGGTGAACGAATATGTCTTCAGCCGGAGCCCCGAGGCCGACTTCCTCCTCACCCAGATCTTTGAGGGACTATTCCATCCCATAATTCATATGGGTTTCGGCATCGAGTTCGAGCTGCCCGGCCTCGTCGCAGAAGGTCTCGCACATGTATGATCTCGTCAAAAGTCCAGTGTTCTTCTTATGACAGAGTAGTAACTAATCTGTGAACGGCGACTAGGCCGCTAGCCACGATCCCATGTACATTGACGTGTACTTCTTCCGCGCCGAAGAGCTAGCTCAGAATGGCGGCATCGCGCCCAAGCCCCTCGCCCAGCTCTACAAGGACATTCGCGCCAACGAGACCATTCGCACGGCTCCTAGACTGCCTGATGGACCTTGGAAGGTCCGTGACGGCATTCTCGGCCGCGCTATGGAGGAGATCCTTCCCATCGCCGCGGCTGTGCAGGTTAAGCCCACCCCAGAAGCCGTCCAGCGCGCCATCGCCGAGATGATCAGCTGCGCCGCCTGGACCTGCGGTAGCTGCCAGAAGCCCGGCAAGGAGGCCAAGATCGACTTCTTCATGATGCACAACGTCACCACCTCGATCTTCCTTTCTGTGCTGAACCAGCAGCCCTGGATCAAGATCGAGGACAAGGCTCGTCTGGTCGAGTTCAAGATGCGCCTCGACCTCGTGTGGTACGCCGCGAGTGCTGCGCCGGAGATCACGCCGGAGAGGTTGCTCAACTATGAGCCCACTGTGAGCAAGGGCATGGACTGGTATCAGCTATATCATGTAGTGAACCAGCATCATGACGATGGACATGTCGCAAAATTTGTGAGGGCCTGCAAGAACGGGGAGGACGCTTCTCGTCCATACGAGCAGGAGGCTGCTAATGGCCATCAAAACGGCAGTGCTTCTACTGATTTCCTACCTGTCAAGGGCGGCACGTGGCTTAAGCTTGCACAGATGTGCTATGACTCTACTTACATGTTCGTCGATGGTCAGAAGAAGTGGGTTTGGGGTGCTGGATTCGATCCTATGTGGAAGGACATTCGGGACACCCCCTGTTGATCTGGCCAAGGCTTGCCAGCTTCGGCCCCCAACGTCGTCATTGAGCGCCAAATTGGGTTTAAGTAGGTGAGCGTAAGGCGGGTACAGCGCAGCATGGGTGCTGCAGGTGTTTTAGGCTCTCCAGGCTTCGTTAGCAATCCAAAGACACATGCCAACACGAAAAAAAGACGACTTTTGCGATGCGCAGGACGTCGTATTTTCAGTCTCATCCTTGGAGTTGTTTTCTGGGCCATGTTGGACTGAGTATGTGATAAATGAGGCCCGACGATACCAATCCAACAACAATACCAGCGTGATCGACGGAGTTGTCTTGAATCGTGGCATGTATCTCAGCACCGTAGCTCGAGTCCCTTGCCGCCAACTCGAGTAAAAAAACGATATTGGCAGCACTAGATTCCAGCAATGCCTCTTTCTGTGTAAGCTACAGGCTCCCGGGGACAATCCGCATTTGCTCTCACTTGTTCCTGACAAGGCTTCAGCTAAATCCTTACGAAGGCTCTCTTGGATCTATCTTGCTGATTCCTCGAAGCACCATATGCTGTGGCTTGAATCCAGCAATAGCATCTCCCAAGGTAAGTACCAAAGTAGCCAGCTGGCCTATTGGCTCGTATGTCTCGCTTTGGGGGCAGTGTCACCTTGCATGTTCACTCTACGAGCATGATTGGGCTGGACTTGCAGGAAGCTAGCAAAGGGCGGGGTGAATGATGCACAGCCTCTGGACCCCGCCTCCCGGGGCTGCCCAGCTGAGAGCCTTGCAGTCGAAGATGAGGATGTCAAGAACAGGATGTCTCTAGGTAAGTACTCCTTAAAATCTTTCACCTTACCTACTTCCTGCAGGGATTTTGCCTGCTCAAGATCGAAACACTACCCGGATGCAAAACCATCGTCATGGACGGTCTAGCCGTAGCAGCGGCTGTCATTCAGTTCGTTGAGTTCTCTAGCGGCCTCATCGCCAAAGGCATTGCAATACACTCATCCGCGACCGGTCTTGCCGTCGACCATGACGAGCTGCGAACCATCACGGATTCTCTTTCCCACAGCAGTGACGAGATCACACATTCGCTAGCAGAGCAGCACGGGCGGCGGAAGTTGACGGCAAACGAAAGGGACTTGGAAAAGATTGCTACGGGCTGTCAAGCGGTGGCAGGCGAGCTGCTGGATGTCCTGGCCAGTCTGGCATCGAAAGGCCCTAGGACAAGATGGCGGTCGTTCCGTCACGCTCTTCGGGCGGCCTGGAGCGAAGGAAAGGTGCAGTCGCTGGAAAACAGACTCGATCGTTTTCGACAGCAGATTATGGTAAGCGTCCTGAGCTCTCTGAGACAAGAGGCCGATAGGTCAATCCGGGAGCAATCCTCGATGCGAGAGTCGGTCGAGAGGATCGAACAGCTTCAGCGCAACAGCATTCCAATAGGAGACCGCTTCGTCCGACAAGTTATGGATGGAGAGCAGTGGAGGCGCGACTTGATCCAAATGATTCATGAGCAGGGGCAAGGGGAGCTCCAGAGGATGACCATCCTGACCCAAGTCAGGGACGAGAAGGGGTGGACACCCAACGCAGTCATAGTTCAGGAGAGGCGAATTCGAGAACGCATACTGCATAAGCTAGCGTTCAGGAACATGACAGATAGGGAGAGACGCATATCCAAGGCGCATCAACGAACTTTCGAATGGATCTTCTGCGATCCTAAGTCCGACTCTAGACCCTGGGCAAGTTTCAAAGACTTTCTGGAGGGTTCCGGCAAGAAGATATACTGGGTCACTGGCAAGCCTGGCTCGGGGAAGTCAACTCTTATGAAATATATTCGGCATCACCCCGAGACCAGCAAACTATTGCGAACTTGGGATCCCAACAACGACGTCATTCGCGCCGCATTCTACTTCTGGAACAGTGGATCGCGCATGCAGATGTCCGTTGAGGGTCTTCTACAGACTGTGCTGCATGACTGCCTCCGACAACTGCCAGCGCTTGTTCAAGAGGTCATGCCGGAGAGATGGGAGGCAGCCACCCTCTTCGACGTGGACGATTTCCCATGGAGCTTGGAGGAGGTGGCTCAGGCGCTAAGGAAATTAATCATCGAGCTCTGCCCCGAGCAAAAGTTCTTCGTGATGATAGATGGCCTCGATGAGTGTTCCGGAAACATGGCGCAGCTCATCGAGCTGATAACAGACCTTGCCGAGGACGCCGAAAATCTGAAGATGTGCCTCGCGAGCCGTCCCTGGAACAACTTTGAGGACGCTTTTAGGGGGCGGCCGGCCCTGATGCTCCAGGATCTTTCGGCAACCGATATCGAGTACTACATTACGTCCAAGTTCGCCGCAAACGAAGGGTTCGCCGAGTTCCAGGTGCGAGATCCTTCGAGCGCACGGGAGCTGTTGGAGACAATTGCCAAGAAAGCAGAGGGGGTCTTCCTCTGGGTGCACCTCGTCGTCCAATCCCTGCTCGAGGGCCTGACGAACGGCGACGGGCTTCGGGATCTCCACAGTCGGCTTGACGAGCTCCCGCCGAACCTCGAAGACCTTTACGTGAAGATCCTGGAGAACCTGGACGAAAAGTACCTCGACCACGCCTCGCGGCTCTTTCAAATCGTCAGGGCCTGCGACGAACCACCCACTCTCCTTCGCGTCGCGCTGGCCGACCTGGAGGACGGCGATCGAGCCATGCAGGCGCCAGTCGCGCCTATACCTCTCGGAGAGACGTCGGCACTGTGCAAGAATATGAAGAGAAAGTTGACTAGTCGATGCCGTGGACTCCTGGACGTTTCCTCGGCCGTCACATATCAAGTTGATGACGGCCAAGCCGATGACGACCAGCCCGTGCCAGACCTTGACTGGTCTCGAGCTGACGAAAGCGGCGAAGTTTCCGGTCATCATATGGCAAACCTAGAGATCCAATATCTCCACAGAAGCGTCCGGGACTACATACAGAGTTCTGAGATGTGGTCCTGGTTGGTATCTGCCAATGAAGAGCCTTTCGACCCGCACATTGTTCTACTCAAGTCACACCTGCTACAACTCAAGAGCCTAGAGTCAGATTCATTATCCGCACGGGCAGTGGGGTTCCATGTTTGGATGGCGATCAAGTATGCCAAGATGTCTCTCAATATCCATACAAGGAACAGGAAGAGGCAGGTTAAGGAGATCGTCCTCCTGCTTGATGAACTGGACAAGACCGTCACACTCCTCACTACCTCTCCTGTGAGGAGCTCAACATTCGTGGATCGTAACGGGTCTCTCGGGGATGAACACTGGTCATCATTCTTTCTCATTCGGGTGCCGAACCCGTCCTTCACGCACATGATGGCGGTGTGCGGCGTCCACCAGCACCTGGAAATGCGCCTCCGAAGTTCGAGTCCGAAGGAAGAGAATGAGGACTACCAAGACGCAAGGGAAGCAGAGAGCATGCCTCTCATGATCGTGGCTCTAGAAGGAGCGCCAGTGATCCCGACGGCACAGGAATACAAGGAGCTGCTCGGTCCTCACCCCATGGTCCTGAAGACGCTGTTACGGAAGGGATTTAGCTGCCACAAGCCTTACCACGGCCGCTCCGCCTGGGATTTGGCCATGAACGCGGGCTACGCGGGGATCCTGGAGCTCTTTGAGGAATACAGGGGTAAGCCGCCCGCGCGACGGACCGACGACAACCGTCGTTCTCCGACAGCGCGAGGACGGCACGAGGACGGCAGCGAGTCCGACGAGTCGAACGCATCAACAGAGGCCGTGACTTCATTGGAAGGGCAGCCTCGCCTCGGCAGCGAGTCAAGGAGATCGCGTTCATCTGGTCACCTGCCGAGTAAGACTGAACGACGACGTGGGGACCAATCCTCACGGCGAGTCCCGCTGGAGTATCAATACACACATTATCAACCTTCAGCCCAGACGCCTAGGAGTCGACCACCTCCGCCGCCACAAGGTCGACCAGAACCTCCCCCATATGGCAATCTTTCATTCCGGCCGTATCACGGCACGAGACGGCCGTACGACGGATATGATGACGACAGAGGAGAATATCCCGAGTACCGCTCTTTCTATCCTGGCAGTTATGCTACCTATAGCCCGCCACCCCGTCGTCCTGTCAGCTACTGGAGGGGAAATCGGCCGGATATACCCCTGTCAACCAACCCTCCCCACCTCTCATACCGTTCGATGGATTACTCTAGGCCACCGTACTGGGCAGAGCAGTGGTTCCATCCGCAAACTGCTGGTCCTGCGGATGCTTACTACAGGAGTGGATGGCGGGGAGAGCTGCCGTCCAGGACGAGTTACGGTGGAGGGTATGGATATTGGGATCGATAGTAGCAAGGTTGGAGAGTGTGCTAGATAGCACTCAATGTGTCGCACATCCGCAGGTTTTCCTTCCCTGTGTCAGAAATGGTGGTATGGGTTGCTTGATTAGAATAAAGTAGGAGAGAGTTGTGAAGGCCAGGGCCTTCCCAGACTAAGTACAGCGCTCCCAGCCTCCTGAATATTCGGCTTTGGGCTTCGGCTTGGGGTCGGATTCCAACACCCTGTAGTAGGGAGGTTTTAAATTAGCACTTTTCTTGGCTGTATTACAAACCAGATAGAACAAACCCAACAATACCATAGCACGCCATTTAGAGGGCTGGAAAGCGAAGGTTAGTAGTTAAAGACGATTCTAAGGGTTTATTGGCCAAAGTTCTATTAAACACTCTAGCTGTGTTGGATGTTGGCTTATCTTAGACAGCAAGTTCGACGTTAGTAAGGTTTGGAGTAGAGGGGTCGAAGCAAAACCAAGAAAGGACTATCATATTATACAAGAGAGCTGTAAAGCAAATCTTTGCAGGATATATTCCAGTTTTGGGCTTGGTAGCAACTGTAACTAAGGTGGCAGAATAAAGCTCTCAAAGCACGGATAAAATCAACGACATGTTAAAGCAGCAGCTTCACTGGCCCACTCACAAGTTAGGAAATAACTGATGGCAAAACAAGGGCAGCAGAAAGGCCACTTGATGGAGCCAAGGAGCCACATAGTAGGCCAAACATGACCGAGGACGTCTACATTGTTGGGCAGGCTAGCGAGTAGTCCATTTCAATACATAACATGTTGCCCTATTCTTGGGTGCACTTTGTTTTCTGGTTAAGTATTCGTAGTTCTGTTACTTTGCTACATGTGCATGTACCTAAGCTTAGACTAAGACTACATTGTGGCCTCGTAGAACTGTAAGAATAAGTCATCACAACCCGGGACTTCAGTTTGCCTTGACACCTTGCGGGTCGGTGAAGACCATGGAGGTGCCAACTAGTCATAGGCTCGTAATACCGTTTCCATCGTGCCCTTAGGACTCCCGCTCAGCCTCAACCATCTCAACCCGAGCGTTGTTGCGCTCCTTGACAATCTCGACATCGCCATCATCAACACGCTCGACCGTAAGCTTAGTCTTCTTGAACTGGCGAATGGGGACACCGTCAAGGAACAGGCGGTCGATCTCCTCAAGCGTCTTGCCCTTGCACTCGGGCACGCAGAAGTAGGCAAAGATGGTGGCTAGGACAGCGGCGCCGCCATAGATGAAACCGACCTTGGCGCCCAAGCCGGCATAAGGCTTGTCGAGGAGGTAAGGGGTCGCGTAGGTGGTGACGAACTGGATGACGATGTTGACGGCAGAGGCAGTACGGTAGGTCATGTCGCGAACAGGGGTCGAGGGGATCTCGGCGGTCAGAATGTGGGAGACCGGGGCCCAGCCGGAAGCGAAGCCGAACCCGAAGATGGACAGCATAGCGATGATGCCGACCTTGTAGGACTGAGGAGGGTTGCTGGAACTGGCACCGAGGCCACCCATGGTAAAGAGAGATGCGATCTGGATGGCACCACCCATGAAGAGCATTTGTCTGCGGCACTGCAATTAGTTTTGAGAGAACATAAAAAAGAGTCCTGGTGTGTAGGTTTTACCTTCTACCCATCTTGTCGACGAGAGACATGGAGAAGACAACACCCATGAGGTTGACGAGCTGGTTGACCACAGTCATGACGAAGGGATCCAAGCTTCCGAGCGACTTGATGTAGATCGTGCCGTACTTGTTGGCGAAGGTGTTGCCGGTGAGCTGAAGGAAGAAGTTGACGAAGCAAGTGATCAACGTTCGCTTCAAATTGCTGCCCTTCCAAAGATCCCAGAACGTGGTCATCTCCTTCTCCTCGTTGATAATAGCTCTGGTGGCATCAAGTTCCAGTTTGATATCCTCGTCAGTATAGGCACTGCTTCGCAGCTTTCGTAGAGCAATCTCTGCGTCGGCGTCTCGGCCCTTGAGCAGAAGCCACCTGGGAGACTGGAGATTTGTTGTCAGTAGATAGAATCAACGACATAAAACACATGATAACTTACCTCCGGGATAAACCAGATACAAGCCGCCACGATAGCCGGAATGACAAAGAACAGGCCAAATGGGATGAGCCACGACTTGTTACCATCCAGCTTGGAAGTACCAAAGCAGATCAAGCTCATAATGAGACCACCGAACTGCAGTTGGTCATTAGTACCTTGGCGGCGCCGAGACGAGGCTCTCCAAAAGAGGGGCCAACTTACAAACAACATGAGTTGATAAGTCTCAACAACAAGACCTCGAACCTGCTTAGGAACAATCTCGGCCTGGAAGACGGGGACAACAGCCAACTCCATGCCGACGTAACCATCTTGATCATTGGTCAGTAAACTCAAGTACTATATAGGTTGGCAATGGCTGTGTCACTCACAGTTCAGGATACGTGCCGCCAAGATCTGGGCTTGGTTCCTGGACGAGAAGGTGATGGCGGCAGTGCAGAGAGCGTAGATACTCATGACGAACATGACCATGCGACGGCCCCAACGGGAAGAGATTTCACTGCCAATAAGAAGGCCTATAGCAGACTCCAAGTCAGCACGCAGACAGCAACGACGCAACACAGCAAAGAGACGCACCAATGACGAATCCAATGTATGGCAGACTGTTGAGGAGAGCGAGGAAGTTGGTATCCAGCGAGTATTTTCCTTTCGCGTTCTTAGAGCCAAACTGCTGCTGGAACGCATCCATAGCCTGGGTCGTCGAGTAGGCAGTCTGGTCGAAGCCAAAGTTGAACTGCGAGACGGCGATCAGCCCAACCGAGAGGAGCAGTGTCCTGTTGAACAGACGCGGGATGGCCGCCAACTGCTCCTTTGTTCCCGTCATATTGAAGGATGGCACAGGGTCACGATATCAAGCCGAGATACAGTTTCTTGATGGCGTGGTCGATGAAAAGAAAGGAGGGGAGAAAAAGGTTTCGCTCGACACGGAGAGGAGATGAGGCGAACCGGTCGAGATAGAGATGGATGACCTTCCCCAGCCTGCATGGAACACGACAGACCAGCCTAATATAAGTAACCGCAAGGGCAAAGCAGCGACAGAAGAAAGAAAAAATGGACTACGCGATCGCGTTGAACAATATCCTCTTGATGCGAACAAGGTCGGGAATCCGGCTGTGGGGTGCGGACCCCGTGGGGGCGAGGAGGAATTGGTTGAGCCAGTGATCAGGGGATGCTGTAAAGAAATTGCTCCCCTGTCCCCTCGCCCTGGGCTGGCCCTGCTCGACAAAGTACGGAGTAGGACATTTTCGCCTTGATGGGTGGCATCCCGGATGACATGACCCCCAGCCAGACCCCAGATGGCATGACTAGCGACCACTCAGAGGCCACATGGTTCCTGTCTAGGTCCCACTAGGTTATTCGCTAGTCAGACTGTGCCGGTGATCTTGGCCTTTTTGCAGCCGTATTCATGCCGAGCTCCCCGACACGTGAGCCGCCTTGTCTTAAACCAACATCCAACCATTGCTACTCTAGGCGAGCTGGTGCAGAGAGTCGCAAACACTTTACGCAACAGATTCGTCTCCCCAATTTAATGTATTGGGTCCGTCTAGACTCAGCTCCAAGATCAGCTAACCATCTCGGAGTTCAAGCTGACAACAATCGTGAATGGCTTTGTGGACCGTCTGACCATACCTTGATTAACTCATAAGCCCGCGTGCCCGCCCGCCCCCTTTCCTCCCCGGCTCCCCGACGCCCCCGACCTTCGCATCTGGGACTCAGCTTCCATCCTCTGGCATACTAATACCAGGCAAGGGGGGCGAACAAAGCGAAGAGCCATGTTGCAAAATCACAACTCCGCCGCCCCTCCAAATATCCACGACTCCGAAGTCCGGCCATCAGACGCTGGCCTGCCAAGCAACGGCGCTCTCTTGGTTACGTCTCTTCTCCGGCCAGGAGCCTCTCCGGGTTCCGATCCACGCCGAGAGCAACGGCAAACGTCGAATCTGGATCGAGAAGCCTCTCCTCCTTCTGGTAGCCAGCCTAGCCTTTCGCCACACCCTCACCCACCCGCTTCCTCAGACAGGGCTCGCCGCCGAGCTCGGCGACGCGCCCTAACAGCATGCCAGCTATGTCGTGCCCGCAAGACAAAGTGTGACAATGTCCGGCCTTCGTGCGGGTACTGTATCTTTCAGGGGGCCAAGTGCGTCTACACAGACACGCCTCTCGGTGCTCGCGTCGTGTCACCGCGACCTTCTCCCCAACCGGCCGCCTCCTCTCATAATGGCCAAGGGCCCTCGAACGAAGCCCTCCTCGATAGCCTCAATCATCTAACGGGGCTTGTCGAGGGTCTGCGCAGCGAACTCGATCTGCGGAGGACATTCAACCCGACGACAACGCCTGGCTTCCCAGCCGCAGATTTCCCCACGCAGTTCGTCCCGCAGGATCCCAGCCTGCAGCCCCTCGTCAACCAGTTCGGCAGCGCCCATCCAAGCACAGAGAGCGCCTTCGCCGACGATGGCTTCGGACGCCTCGAGGTGCCCGAGCTGGCCGCGCGGACGAGCGCCTGCGAGTCCATCCTCAAGTGGCCGGTGCTGACCGAGGCGTACCCGGACGAGAACATCACGTCTTTCCCGCTGCAGTCGACCATCCGGGACGAGGCCGAGAGCCTTGATGCGACCATGAGTGGCACTGCCAGCGGCGGCAGAGGGACTGTCATCCACGAGGACAACATATGGCCGCTGTGCCGCAAGTTTCTGGTCTTGATCAACGTCAAGAACCCTATACTCGACGTGTCCGAGTTCAAGCGGTACGCGAGGCAGGCTGCCGAGTGTGGACCGACCTGGGATGGACGCGGGTGCTTGGTGGTAAGTCTACTCAGAACTATCAGTCGGCATGTGCAGTATGTGCTAATGAATTTACCAAACAACTAGCTCCTTGCCTGCGCCCTCGCGTCGCTATCGACGCCCTACCACCCAATGCAAGACCCCGTCTCCGAAGCCGACGCAGACTACAACATGTCGTCGCCGTCCACCGCCGCGCTGGTAGACGAGTCGGCGGCCGAGGCGTACTACTCGGCTGCCAAGCGCCGGCTGGGCCTCCTGCCGACCTCGCTCATATCGATACAGTGCCACTACTTTGCAGGCCTCTACGAGAAGTTTGCCATACGGCCGCTCTCGGCGTGGATGCTGCTGCAGCAGGCGTGCGTGCGCTTTCAGGCATACCTCTACGCCAAGGCGTTGTCCACGCCGGTCGACGGCGCGGGCGATGTCCGGACCGCACGACACATTGAGCAGAGGCTGTATTGGCTCTGCGTAAAAGCAGAGTGGTAAGCAGTATTCCCACATAGTTTCACGCCTTATGATCCAGATCACGACTGACTTCAGGGCCCTACAGCGAACTCCGCGCCGAGCTCCAGCTCCCGGCCTCCGGCCTCCTCAAGTTCAAATACCCAGACCTCTTCCCCTCCCTCTCCTTCCCTTCGTCCTCGGAACTCCTCGACTTCTCCGACGGCTTCGCCGGCTCCACGGGCCAGAGCCCCGAGGCCACCGCCGCGATGCTCCTGGGCGGAATAGGAGGAGGAGGAGGAGTAGGCACGCCCTCCGCCGCGACCGTCTCCTCCTCGGACCGGCTGGACCCGGAGGAAGAGCGCAGCTGGCTCTACTACCTCGCCGAGATCTTCCTGCGCAAGATCATGAACCGCATCCTCGACGACGTCTACGGCCGCGGCGAGCAGCACTGGGTCACACCTCCCGGAGGCGCCGCCGCCGGCAGCGGTGGCATCAATCGCTCCCTGCTGTCGCAGCACGCCGCCTACGGCGAGGAGCTGGCGCTCTGGCGCGCGCACCTGCCGCCCCAGCTCCGCTTCGCCGACGGCGAGGCCCTGCCGCCCAACGAGCTCGCCTTCTTCCTCAAGACGCGGTATCTCATCTGCCTCGAGTGGATCGCGCGGCCCTTCCTCTACTACGTCACCACCGTTACCGCCACCACCACCGCCACCGCCACCGCCACCACAACAACCGCCAACAACGCGACGACGTCGATCGACAACAACCCGGCCGTCGTGGCGCTGGCGCAGCGCTGCGTCGACACGTGCGTGGCCCTGATCCCCGTCATCGCGCGGCACCACCGGCACGGCGGGATCTGGGGCCTGCTGCGCAAGTCCTTCAGCCTGGGCCTACTGCTGATCGCGGCGTCGCGGCGGCCGCTGGTGCTCGAGCTGCCCGACGGCTGGCAGGAGTCGGTCCGGCTGGTGATTGCCACGATCAGGCGGTGGGAGGACGGCGCGACGGACCTGCGGTGGATGCGGCAGACGCTGGAAGGCATGTTGGCTGGGGTGTGAGAAGGTTTTGAAGCGCGCTTGGGAGTTTCAACTGTACATTGTACATACGTCTATCCAAAGATGGTATATATATCTCTATCATGTTGACATCTATGATGCTCTATCGCCGCCACAATGCCTCCCTGTAACCAAAAAAAAGAAGGATCATGCTCTTCCTGGCAAATACTTCATACACCACGCTGACCATGTTCCCCATTAACCCTGAGAACGCACATCAGCCCTAGAGAAGACCTCAATGCCACTCCCGATCGACCCTCTCAAACTCCTCCAAGAACGCCCTGAAGAACTTGACGCCCAGGCCCGGGTCCAGCGCGCCCGTTGTCGCCCGCACGCTGTGCATGCTCAGCTGCGGCAAGCCACAGTCGGCGCTGCGCACGCCCAGCATCGAGCTGATCGTGGGGCCGACGGTGCCGCCGCTCCGCGAGTCGTTGCGGATCATAAAGACCTGGTTCGTGCAGCCCCGGAGGGAGGCGACGCGGTCCAGGACCGCCGTCGACACCGAGTCGGTCGTCATGTGGCCGTTGCTGTCGGCGCAGATGGCGACGCCGACGTTGAGCCGCGGCATGTGCGACTCGAGGTACTCGCCGGCAAAGTTGGGGTTGACGGCGTGCGTGACGTCGGCCGAGACGAGGAAGGACGAGGCGTAGGTGCGTCCGAGGACGCCCGGCCCGAAGGAGGCGCCCGAGGCGGCGCACATGGCCTCGACGGAGCGCTCGATGACCGAGGGCAGGAAGTTGCCCCTGGCGCCCTGGCGCAGCAGGCTGCCGATCTCCTCGTCGTCGAAGAGGACGACCATGCGGATGACGCCGTCGTCGTCCTTGTCCTCGGAGCAGAGGAGGCCCTGCATGGCGGCCCACGAGCACAGCTTGTCGTCGATGCGGCCGGCCGAGATGAACTCCCTGTCCATGCCGAGGAGGGTCGCAGGGTTCGTGTCGAACAGCTCGAGCTCCCAGTTGACAATGGCGGAGGGGTCCTTGAGGCCGAGCTCCTTCGCGATAAGCTTGACAAGCCTGGGCGGCTGCGTAGAGATGAACGAGCCTGCCGCGCCGATAGTCTCGGCGGCCGTGGCATCGGGGTTATCCAGGCCGATGATGGGCACGGCCTGCGTCTCCTTGTTGTTGTTGCCCATCATGCCGACGCCAAAGTGCGGCGCCAGCGTGGGCACCTTGGCAATCGGCCAGTCCAGCTTGACCAGCCTGACGCCCGTCTTGCCCGTCTGCTCGTCCCGCACGACGACCCGGCCGCCGACGCTCAGGTCCCGGTCCCACCAGGTCGCGTTGAGCGCGCCGCCGTAGGGGGCCACGCCGAGCTGCACGTATCCGTACCGGCTGGGCTTGTCGCTCACGGGCTTGAGCTTGGCCGTCAGCGCGTCGATGTGCCCCGCAATGATGGCCACGCCGTTCCCGGGCTTGTACGCCTTGCCTACGGAGAAGGCGACCACGGAGCTGCCGTTCCTCGTCACAAAGTACTTGCCGCCAGGCGCGATCTTGCCCGTCCAGTCATCGCGCGGCGCCATCTCGCTGTAGCCCTTGTCGCCCAAGGCATCCTTGAAGTACTGCACGGCGTGGAAGACGGTCGGGTTCTCGGTTAGAAAATGGCAGAAGGGTTTCGTGAAGGAGGCAGGGTCGTCTGTACGGAGAAGCGTAGGCATCGGCGGGGCGGGCGTGCTGTAGAAGGAGCTCGACATGGAGGCCGATCGGAGGGACAGGTTGGACGCCCGCTTGCGCAGGAATTCAGGCGTGTGTTTGGTCATAGTTATGTATGTGTGCTGCCAAGGATCACAAACAACGAGGGAAAGCAAAGCAACTGAGATTGAGCTGTAAGGTTATAGATGTATCAGATAGAGTTGTTAGGTGGCTGATTGACTTGGGAAGCAATCGTTTAGGTAGGTAATGCGGTGATGATAAGGTCGGATGTGACTCGAGCTCGAGAGCTGAGCTCCGGTTGCCAGGGACAAGGAGCTAGCCTGCGCCAATTAGTTAGGAATGATTGACATCGGCAAGTCGGGCTTGTAAGTGCCGACATCCCCACAAACCAGCTGAACGACATCAATTCTCAGTCCTCCGATGGTGAAGCGAAGTTCTTTCGACCCGTAGAAGACTGCTTCTGTCTACTCTGCAGTCGATTGGACTGTTGAAGCTGTGCTTTCCATTATCATGAGAGAATTAAAGTCGCTGTGAGGTTTCCAACAGCACTCCTGGGTAAAGACTCGGCAGTTTAGATTCCCAGCTCCTGTACAGCTCGAGATGGCGACTTTGAGCGGGCAAAGGCTATAATGAACATTTGTATAGACCACTTCTCCCGGATCCTTAGAATGAGACTTATGAATAGCCGCTGGTGGTGGTACTCTGAAGTCTTATATTGATTTACCACTGTGGGCGTTTAGCCTGCTTGCTGCATTCTTTTACGGGAATAGATATCACACTTGAGTAATGGAAATATAAAATTCTCGCTGAAGTCATGTTCAACTTGGCACTGGTAAACATACTCTCGAGCTATACAAAGTAAACACGAGTTTCCCGACCTCAACAAGATGAGGTACTCTCTACCGACATTAAGTCTAGCAACGACATGCCTCTCCCAGTTGCTCCCGCCAGATGCGCCAGGCCCTGCACCCAAGTATCCCATCGGCGTGAGCAAGGCGCCCTTCGCCAAGGTCTCGGGCCGCATGTTTGAGATCGACGGCAAGGTTCAGTACTTTGCAGGTAGCAGCACAACACTCAAAGCCACCGCCAACTTCATGATTCGCTCTGACTAAATAAATGTCCAGGAACCAACGCCTGGTGGCTCGCGCACTTGAGCAACAACAGCGACATAGACATCGCTCTAAAACAGATGATCGACGTGAGATAAAACCGCACCACCGTAATCCAACCTCAAATACCAGCTCCTAACAGACAGTCTATGTCCGCAACCCACAGACGCAATACAAAGTCGTCCGCGTCTGGGGCTTCGGCGACGTGAACCAGCCCCCGCCGGCCAACGCAACCGACCCCAACCGCGTCTACTTCCACCTCCTCAACTCGACCGGCACCTACATCAACTACGGGCCCGCCGGCCTCGACCGCCTCGACTACGCCGTCTCCGCCGCCGAGGCCCTCCTCCCGGACCCGGCCAGCTCTTCCACCGCCGACACGAACAAAACAACAGGCCTGGGACTCCGCCTCGTCCTCCCCCTCGTCAACTACTGGGACGACTACGGCGGCATAAAAGCCTACAACAAGGCCGGCCTGGCCGCCGACGCCGCCGCCTGGTACACCGACGCCGCCGCGCAGCGCGCCTACCGCGCGTACGTCAGGGCCGTCGTGTCGCGGTACCGGTCCAGCCCGGCCGTCTTCGCCTGGGAGCTCGCCAACGAGGCGCGGTGCGAGGGCGGCGCGTGCGGCGCGTCGACGGACATCATCGCCGGTTGGGTCGCCGCGACGGCGGCGTACATCAAGGCCCTCGACCCGGCGCACATGGTCACCACGGGCGAGGAGGGCTTCTTCGAGCGCGCCGACGGCCTCGGCGGCGGGCAGAGCATCTACGGCGGCGTCGCGGGCACGAGCTTCCGCCGCAACGTCCGGGACGCCAACATCGACTACGGCACGTTCCATCTGTACCCCAGCTGGTGGGGGTACCCGTACACCTGGGGCGCGCAATGGATCCGGGAGCACGACGCCATTGGGGACGAGGTAGAGTAGCCTAGCCCAGCTCCCCCTTTCTTTGGCATATTATCAAGATATCAAGTGTGACGGCAATAGTGCTGATGTAGTTGACAACGCAGGTCGGCAAGCCCATCGTCCTCGAGGAATACGGCACGCCGTTCCCGCACAACCACACGGCGACGCTGAAGCCGTGGCTCGATGCCATCGAGGCCAACTCGACGCTGGCGGCCGACCAGCTCTGGCAGTTCAGCCCCCGAGATACCAGCGTGCCGCCAACGAGCTTTGCCGACGAGTTTGCTGTGTCGATTCTCGACGATGAGTATGAGGTGCTGTGCCGACAGCACGCGGCGAATATGCTGAACAAGAAGCTCAAAACCTGAGGACTGGCCATGCTGGGATGCTAAGCTGTCCGGTTGAACTCATCAGCGATTTACGAAGAAAAAAGAGGCAGCAACCATGTGAGAATAGTGACAGCGATCATTTTCAGTATTTACAAAACAAGGCCTTTCCTCAGGTTTCAAGACCGCAACTTGAGGTACCTGAGCAGGCTTTCTCCAGCATCAAGTTCAGCCAACGTAAAGTCCGATGATCACGAATGCACAAATAGAAGCGTGCCAAAATCCCTCCGATCTCCATTCGGCCAAAGAACTCCTAGCTAAAGACCAAGTGCACCAATCCCCAATCCCCAAGTCCCTACCGGCTCGGCTAGGGGAGAATCTCCATGCCATGCGCACATGATATGCTCTAAAATATACATACAAGGAGGCGTATGATCATCACCGCCAACACTTTGTGGAAAGCTGCGCAAGAGATATGCTTGATTTTCCCGTACTCCCCATTTATCGCTGAGTTTCTTTCATTCGACTCCCTTGTCTCATTTTATGGGACGTTTCCATTGAGCAAGGCCAAGTACATCAAGCCTTCAGCTTCCACAACTTTGGGCCCTTGCCCACGCGCTCTGCCAGCGATTCCACCGAGTTCTTGATCTGTATCTTTGTGCACTTGGGGAATTCAGTGCTGAGGATTTCCACGAGGCCGACCTTGCTAAGCTTCTCGTATTTGAGAATCGTCTCCTTGAAATCCTGGACCATTTCAGGTGGAATCTGTGCCGTCTTGGGATCCGGCTTGGACGATCCCGATGTGAGAGCAGCAAAGGCATCGGTTCGATTCGGCGGTGGAGCCATGGGCTTCGAGGTGTCCGTTGATATAGTATGATTTGCCTGGTCGTTAGCCGTGGCTTTCGACTTTGGCACCTCCGGTTCCCAGTACTTGGTAGAGAACGGGTCAATTCCAGAATGATGTTGTAGAGTATCTGCTCAAGTATTAATATTTCAAGTTGGTACCGAAAAAAAAAAAGACGGGAACACTTACCCAGTATGAATTCGGTGCGGAACTTGTACATGTGTGGCAGAGGACCAAGCCGCTTCTGGTTCTCCCAGCACAAGCCCGTACTCTCAGGTTCCATGCCTGACATGAAGGCGTGCCGCAGAGGGCCCTGATCGTTCTCGTCGTCCAGGAAGTCGCCCATCTCTTCATCATCATCGAGATCTTCATCGTCGTCATCGAGCAGATCGACATCTTCTCCATCACCGTCGTCGACCCATTCCGCTTCGGAGTCATATTCGTAGTTGAGCGGCAGGACTTGCTTAGACATCGGATTCCTTGCCAGCTTGTTAAGACTGGCATGGGGAGGGACACTGGTGACTGTGCCACAATAAGGCGGTCGGACGTCCTCCCTGAAGCTGAGAAACTTCATAGGCACCCTCTTGAGCAACTCGCGCGCCATCTTGATCTGCGCGTTATGAGACTCGGTTGTCAGATCCACTGGCATCATTGAAGAAGTTCCCATGTCGGACATGGCGGCAACGATCTTGCGAACCGACGGATATTGTCTGCCTCGGCGGGGTGGGAGGGAAGGAAGGTGGAAGTAGTCGACGGTGGAGCTAGAGGTGAATTTGGTGGTAGTGAATAGGCCTCGCTTTTCGCTAATGTGCTCGTCAAGAATTCGTGACTTAGCCTCCTTCGTCTCATCATCCATGACAAACCCGCCCCGGCCTAGGCTGACCTGGTCTTTGACGAAAAAGGGCTGAAACAATTTTTCGTACTCGGAAACCTCGTCAGCCTTTGCTTTTTGCGGTGTCTTGACTGGACTGCCGTTCTGAAGGGTCTCGTTGGCCTTTTTGGCTGGTGTCGAAGGACCAGTCTTGAAAAACGAGTTAAGCCTCATCTGACTGCGTTCCTTCTTGTCCTTGGCCTCCTGGATCTTCCTCTCCTCTTCTTCCTTTTCACGCCGTTTCCGCTCCTTCTCTTCGTTCTTCTTGCGATCTTCCTCCTCTTTTTCCTTGCGCTTCTTCTCCCGCTCCTCCGCACGCGCCTTCTTCTCCGCCTCTATTCGTGCCTTCTCTGCATCTCGTGCAGCTTTGGCCTGGTCCCGCTCTTGCTTCTTCGCTGCATCGGCCTTGGCCTTTTCGTCCTTCTCAGCCTGCGTGAGCTTCTTCCTCTTGGCCGGAGGTTGGCCGGACGCGGCATCGGGCTGTGACGAATTGGCTGCTGGGATGGATATCTGCAATTGGGAAGGCGTTAGGTGTTGCTGTTGAGGCTGAGCCGGGGTTCCCGTTGAGGCTTGAGGTCGCGTGGGTGTGAGATTTGGTGAGGGTGAGTTTCTCGCCGGAGTGCTGCTGCCCGCATCGGTCATGGAGCCAGGGCTGCTCTGTGCTGGCGGTGATTGAGGAGGTACGATGACGGGGAGGTGTGGCATCGGATGTTCTGTAGCGAGGAAAAGATTAGAGGGGCTGGATGCATCGTCGACAGCTTGCTTTGGTCTGGGAAGTACTTACGGAGCGGGACGTTTTCAATGTCTGACAGCGGTCGCTTGGCACCGATATCCATCATGGTGGGAAGATCTTCGTCCGCAAACTCCTGATGACTCCTCTTCCTTGCCGGCGACTCTGACTCTTGTATGTTTGGCGATACACTGAGGAGAGGCATCGAAGAGGCGGGAGAGCCACGTAGCTCTCTGCTGGGAGGAAGGCAAGGAAGGAAAGAGTCGATTGGTCGTCGTGAAGCAATCAAGGTGCAAGCCGCAAACCAAGGGACGGTCAATGAATCATCAATTCAGGGCTTTGCAAGCAGGCTCGCCAACAAATGCTCCCATCTAGAGGAGTAACTCTCGTGAATTGCAGCAACAATAAAAGTCTCGATGCTCTAGCCTGCATTCAATGAAGAAAGTCAGGCAGCCGTTGTCGCCAAAAAGATGGGGTAGGATTGGTGGTGGTGACTGACCCCTGCCGAGAATGGCTGAATTGGCGGGACGAGACGCGCGAGGAAGTCGCGTTCGTTTGGCGTCTTGCCCGGGCAAAGCTCGCGTAGGGTGGTAAAGGGGGAAAGACCCTGCTTTCCTAATGTGGCGTTTGAGGCTGGAGTTGAAGTCACGTGTGCTGAGGCATCCGTAGACCCACATCTCAGCTTATTTGGTGAAGGCATTTCCATTTTGGGATTGTCCACACGCACTAGGCGAGCAGTTACGTACCCTGGCCCCTCTCTTCCTCCATCGTCCATGCCAACTCCACATGGTCCGTTCTCCCTCCCCCACCCCTTCCTGGTCAGATTTTACATCATGGACATTGTGACGAAGGCGGGATCAACACATCTTATAATAACCAGAAAACGACTTTAAATTACGCTCTTTTTTGCGGTTGTTTTGCTAGCGCATCGCCATCTAAATTTGCTGGTGCAGGGGCCATTTCCTTAACAGCCTGTTTAGAATCCTCTCGCTAAGCACCAAAAGAACCCTGTACACTAACATTGCAAGGTACATGGCTGTTAGTACACAACCCAGTATGCCGAGAAGGCTCTGAGCGCAGCGAAGGGCCTCCGAGGCGGAGACCCTGGAGCCCGAGAGGAACGAGGGCGGAACGGGTCCCATTTTACGAATGCGAGCCTTGCGAGCAGTGAGGGCTACTACAACCCCATTCCCTAAAGCCTGCGTTGCAGGCAGTCCCCTAGTCCTTAATACTCGGTATTAAGCATCTGCCAGCAACGGCCCGTTGACCAAAAGCGGCAGACACTTCCTTGATCTTGTACTACAGACACTATATTGTCCCGAGTCCTTGTTTTTGGTGACTGGATTTGGCAAAAGCGCAGCAATGACGCACCTAGTACGCGATGATGAGATGATCATCAGGGACCGAAGCTGGACCGACACTGCTGCCCCTCGGGCAAACAGGCGACGGTGAGCTGTTGGAAGAAATTATTGCCGTCGTGTGTGCTGCATGAAGAACTGCAACATCACGGGCAACAAGTCATTATTTGGGCTGCCCTATGTGGTGGTGAGAGAGTTTTTTTGGAAGTTCAAATTCACATTCGCTGTGTTGGTATCTCTGAAGCCAAGTAGCGGCTTTTTCCTACTCTTCCGCAGCGCAGAATACAAGGCTGCTGTTCCCCTCCAGCTGAAAGACATCAAATCACCCCATCATGACCACCCCTCCCAGTCATGCTGACAGCCATGCTCGTATTCCCGCCGTATGATATTAGTCGGCCATGCGTCCACAGGGAGGCCGCCGCGCTGATGATAGAAAAAGAAAGAGGCAACAAAAAGACACATGTGGAGCGAGAGTATTCAATCCATCATCCCATTGCTGGGACTGTCCGTGGAGACCGCGCCTTGAACGACCGTAATTAGGTAGTGGTATATCCCTCCTGCCTCAATCCAAAACCCAAGTTGGACAAATTTCCCTCTTGACGCCAGACAATGCAAAATAGTTGTGTAAAAAGAAGCTTCGTAGGAGCGATCGTGGTAAGAGTGGTGGTGTATGGAACAAGAGTATGCCGGTGGAGAAATGCATAGAAAAGGTTCATTGCATCGCAGTGCGATTGATGTTGGTAAAAAAGGTGTTTTCGCTCATCGCCGGACTATGCGTGGGAAGAAACGAGGTAGGTGCGTAGTTGTTGTATGTGAGGGATTTAATCGGGATTGGCAATGTACAGTCTGCCAGCCGTCAGAGTCATCGTGCGCTCGTCAACGCTGCCACGTCTCCGTAGCTCGTCAGCGCTCTTGACACTCTTTTCTCTCGTAACGGTGGCATGCTTGGCGCTGTTGGCAGGCAGGCGAGAGGCACCGCCCAGATCGGGGACGGCGTCCGCCCTCTCGGCGCTGCTGCCACTGGCAGTGCTGCGCGCCCTGCCGCTGGCAGCGTCGTCGACCAGCGTCTGCTCCTCGACCAAGCTGCCCGTCCGCTCGGGAGTGTCGCCGGGGCTCCATCTCCTGCCGCCGCTCTGCGAGCTCGAGGCGACGAGGCCGCCCGACGTCCTGTACGCCAGAGCGCGGCGGCCGCTGGCCGTGCTGCTGCGCCCGCTGCTCCCCGTCCTACGGTGGTGCAAGCGTTGCATAGTCAGGTCGTCGTCGTCGCTGTCCTCGCCCTCGACCTCAGTGGCGCTGAGCCGTAGGGGGACGCCGCCGACGCCGATGTAGTTGCTTCCCGCCGAATAGCCTACCACGCCGGGCTTGCCGTGATGTCTAATCTTTGCCGCGACCTTGCCGCCGGCGCTGCTAAGGCCGGTGCTGGTACGCCCAGCGGCGGCTCCCGTGAATCCGGCGCCTGAGCCGACCACTTCTTGGGTGGCCCTCATCTTCGCTGCCCGCTGCTGGGCCAGCAGCCTAGGGTCTTCATACTGAGCACGGTCGCACCAAACGGTCGCCTTTTGCTTCCGCAGAAGGGCGACATAGGAGGTGGGCGAGACGGAAGCGGCACCGCCGGAGCGGGAGGATGTTGATCTCCTTATCTCACCGGTCGGGCTTGTGCGGTAGGCCGCGGGAGGGACCATGCCTGAGCTGGAGACGGTGCTGAAGGTGTTCACCGAGGGCGAGCGCCGGTTGTGGCTCGCGGTTGGCTGAGCCAGGTGCATGTTGACGGGTGTCGGCGACTGGATCTGCGCCGGGAATACGTTGGACGAGGTTGTTCTGGTGCGAGAGTGTGAATAGACGTTGGGATCGATCTGCTGAGGGTGCCTTCGGGGCAATTGGGAATCGAGCATCGTCGACGCACGGCCGACCTCGATCTGGAATTTCGCCGCGGCTGCTGCTGCTGCTGCTGCGGCTGCTGCTGGTCTTTGTTTGAGGAGGCACCTGTGCTGGACTGGCCTCCTTTGGGATGTTTGGAGAGATGCAGAGGAAAAGCGAGAGCGGGACTGTCAACGATAGATAAAGAGGACCGGCTGGGTCGGGCTAGCGTGGTGAGAAGTGCGCCAAGGTTGCCAGGCTCAGCTTGTGTGGTGGTCAGAGGAGTGGAGTCGGCTACCTCGCGCTACGGAAGGTACGTCTAGCGGCTGCTGCTGGCCCTGACATTCGGCGCAACTGAAAGGGTTTGGAGGGGATTGACGGTGCGGGCGAGCGATGGCACGAGCGAAATAGCGTGCGACCTTTTCGTATTGCGCAGGTATGGGGAAGCTTTGTTGTTAGGGGAATGTGTGGGTTCTACACAGCCTCTTGTTCTCTCTTGTGAGGAGCGGAGCGGAAGCGCCGATGAGCTCGAGACGAGGGTCCTGTCAACCGTGCTGTAACAATGCGCAACTGGAGTCAGCAACCCCCCGAATTTCTGATTGACGATTTTCTGAGAAAAAGATCAGGCAAGCAAGTAGGAGGAGAAGAAGAAGTCAACGAGGAGCGAGGAGGGGTAGACTTTAAGGTGTGAGGGACTCGAAGAAAAAGCAGGGACTGAGACACGAGAGTGAAGGCTGGCTGACTGTTGTATGTAAAGTAAGTACATTTACTTGGAAAGTATGCGCTGATGTATGTCGGCGCACTGAGAGTAGACCAAGTCTGGTCTCCAACGTTGCATAGGGCCCTGTTCCCTGGCCTGATGATGTTATGCCTGATATGTGCGCTTTTATTGCCCGCTACGAGCCAGCATCCATGGATGTTACAGGTCAAAACTGGTGGTACTTTGGCGGCGGGAGCGGGCCAGCCTAACGAACAGGACAGGGGGACTGAGATCCGGTGGTGTCCAGCAGAGCTGCTTGGTGGATTCGCTCGACTGGCCTGCCTGGTTGTGTCTCTCGCAGCATCTGGCGCTCACTAAACGACATCACAATCCACTTCACCGTTTTCTCAGAGCAGGGTTGGGAGCAATAGTACTCCGTACCATAGCTACCTCTCTGCTCAAAAGTTCTTTTGTCGGTCATGCTCCCAATGGGAAGTCTGATGCGGTCCGATGGCTGAATTTTAGCTTCTCTTCCTTGTCGCTGCTGGGGAAGTAAGGTTTTCTCTTCTTCTTGCAGGTTGGCTGGCGGGCCCGAGGCCTTTGCCGCTAATGACCTCTAGCACCAGCCTTGACTCTCGGGTGTGATACTGCCGTGGGAAAAGCATCGATTGATCCTTTGTTAGCGCGGGGGTCCCTCGTCGGAAGCGGCAAAACCAGGCCTGAGGGATCCCAAAGAGGGAGCTGACGGGCAGAAAGAATCAGGGAAACCACCGAAGCAGTGCCAACGTACCTGGCCGTTAGCGCCAAAAACCCTGCCCGAGCTTGATGTAATGGTGATTCGGCCTAGCTCGCTGATCCAGCGCATTCACTACTGAGAGACCGACCTTTGCCTGCTATGCCAATTGACTACCGGAATGATCGAGATTTCGGTTTTCAGCACAGCAGATCCTCGCTTGAAGATCACCGCGGGGAGCGAATACGGTCACGGGAGAAGGTCACCTCGTAGATAGGGCTGGTTTCTTAGAGCATTGCCCGGCAAATGCGCCACTTGTAACGTTGTTAAAGCTGTCTTAGACCTGGTTGGGGAATTGACTTTCAACTGGTGATGCTTTGACCTACTTTACTAACTTCAGTAGCTGCCACCAGGACAATGCATTGAATGATTGACAGCCAACGACGCCGAGCCGGACGATGGCCTGGGGAAAGGGACCCAAATCTCGCCAATGCAATGCATGACTACTGGCTTATTAGCTGCTTGCTCCGTCCATGTCGACATCTGTCTGCTACGCTGACAGCCTACCTGCTTCTACTTCTTACACACCGCCAGGTTAGCAGCAGGAAGAGTGCGTCTGCGATAAGCAATCCGGCGGGCTGGGATGTCTGCCTTAGCTTACTCCGTAAGTACCTGCCGGCCTGAGCGAACAGTCTCAGGACAAGCTGAAACGCGGTCGTAGCACAAGCAATTTACCACGGGGCGAGCTCTCGGAGGGTGGTCGAGCGCGACGGAAGATAGGCGTGCTCGCCTGCCAAAATGATTTCCTCCGTGCACTCCAAAGAGACAAGGGTACAATCTATCGCCGACAATCATTCTGGTCTCCCTGGCTGGCAACATCAGGGAAACGGAGTCCCCCTCAGCCCAAAGGAGACACGACTGATGCACAACACTCTACTTGACTCCATCCTAGCGGAAGCTCCTTTACAGAAGCCAGCACATGGTGACACCAAAAGGACATGTCCAAGCAGACGCCAACACGTAGCTCTCAATAGGACCACGATAGCTGAGATGCTAGCCAAAGCTTCGCAGTGACGACTCTGGCGGGTGTGGGATTGCTCAAGAACATCAACACCAGTACAAGCAGCTACTCCGTAAGGTAGTTACGGAGTGATTGGACAGAGTTCACGGTCGTCGCACACACACCCAGCCAGAAGCGCTCGACAGGGGATGCCAATTGGCCCGCTTGATGGCGGGAACCTTGACGAGCCTGCATGTACGTATGCACGCTGGCGCATCCGGGGCTGAAAAGAGGGGCGTCGCCATGCCTGATGTGATGAGCTGCTTCGCTAGGCCAGCAAGCTTGTGCAGAACAAGCGTCGGGTATTGGGCTTTTCGGTCTTCTCTTGGAGCCGTTGTCAACAAAACAATCCATGTCAGCATCACCTCGTGGTGCTCGTCCAGCAGGCTCCTTTGTGACAAGTGAAGCGAGACCCGCAAGGATGCAGCTTCTGCTGCTGTCAACAGACGTTTCTCCTCCTGCGCCTCTAGGATGCGCCGGAAACACTTCCCAACCCAACACGCTGACTAGGTACAATATCATGAACTTGCACACAAAGTGGTCTTATCTTGAGGTTATGGACCCCTGCTACGGTATTTTGCGTGATACCATGCCATTAGGGTGGCAGGCATGGGCAAATCCGGGATGGCTTTCTCTTTACCCCACACCAAATTGGCTTTTTGTCACACTGTTGCTCTGCTCTGCTCTGTGAGCCACATGAGCCCTTATGTCTGATGTGTCGGAGTGTCCTCCTGGATGTGGAAAAGCAACTGATTTGACATGTTGCTTGGCAGAGTAAGTTAAGGTACCTAGGACCGTGCCGATTTCCGTGCGCCGACAGCCAATTCGCCTAATCCTTGAGGTGATCTAAGAATTGGCAGATTTGTGAGCAGCACAGACGTCATCTTCTGACCTCCAACGATATGACTGTCACTGCCAACGGCACGTGGACAGGGGGAAAACAAGGGCTTCGGTGCGTGCTGGGAGAATTACCGCATTCTGGCTGATAAGCAAGCCACGACACCGAACAACACAGACAATGGCACTGATCTGCCCAAGTTCGGGGAGGTTTCCCCGCGACCAGGGCCGAGGACTAGTTGATCGACCACCGTCGTCTAGACTCCCCAATCCGCAGAGGAAGAAACACAAGCGTGCGAGCCATTGACAAGCCCTGCTCAACAAAGGTGAAGCTATCGTGAGCTCGCTCCTTGGTGTCGACTGTTCCAGGCTAGAGCACAAAAACACCACACAGGTTGCAGGGCTAGCCTGAGAATAGAATGCGCCGGGCTGGACTCTATCTTCAGCGCTTGTCCTCATCGAGGCTTCCCCCACCGAATAAGCGTTATCTCTGCCCAGAGCCAACATTTTTCTTGGTTTTTTGACAGACTGAATTTGGTCCTGGAAATGGGTCCCTTGCGCAAGCACAGAGATCTTGACGTACCTACGTCCATATGGAACAGTACCAAACTCCCTTTTTTTCTCCTTCCCGTTTTGAGTAACGTGCTCGCCTCCCGGCGGGTCCCCACTGTCCACAAGATGGAAAATTCGCCGATGACGCCCATGGACGACGATCTTCGCGACGTGCCGTCCTAAACAGGCGCCGTGCCCGCCCTGACAGGTTTGGCGGTTCGCCATGCAGAATATCCTTGGAACGGACAACGTGCGGCGAGCTTGGCATCGGTCCAAGATCTTTCCTTTGCGATTCTACGGCACGCAGAATACTACCGGATCAGTGTCGAAGCCATGGCTAGCGAGTCGCCCGCGGCGCAGAGACCAGACCGACCACGCAGGCTAAAAGCTTGTTGCGTTCCATCGATACCGATTTGAGGTTTGGAGTGCTGATTCATCCCAACATGCCGCTTGCAGCAAGCCCATTCGTCCCCTCTAGTACCTAGATCCGGTCCCATCACATCTCCTCCGGAGTAGCCCGGAGTTGAGGCTCAGGTATGAACATCCGCATGCCCACAGAACATTCCTGGCTCTTCTCTCGCTCTAGTCGTCGATGCTGCAGCTCGGGAACCACCGAAACTAAACGGCCAACCGAGCGGGAGATCTGCTCCTAGGGCGCGCACACACATTCTTCCAGTGCTTAGCCGCATAGCAAACCGCGTTTGCCCTGGAGAAGCAAGACAAGGTTCAACACCTAGGGAATGCACAGCCATGAGTGTAATGTTACGTGCATGTGCTGGAAAACGATGCTCTGGCATGTAGACTTTGGTCCCGTTTGTCGACGGATTCATTCGCTGGGGAACGCGTGGCAAACCCGACGGCTTGGTTGACATGAAGCAAGCGAGCGTATGCAATCTCATCTATGCTGCATCGGGTACGCCGTCCACGGACGTGCATTGCTGGAGTTGGTTTTGCTTTGCTCGCCTTATCAGACTCCGCTCCTGCTCCTGGTGGACTCCGCCGCAACAGCCTTGTTCGTTTGCAGCAGGCGGGATGAACGGAATGCCTGCACGGCTGAGTTAGCCATGTGAGGTTAAGAGACCTTGAGACCAAGCATTCGAGGAGCCGTGCAGAATCACTGACAGGGCAGGCGCGAGTTCTCTCCGCCTGTCCCACTGGGAATCCACCCGTCGCGGGAGCTGTTCTACATTCTAGACCACATCTCTCTTGCATTAGGCCATCATATCCCCAGTCTGCGAAGTTGGTAGTCCACTGCGATGCACGGTCAAGATCCACCGAGAAGTGCGGCGATCGTACGATTTTGTGGGTGCCATTATGTCATTGCTGGCTTGGTGCTGGATCCGAAGCCTCGCTGAGCAACATATGCTCCAAGAATCCCAAGCAATCCGAGAGAGAGAAGAAAAAACAATTCGTCGAATAGTTTGAATAATCCTGGTGTGGTGGTTGGGCAATTGGCCTTCTCCTTCCGACGATCTGCATTGCCTACTCCGTGCCACTTACAGCCTACAGGCTACTGGTGCCGTAAAGGATGGGGCGGCACTTGCTTGAGCTTGAGCCTTGTCCGCGTGGTGGCTCTGGCGCTCTTGGTTGGTCGAAAGTCGCTGTCAATTGTGATTTTTTTCTATTCTACGCGGGGCTGTTTGCTCAGAGGGCCCGCTTGTCGCGTCTAAACTGGCAGGCACGGTTGACTACCGACACCGCCCAAGCTAGGCTCTTTAGAAGCATCGCCAAAACTTCCATGCAAATACCATTGTTTTGTTGACTTTGAGCTGCATCAGCCGAACCTCTTTGTGCGCCATTCGTTTGAAACACCAAGCCTACCGCCATTTTGGCCCAGCGGTACAGAGCCAGGCTCTAGTTACCATCCATTCTGCCGCTCACGCCTAAAGGAACCCAACCCGAGGCCCATCCATGGCATTGTATCCTCGACCCAGTCGTTAACGTTGGGTGCTTGACGTCATGAAGTTCGCGAAGGAGCTTGACCAGGAGCTGGTTCCCGGTACGTCTTGCTACATGAGGCGGCTCGGGCTGGCAACCAATTGCTGTCACCTGAGGCAAACCCCCGTCGTTTGTGTGTTTCGGTGCCGCACTTCCATGCTAACCAAACCTCTCGCATCTCAGAGTGGAGAATCAAGTACCTCAACTACAAGGCCGGCAAGAAGTACATCAAAGCCGTCAGCCGGGCCATCAATCGCGCGCATGGCACACCGAGCGTCCGTAGATCGGGCGACCTCCCTCCCCATGCGACTCCCTCCTTCTACAATGCCTCTTCCACGCCTCGGCGGACTACGGCAGCGTCCGCGGATGACGGCGAGCCCTTACGAGACAGCCCTGCGCCCTTCGGCAGCCGACCCGTGCCCAGGCCCCAGCCCACGTCTAAGAGTGTGCCGATAGCTAGGAACGAGAGGCAGGCTTTGACAGACGCTGCGGACGATGATTATCACTATGGCAGCTTTGTACCGACGCCGCTGGCGCAGTCCCCTCCTCCCGAGCTGGACCGGAGTAACACCTTCGAGCTGCCAGCTCCGGCGATGCACGTCCCATCCGAGGGTATGGCTGGTGGTTCCAAGTCCGCAATGACGCTGCGCAAGTCGCTTAGTAGACTAGCTCTGAAGCGCAGCGTGTCCATGGCCGCCGACCTCCCAACCACGGACGGCCCCGCGAGCAGACGCACACCCTCGGTGGCAACGGTGGCTGATGATGGAACCCCGCGTCAGCGGTTAAAGAGGCTGTTTTCTACGAGCTCGCCGCTCGGGAGGAGGAACTCTCGCGAGTACAGCATGTCCAACCTGGATGACGTCCGCGAGCGCGAGCGGGAGTTCTTCCGGTTCCTGGACAGCGAGCTGGACAAGGTGGAGACATTCTACAAGCAAAAGGAAGACCAGGCGGCAGAGCGCTTGAAGCTGCTGCGCGAGCAGCTGCACGAGATGCGCAACCGCCGGATAGACGAGATCCGCAAGGCTAAGGAGCGAAGGGAGACGGCTCACTCCAACGGCGGCAGCTCGGGAGACAACAACTCCAGTAATGGAAAGAATCTGCCGTGGGTTGATCCTCTGAAGAACAGATTGTTCAAGCCCGGCCCCAACTCGAAAGCGCTGCAAAAGATGCCTCAGACTCCTGTCATGATGTCTGGTGCCGCTGGCGGTCGCGAAGAACGGCGGGACTACACCCGCCGCCCCCCTGAAGACGATGTGCCCTACCGCACAGCCAAGAGGAAGCTCAAGCTGGCGCTCCAAGAGTTCTACCGTGGGCTCGAGCTTCTCAAGGCGTACGCTTTGCTGAACCGTAAGGCCTTCCGCAAGCTCAACAAGAAGTACGACAAGGCCGTTAACGCCCGCCCGCCGTACCGCTTTATGAACGAGAAGGTGAATAAGAGCTGGTTCGTCAATAGTGATGTCTTGGACGGCTACATCACCGCCGTGGAGGACCTGTACGCGCGGTACTTTGAGCGCGGCAACCACAAGATCGCTGCGGGCAAGCTGCGCAGTCTGAGCCGGCGGCCCGGCGACGAGTCGGCGAGCTCCTTCCGCAACGGCCTGCTGATAGGCATCGGCAGCGTCTTTGCCATTCAGGGTTGCGTCGAGGGCGCGCAGCTGCTCTTCCACACGGATCCCGTCTTGAGGGAGCAGAGCAGCTACCTGATGCAGATCTACGGCGGCTACTTTCTCATGCTCTACCTCTTCATCCTGTTCTGCCTCGACTGCCGCCTCTGGACGATGAACAAGATCAACTACCCCTTCATCTTTGAGTTCGACCCCCGGTCTCAGTTGGACTGGAGGCAGCTCGCCGAGTTCCCCAGCTTCTTCGTGCTGCTGTTCGGCCTCTTCATCTGGCTCAACTTTTCGCGCCTGGGCTCGCCCGACATGTTTCTCTATTACCCCGTCCTGCTGATATTCATCAGCTTTGTCATACTGTTCTTGCCCGCTCCGGTGCTTTGGCATCGGAGTCGGAGGTGGTTCTTGTATTCTCATGTATGTCCATGTCTCTGCTGTAATGGATTCAGATTGTGCTAATCAAATCAATAGTGGCGGTTGTTCTTCGCTGGGCTCTACCCTGTTGAGTTCAGGGATTTCTTCCTAGGCGATATTTACTGCTCGCTGACGTATGCGACTTGCGTGAGTAGCCCCAATCTTTCCCTCTCGCTGATATTCAGGAGGAGGACTAACTGTTACCAGAACATCGAGCTGTTTTTTTGCCTCTATGCCCATTACTGGCAGAACCCAGTACAATGTAACTCGAACCACTCTCGCCTGCTCGGCTTCTTCGCTGCTTTGCCCCCTATCTGGCGTGCTTTGCAGTGTATCCGCCGTTACCACGACACGAAGAACATCTTCCCCCACCTCGTCAACTGCGGCAAGTACACCATGACCATCACGGCCGCCGTCTGCCTCAGCCTGTACCGCATCGATAACAATAACACCAACCGGATTCTCTTCATCTTCTTCTCCACCATCAACGGCATCTACGTCTCCGTCTGGGATCTGTTCATGGATTTCTCGCTACTCCAGAGCGGCTCGCGGCACTTTTTGCTGCGCGACATCCTGGCCCTCAAGACGCGCTGGTACTACTACGCGGCCATGGCCATCGACCCGGTCCTGCGCTTCTCGTGGATCTTTTACGCCATCTTCACGCACGACACGCAGCATAGCACGGTCGTGTCCTTCATGGTGGCGTTCGCCGAGGTCACGCGCCGCGGCATGTGGACGCTCTTCCGCGTCGAGAACGAGCACTGCGCCAACGTGGCGCAGTACAAGGCCTCGCGGGACGTGCCGCTGCCTTACCAGCTCGAGATGTTCACGGCGGCGCGCGGGAGTGCCGAGCTGGCGGGTGGCGGTCGGGCCAGCGGTGGCGATGGCGGTGCGGCGGAGGAGCAGTCTGCGGCGCCGCCTTCGACGGCGGGTCGGTCCACGGGCGTCGACGTCGGCGGCGCTACGCCGGAGAGGGCGGCGACGGCGATGCAGCCGACGCCGCGGCCCGAGGAGGACGGCGGGGGCACTGTCCGCCGGCGCGCTAGGACCGAGACGTGGGGCAAGAAGTCTATCGGGGCCATCATGGCCGAGGCGCACAGGCAGGACTTTGAGAAGAGGCGCAAGCCTGCTGGGGAGGGGTCGCCGAGGAGCGCTATGGGCCGGGGAGGGGCTCTGGGGGCTGATGAGGATGATGATGATGATGACGATGACGAGGCGGGGATGACCGATGAGGATGAGCAGGCGGAGAGGGAGATGTTGTTGGAGGAGACGCTTGGTGGGTTTTCGGGGGATGAGGACAGGGACCCTGATCGGGATCGGGATCGGGGGAGGAAGGATGCGGAGTGATTGTCGAGAGGGTGGGTATGGGGCTCTGTCAGGGAGAGGCAGAGTGAGAGGGAGTGTTAATGTGTTTGTAGACTGGTTGCATTGGTACAAGCAAATAACATGATTAGACAGGATGGGACGGCTACACCAGCGGATTATTAAGTAATACATAATTGAGATTACAGCGGCGTGTATTGGAACTCTATTGCTCGAAGACTGGTCTAGAGAGCAGAAGCTACAGTCTGCTATGAGTGGGCGCTTCATTGCATTGATGAGGAAACACGCTGGTTGGCCATCCATTTGATGATCTGTATCGAGAACAATACTTCAGAGACATGGATAACCCATCTCTGCGTCCCCAACCAACGTATGATAACACTTGAGCCTTGCCTTAGCCGTCATACTATCTCCCTCTACATGTTTGACGATAGCTTCGACTTTATCTCCACTTAAACAGACTTGCGTTTTATCCTTTAACGCTCTTAATGCGAACGCATGCGAAAACCCCTTATGGCTCTTGCTGCGCTCCCAAGAAGACCAAATAGGTGTTGGCAAGCGCGTCTACGATGCTTATCACGAGGCAGGTGCCAAGAGATCCGCGCCCCGAGTCGAGAGCACCCCTAACTGAGAGGAGCTTACATGGGAAAACGCATTGCGTTGCCCCGCAGGCTTCGTTTCAGGGCATCTTGATACCGTAGCACTGGGCAACTTGTTCTAGTCAATGATCCCGGTTGGTGTAGTCTTCTTGAAGGTTTGAATCGAATTATCGTGAAACCAGTTGGCGGCAAAGACGTCGATGTCTGGTACCGCGATGGCCGCCCGCCCCGTGCTGCCACGATACGCGTTGGACTCCATTCTGGAAGCTTGAACCATCGTGAGGATCGTTTCACGATCATCAATACCAATCCTTCTATACTCAGCAATAGCCGAACTGCCCAAAATGGAAATGCCTCACGGGCATATGTATAAATAACCCATAATCAGGTTTGTTGACTATGAAGTTTGTCCTTCTCGACAATTCTGAATCATCGTGAAATCACTCATCAGCCTAGACCTTTTTCTTATTCATACTCTTTCTCAAGTTGACAACTCCGTTCTTCCACGATCTACAAGATGCGTTTCTCGACCTGTGTTCTGTCATACTCACTCCTTACTGCGGCGTGGGGTATTGCCCTTCCCGAGGCCCTTAAACGAGACGTAAGTGAAGCCTCTATAAGTCCATAAGGTATGAGTACTTACATCTATTTCAGGTAAGCCTCACCGTCCACACGGACAATGAGACAGCTCAGATTAGCGTCCCTACTACAAGCACTGTGGTGACTCCAAATGCCGTCAATGGCCCGTAAGTCGGACTGTCGTCGCCATGTCATGCTTTGTGTGCTTGGGCTCACATAGAACTATTTGGCAGAGCTATTGGCAATGGTGCCGATGTGGCTGGCGCTGTGGCAGACATCGTGGACAAAGTCGTCAACTTGATTCAGAAACTCGTGGATAACGACATCAAGGTAAGCAATGCACACTTCAAACTGGTGCAGTGCATCGCTGACTGCGTCTACAATTAGCGCCGCCAAACATTCACTCAGAACGTCGTGGCTCGGGCGCGGCAGGAAACGGGGCTCAACGTCATCATGTCCAATGTCGGATACACATTCGACGGCACGGTCGTGTCGAGGACGAGCACCAAGTACAAGGCGAAGGTCGGGTCTGATGTCAGGTATGCTGATCGCACCTTTTTACTGAATCCCAAGCCGTGGCGTTTTGACAATGTCATAGTTTCGACGTTATCACATTCGAATCTGGAACCTTTGATCTGAAGGGCGATGGTGGTTTTCAAAACGTAAGTCAGACCTTACCGCAAATGACAGAAGTCTCATTCTAAACTGTCAAACTATTAGTGGGCATTTATCGTGAGCACGACCTGCCAGGCCGATGCCAAAGCAAAGCATATTCGTTGCCCTTAGACTTGGCCGCAGTCTCTCGCATTTTGATGATGAGCGAAGACTAATGGCAGAACTGGATCGAATCTGGAAGGTTGAAAGGATTTAGGACTGAGATATCTGTAATTTTTACCGGGTCTTGATCGACGACATCTATGTCGAGGATTTGAACCAAGCATGTTGCAAAACGTCCTCCGCCTTCATACGCTTTGCCGGATCATACGTAAATATCCTAGACAATAGATCAATCAACAGCCGCGACTCGGATCCAGATAGCCGCGGAAATGCCTTCAGCATTTCTTCTGACTCTTCCGAATATGCGGTGAAGTAACCGCCACTGACACAAATTGCCGTCGGCCTCCAAGCCAATGAACCTATCGCTGCCGGAAATGGAATCCTGAGCTCTGGATCAAAGATAACGAAGCCAGGTTGATCATCCATGCTCGTATCCACAGGCTCAACAGCTTGACCCTGGTCATTTATGAAAAGGCTCGGTGGCTCATCGAGGATCGCTTCTATACGATCCTCTAGTCGCTCGGTCACGTCGAGGGTCCAGAATGCGTCTCCCTCCTGCCCGCCAGCAACTGCAAACCCATCTTCGTCGAACCTGGTTTGTTTCCAATCGTCAGGGAGTTCACCAAGAAATTTAGCAATCTGCCTGAGTGCGTCCTCCGGACAACATGTGTCGTAGTCAAAGAATAGGTCGTCTCCGGACCTGAGACGGAAGATGGCACAGCCCAGGGCCCAGATGTCAGAAGCAGGGCTCAGGACACGCCCAACTGCAACCTCCGGGGCTACATACTTGGCTGGGATACCAGGGCGTCCGGAGGGAGGGCTTCCGACTGCAAAAGACTGGTCAAAGTCGAAAATGCAAGTATCTCTGCTCAAAATGGGAGTGGTTGATGCCAAGAAGTCCAAGGCAACCACGATATAGTCGGGTCCGTGCGGTTTTGGTGACTTCCTAGAGTAGGTTATGAGAGGTGACGTTGCAGGATGTCCGAACAGGTCAATAAGATCAGCCTCATCATACAGATCGAATTGGTCAGTCAGACGCACGGCCATGTTGTGGACGGTAAGGTCTATAGGACAGCATCAGTATTGGTCTCGACTTTGCCCTTTTCAAGCCATTTGGATTATTCTGCTCACCTCCGTGACAAATACCACTTGCATGGAGTTGTGCTAGAGCCTGGGCGGCTTGTAGAGACACCTCCTTAGCAAAATCTGGCTTTATTCTCGAGTAAATGCCCTTGGAGAGCTTGGCAAGGTCAGGGCCGAGAACTGGACCAACAAGACAAAGGTGCTGACCATTTGGCCCATCGATCCAAAACCTTCTGTCGGGGACAGCAAAATGCGGGGATTGAATGACACTGGGATGGCTTGCGATCGTAGAACGGGCCTCGTATGTTTGCGACTGGCTTGCAACGATAATCTTCAATGCGGCCCATCTGTGCGAGATGGTGTCCCGAGCGAGCCAGACGGTCGAAAACCCTCCAAATCCAAGCTTGTGAACGACACGATATCGCCCATCATAGACATCTCCAATGTGTACCGGATGGAAGCCTCCCGGCTCATATTTCTCAAGATATTCGCTTTCACCCAGCTGGAATGGGAAATATTTCCAGGGGTTGGGATCTGAATCTGGATCGGTTTCGAAGCTTTGGTCCATAGCGTAGCACTGAATCGCGAAGTGAAGTTTGGGTCAAAAGTCGGATCTTTATGGGGGCCACGTTGATGTACAGACACATAAAACGACATGTCTGAGCAAAGGCGACGATCATATGCAGAACGATGCCTGGTTGGCCGGACATAAATTGCAGCCTACGTGGACCACGATAGCGTGTGCATGCGGTGTCAGCCTTCAACTCTGCCTTGGGCTGCCTAATGATGCGTTCCAAGGTGGCAGACCCCAGCCACACGTGATGCTGGTTTCCTCTTTCGCCAATCATGTCATAAATGTTACCCATGTCTCCTGCAGGCTCAGCCGCAACCCCTCACGAATTTCCTTCTACTTCATTTTGAAACCCCCTGAGACGGATCAAGGCATGGCAACAGATTCGACATAGACTGCGAGTGCACATCATGGAAGTGCTGGGAGCCGCGGCCTCGGTCGCCGGGCTCATCAGTCTGGCCATCGAGATCCCGAAGATCATCGACACCGCCATCTCGATGAAATCGGCGCCAGAGGAGGCGGGCCAGCTGTCGCGGACGGTGGACGCCCTGGTGACCGTGCTCCAGCGACTCGAAGAGTTTTTGAAATCTGACGCAGCGCAGGATCTGGAGATGGCAGGCGACTCCGGCTTGACGCTGACAATTTCAGCCTGCCAGGACCGGGTCGTGGATCTGTCGAAAAAGCTTCGGAAGCAGTCCCTCGCGGGGACAACGTCGTCAACGTGTCCTGCAACGAAGAGGGTGAAGACTGCGTTGTCCAAGTTCCAGTGGCCGCTGGACAAGAAGGAGTGTCTCGATCTCATCTCGCAACTACATATCATGCAAAGCACTTTTGAGTTTTGCTTGGTGATCAAGAACTGGTAAGCTCCCTTGCGTCTACACTAGGTGTAACATTTTTTGACGACTCTTGCATCAGCGAGCAAATGTCAAAATCACACAAGGAGGTGCTCGCGTATTTTAAATCTCAAAGGGACGCGCTCAATCAGTTGGCGCAACTCTTCCCTGACCAGGCTGCTCATGCGGAAAGTATGCTCGAAAGACTGAATGCCGTCCAGTCTTGCATGTCGCTGTCTGCAGAGAGACTTAGCCGCATTCAGGTGGGTTTGGATGAAATGCATGAGATGGAGACAGGTATGGGTTTCGAATTTAGCCACGCTGGACAAGTGACGGATCTAACCAGACATAGCCCAGTTATACGGCCAAGCTTTGGAGTGGTTATCTCCTATTGACCCTTCTGTGAAGCATCATGAGATTTTGGCTGATAAAATCTCCGGGACTTGCAAATGGATCGAGACAGACTCAAGATTCCAAAAGTGGGCAACTTCTACCAACGACGTTGTGTGCTGGGTCGGAGATCCTGGTCAAGGCAAGACATACACAATGTAAGAACCCGGCCAATACAGTCATCATGTAATTGGCTAATATGTCTCAAAAGGTCTCACGTGGTAGAGTACCTCAAGAACCTCGTGAAGTCCAAGCCAAAGACATATGTCACGTATCTTTATTGTGACTACAAGAGAACAGCCAATTTCTCAGCAACCGCACTCTTTGGGGCTCTAGTCAGGCAACTTCTCCCACAGTTGAACGCATTGCCTAGCGATGCAGCCAGGTTCATGCGCGAAGCAAAAGTCAGACTAGGAAGACCCACTGCCAGGCTAGACGAGATCCGTACAGTGCTCGAGTTTCTCAGATCCAGCGTGTCCAAACTATATGTCTGCATTGATGCTCTAGATGAGTGCAATGAAGATGAAGGGCTTGTTGATGCGTGCGGAAAGATTCCATTTCCGACCTCGTTCTGCTTCATTGGGAGATCTTCTATTGTCCACACTGTCAGAAGGACATTCCCGAAAGTAAGGGGCTACGCCATAAGAACCCAAACAGATGACATCCGTGCATTTGTGGCGAGTCGGGTAGAAGCAGATCGGGCCCACCAGCCGGACCTGATGCCCAAGTCCTTGGAGGATGAGATATTAAAAGAGATACCAAGTCTTGCCAATGGAATGTAAGTGGATTTGCAATTCGAATTCTGCAATGATTGACCTTCTGACATCACGACAGGTTCCTCTTGGTGTCTTTACATACATCACTCGTTCTCAGCCACAATACAATATACAGACGCCGGCAGGCCTTGCGCAACCAACCGAGCACGCTCGACGATGCTTTTGGACAGACATTTGCTCGTATCAAAGAACATGTTCATACCGAACAAGCGCTGAAAATCCTCGCTTGGATTCACTATAGTGGAACTCTATGGATGGAGGAGCTGCGCCATGTGCTAGCAATCGAGCCAGAGCACCGTCGGTTCGAAAACGACAACCTTGGTAGTTCCTCGACTATCTTGGACTGCTGCCTTGGGCTAGTGCGGCTCAATAGACGATTGATTCTGGGCAGAAACAACTACTCCAGAGTTGCATTGGCCCACGAAACCTTGAGCGTGTACCTCGATTCTCACCGGCATATACTGGCCAGCATTGTACCGGTCCTCGCACATACATGTCTGACATACTTCTCCTTTCAGATCTGCGACCGGCTGCCACTTATCTACCAAGTTGTGACGGAGGGTCTCTTCAGGTTTTTGCAAACATCAAAGCACATTTCGAGTGACTTAGAGGAAAAGGTTTGGAAATATTGTGTCAACTTGAACATCCAGTTGAACAGCTGTGCGCCCGGAGAGTACTTACTGGGAATTCCCGAGCATGTCTCAAAGTTTTTGCACTTCGTCCCCAACAGCTTGGGGGGCAAGAGAATCAAGGAGCCTGCAAGGCAATCTTTGATTCACACGGCGTGTATGCTGGGTATTGACACCTTGGATCCGATCCTGGACCGTCTTTCTCAAGCTGTATATACGGCTGCAGAACATCCTATTAACGAAATGGACTGTGCGGGAATCACCCCCTTGGGCTGGACTCTCATATCACGGAAGTACAAAACATACTACGCTCTGATGGGCATTGGACCATCTTTTGTGGACTGCTCGAGCCTTAGTCTTTGGCGCGCGGAGCGTTTGATAAGATCATTTCCTGCATTGGATTGTAGCCGCGCCTTGTGGAATGGGGCTGCTCTGGACATTATTCACGGCTGTACCCACGCCGAAGCTACTCGAGATATTTGTCGCTCACGTTTCCCTTTTCCGTGCTTCTTGTACAACTATCCATCATCGCCCCAGGAAGCACATGGATGCTTGTCTGTCATGACCCGGGATCCGCGTTGGAACGTATGGACCTGCCTCCAACCACCCCGAGCGGGTATTCGCCTGCCTGTCAACAGGCTGGATGTCGATTTCGGAGACAGCCAAGTGTGGGCTCTGCTCTTCTTGCGACCCGATGAGCGACACACTCGGAAAACGTCTGAATTTGAAACTAGGGCGTTTCTATTCGATGCTTTGGGTTCCTCACAGCAGGGCTATCTCTCTCGCGCTGAGGTCCTCATCGCGTTGTTTGAGCCAGGTGGAACCGCGCCTGTGATGGTAACCTCAGACAGGGCCAGTGCCGTCAAGACTGAAGCTCATTTTGACTATCCAGACATCCGGGAGCGATCCCTGACGACAGTACCCGAGTGGGAGGGTCGGGTCCTTTTCATACCGCAAAGGCTACTACTTTGTGTCTGCGCTGTCATCGGTAGTAGCACCTTGACAAACCACCTACTTTCTCAATCCATATCGCAGATAAACTCGCCCGATCGATTTGGACGCACGGCACTAGACTTGGCTTTCAGGGAAGGCTCGGAAGATGTTATTCATGCCTTGTTGAGCTGCCCCGGGGTCGATCTCATCAACATCAACAACGCGAGGGTCTCAGCCCTCCACAACTGCGCGCACTTCAGGATGACCTGCCTTGCCGCGAAGTTTCTGGAGCATTATCGAATAGACGTTAATCTCCAGGATAGCCTTGGAAGGACGGCGTTACACCTAGCTGCAGAGGCAAGGTCGCGAGCCATCGTTCGTTTGCTGCTCAAGCATGGCGCAGATGTGCTTGTGCAAGACTATCAAGGCAACACGGCACTGCATGCGGCCATAAAAGCTGGGGATACAGTCATTTGCGACATCATGCTGGAATCACGCTCAAGCAACAATATCTCTGCCAGCAACGCCCAACTTGCGTGGAAGTTGGCCCTGGAGTCAGGAGCCAAATTCACCATGAAACTCCTCGATGCATTGCGAAACACTCCACAGAGATACCTTGAAAGCGGAAAAAGCCTTTCGTTATCGACATTGAATCAGCAAGCTGGCCCTATGAAATTCTTCCTGGCGAGATCGGACATGACCGAAAAGGATCTCGAGTTCATGATACAGTTGGATCGCACAGCTGCCGCAGATCGTACACGTCAAACAACCGTCACAAGTAGTGAAAATTCTGATACTACTGCCCTAGACTTCTCTAATCATCGATCCATCATCAAGGACGCTTTGATGAAAGGCGCAGTGAATGTCGCCAATTATATGATACGTCAGCACCCCGATGACCTTAATCATATCGGGGAGGACGGCGAGTCTGCCCTTCATCTAGCAGTGATCCACGACGCCCCGAAAGTCGTGCAGTTCTTGCTTGGTCTCAGCGATTGCGACCTGGACGAACCGGACCCCGAAGGGTACACGGCGCCACAATTGGCGATTAGATACAAACGACTTGAGATCCTCGAGACTCTTCTCACATCAGGCAAGGTGTCGATGAGGCAGGTTGACAGAAGCGGGGCGACGCTGCTCATCCTGGCGATCAGACAACGATTCCCGGATGCAGTGCCTCTTCTGCTCACATGTGACGACGTGCTCGTCAACCATATTGATGAGTCAGGTCGTGCCGCATTGCACTACGCAGTCACTCAGCAGGACATCGCTACAGTCAAGCATTTGCTGGCCTGCCCACAACTAGATCCCGCGGTTCTCTCGCGAGATGGGAGGACTGCACTGGCGTTCGCAGCCCCTTGTGCAAGCACAGGCATGATTTCGATCTTACTCGGGACAAACAGTATCGAGCTGGGGCATCAAGATGAGTACGGGAAGACGGCACATGACTGGGCGCGATTGAACAGCTGCAGGGAAGTGATTGAAGCGCTTTGGCTACCTGAATGAGCAGGGTCCACATACTATGGGCAGCAATGTCTGAGGGACAATGGCACACAGTGTTCATGGCAGACCGGCGGCGCCCCTGGGGTCCTGGACAATGGCATCGATCAAACTCTTGGCCCTATCTGATCGTCTACAGACGTTAATTTCTTCAATCTTGTTCTTAAGCCGCGATAAGCCCCAGACCACTAGGTCAAGAGGAGGGTTTAGATTCCTTAGCTATACACGGTCCTTGGTCTTCACTCAATTCGTCTCAGCTCGGTCTCGGACCGAGAAGGGCTGGAGTCTTCTCTCCAAGTGAGATCGTCCAGTTGTACATCCGTCTCTACCCTCTTGTAGCCTCTCCTTGCCTTGTATCGTCTCAGGGCATACCAGATGCCGAATGGGACTGACAGCAAGACGCCCAGCAGAACAACTCCCCAAACCCACTTCCTCCACCCGCGTATGCAGCATGGATAGAGCGACATGACGACTCCGACTGCCCACTCCGTCCACGACCTGTGCTTGCCTTCATCGGGAGCGATGCCCTTGCGGACGAGCTGCTTGGTCGCTGGACCCGTGGGGCCAGACACGAAGCGCTTGATGCCAAAGTGCGGTACGGTCTTCTGGCGGGGATCATCGTCCGGGTACTGGGCGTCTCCCCACAGGCCGGTGTAATAGAAGAAAGAGGTGATGTTAGAAGTCGGTGGGGGCGAGCTTCCGGGAGGGGTCAGCTGCGTCAGGGTGAAGCTAATGGGATCCAAGTGGTAGAAGTAGGCCGAAAGGATAGGATCCCATCTTGGCCCGGCATCGCAGTAATCAATCAACGCTTCGTCGTGGATATGGTCGCTGATGGCGGGTGTGTTCATGTCAGTATATCTCGTATATCCAGGAGCGCATTCATGTTGCACTTACCCTGCACTGGCGTAGTTTGCGTGCGAGCCATAGGCACTAAAGACGATGGGCTGCGGTATGTTAGACAACCGTGAACCCCTTGATCGAGGAAGATTACACGTACTCGATCATTCTCTAATGACAGTCCGGCATCGCCCCACTGATAAACGGCGCCATCTCGATGTTGACTGTACCAGATGCCTGTTGGTTTGCCGTCATGGAACCGGACCATGTTATGTTCCCTTGAGCGATTCGAAGAAGTTAACGGATCTCTTCCAAGTCATGGGAATTCTGCGCAAGAGAACGCTCACCAGTCGCCGACATGATCCCCAAAGTGCGTCCCGCTTCCGTCGTCCTTGACCAGCCGGTTCACTGGTTCCGCCACTTGCGTGAGGTTCGGACCACGGTCGTACGAGTAGAAGTAGAAATAGAACGCATCGATATCTATAGGTCCCCTCTCGACAAGAACGACCACACAGGAAGTAGCGTTTTGGGTCTTGCCCGACCCATCCGGAGTTTCTCCGTAAAGCCAGGTCGGGAGAGTTGTCACATCATCGACAGCGGTCAACGCGACCTGCCCACTGCTCACATCATTCAGGATGGCTAGATTATCCAGGCCAAGCTCAGGGACATCTGGAATCGACTTGTGATTGACTGCAGGAGAGGTATGGCGAATATGCCGAAGTAGATCAGCAGGGCGGAATGGATCCTCCGAGTGAAGCCAGATGAGCGGGGCTTTGAGACTGTCAGTAGGCGTTCATTGACGGCCCGGAAAGTACTTCATGGAAGAGAATGAAGTCCTTGTTCTGGACTTGAAGGATTACACCATACCGTAGTGTGTGATAAAGCCGGGAACGACGCGGTTTGCATCATCAAGCATCGACGAGCCGGACGTTCCGGATCGAGTGGTGGCAGTGGTGGCGCTGAAACATGATGCGAGCAGGATGCTTATCAAGGCTCCATAGAACCTATTCAGCGAACATCCACGGGCCATATCTCCGGGTCGGCACCACAGTTCGAGAAGGTAACTTGCAGCCTCATTTGACGATCGTGGGTGAAGAGCTGATGTTTACTTTTGAGGTCAGCGGGTGGGCCTCTCGAGATGCGGTGGAGCCTGGATGATGGGCTTTAGTCAGCCTGCATCAAGATTTCGCAAGTGCTGAGGTAATGCATCGGCATTGGTGATACTGCGGATTGATCGATCCTAATCTCGATTTCAGAGGGTCCGCAGCCCTGAGCGCTTACTTGAACCTTCATGGTGTGGAATAAGTGGCTAGGGAGAAGCATTGGTAGTAGTTCATATATTCAAGATCCACATCGGCGAGACCTTTAAAAGACATCAAGATAGCAGCCATCAGCCTGATGTAAACTCTTTACAATCCTTGAAAATTTCTCTCCAATGGTTATGAATAAGATGAGTTATATTCAGGAGCAGCGCTTCAATGCAGTTCCATCTTGCAAACATCCAAAGTGCGTCTACAAGAGGGAACTCTTTCACCTCCGAGACAAGACTCGCAGCCTTTCACTCTTCGATATATCATCACTATTGATAGGAAATTCATCGGTTGAACCAAATATTGCAAGATGCTCTTGTCGCTACACTGCCAATACGGGTCTCGTATTCCCTGCCTGATCTCAGGCTTGCGAAACATAGGATGGCATAACTTATCAGTTAGATCAAAATCACTTGCTCACAGTGACCAATCATAGAACAGATACAGCACCAATCGGATCTGCTTCGATTGCATGTGGCATATTTGCAGCATTGCTGCCCGTTAGGCATCAATGCAGCTCTCAGGCTTGACGGACTCCGTCAGGTCGACTACATGGTCGCGCAAGAGTCAAGTTATCCTTATAACATCGCAGAATGGCAGATGCTGTCAATGAATGCACTTCCATTCATCCTCTGCTACAGCACTTGCCCCAGCATGCCGGTTACAGCGAAGATCCGGGGCCCTCGGGGGCCTGACTTCTGGGCCTCTTTTGATGCAGAGGATCACCAGCTCGCAGCTGAAGCTCTGAAGGAAGAGGTATGCGTACGGAACGATAGTGAGGGCCTGAAATGCAGTTTCTAAGTACTCTAGCAGTTTCGTCGCACTGAACCAGCCAGCGACATTCACTGCATAGGTGGCGGGCGAAATTATCCCTGGACCAAAGTCAACTTTTTTTGCTTCGCTGATTGCTGGATATTCCTGCTCAAGGGCGGTTTCGGTATTGAAGGACAGGGAGCGTGTCTCGAACCAGGATTCGCATATGTCCTCAAAGACGAAGAGTGGATAACACTTGGCCCCAATACTACCATATTAGTGATGGAGGAGGGGAATATGAAGGGAGAGTGTGCAAGGAAAACGACAGAATTGCAAGAGAAGTGGAAAAGGGAAAAGAAAAGGGATTCCCGTACGGTGTGGGAAGGCATATTGGCCAAGGTTCGAAGGCTATGGTAAATTCATGTCAGATAAATCCGCCTGAGGTACTCTGGCAAAAGAGAAATCTCTAATACGAGATGGGTTATTGTACTTGATAAGCCCCCTTTACCGCTGACAGTTCATGATGTTGCCTCTTGAACTGTGGCCCCGAGCTCAAAACATCCGAGTCTCGAGTCTCCGCAACAGAGCCTCCTCCCTTCCGCAGTCCCCTTCATCACCATCTACCCGGCGGACCCAATATCAAGTATGCTCTATTAGCGAGTGGTAGGCCAAATCAGTGTTTTGCCATGAGCTACATTGGATCGTCCCGTAACCTGCACCGCGCACATTAGTGCTGCCCTTGGTTCCAATTCCTCGGGACGCCAATCTGATGCAACTTCGTGATCGAGTGCGCCCGACAGAGGGCTCAGGGAAAGAGAAACCAGGTTGACAGCGTGTTGATTGGTGGACATGGTTGCTGCAAGGTCTCCCTGGTCTTTGGCAGATGCAGTGGGTTGAGATGGCGGCTTGGCGTTTATTCTCCACACCGTTTCGTGCCGCCATTCGGAAGCTTGTCTTTGCTCCACGTGGGATCTGCCCGCCCATTTCGAGATTGCACCCTCTCGACGATGTCTCCGCAAGATACTCCGACTCGGGGCCCTTGGCAGGGCAATAGTCTCTCTCGCGCCGGAGAAATCCATGTGTCTCATCAGCACGTGTCAATCATTCTGATGGACGTGAGCTGATATTCCTTCAATAGTCTCTTCTCTAGATGTCAATTTACGAGTGATGCATGGGACAATGTTGAACCTCATCACTACCTGTCAGAAGCAACCTGAACGCTTGCCGGGATGTCCACAACAATACTGCGCCTGCACGTGGTGGACAAGGTAGCATTGGTGAAGGAGCGGAGGTGTGACTGGAGCTTCCATTTAATACATATGTCCCGCGCCTGAATAGCTACTTTCCTCTTCCGTCCTTGATCGGCGTCCGCTTGCTGTTTCGACAAGAACACCCAGTGCTTTGCTCGAATACCTTGCTCAACATCGCCAATTCCGCAATGGCTGTCCTCTCGACCCAGCGTGCCGGCGTCATCGCCCTGGCTTTGGCTGTTCCGGCCTTGACTGTCGCTGCCGACGTCGACCTCAAGTGGCATGCCCCCGCTGCGAGCAAGGTGAACAACCTGACCCAGGTTCTCACTGGCAACGGGGTCTACGACTTCATCTTCGACACCAGCAAGACCCCCGACGACAAGTATGGCGTGTACAACTGGTGCAACATGCCTCACGTCAGGAAGACCGAGTACGTCAAGGCGTCCGATGAGTTCGAGCTGCAATATGTTGAGGTGGTAAGTCATCATGCGTGCCAACTCATTGGGGTATCAATGCAGGTTCTCACATGTCACGACAGGCGCATCGCCACCACAAGCGTACCCCTTACCAGGACAACACCTTCCCAGTCGAGTCATACGGCTGGGACTGCTCTGACGTTGCGCTGTTCTACACGGGCGAGCCCATTGTCTCTGAGGGTGACTACACTGCTGCAAAGGGTTATCTCGACCATTTCCAGACCACTGAGAACCACTTCACCCCTGCGGCCAGGAAGGGATTCCAGGGCAACTGCCAGTTCCCCCAGCTGACCGCTGGTGCTCTCGACGACTCTTATGTCCACGGCGCTGACCTCTACGGCGTCTATGGAGACATGCTTGGTTTCCTGCCCAAGCGCTCCGATTCCAAGTGGCAGGACAAGGTCAAGTACCGCGTCACCAACAACCTGATCACCAGCCAGGTTGCCGGTATGGTCATCGAGGGCATGTACCAGACTACGACTCGCGTCCCTCTCCACGTCGAGCCCAACGGAATCGACTCTCTCGAGCCCCAGGGCTTCTGCAGCGCCGGCTCGAGCCTTTTCAACCAAATCAAGTCCTCGTCCAACCAAGGCTGGCAGGAGCACCTCGACAAGGCCAAGAACCTGTTCGCGACCCTGGACAACATCTCTGGAGTCCCCAGCAACGACGGTGGCTTCCACATGAGCTTCGACCACTACTACGACAACTTCTCGGCCCGCCAGTGCCACGGCAAGCCCCTGCCCTGCAAGATTGTCAACGGCAAGAACGACACTAGCACCTGCGTCACCCAGGAGCTCGCCGACAACGTCTACCGCTTCGGCCAGTGGGAGTACTCGTACTACTACCGCGACGCGCCGCAGTCCCTGGCCGCCTCGGCGTCCACCTACGGCACCTGGATCGCCACGCTGGCCAACCACCTGCGCGCCGTCGTCGAGGGCAAGTCGGACGGCACAAAGTACTACCACAACGTCTGCCACGACGGCTCCATCTCCCGCCTCCTGTCCGTCCTGCAGATCGACCAGATGGTCTGGCCCGGCATGGGCTCCGAGGTCGTCTTCGAGCTGTTCAAGAAGAAGGCCAGCAGCAGCGGGCCCAAGCCCACCGGCGTCGTGGCCCCCAACTGCGCCCACGACAACTGCCTGCGCCAGATGATCGGCAAGATCCAGTCCGCCAGCGCCTTCTGCCCCAGCTTCACGGCCGCGCCGATGCCCTCGTCGACCCTGGCCAGCCTGCCCACCTGGGTGAGCAACTGCAAGGGCAGCGCCGAGCGCGTCTCGAGCGCCTGCTCCTGCGTCGTCCCCGCGCCCACTTCGAACAGCACTAGTGCTGCTCCTTCCTCCACCGCCAAGCCAGAGGCCGGTACTGGCAGCGAGAGCGGCTACTACGTCCGTGTCCTGTTCGGCGGACAGGTCCTCAAGTCGTCCAACCCGAGCCTGGGTGTTATGGACCTCATTCCCGTCGAGACTATGCTGGGATACTTTGATGGCCTTGCCGGTAAGAACGCAGACAAGGTCGTTGACATGTGCAACGGCAACATCCCGCTTTCGAAGTAGAGGATGTAGAGATGTTTCATAGTTTGGGCCCACGCTCTCTGTGTGCACATGTGGGCAACAATGCTGAGGATCGACTGTTCAAAACGGGGACCAGATATATTTAAGTAATTTCGTAATGGGTTCAATGATTTATGCAATGTATATATACGAAGCAATATTTCTCTCTGAGATCACCTTCAAAGTTGTCTCCTCATATTCAACTGAAGCGTGGTTTCCTCCTAGTCCGGCTTATTATGGTGCACTTTTCTTCTTTTGTCCTTGAGTCGCGCGATGTGAATGGAATGGGCTCAACTTGTACCAGCCCCATCAATCAGAATCTGCCTGCACCGTTCAAGAGGCCGCACGACCCTCTGTAGCATCTCTCGTCTCCAGACTTCAGGCGGCGTACTGCGATTGCCCCCTAGGCACCATGCTACGGCTTCGGCAAAGTCGGGGCCTGCCTCTTCATTAACTTCGAGTTGCCACTCCCTCGCAGCCATGAAATCAAAGGCCATCCTTTCCTTTTCGTTGTTGCCGCTCGGCCATCTTTTCCGGCACGCCCGGCTCTCGAGCACCGTGCCAAAGCAAAGCTCCAGTAGAACTATGCCAAGGAGATCGAGGGACTGGAGGAACGTGGCTGCCTTGCTCTCGCTCGTTTCTGGGGCTTCTAGACGGCGGCTGAGATGTGGCTGGTCCAAGGCGAATATACTCGAATCACCGCCAGAGTTGCTGAATGCTATATCGGACTTCGACCAGGTAGCTGGAAGCCAAGGAGTATCCAACAGCTGGAGAAACGAAGAGGAAAGAACCAGAGCAAGTGAATAGCGTTGTCGGCGAGTCGGGGAGGGCTCTACATGGCCATGTAGAATCTCATCTAGGGTCACGGATGTGAGGCTTTTCATTTGCCGGTGGGATACCTTGTAGACGTAGTAGCGACAGTCTTCCTCGGGTATGAAGCCACAGCACGGTTCACTACCCTTGTCAAGGGAGATACATAGGCTTTTGATTGGTAAGGCGGTTGCATCTTCAGGACGTCCGCAAGGAGTGCCCGTAGCCATAAAGGTGATAGAGGGCGCAGCTCTAGGGTTCAAGAGTCAGCCAGGTCCAAATACTTACTGCCATGTATATACGCGAACCAGCTTACCTTCCCGTTTCCAATATGTGTTGCTGGCCTGTCGTCCGCAATGCTGACTTGAGGGGCTGTTTTCCTTTTGGATCTGATGGCGGCAGAGTAGCCATCGGACTCGATTTCTTTGCCTGAGGAGGCTGCTCGGCGGTTGAAACGAGGTTTCCTTCCACTATTCGAGTTTGGAGAACTTCCCAACTCGACGGCAGAGACTTGGCGAAGACCACTTCGAACTCTGACTTCTTGTCTGTGCGGTGCTGTAGTAGTAGTTGGACGCAATGCTGCTGCTGACAACAGCAGTTCCAAGCCGAAGCGAGAGCGTGGAAGAGCTTGTTGGCATGGACGAAGAAGCGACAGATGGCGGTGTCTATAGCCGAGTTCTTGGCTGCTGTCGCCCTCTTACCCACAAGTAGTGTCTCTTTATCGCTCGTATCTAGCAGATCTTTCATTCTGCTAAGCAGATCTTCGAGCTCTTTGAAGAGCTCTTTTCGCACACTTTCTCCGTTGCAAAATTTGATTCTGTAGAGATGATACTCCAATCTGTCCTGACTCGCCGCTTGTTTGACTCGGGCTTCCTTGGTCCCTTTCTGGGCATTATTAGTACACTTATTCATTCTTGTATGTGCCGCGTCCTGCTCACCGAGGTTTTGATGCGACTTTGAACGCTATTCTTGTCAACAGCGAGCTCATGATTCAGTTTCTCCATGACTCCGGCGATGGCTGTCATATGCCTTAGGTACAGCTCATATGACTCGGCAAGGCGAGCTTCGAGAAGGTTTGCAACTGCCGGGTCCTTCCAACCCTCCCCTTCCGGTTTAGATAGGAGTTCCTCGACCTTGTCATTGTCCACTACAAGTGGCAATAAGAGGAACTTCAGGTGCCGCTTGTACGCAACCTGAAAGAAAGTCAAGTGATCACTGCTCTTCTGGTACTCAAACCGGATCTTGTACCAGAAGCCGAGGCGCTTGCCAACCTCACTATATCGTTCCAGAGCCTCGATGGCGATCGGGATGGCGCCCAGAACGATGCCTGCCACTTCGAAACCGGACATGATGGCGCATTTCACGGCGTCTGGACAACAAAATCGCTCACGAAGCTCACCAGCCTGATGAGGGGGAAAGCTGAAAATATGGTGCGCGTATCTCGTGCTTATGCAACCAATGCACCTCCACCAATCATGCCAAACATGCAACTGGGTCTTGCATGTTCCCCGCCTACATGATCGTCATCAATTATGCCTGACGAGTGTGGGCAAATGCCTCAGCTCAGGCGCACATCCCTTTGATACAGGTGAGCCGCCGGGTCTGCCGTTGACGTCGCCAGGCCTGCTCTGTTCAAAGCCTTAAGCCACCAGCACCAAAGCTCCAGAGTACTGCGCTTGGAATATGGATTCTAGTGAATCATGTCGCAGTCGTGAAGGATCTTCCCGCCAAAGTGAAGCTCTGATGGAGCCGCTCACCATCGCCGACCAGGCGCGTGCTACCAAAGCCTGCCTAGGTCAGCTACTATCCGAGACAAAGCAAATGGCCACCAGCGACGACACTGCAATACAACCAAACACCATTGAAGACTTGATTGACAGATTTGCGCTGTGGGCAGGTAGCTTAGGGGCCCTTCAAGCCCCTGTCAAGATGTTGTCCCTCGACTACAGGCTTCAAGATGCCCGGGACATCCGGGACCAAATATGCGCTTACCTTGCGAATCTACAGGAAGCTACTATAGACCGTGAGTAGCCCTTGCTGAAGCTACAGGGCCATATTTGACTTGCTCTCTTCCATAGTGAAAGCGATTGCCACAGGCAAAAGTCCAAATCGTCCCATGCACGAGGGATCTGATGACGATGAGGAGCCCATCGATTCTGACAACGCGCCTAAGGATGAGGCTCACATGCTCGTCGAGGTCATCGACCAGTGCATTCGGTCTCTGTTCCGCATGGGGGTTCTGATCCGCCAGGCGACTCCGCAAGATCGTTTCAAAAGGGCAATGCAGCATACCGAATTGGCTTTTCCTAATACATTCGACATCCAGCACGTGGAGCGCAAGCATGCCAAGCTCCAGCGGCCCGAGTTGAAGTGGTTTGCCCAACGTCTGGGTAACGCAATGGCGAAGCGACGACAGTTTATCAAATATTGTCGAGATCACAAGTCACGACTAAGTACTGTCCACGTTGATGTCCCGGCCGAGACGGAGACAAGGACGGAACTACTCTTCAAAAAAGCTATCAAGTTCATGCAGACAAAATATTTGAATGCAGATTTCCTTCAATCCAAGCTTGAGGAAGCGGGTGATGCTGCTTCATTGGTGTCCGCGTCAACGACATTCGACCCTGACACGTTGCTGAGGCTGCCCTATTTGGAAGATTTATCGCCTGATGATGAGCCTTTCGAGTGTCCAATATGCTTTACCCTGCAGGATTTCCATGACGAGAAGGCTTGGAAGTGAGTAGAAGCTCTCCATTCGAATTCTTTCCTGTTTTGAAACACTTTTTGCTAATGTATGACTGGCTTTAATGTTCGCAGACTGCATGCCTTCCGAGATCTCAGAGCGTATGTGTGTACATTCCGCGATTCAAAGTGCCAGAACGAGCTCTTTGACGACAGGGATAAATGGTTCGAACATGAACTTCAGTATCATCGGTCACAGTATACTTGCAATCTCTGTGAGAAGGGTGTGTTCACCTCCAAGTCCGAATTCGAATTACATATTGAATCGTCGCACGGTTCTTTTGCTCCAGACCAAATGCCAATGTTGGTCGACATCAGCCGTCAAGTCCCCTCGTCGTTCAATGCACGGGACTGTCAATTCTGCGACGAGTGGGCTGAGTGGCTACAATCTCGCAGGAATGGACAACAAGTCTCCAATGTAACAGTCTCCCCGATTCATTTCAAAAGACACGTGGCCACGCATCAGGAGCAACTCGCTATATTTTCGGTACTCAGATCAAGCGAGCACCTCAGATCCGACAATTCACAGGCCACACTCTCTAAGTCAAAGGAGCTTCCGCTCCAACTGACCTCCAAAAAAGCACAGGTTGTGACCGAGTCCATGAAGGCTTCTCGTCGACCAACCTCCAAAAAAGCGCAGGCTGTGACCGAGTCCACGAAGGCTTCTCGTCGACCAGACTACAAAGATCCAGAGGCTGTGTTCGATATCTCGAAGACATGGACCTGTTGTAAATGCGGCAATTATAACTTCGGGACACCCGATGTCCAGTGTGCGAATTGTCAACATCTCAGAGACAAGAATTGCCAAGTACGCAAGGAACGCGTTACTCTTTGTAAGACCGCTCATACCGGGAAACGTGCATGAAAATATGCTAACAAGCTCGATCCTATCGTGAACAGCTGGAGATCCGTATCATTCTGGATATTGAGGACTGAGACAGTACCACTGGCAAGCGGCGCCGTCGATGTCTTAGTACACGAGAGTCAAATGTTTCCCGAGAGCCTTCCGAGGGCACATACAAATGCACTCTTTCCTCGAAACTCAAACAAAGGATCTGTCAACCGTCCCAAAGTACGCGTGATGATGGAATAGAAACCGGCATGGAATGGAGCAGAAGAACAAGGCTGGGACAGCTAGACTTTAACGATAGCCAGTGAGCAGTATTTTACTCGTGTCATGCATTCGAGATTCTTTTCACAGAATTTAAACAATAAGCCCAATCACTTCCAGCAAATTACCCGGTTAGAGGCTTCGCTACCTGCCACCGCTCTAGATTGGTTATTGCATTATGATCTAAATCCATGGGTCGATGTCTTCAAAGTTGTTTATATTCAAGAACATATTGAAGTACTAGGAGAATATTAGTACGCTGCGATGTGATCATTCACCTAGGAAATACTCACATCTTCGTCAACTGTATTCTCAAAGAGGTTTGTCCAATGCAAATAGCTGTCATCAACCTGAGACCTTCATTAGCACCCAAGTACAACTCGTGGAACAGGCAGAAGAGACATACAACACATGACCCCCGTGCCTTATCAGGCGCGGTCTGTTGAATGCTCGCTCGGTACGCCTGGATGCTCCGTTCGATTGCCTCTTTCATTGAAGTAGCTGTCATCGCCTCGTCTCCAGCAGCAGCCTTGGATAGCTCTGCTGACAACTGCATCCAAGCGCAAGTACGCTGGCTCACAATGTCTGGTTTGCATATTGCTGTCGTCGCTTGTGCCGTTCTTTCAACCAAGTCGACCAAAACCTGTTCCTGACTGCCAGATTGGGGCAGAACAAATGCCAGTCGCCTCCGTCGCTCAACAGCTCGTGTCAGGAGCTCATGACAGACCAAGAACACGCTGTTGGATATTTCGCAACGGCAGACATTGTTAATCGTCGCAAAGACTCCTGACTCATTGATCATAGATAGGGCCTCGGTGAGGATGGTTGTGGACATCTCAACGCAAACCTGCCTTGAGTAGAGATATCGGGGATCCTGCAATGTCCTTGTCACGAATGGGGCATGTAAAGCGATAGTTGCCCTTCGTATGAGGATGGTGAGCAGGATCCTTTTACAATGGTTCGCTTCTTGGTGGATGGCTGTCGCAACTTGGCCGAGAAATGTTTTCAATTCAGCATCAAGCTTGAGCACCTGCCCATAGTCGGCCGTTAGGTTGATCCCATTGACGAGGCGGCATACGTCTGTCCGTAGCGACAAAGACTTGGCAAGACGGATAAACAAAGGTAGAGTCGCTTTGCTTGAAGTTTGTGCTGCTTCCACCTGGGCTGCAGTAATGTTTCCAATAAGATCATCGTCTTGCATATCCGAAGGCGGGAGGCAGTCGTAGTCGTCCTTCCTTACTAAAGGTGTGCGACCTTTGGCAAAACATGCTTGGAGATCGAATTCCAGGATAGAATACCACAGTCTTCTTCGAAGCTCGGCGTGGAAGGGAGATACTCTAGTGAAGTCGGAAGGCTCCCTGTGAAGGCCAGCCGAGATTGCGTTGCGTACTAGCATGCCAGATGAGACCCAGCTCCGATCAATCTTGATCCAGTGAACGTCACCAGCTACGAGCATAAGCAAATGAGCTTGCATGTGACCAAGGGTCATCTGGGTCCTGGGATCTTGCTTGAACAGCCAAAGGCGCACAGCTTCAATCCACTGCCTCGCAGTCTGAGACTGAGACGCTGATGCACCATCCAGCCCTGATCCGATGGCACAAACACTGAGAAGTTGCGCAAGAAAGGTTGGCGGGCCGCTACTTGACACGACTGGGTCCGGATCCCATAGGGCAGCGTATTCTTTCCGAAATGTAGGAACGTGAATGATTTTGTAATAAGACTCGAAAGTCTTCACATAAACATCCACGAGCCTGTCGGTCGCCTCTCTTTCTGGTAGCAAAGCTCGCAGCTCCGGGTCATGGATTCGGATAGGGACTGTATCGCCAGGCCTGGAGCTTCGCTCTACTTGATAGAGCGTTGCCACATTGTCCTCTTGGTCGGGCTCGAGTAACAATCTTGCTGCATCGGTGATACGAGGCACAAAGTTGGTCTCGTGACCTCTACCCCAGTAGACGGTTCCATCGTTCTCTCCAAAGATCACTTCTTTTGGCGCAAAATCCTTCTGTCCGCCTAGTGGTTCGACATAGACATCGACGGAGCGACTGCCATGCCAAAGGAGCTGCAGAGGACCGACAGGTCCAACCTCAGTACTGGAAGCCTCGGGAGCCGTGGCCTGGGAGGATGAAGAGCCGGCGAGGGTTGCGGTAGGGTTCCTGCCGGATATGGATGATATTTGAGGGGCAGTGTCTCCAGCTGATGTCCTTGTCTTATTTGGAGTCCGCTCCGGTGCTTGAACCGCAAAGACAAACTGACCAAGGGCTGTTCCGTCATCAGTGTCGGTCGGGAGGTCGTAGTGACACTGGGCGGCCTTGCCGACCTTGACGCAGCGGTGGCATGGCCTAGCCCTATCACATTTCACTTTCCTTGCCCGGCATCCCCTACACGAAAGCCAAAGCCTGTGCTGTCGTTTGGGCTCCGTTTTCGCCATGTTTTGTGGCAATGCGGACTTTTTCCCTAAAAATTTGCACATCCGAAGATGATTCATGATTTCAGCTGATGTAAGCACAGAATCTGCCCCACCCATCGCTATTACATCCCTTTTGGGTTAAAGTCCGCGACTCAGGAAGACCCATCGTGAAAAGCAGCACCACATATAAGTCACCACGTGGTGTGCAGGTAGTCCAACGGCATGAAACTACGAAACTTCAACCTTTGCATCAAACATCGATTATTCCAATCCATATCTCGTCTTCATAAGCAGCCTGTGAGAATCGCACTAAGTCCCCAAGCAACAAGAGACCGATTGCATCATGGAGAGGCCAATGGAGTCGACGCGCTCCTCCACCGAGACCCCTCGGAACGAGGAGACTATCATAGCACACGCTGTTGATCATCATGATGAGAAAAGAACCGACTCAGACTACCCAGAGGGTGGAACAAAGGCATGGCTTGTCGTGTCAGGGTCAGCTGCCATCATGTTTTGCACATTCGGTTACCTGACTGGATTCGGGTACGTATTAACATTTGATGAAGCTCGATGTGGCAGATCGATGAAACTAACTGGTTGAATATAGCATCTACCAGGCCTGGTACGGAGATCACCAGTTGGCAAAGTACACCCAGTCCGACATATCCTGGATTGGGTCTGTCCAGATCTTCCTCAACTTCTCAGTCGGTCTGATTGGGGGGCCAATCATGGATCGGTACGGCACTGTTGCAGTCATCCCGGCCTCTGTGCTTTATGCCGTCTCCTTGGTCCTCACGAGCTTCTGCAAGGAGTACTACCAGTTCTTCCTTGCTCAAGCAGTGTTAGGCGGCATCTGCCTCGGCCTGCTGTTCAACACTGCCCTCGCCATCATCGGGCAGTACTTTGACCGGCGGCAGGGCCTCGCCGTCGGTATCGCCATGGCGGGTGCAGCCCTGGGCGGAGTTATCTTCCCAGTGGCACTGAACCGCCTGCTTAACGACGTGGGGCTCAGCTTCGGCTGGTCCGTCCGGGTCTGCGCACTGATTATTCTCGTGCTCTTGGCGTTCGCCAGCCTGACCATGAAGACACGCTTGCCTCCTGCCCGCCAGAGCATGGACTTCAGCCTGATGCGGCGACCAGTCTACATCCTGATTGCTGCCGGCGGTTGGCTGCTGAACTGGGGGATGTATGTCCCTCTGTTCTACCTGCCGTCCTGGTCGATCAGCGCTGGTCTAGACAGCGCCATGGCGCCCTATACTGTCGCCATCTTCAACGCCGTCTCCCTCTTCGGACGCATCTTCGCTGGGACGCTCGCTGATCAGTTTGGCTGCTTCAACGTCGTCATAGTGAACGGCCTGCTCTGCGCTCTGATGCAGTTCGTCTGGCCTGGGACGCACAGCGCTGCTGGAGTGTACTGCGTCTCCGTTTTCTCAGGCCTCTTCATTGGAAGCATCGTCAGTCTGCAGGCGGCTATTGTCGGACAGATCACGCCTGATCCAAAGTACATCGGATCTATGATGGGATTCACCATGGCCATCTGGGCTTGTGGTGGCTTGACCGGGCCGCCAATTGCGGGCGCAATCCTGAACGTGAATGGCAGCTTTGATGGGCCTGCGTACTTTGCCGGAGCCTCACTCGTGGTTGGCTCGGCTCTCTTTCTGGCCGCGAGGCTTCTGACCAACTCGAAGGTCCTTGTCAAGGTCTAGGCCAGTCACTGTCCAATCGGCCTCCGTCCCTCAATAACATAATTAATTACTCACCAAAGAGTATGACAACTTGAACTTTTCATTCCACCTCGGCGATTCATACGACAATTAGCCGCCATCATGGTAGGAAACGGCGTTGAATCACTTGAATATTTAGATTAGACATGTTCACTTTCCTGATAATGATACCACAAAATAGATGATAAACATAATTTAGATAGTATAGATATCATAGAGTAGAGTACGGAACCGGTTTCCGAATAGAAGTGTTTTGTTACATGCCTCATTGATATGATGTGCCCATGGCTCTTTCACAGCCATGAGCAGACACGATAATAGTTTGGCAGGGCAACAAACAACTGTATGACATAGGTTAACTATCAGTCTTGATAGAGCTTCAGTGCCACTCGGCAAGGATACCCGTATCGGAATCCCCAAACACAGGATCACGCTCAGGATTCGGCACCGCCCAAACTTCCTCATATCTACCCTCACTATCTCCACCTTTAGCAAAGTCCCAGTCCCTGCCATTCCGCGGGTAAGCACCCAGCATCGTGAACCCGGAGAGCTGAATCTTCGCCATCGCTGCCTCCATCTCCTCCTCGCCCACATCATGCCCATTGCCAGGCGACAGCAGCATGAACTCGGCCGGCGGGCTGGCGCCGTGGGTCTTGTGCGCGAGCCCCGCGGGGAGCACAAAGACGTCTCCGACCCGAGCGTCCAGCAGGATCCCGCCGTCTTCGTGGCCGTCGTCCTTGCCGCCAGTGTCGGCAACGCCGAAGCGGATCCGCGCGCTTCCGGACAGCACGACCATGCACTCGTGCACGGCGGAGTGGTAGTGCGACTCCTGGGTGCTGCCGTAGCGGAATATCCAGCGGCCCAGCCAGCCGTTGCCCTTGAAGACTTTGTACATGTTGCTCGGGGTGACTTCTGACTCTTTGAAGACCCCGCGGTATTGGAGTAAGGGCTTGGGGGAGTTTGGCATGAGAGCCGTGGGAGGGAGTGTGAATTTCCTGATCTCGACCATTGCGGGCTGATGTAGACTCAATGTGATTCGGTCTGAGTGGCGATGGAAAGTTGTCTTGCTGTTGACGGCTTGGGTACTTGATTTGTCATGGGAGACGAAGCTTTGGAAGAGCGAGCTCAAGAACCGAGGCGTGGCTGTCTAGGTGTGTAGTGTTAAGTTGCACATAGATCCACAACCTAAATATGGATATCGCACGTCTCGCCGAAAACGACCAGTATCACAACAGATATTTGCAGAGGATGTCAAGTGCGCGAGTGCGAGCTATCGCGAGCATGGTTGGGAGTGACGATGTCGATCCCTTGGTGGGCGGGGTTACGACCCAATGTTCTCGGGAACTACCGTACTGGCTTTTCTCCACCTAGCGACACCACCTCTCCCATTCATTACTTTTGACTTCATTTTGCGGTTGCAAATTGACGATAGGAAGCACGGAGTTGGGTTGTGTTCGGTGGAGGCCAGCTTCATACCCAATTGGTTAGGGACGAGAGCAGAGAACCGAAGACGCTGATGCCTTTTGGTAGATCTACGTCCAAATGGCCTGGAAGGTTGGAAGTACGGTCACATGAGTGAAGGGAAACCAATATGGTGGGTAGGCTTGTCATGGCCAACTCTTTAGGTTTGACTTACTTCCGATGTTGCTGACCTCTGCTGGGTAAACCCTCTCAGAGTCGTTTCTTCACTCGTATTTGTGAGGCTCGAGTTGTATTTGAACAATCCTCGATCGATGTTGTCATTGGGTGAAGTATGAAGTAGCACTAGAGCTAAGTGTATTTGGCTCATTCTGAAAGGGCAGGTTGACAATCGATGGCTTTCATACCTTAGCTTACTCCGCCATAGCTTCGGACTTGCTTGAAGAGCCGGAAAGATGGGAGAATGGAACATTGAATGCCAGCCGTGAAAGCTTATCTGAAGCTATTCCCCCGCTGCCAAGCCCTTTTGGATCCTTCGCTTGGCTCATCACACAGTGCGTACGTGATCGCCTTCCGGCCAGGGTCTGGTACACAGGGCGACAGGCTATTCTGCTTCAAGGGTCAAGGCGAACCTTGCTAGGTAAAAGAGGACCCGTAGCTAATGCGCAGAGGATCGGTCCCGTCTAGGTCTGATCGCAGGGGCGCAGCCCAGAGTACTTGAAGGCCCGTTGCGCCCCATTTTCTCACGGCCAAGACTTGACTCCTCATCATAATTTGCAGTTACCATGGGCTTCCAGCGACGATGCGGTGCCGAAGGCATGCTGGTTCTTGTCGGCGTGCTTGCATCCGTCGCGCTTGCGGATGACGCGAATCGCATCCTGTACCCCAACGGGTCGGGCCTGACTTTTCATTATCTTGACACAATCCAAGTTGCGTACGAGACCGACTACAGCACGCCATACATGTACCTCTACTGCCGAGACGCCAATGGCAATCGTCAAGGCGAGTCTCCATCTCGGTAGACAACCTCCGGGCCCATCATGTGCTGACTTGAGTCGTGCAGAGATTGTTTTCTATAGCCCGAGTGATATCAAGGACAAGCAGAGCATCCTGATACAGCTGCAGTCGAACACCGAGTTCACAGGCAGCCCTTGCTGGTTCAATCTGGTTCCTGAGCAGCCCTCATCTCTCACCACGGATATCGGCGTCAAGAGTTCCGAATTTGGTTATGTCAAGCAAGAGGATGGCAAGGTGCGTCGCTTTTCGGAGGTATCTTTTGAGGTTTGCAATCCGTTGACACCTTCTGCTCTCTGCACAGAAAACCTTTAGCCTCGCACCGACAGCCAGCTCAGCAACGAGCTCACAGGCAACTTCGGCCGCAACCAAGGCAGCACAATCCACCTCTTTCTCGACCAGCACGTCGCCCTTTAGCAAGAGTAACGACAGCGGCCCGTCCACGGGCGCAAAAGCGGGCGTTGGCGTCGTCGTGACCCTGGCTGGGCTCGCCATCATCGCCGCAGCGACCTGGATCCTCGTCCGCAGGCGTCGCGCCCGCCTCGTCGACGGCCGAGGCCATGCCGCCACGGGCCCGGAGCCCTCGCAGGCGCCCTCGTTCTACACCAGTTCGCCGGCCCCCGGAGCGGCCAAGGAGATGCCGACCTACCACGAGCTGCCGCACGAGCGCCAGACTTTCGAGCTGGAAGGGACACCAGCTCCGACCAAGAGGTGAGAGCGAGGGAGAGCTGAGGCACCAAGCCAAGCATCAGATCATGCAACACGCGCACTCGCGGGGCCGTGGATGATGGATCCATGGCAGAGCGGGAGGATTCGACTGTTGTTTTGGCTTTCGTTGATGCTCACCCCTGTGACGAGATTAGGGGGGGCTTTACGGCTGACTGGCGGCGGCCCACAGAGCCAGATTGACACCTCAATCTGGGCACAGTGCCGACGCACCCCACGTGGCGTGGCCGGAGGAGGATCCGACGAGGGTCCGGGATGTGACAAGCTCTCACACCGTGTGTCTCTCTTCTGCCCGAATGGTTCTTTGATGCAGTGAACTGCTTCATGGGATTAGCATTCGCCCAGGAGTCCACATAGTCACTCTCACTCATCACATGGGAGAAAGATAAAATCGTCTAGCTATTTCATTATGAATGCCATTCAATGGATGACAACTCACAGCCCTTCCCGAGTATCTTGAATCCGAGCAGCCCAGAAACGTAAAATAAGTCGGTGCCACTCGCTCCTCAAGCACGCGAATCGATCCCTGCATAGCCTGCGGCGCCCAACACCGCGAGAGCTACGCAACCACCGCCCAGCATCCCCAGGGTGGGCAGGCCATACATCCCAGCTGAATAGCCCACGAGGCAGCTAATGGTGTCCGCCGTGTCCGCCATGATGTTCAATGCCAGCGCAGTCTTCAGATCCGAGTTGCTCAGGCTGCCCTCCGATGCCCTCTTGCTTAGCTTCCAGGTGAGCAGGCCCAGAGCCGCACAGCTAGACCCGAACAGACGGCCTGCGATTGCCCCCTGGGGAGGCAGCTTAAGCAGAAACAGGCTGCAGGCGAACTGCGGTGCGATGACACAGGATGCACCAAGAATGACTTTCAAAGCCGCAAGTGATGTAATGGCCGTGGAGGTCAGAGCGGTCGGCTTGGCTTGTTTTTGTCGATGCTGGTCCATTGCGGGAGGAGGATTGAGCAGGGGAGAGTTGGTTTCCGGGTCAGACATGAAGCTAACAAATATTTCTTGGCATACCTTAAGGCATCAATGTTTGGTAGAAGTCTTGAGTGAAGCTTTTGTGATTCGGTAAGTGGTGTGCGGTGCAGTCGAGGTCTGTTTATTATAGACCTTGGGCATAACGCTGGAGCATAACGTCTCAGCGTGATGAAGCACCCGACGCTAGTAAAACCACAGCGAGGTTAGTCAAACCCAGAACCAGGGCGTCAGCATTGCAGCACACATACACTAACGTAGGCTTCCACAAACACAGCTGAAAGGCGTACGAAGTCATGTGTCTTAACCTAGGTGACCAGGCTTTCATACCAAGGCCAGGCAACCACAAAGTCGGAGCTGGTGTTCCTCCGTAAGATTACACTTTTATTACGGATAGCCCATATCCAAAGGCTTTACAGTCCACATGGCACACATCACAACATGCTCCGAGTTGATCTGAAGCTCTGCAGACTCATACATACTAACAACCTTTCTCCCATCTTCCCTGTCTCCCATCACCTGCCCACCAGCTTCTTCTCCAGCGTCCTGAACGGGAAATACAACGCCGCCGTGACGAAAAACGCCAACTCGAAGCCGATGTCGCCCGTCTTCTCGGCGATGGGGCCCGTGTACCAGACCTGCGCCATGGAAGGGATGACGACAGCGAAGCTCAGCGCCGCCGACACGAGCGCCGCCACGCCGAGCGGCAGCCTCTTGGCGTTGCTCCAGTCCTCCGGGTCGTAGGTCGAGCAGTCGCCGCGGCGGAACCAGAGGTGCTCGACGATGAGCGTGGCCAGGAAGGCGGAGCTCCAGTAGCCGATGAGCGACATGACGTTGGACAGGTTGCTGTAGAAGTCGACCGAGGCGCGGATGCTGACGGGGATGACGATGGCCGTCATGGCGATGGCCCACAGGTAGCGCGGCACGCTCGACAGCTTGGGCAGCAGCATCTGGAAGTTGAGCGTGATGGAGTAGGACGTCGCGGCGACGTTGCCGAGCAGGCTCAGCGACAGGATGACGAGGAGGAACTTGCCGAAGCCGCCGGCGGGGCGCAGCATTGCGTCGAGGACGCCGCCCGTCAGCGTGCTCGCGTACGCCGCCTCCCAGTCCGGGTTGCCGGCCACGGCGCCTCCGATCGCGGCCCCCAGGACCATGAGGAGGATGGTCGGGATGCTAAGGCCGGCGTAGGTGTACGCCGCGATGCGCCACGACGAGGTCTTGGGGTCCAGGTAAGTCGTGAAGTCTGATGCCAGGCAGGCCCAGGGGATCATGTACGACGCGACGATCATGGCGAACGAGAGCACTTTCGGTGCCGAAGAAGGTCCGGCGGGGGGCACCTGGTTGGTGAGGCCCTTACCACCGCAGCCAACTGCGACGATGATCGCGATGACAGCCGGGATCACGGCGTACCGCTCGTAATAGTGGAGGACCTTGAAGCCGCAGAACGAGATGATGAGGGCAATGATGGTGATGATCACAATGCCAATGGTTGGGGTGATGCCACCGTCTGCCACAGCGGAAAGGCACTGGCCGCCGACGACCGAGATGATGGCAGCAAAGCCGATCATGGTCGCCAGATTAAGAAAGACCGGGATAGAGACGAGCCAACGGCCCCAGCTGTACCGGGCTTGAATCATCTGTCTCATACCGGTCTTAGGCCCGAGAGTGGCGAGATACGCAGGCAAGAGAGTAGTCAAGAGGATAAAGAACAGGATAACCAGGGAGCTATCTCGAAGGCTGAGCCCGGAAGCCGGGCCAATCATGCCAAACGTAATGCTATCACGGAATGTCAGCCACTGGTGCCAGGGGCCAGGACATCGCAGGCTTGGGTTTCATCACTTACGCAAGGATGTTGGCACTCATGCCGAACCAAAGGGTGAAGATGTTGATAGTTCGCTTGACCGTCCTCTCCTCGACAGGGATGGGGGAGATGCCACGGATCTCAACCCGGCCCCAGGTCGCGGCCTTCCACAGCCAGCGTTGCCATCTTGGCAGGGCTTCGACCTCGACCTTTTCGGACCAAGGGTTGGTTTCTGTTGGCACACCCTTGCCCGAGGCCGTTGGTTGGCTGGTGGCGACGTGCACTTCCGAGCCGTTTTGGTGTTGTTCGGTCATCGCGAAGACTGTTGATAGGGCCCGGACTATACAACGAAGGAGAGTAATGAAGGGCGACCCTTTGAGATCCTTCCACTGTGATATATGACTCCTTTGGCCGGTATGATTCACCACCCGGGATCCCAGTCAGGTCAGGTTCGGTGGAGCCCTCAGCGGGTGCAATGCAGGTCCGACACGGAATCGTCCGAGGTCAGAATCCGTGCAAGAGGTATCTCTGACAACACATGTAGCACTCAGGAATCCAAGAGTTCCGTTCTCGCCAAATCAAGAGGGATGATGTGACTCGACGAGATCGAAAGAGTGCAAAACAGCAGTAAAGATAAAGCACCTGGGATACAAAGATAAGAACCAGTGGCGCGGTTGAGGTTTTTTCTCTGGGCATGCACGCCAGCGAATCGCGCGGCATCTAGACGGCCCAGTGTGGGGGCGAAGTCGGGTCTCGAACCATTCGTGAAGAGCACCGAGTCAACTAGATTTCCGCGGGGCGAGCGCTAGGTAATCGTTCAGAGGACCGCCGAGCGTAACCGGCCTTCACCTTCTTCTAGTTGGGCTAGCCCGTTTCAAGTAGGTACAAGCAGTAGAACCGCATCTTGTAGGGTGAGTCAACTGGTGCTACTGTTGCTGCTGTTGAATTCCCCTTTTAGGTAACTCAGCCCTGATACCTCATCGGGGCATCGCCAAAGCACACGAGAGACAAAACAACACTTTGGTGAGAGTAGATTCGTCTAGATCAGTGGTCCACGTCTCACACACGACAGCTTGACAATCACCATGGCTGTCTCGAGGGCTGCCACACCAGGAACAGAGAGCTTGCCACCTTCCACACTCCAGCTCAAGCCCCCCCAGACCGTAGCCTCGATGCTGGCCGCATCTGGCACTGCAATCTCGACAGGACCGTTGACATCCGAGTACCCACTGTTGACCAAGCTCACGAGCATTCGATTGCCGAGCTTCCAGAACGACACGTCGACATCCTCATTCGCGCTAACCTTCACCCGATGAGGACGGTCGCCACCCACGACAAAGTCCAGCACGGGCGACTTGGTGATGACCTTGGCCAGCTTACCATGGGCCTGGGATAAGATCTCCGCGGCGGGGTACACCCAAGAGATGACTCCTTGTGCTCCGTGGTTGAGAGCCAGGAGATTCATCGCCCACTCCTCCTCCGGGGTCGGATCTCTAGCCCAGTAGCCTTCTCCGTGGAAGCTCTGGGGGTTGTGTATCTTGGTCTTGGGCCACCGCCCCAGCCACTCCTCGTATTTGCTGAGGTCGTCTAGTCGGTTGCCGACATTCTGCACGACATGGACACCGTCACGGCAATTGTCGCACCCGCAGTCGCCGATCGTAGTGTTGCACGTCGTGTTCCACTTGGACCAGGACTGGTTGGTGCCGATGGGGTAGACATCCTCCATGATGATGTCGGCGCCAGCGGAATAAGGCCCAAAGTAGTAGTCTTGGCAGTTTAGGACGACAGCCACGGGGTGGTAGGGATCCAGGCGGCGGATGGTGTCGAGAGCAAGCGTGGTGCTGTTGAAAGGATCTTGCCACCCGTCCGGTCTGTACATATCAAGTATCGCTCTCGTGAGTAGAGTGTTTTGATGATGAAAGGATATGGGTTACGACAGGACATACTCATCTGCGCTCCAGTACGAAAAGATGGCTTCGCCATCTCTCGCCTTGAGAACCTCTTCTTCCACCCAAGTCAAGTTCTTGTAGCCATCTCGGAGATCGTACATCCATGGCAGGTCGATCTTGTCCATGTAGGCAAATGCATCGGTCGAGACAGGGAACGTCGTCAGGGGCGTCATTGCATTCAGGCCGTAGTCAGCGTACTTCTGGATTTCTCCAGTGTCGTTCTTGCCGAGGAAGCCATCGTACGAAGCGTAGTAGCCGTAGGGGAGCAATGGCCGGAATTTGTTGCCTGATGCCCCATTGCGAAATAGCATGCCGCCATTCAGATTATCCAGCTTCGTGACGCTGCCACTACTTTTGTCTGGCAGATAGAACAGCTCCGTCGTTGCTGTGTATCCCCTTGCATGGCCTTGAAGAGATCCTTCGAACGTGACTTCATGCGCTTCCAGCTGTGGCTTGAGCGATGCCAGGTCAAAGCTGAAAAGTGCACCCGTCTTACCAACATCAACATGGCTTTCGACCAATTTCTCACCTGTGGATGCGATCTTGATCGAAAAGTCCAGACGCGAAGCACTCGAACTCGGAAATGGCTCTCCAAAGTGCTGAGACAGTCCAGCATTCACGACGAACTGGCCCTTTGCCTCGCCATCAAGATAAAGACTGTACCGAGGCTTGAGCTGTACATAGAGCAAAGGCGCATCTGGAGATACAGGAGGCTCGACGGTCTGCCCACCGGGGTTGAAACTGGGATATCTATATCTTGGTTAGAATGATAGCGCGCGGATGCAGATGAGGGGAGGGCATATATCACGGAACTACGTACCCAGACTTGTAGACCTTGCCACACCATCTCGGCCAGTCCGGATGTTCTCCAGTCTGTTGAGCTAGCGAGCTCACTGCTGCATATACGAGGATCCCAACAAGACGAAGCATCATGGGCAATGGAATGTCGAACATTCGTGGGTACACAAGGGCACAAACATTGAGAGCGGGGAAGTTCCGAAGCAATGGATCTTCCAAGCCTTAGGAGGGATTTGTTATTCATTTACTCGAGCCTATTCCTTGCGGCAAATTGATGCGACCCTGCCCGCAATTCGCGCACAGCTCCGGGTACTTTTGGGTGCAGATCATTTAACGTTACGGAGGTCTTGCATCTATCTCCTCCTTACCTTCCCATCCTGACCACGCCTAATTAGGTAGGTGATTTGACCAGGGCGATAGACCAGTGTTCCACGTCCATCTACTTGAGAATGACTGCTTTCACGATCTATCAGTCCTATTTCAATCAAGTTGTATTGATTTGCCGTATTTGCAGCCTTGCCAATCCTCTAATACCGGGCTTCCTTGAAAGTCTTAACCTGGCCCACGAGTTTGCGTGGCCAGGTTGGGTAGCTGCTCCGTAATCGTAGACCTTTGGAAGCATCCGTGTAAACTGCAACCCACTGCTCCGCAAACAACTCAGCAACACATCTCTTTGAAACTGCTTAACACGATACATGCATGGCCGGAGCCTTGCTTTCCAAGGTAGCACAAGCGCTTCTGCCTTTGACCTTACGCGCGACTTGCGAACGACCCGCCAATATCAGATGAGGTAAGAAGCTTAGTTTGCATCGCATGGACTGCGCCACTAGTAGGTGGCGGCCGTCTCTGCATGTAAGACGGGACTTGCAGAATCAAAATACACGACAGGGCCAATCATTGCCGTAGATCCACTTCTCTGGGAGCGATATTTGAGGGCTAACGATGGCGTTGCCACGAAGACGTGCCGCTCGTCGTGCATCGTAGATTTAAGTTTCTTTAGGCGAATCCGCTTGGACGGGAGCAGTGGGTTTTGGGTGATGAGGCTCTTTGAAAATTGACGACGTCTGGAGGAATGAAATTCGGAGAATACGATGGCATGTCTAACCTAAGAATGTCCTGATTTACCGATTCGGAGTCTTTGGGCGGGCTGGGAGTTCTCGTTAAACATGTTTATAAAGTGCGACTGCCACGGTGGTTAACGCCAGGTCTAGTGAAAGCAAAATCCTCAGTCTCTTTGGCATTCATTTCAAGCCCAGCTGAAATCATGAAATTCTCAAAAGCCTTTCTAGCCGTCTCATTAGCATCAGTCGCTCTCACAAACCAAGTAGGCTCCTCGAATGTCCTCCCCATCCGTCGCCGTCAGTTGCAAAGCCGAGCCGGCTCAAGTGTCATACCGTTGAAAGCCGCCGACTTCGGAACCATATTCGATGTCGAAGTCTCCTTTGGCGACCAGAAATTCCTCCTTATCCCAGACACTGGCAGCAGCGATATATGGGTAGTCGGCACCGGATTTGAGTGCTTCGATTCTAACCAAACCGTGCTCCCACAGTCCAGCTGCAGATTCGCCAACACATACAACAAGTCTGCAACATTCCATGAGATCCACAACGAGACTTTCGGGGCAGGATACGGTACTGGTATTGCCTTGGGCTTGTTGGGTTATGAGGACATCGCTCTGGGTGGTGTCACAGTCAGACAGCAGACTGTGGGGGTAGTGAACATGACCACAGATACGGGTGACACGATCAACAGCGGCATCCTCGGCCTGGGATATCCGATTTTGACCTCAGCCCATGCAGTCGGTGCTCTAGACATCACGAACCCGTTGGCAAACCGCACCAACTACGACCCGCTCCTCTATAGTATGCACAAGCAAGGTCTGATCGAGCCATGGTTCAGCATCGCGCTGAACAGATTGCCGCGAAACACAACTATCGGAGACGGCGGCTACCTCGGGCTCGGAGAGCTTCCCCCGGTCCCTCACAGCGACATCGTCGTCACAGCGCCCGTCGAGGTCACCGAGGCGATACCCATCGCTCTCACAAACGGAGTACGACAGATCACCGAATGGACCCTGGCCGTCGATTCCGTCCTCTGGGGTGGCGCCAGCAACAGTTCTCCAGCGGCAAACAGTACCAGGTTCCAAGCCGTCGTCGACACCGGCAGCCCCTTCAACTACCTGCCCCCCGAGATTGTCGACCCCATCCACGCCCTCTTCTCCCCACCCGCAACGATGGACGCGGCCACCGGCGTCGCACCCACCCCCTGCGACGCCAAAGTGCCCAAGCTGGGCGTCACGATCCGCGGCCAGACGTTCTGGCACCTCGACCAGGACCTCATCTTGCAGACTCCCGACGGGTCGTGCATATCGGCGCTGAAGTACACTGCGCAGGGGTATGGGTCGGGCCTCAACTTCCTGGGCGATCCGTTCCTGAAGAACGTGGTGTCGGTGTTTGACTTTGGGAAGGATGAGATGCGGTTTATGGCTAGGCAAGATGGCGGGGGCGTGTCGACTGCTGGCGCGACAAACAGGAGCTCACCCGGCGGCGGCTCGTCTAGCAGCAGCAATACGTCTGATGGGCTGACTGTGCAGCCTCTAATGGAGGCTGTGGCTGCATTCTCTTTGTTCGTCGCTGCACTTGCATATGCTGTTTAGATGGTGCTACAGGATTCTCCACAGCTCGGCGATGATCCATCTGGGAAATGAACTTTTACGCGTAGCAGTAGTAAAGCATAGAAAATATAATGTAAATAGATTTCACTATTGCTTAGATCTTACGAGAACGACAGAATTCGTACAGATTCTCACACACTCTCTCTCTTACATCACTCACACAGTTCAGGCAACATGTCTCATAGCCCCTAATGACCTGGCGATGCCGTCCAGACCAACAGAGCTGTCGAGGACGTGTATACCCGAGTACTCCAAAGGCATGGTAGATCCGTCTTCATACATCATATCACTGGGAGGACGCCCCTGGAAGTCGTTGGAAAAGGCCATCATGCCCTCGAGGATATCGCCGGCCATCTCTGTGTCATACGGGCCCTCGCGGCGCTTGCTACTGGCCAGCAAGAGTCGCGCCTGGCAGATGATGTTCAGGTCGCCGCTCTTCATCGCGATGAGGAAGAGGGGTGCGATGACTCCTGTCTCCGCAGAAAATGACATGCGCTTTCCCTCTGGCCGATCGTTGGCCTCGATGATGGATCTCGCGTCTTCCAGGACCTTGGCAATTGCCGACTTGCTCGGGTCTGCAGGCGACGGGGCAAAGATTGACAGATCGTTGGGGAAGCTCGACTGCAGTAGCAGAAGCATGATGCGGTAGTGTATGCGGAGCATCAAGGTCGCTGACTGGAACTCTGCCATGGCGCATGTGGATGGGTGGACTTGCTGCGCCGTGAATTCGTCGAAAAACACCGACCACTTGTCGTATTGCTCCGCGTAAAGCGCCTTCTGCTCCACGAGCCACGGCGGGAGCTCTTCTGCAGCGTAGAACTTGTACTGGTTGTTGCTTATCAAAAAGCCGAGGACGCGAGACTCGAGCTTGGTGAGGATGGCTTGCGCTTGCCGCAGACTGGTAAAGGGAAGATCGCCGACCAGCTGGTCAACCGTACAAATGTCTAGGGGACAGGGCGTGCTTATCAAGATGGGGAGGCGCTGGTCATCCGCCATGGACGCCTGCAGATCTAGGCGGCGAAAGATCTGCAACAGCTCTTCAATGTCCGGCGTGCTTCGAGGCATGTCCTTGCGGCACATGGCGCCTCTGATGATGGCCAGTCCGCTCTCGAGATGCTGCTGCGCGGCCGCGCTGTCGCCCCTCGCGCTCTCGAAGCAGTAGAACAAGACGGAGCAGATCAGCACCGGCAGCGCGGCGTCGTGCCGAGACATGCCGTCCTCGGGGAGGTCGTTCATGTACTTGCGCAGGGAGCGCATGGCCTTGTTGTACTGGACCACCGTGCCGTGGCTAATACTTTGGGGGCCGCCGGGCTGGACGGGGCCGACCTCGTCGCCGTGCCGTGCCGGCGCCGTGGTCAGCTCCAGGTGCAGGGAGCTCAGCGACACGACGGCCTGGCGGACGACCTGCTCGTGCTCGCCCACCTGCAGGACGAGCCGGGTCCAGAAATCAGACGAGAGGTATCCGGACAGCTCCGACGCGGCGCTCGCGCAAAAGTAGTGCAGCAGCAGGCGGTCTTCTTGGCTGCCGGCGACTTTGTAGGGCAGGTCGTACTGGCGGATGCCCAAGCTCGTCTGGCTGAGGCCGCCGCGGCGAACCTGCGGCTGGGGGTACCCGTCGCAGACTCTTCCCGACTCCGTGCAGCGGAGGCAGGCGGGTCTGGTCTCGTCGCATTTGACATGGCGAGCTCTGCCACTCGATTAGCTGTGATCCTGAGCGATAAAACGAGAGTAGATAAATGACTTACTTGCATGTCGGGCACCCATTCCTAGACCTCGGCGCACTCCTGCGTCGAAGCCGCTCTCTGGGCTGGTGTGACATGATGTTCCGTGTTACACAAGGGCTTGTGGAACGCGGGAATGAAACAATTCAACGATTCAAGGCTGCAAAAAGAAAAGCAAAAGCTTCTGCCGACGCCCATGCCCAAGGGAAAACCAGGAGCCGGGAGACAGGCCCAGATAAAGGGGACGAGGAGGCACGGCAGTGACGGTGACAGCGACAGCGACAGTGACGTGACAGAGAGCGCGGGAATAGCGCCTCTCGGTGCCGACCGTCGACCCTTTGATGACATGGCTGGCCCCCCAGCTTATGTGCGAACCAAATGGCGGTCCCGATCTTCATAGGGGCCGACCAATGAGTTCTGCACAGCCCTGCCACTGGGCGCTAAGGAATAAGCATCATTCAAGGGCACTGAGCGTTACACAAATCTCACCCAGAGGCGCGCGAGTCGGCGGCACAGCATCCAACTGATCCGGAACGGCTTAAGGCTGACGCCCCGTGATTGCGGCCTTGACGCTCGACCAACCCATCCACGGTGGTGGGGTTCAGCCAAGCATGGAAGGCCATGGATCCATCTGTACGAAGCATGGAATTAGCACCTCCCGTACAGCGATGGTACTGATACGAGGTAGTATCAGGCTGTTGCGGTCGCTTTTCAGGGCAACGATGATGCGTGACTGGCCAAGCTCCGTCTCCGACGGATGGCGCCTTTTCATGCATGAAGCTCCGGTGGCACGGGACGACCTTGAGCCACCCCTCAATCGGTCCCGGCGGTTATCCATATATATTTAATACTCGTTCAGCGACTATCACTGGCCCATCCTTGGTGGTCGTCATTGGACAGCGCACTGATGTGCCCTGACCTACAGGATGTCGAACAGCCACAGGCTGTCTACAAACAGAGTGTTTGGCCCCTCGAATGTATTCTTGGAGAGGCACACTTCAAGGCTATGGAGTCATTCCCATGGCCATATCAAGTCTGTAATGAAATAAACTATGATCGATTGTTATTCCCTGTTTAATGTTCCTCGGAAACATACATCGAGAACTCATTCCTTCAACGAGAGCTGAAAGCGATACTCATTGGCCATCCGTACGTCGCCATTGCCATCCCCGCCTGGATATCGATGGCTCACCGTACCGCCACGATCATACAATTCTAACTTGTTTTCTAATTCGACCAGCTTGTCGTCACAGTACGGCATCATTGTGCGACATGAAGCGCGGCTCCTTGCAAGTCACTATCAGGCTGTGACACGGACGTGGTACAATGAGAGCCAGACAATATTCTAGCGTCTCCATTTGGTCTGTGACTTCTCATCAATCCAGGGGCTGGACTGGTACGATCGGAGACTGCGTTTATCTCATGACGACCTCAAAGGTGCGTGTCATGTACATGGATCTTTCTTTCCCACCTTATAGCAGCGCTCTACTATTCACGCGCCTTTCCTTATACTTTTAGGTAATCTAGAAAGTGCCCATTTCTCATACCATTATATATTGTACATACACTAGGCCCCTTTATTTTCCTCAATATGCTTCTGGATATTATCCACTGCTGAAATACGCTCGAGAGCACAAACCATCAGGTATTCTCAACTTCAAACACTCGACAAGCCCTTCCTGGACCCAAAGCATACAAACACCATGTGCGATGTCAAGCAGGTGTACTGCGCTGGCTGCGGAGATCGATGGCTCGAAATCTTGCGCTTCTGCAATACCGATGGCTACTGTGGCATATCCAAGATATACTACCACGAAACCGTCGATCGCATCCACCACCATGGCTGTCCATCTCGAAGGCGTAAACGCAAAGCTGCTTGAAAACAACGCGGCTTGCATATTAGTTACTGCATCACAATTCGCCTCGGGCTTAGATGGTCACTCTTGAGATGTCTGATTAGGGGTTGGTCACCTTAGACAGAATGGAGGAACTCGATAGTGCTTTGAGATTGCTGTGGTCACAAGGCGGATTATGCATCTTTATTTACTGGCTTTGTGACAGTCTGGAAGCGATGATCCCCCTTCATCAGTGAATCATGTCCAACCTAGTGAGATGTGTGAATCTGTTCCACGAGGCTATGGGACAAACTCTCCAGGTATTCGGCAGACCCGTGTCTACCACTAGTGTTTGTGCGCGTGTTATGCTACTAAACGCCATCCATTGGGCGACCAATACGAAGATATAATCCGCAGAAAACCCCAACGACTTCGTCACCCACTGACCCGATTCCGTGGACGACATTCAACTCACTACCTACAGAGTACGTAGTCCCCAGCCGCATGACTGTTGATGCGATGTCTTGTATAAATATGTGGCAGAATCTCACTTCAAGGTTGCTTCCTTCTTGGATTATAAGTTATTCCATATCACATCTTTCTCAGGACACAAACATCGACGAGAACATCGACGAGCAACACTCCCCAGCCATCCACCATTTCTAAGCCTTAACCGCGGTCCCAGAGGCCTGAATAATCTACATCCTGAGCAGAAACCCCGACCTAACAACCGGTTGCAGCGTAGCAATCATGTGCCTCCTGTTCCACTACTTCTGCCTGGGTTGTCGCCGGGAGTTCGCTGTGTGGGGTTTCCGATGTCCAGCGGCGCCGAACTGCCGGATCACCCGGCACCATCATGGTCCCGTCACTTCCTCGGGCCACCCTGGTTGCCCGTTACATTCTAACCCTACGCCACCCAAGCGCCGGAAGAGGGAGAGCAAGCTTTGAGATCGCGGTATCCGCTACCTTGGATATGCGGTGCTCTGCGGTCTCCAGAACATATCGCTCACGGGTCAGGGACATGGTCATAGTCACGGCTATTGAGACATTGGGGAAAGAGAGCAATACAGTAGCGTTAGGGCTCTCTCCGCGTTAATATTGTGCTCAGTTCAGGACTTTGAATTCATAATTTTTGGTCAATGATTGTCTGACAGGATGGTGTGAGCATCAAGTGAAATTTCGGGTATTATCTCGGTCATGAGCGTACTGACTAAATGACTTTGTGATTTAGCAAGTCTCAGCTGCCGCATTTCCGGGTTTTAATTGGACATATACGAGTTGCTCAAGCTATTGGGGTTGGGCCTCGAGAAGAGGAGGTGGAGAAGAGGGAGTGCTTTGATTCATTCCACGACGACAGGCGTACAGGCCACCGTCACTGACAATCTCAATGTCAACTTATCATTTCTAAATGAGACAAGCCCCATCAATCCAGAGTACTGATCAAGAGCAACAAGTGAAAGACAGAGGCGATGTCAGCGAGTCCCCTAGAACTGCGTGAATCAGCATCGGCCTAGAGTCTCCCACACAATAGTGATCGTATACTTTCATTCTCAATACTGAGTATCAATGACTAGATAGCACACTATTCGAGAATGATGACAAGTCTGTCATATTTCATAGCGCCGACACTTGATCTCTGAGTAATTGATGGCCGGCAAACACGCAAACAAGATCGTGATACCTGTCATGAACAGCAGTCACATAGATATGTGGCACGTGAGTGACTCAATGGATCCCTCTGAGTCTACAACATTCTTTTTTCTGTGCCTTTCAAGATCTTTATCGAATCCTATCGACTGGTGAAACTGGTGTCATTTACGTTGAATACAGACATCGCGATCATGACCTACGCCCTCTATGAAGCCCATGTCATAGGGCTCTGCTTGGATAAAAGAATCGCCTCGCGGAATTTCGTCATTCTCTAGAAGCTGAGCATTCTTGATACCTTATTTCTACCACCTCGGAGATATCAAAATCGACAGCAAAACACACAATCTTCGAAGACTGCCTGCAGCCTCCGATCCCGATACCATCAGCCACAATAGCTCCCAAGTTACCGCAACCTTGCAATCAAGCACTGTACGACCGTGAGATCTTTGCAATGTGCACCCAGACCCAGTTCCATTGCATCGGCTGCAACCGCGACTTCATGATGACCACCGGGTGGTGTTATCGGCGCCCATACTGCCATACCCAGACTGAGAACGGCGGTAATGTCGAGTCGAGCGTGCATCCAGGATGCCCGAATCAAGACCGCCCGAAGAAGTCGAGCAATCCTTGAATCAATGGCGACGGACTGGCTTTGGAGACGAATGGATTTTGGGTCAAGGGACATAATCTTTGGGCCCTTCAAATGCAACCCGCAACAATTTGTCTCCGCCAGCAGGTCGCCCTGAACATGAAGCGGAGGGACGGCAGACTTGGAGGCGCATCCGGGATGGACATGGTTGCATATAAAGCGCTGGAGACATTTGGAAGTCACGAAGAGCGCCCTGCGCTGATTATTGCCTTGAAAGGCAATCGCATTTTTGGAGTTGAAGTCGCATAGGAGCATTAGAATGAATGAGACAGCCTGCCTTCATAACAAAATGTCTTTGAAAGATCTGGATGAAGAGAAAAGGGGGTCAGTTGCAGAACACTTTCACCGTGGTGCCAGAGAGGCATCACCATTGCTTTGAATCCAACTTTGGAAATACCTACAATGCTCAGGTGTACCGGCCCCTTGAATTAAAATCACGCCTGAGAGAATGCATGACTGCCACACGCGTCAGGTCTTGCGTCGCTAAACTGCCAAGGCAATCCGGGTGGTCTGGCCATCGCCCTACACGCTAAAAACATGGTGTGATGTGAACGCAGCACCATTTCGTGGCGGTAGAACAACGTGATATGTGAGCCCTCAATTGGCGGCCCAGCTTCCTAGACTCCTTGGCTTTTCTTGTCAAGACACGCATGTATCCGAGAATGTTCGTCCGCTGCGCCTCCTCACTCGGTAGCCTTGGCTTCAGTGAGGTCGATAAGTAAGGGGGGCGATTCCTGTTGTCGCGTTGTCCTGACTTCGATTCTCATTTGGAAGTGCATCTCAATTACACCAAAAACCAAAACAGCAAGTTATCACGACCAATCGGAAAAGCACGAGCAGATACAGGCAAATGGCAGCACAAACACCAGAGCTGCCATCAACCATCAAGGCATGGCGGTTCCACACCGCCGCCCACGGGGCGCACAAGCACCTCCAGCTCGAGGACATCCCCATGCCCGAGTTCAACGAGAAGCGCCTGCCCCCTAACTCGTCCCTCATCAAGGTCCTCGCCGCCACCGTCAACCCGATCGACGTCAAGATGGCCGGCATCCCCATCATCGGCCGCTTCACTCAGCCGATGCCCGCCGTCGTGGGCCGCGACGCCTCGGGCATCGTCGTCAAGACGACCGACCCGTCGCTCCGCGCAGGCCAGCTCGTCGCGTGCCGCCTGAGCGAGAACCAGGCCCCCGGCGTCATGGCCGAGTACATCGTCGTGCCCGGCAACGACAAGGGGGCCGCGGCCGCCGTGCCCGCCGGCGTGTCGGCCGTCCAGGCCGCGACCGTCGGCACCACGGGCGCCACGGCCCTGCAGGCCATCGCCAGGCGGTACGACCTCGGCAAGCTGGACGGCGGGCCGCGGCGGATCTTCATCAACGGCGGCTCCGGCGGCACGGGCACCTACCAGATCCAGGTCGCCAAGGCGCTGGGGTTCCACGTCACGGCGTCGTGCTCGGGCGCCAACGCGCAGCTGTGCCGCGACCTCGGCGCCGACGAGGTCCTCGACTACAAGCAGGCCGAGCCGGCCCGGGCGCTGGCGGAGCAGGTGCGCGCCGGGAGCCAGCCGGCGTACGACCTGGCCGTCGACAACGTCGGGATCAGCTGGGAGCGGTACCGCGCGGCGGACGAGTTCCTGGCGCCGGGGGGCGTGTACGTGCAGGTCGGCATCGGGTTCCGGTGGGCGGAGCTGCGGTCGGCGCTGCGCATCAACTGCTGGCCGTCGTGGCTGGGCGGCGGGAGGCGCGCGTGGTCGTTCCTGTCGATGCGGACGGACCGGGCGGACATGGAGCGCGTGCTCGGGTGGATGGGCGAGGGCAAGGTCAAGGTGCCGATCGACAGGGAGTTTGAGTTTGGCGAGGTGCCGCAGGCGTACGAGACGCTGCTGGCTGGGCGGGCGAGGGGCAAGATTGTGGTCCGGTTTCCGGCTCTAGAGGAGAATGCGACCGCTTGAGATGTTCATGGATGTAGTCTACCATTTGCTTGCATTTTGGGTCTGTTTATCTCGGCTTGAGGAGTTGAACGGCGGTTTGCACCTTATATCAGGCCAGGCACTACCACGTCAATTATTCGTTCGTTATGCTTAATGATTCATGATAGAATACCGGGACGATATTGCGATCATTTCTCATACAGCAAACCCTTCCAATCAGAAGGTAGATACCTAGGTAGGTACCTTACTTTATACAATGAAAGAGGTGACATGCCTCCTCAATCTAATATCGTAGCGCTCGCTCCAGGGCCTGTTGCGCTAGTTACGCTGCTCTTTCGGGCGGGTTTCTTGCCGGCCTCGTAACGGCCCCAACGCTTAGAAAAAGCGCTAAAAACCTAAAATCTTGCATCATCCACAGAGAAGGTGTGTGTACCTTGACCATGATCACATTTCGGCCAGCCCCAGGGGTTATCCGCATTTCAGGCGTAGCCCAATGCAAGATGAAGCGGCCTCCATGAAATCTTCGCAGGCTTCAACAGCTGGTGGTACCACGCTGGTGGCAGAGCGAGACCCGTCGCCAGTCGAAAAGACCATCGTCCAACCGTCCCCGCGCCGACGCGGAGGCATTGCCTGTCGCCGCTGCCGGCGCTTGAGGACCAAGTGCGTCAATGAGAACGGCGCGAGCCCATGCGAAGGCTGCCGAACGGCGGGGTCTGCGGTTGCAGCGCAGTGCACGTTTCTTCGGAAGGGTGAGAGAGACATGGACCGTGACTTCCGACGACGCCCGCTGCCCTCGTCTCAGCAGAAGCTGCCGCAGCCAGGGGATTCGGCGGTAGCGGTGAGCGAGGCTGGCTCAGAACTCAGCCATGGAAAGCAAAGCATGGAGTTCGATGGAGAGCAGCCTGCTCAGCAGACTCGCCTGTCATCTGTGCCTCCCAGCGATACTGCCGCCGCGATCTCTGAAGGGGTGTTGCCACCATTGGAAGAGATGCTGGATGGCTGTCGCACCTTCATGACCTACTACTTCCAGTTGGGCTTCACGCCAAAGGCCATCTTCATCGAGAATCTCAACCGCAATCCTTCCTCCGTCAGTCCATTTCTCATCAGCTGCATCCTGAGCATCTCAGCGCGCTTCTGCCCGGCTCTGGTGCGCCGCTATGGCAGCGCCGCTGGCGCAACGGATCACTTCCTCGCCGCTGCGCGAGGCTGGGCTGCCACCGAGATGTACAGGCCTTCCCTTGAGCGCACCCAAGCGTTCTTCCTACTGGCGATCTCCGAGTGGGGGAATGGTGACAAGGATCGCAGCTCCATGGATATGGGAGTCGCGGTGCGCATGGCCTCTCTGCTCAAGCTCCACCGCGAGGAGACGTACCAACTTCCCGCAGGTGCGTCTGCAGAGCAGATTGTCCGCGCAGAATCCGCTCGGCGGACGTTCTGGATGATCCAGAGCCAGGAAAACCTGCACTCTGGATACAGCACCCCTGCCCCTTTCGCCCTCGACGACATCACTGCCCTGCTCCCCTGTGATGAGTCGGATTTCGCCTTCGGGATCGTGCCTGCGCACCGGGCCGCCCTCGCTGGCACTCCACCGGCCACAGCCAACCCGCGACTCACCGATGCGCCTGACCGTTGCATGTTCGCGACCCTCGTCCAGGCACACACCCTGTGGGGGCAAGTGGCACGTCGTGCGTGCCGGCCGGACCCCAAGGCCATCGAACACATGAGCGGCACCGAGGGGAGCATGACACCCTTGCCGCCATGGAACCCCGCGAGCGAGTACGCCGCAACTGCGCGAGAGTTGAGAGAGTTCGAAGACAAGATGCCGGCCCGGCAGGCCTGGTCGGTCTGGAACCTCCGCGGCTGGCGCGCAGACTCGCTGCACCTGGCCTACCTCGCCGTCACGCCCGTCCTGAGGCTCAGCAACATAGTCCTGCGGCGCATCTACCTGGAAGACATCATGGCCGCCGTGGAAGACACCACCACCCCCACCAGTATCAAGCAGCAGCGGCAAGACTCGGCACCCACCACCGACGCACCGCCCGAGGGCTTCTGGGCGCGCATGTCGGACGAGCTCTTCGCCAACGTGCGCGAGCTGCACGAGCAGATCGACGCCTACTTCTCCATGCGCACCAAGGGCGAAGGGTTCCCCGCCATCCTCGTCTTTTGCGTCTACATCTGCGGCTCCCTGGCGTCGTACCTGTGGAAGAACCCGGCGCTGTGCCCGGCGCAGGCCGACGGCGCCGAGGAGATGGCCATGACGGCGCTGCAGGTGCTGGGCGAGCTGCACGGCGCGTGGCCCACGTCGGCGCGGTGGAGGCAGGGCCTGCAGCAGATTGCCTCTGCGCAGCCTGCCGCTGCTCCTGGTACTCCCGGCGCGGGTTCGACGAGTCCCGCGTCTGGGGTTCCGGGGACGGGTAGGGCTGGTAGTGCTGCCGCTGCTGCTGCTGCTGGCACGCCGCGCGAGAGCCTGACGAGCTGGGAGGGCATGTCTGGCCCGGCTAGTAGCCGGGGGGGCGTGGTCACGAGCGGCACGCTGGAGTCGTCTGGAAAGGAGGCCGGGTTCGATGTCGCTGGGGTGCAGATGGAGACGTTTCCGAGCGAGCTGTTCGATGCCGAGTTGGCGGCGATCTTGTCTGGAGACCTCAACTATGGGTTTTTGGATGACCTGCAGCAGCAGTGATGGATGAATTATGATAGATTGATTCAATCAATGGCAGTGGCAATACCAACTCATTCTCAGGTGAACGTCGCCAAAGCTTGTGAGAATGCCCAGGGATAATGCAAATCCAGGTGGATGTCTAATATCTGAACACGGACTCCCGAGAAGAAGTGATATCCTGCCGATTTGAAGGCCAAAAAGAACGATATGTATCAGGAGAATGGTAGGTCACCAGGTTCGGATACGTTTGCTAGAGACCCTTCCATACTACTGCTCCTTTCTAGTAAGGGATTCTGGTCACCGCAAAGGTCATCGAGCTCAATGGACAACCCTAGGCCTACATGACATCTCCTCAGGTCTAAGTTGAGGGCTAATACTCTGAAAATGAGACCTGGCCAACGACGCAAATAGAATTGTTATAGATGTATAGTATCCATATTTCATAAACTGTAGTATATCTTGATAGAAATGATGGGAATCTGTTGCATAAAAGGCTGTTTATATAGTGAAGTGAAGCAACCGGATAGATGGTATTTTTTATGTCTAGTAGACAAATTTGATATGTTTTGCTATTAAATTAACCCAGCACAGCCTTCCACAATTCAATACATCTGCTCGTAGGTTTAAGGATGAATATTATTTAACCATTAAAGTATCTGATCATAACATTTTGGGCCCTGATTTCTGCTGGTGTCCTTCACGATTGCGAGATATCACTCTTGAGCATCACGCAGAGCATCTCAGCATCACCAGCCAGACCCACCATGCGATTGCTGCGACTGTACGGAGTAAAGTGGATGGATGACTAACAAAACAATTCCAGGCTGCCAGGTGCGAGGCAGTCACAACGGAGCTGAGTCACCTGGCTGGGGCCGGCGAGACTGGAAGAGACTAGCGCAGGCGGAGTCGGTGGCGACGAAGCGAGCCCCTCAGCCCAATCAAAGACGGACCCTATCGCCTCCACGTGACTCCGCCCACACAGACACACAGAATCAGAACAAATCTTTCCTCAACCCCATCTTGGTCGAAATCGACTTCCCTCATCACCGACAAGCCTCGAGTACCGCCATCACCACAACACAACACCTTACTCTTTCATCATGGGTAAAGTTCACGGTTCCCTTGCCCGTGCCGGCAAGGTCAAGTCTCAGACCCCCAAGGTCCGTATATCCCGACGACCCCGAGCGTTGTTCTGAGGAGAGCATGGGGGAGGGCGGAGAGGGCAGGAAGGCGAGAAGAAAAAAAAGCCGACCGCAGGCCATCGCGCAAAACCCATCATCGACGACACGACGGCAACGAATAAAATGCTGACTTGATTTCCCCCCCGATTACAGGTTGAGAAGCAAGAGAAGACCAAGACCCCCAAGGGTCGCGCTCGCAAGAGACTCGTATACACCCGCCGTTTCGTCAACGTCACCCTGACCGGTGGCAAGCGCAAGGTGCGTCAGATTCTGGTACTGCGAAATAATGAGGAGGCAGGAGTGCTGACAAGATTCTGCACCACAGATGAACCCCAACCCCGGCTCTTAAGCGAATCGAATCGAAAATTCTCCTTTTTTCAACTCGATAATGGAACAGCGGCCGGAGACGGTGGTTTCTCTTGGGATGGTGTCATGACTTTACTGCGTGGCTGGAAATTCGATGGACAATTTCGCATTTACTCCCGGCATCACTTTTTTATCGGTTCATTCGGTCTTGTGGCTTCTGCGTTTGCGCGGAGGGCACCGGGAAGAGAGGGCATCAGGGAAAAACCAACATGGTGCGACCTTTCGAGGATTCCGGCCCCTTCTGGTAGAGCATATACAGGAAAAAGAAATACGGATACTTCGTCGGACATCCTGATAAAATTCACTGCTACGGTCATGGTTCCGCATGGTGCGTTCTTGAATTGATCATGACTTGAAGAATATGGCAACTCGACAGAAAGCAGGGATGGGACGGATGACTTGCTCGCGACCTGTTGTCATATTTGTCTTTGCCTCAAATTTGCGCGTCCAAAGATCTTGACGCCTCTTGTTCGTGATTCATTGCTGCAGGCGCTTCTAGTTCCTCAGGATAACCGAGTCCACATCTGCCCTTGCATCTCTAACGCTATAGGATCGTGTCTGATAAGGGACTCTTCTCACGCTTTTGACTCGCAGGTCGTCTGCAGTTTCATACCCCCGAACCATCATCCTGGACATACGCAGCCTCTAACCCGTCACAGCCCGGTCCCAGGCTGCTGCGTCCTCCTGTCCCAGTACCCTATCCCGGTCTTGTGCACCCCCCACCGGTACCCGTCGCACCAGACGTCCTCGCCCTCGACGTGGCCGGCCATCTCGAACGGCGTCCGCGAGCCGCTGGCCACGGTCGGGAAGAGCGACTCGAGCAGCGACTCGAGCGCCACGTTGAAGTATCCGCGCCAGTCGGCGCCCGCGACGTCGTCCTCGACGTCCTGCGGGTCGACGGGCTCGGCCGCCTTGGCGGACACGGCGACGGCGTAGGGGATCTCCCTGCGGTACTGGCGCTTGCCCGACGAGGGGAGGCGGGAGTCGAGGACGGAGCGCAGGGCGGGCGGGGTGATGTAGAGGCAGACGCTGTGGGCGAGGCCGGGGGGCAGGTTGTCGGACATTGCGGAGTATAGGCTTTGGTTTGGGTGTGAGGTCAGTGATACTAGGTGGACAGGGGTGGGTATTGAGCGGATGGGGGAGCGTCGTAGTTCATTCTCAAAAGAGACAGCACGTGTGTGTAGGTTCAGATGAATGTTCACTCACCGAGCAATTCCATCGAACCCTGCGTCGCCTTCGGTCACGTCCTCTACCCAGCGGAACTTCATCCGTGATAGGCACTCCTCGAGGCCATCGAACCCCTTGTAAAGGTCCGTCGACTCTTTCAGGATCAAGTCGAACCGCTCCCGGCAGGCAGCCCACTCCGCCTCGTCCCGGATCTCGGGGCTCTTGAACACGACGAACCCCCACGGGTCCCAGCGCGACTCCGGACCGCGGCGCTCCTCCATGAGCCTCATGGCCTGCATGAACAGGGGCTCGGACGGGGGCGGGTCCGCGATACCTGCGAGTACATAATGAACACACCGTGAACTCCAAGACTCAACGAACAAAAAAGATGGCTGGTGACCCTTCTACTCACCCTTGGCACGCTTTTCCCGCGTCCACATCTCGTCAAAGAACTTTTCGTACTCTTCGTCGCCGACGTCCGCCCGCAGACCATCGCGGAAGGCGGACATGTTCTCCGGGGTGAGCCCCTCCATGTCGTCGGCAGCGCCGCTGTTGAGCATGCGGTCGCGGTCCCAGCCCTCCGGGTAGTACGGCGGCACTGACGACATGCTGCAACTGCAATATGGTTGTATTCCTGTCCCGAGGCGATGATCTGGTCACGGAACATTCGGCAACAAAAGATGTCATCGACCGAGTTTGAGATGATTCGAGGAGATCTGTGTAGGATTCGACAAAATTGGGCTAGCGCTTTTGGTACACCAAGTTCACCGTCCGTACCTTGATGATCTGCAAGTACGGCATATGTCACTGGCGCTTTTCTGCATCGGGAAAACAGCTATGCTCAAGCTTTCACATGATGGTCTGCATTGGCGAGGATGATGTGCCTGCAAAGTAGTTTCTGGATATTGTGTTCGTTCTGCAGAACAGACAGGTTCCCCAACTACCATTATGACAAAGCCCTGGGCTGAGAGCATCAATGGCTCATTCAACCTCCAGACGGCCGCGGAATTTAACAGATCGGGGCCGGGCGACTGAGAAGTCTCTAGTCGCCTACTTTCATCTCGCCGGATGATATGATGTGCTTTGGGATGTTCCAAGCCCCCTCCTTTCCCTTACCCAGGATCCCAAAAGACTTTCCTAGAAAGCCAACCGCTATTAAAACATCCCTAGAGGATCAAGATCAGAATACTTTTCGAGCATTACTATCGTGTTAGACATGAGGTCGCTGTGGATATTTTGCTGAGTCGCCTCCAGCTGGGCGAATAATTAGTTGAAACAGGGAGGATGTGCGTCCTCCACTCATCCTCTCCAGAACAAAAAGAAGAAACCATGACTTCGTTAGCAAAAGCAGAAAAACGCCCTTTTTGTTGTTGTTGCGGGTGGCGTGTTGAATGATCCCCTCGCGATCAACTTCCCATTCCCGAGTGTTCCCAAATGTCCCGAATATTTCTCCAACAACGATGCCATGCCAATAAAAAACAAAAAATCCCAAGCAAGCAAATAAACACTTTTGTTTTTTAGTTACTCCGTAACATGCTTGCCATCCTCTATCCTCCCGCACTCCTCCAAGTGCCTCTCAAACGACGCGGGCGTGTACAGCCGGCGCGGGTGCATCTGCCTGGGCGTGCGGCCCGCGATGCCCGAGCGGCACCCGGAGCAGTACGCCCCCCACTCGAGCTGCGCCGCGCCGCCGGCGCCGGCAGCGCCCCGGCCCCCTCCTCCCACGAGGACGGGCGCGCGCACCACGGCGGCGAAGCGCAGCGGCGCCATGGCCGCGGCCGAGAACTCGAAGCGCTGCAGCACGAGCGACGACAGCCTGTCGCCCGCCCGCACGGCCCGGTCCCGCGCGGCGGCGAGCTCGAGCGCCCGCATGTCGGACGCGTACTCGCGCATCGCGACGAGCGAGCCGTGCAGCGC